AGATTTAAATTCAAGAGCGAGACTTTACCGAAGAACAATGAAACATTTCATCGAAGTTTACAATTCCTCAACACATTCTACAACAGGACATACACAAATTCAATGACACAAACACAAGAAAAAGTATATACAAAAAGAAACGAAGTCAAACACAAAATATCAGAAATTCAACACAATTTACCCTCATTCCTGTTACAAAAGTTCGTGTAGTTCTTGACGACAAACCATTGACAAAGAAACGTTTAAGGTTAAGTCGAAATTATTATATCGTAGACTCTACACAAGGTAATGGATATCTTATAAAAGCTGCTGACGACTCATAGCATTTTACCCTCGACATAAATTAGTCGAAAGTAGTAATGGCAAACTTGCTGAAACCATTGACGAAGCAAAGCGAGGAGTGGTTATTGAAATACTTGGCTACAACACAAACGTATGACACTTATAAAGTAAGATATGAAGGAGCGTTGAAGATGTTATACCATCTAAGAACTTGAGAGAGTCGAAACAACTCATCTGGGACCATTAGAGCGGGAGTACTGGAAGACAAAAAAATAAGCGCAGAAGAATAAGAAAAATCTTTCTAAACTTTTTTCAAGATGTAAATCAGACAAAAATAATGTTTAGGTGAAGAGGTGAGATTTCACACCGTTTTTCACCTTCTTTTTCACCTCTTGAATTTTCATGAATTTTCCCGAAATAAAAAATAATGTTAGTGTTTATTTTATTTATTTTTTTATTTGTATGTAAAGACAGTAAGTCAAGTCGAAGCAAAAACATTCACTAACAATCTAATGGCGAAACATCACAAAAGGCACTTATAACGGTATTGAAGTCTTACGTAGAGACCAGAGGTAGTACATTAATGCAACAAAGATGGCAAGAGAAGCAGGAAAGTTAAACCATTTAAACAGATTCTCAATGTGCTAAAATGCAGAAATTCTTGAGTTTTGTTGAAAGAATACGGTCGAGCCAAAGTGGCTCAACTCAAAACAAGCATTTATGAGTTACTAAGGGCGTTATTGAATGAATTCAAAGGTATTACAGTACATTGACCTCGTTCATTTTGTGCTGAATGTTGCTCTGTAAGTAGCATTTTTATGTCAAGATTATTATGGACTCCATAGACAAGAAAGTTCATAGAAGATTAGATTAGAAGAACTCGAAGATACAGTGGAGAATGCTAAACCTTTGTTCGAAGAAGAAGTTGGAAAAATGTGCGGAAAACAATTTAGAACATGAACGTGAGAAATGTTATGGTTATAGAGATTCTCCATACGAACTAGACCAATGGGACAAAGAAGATTTTAAAGAAGAGAATTTAGAGAATATGAATCGCTAATAGTCATTTATGAAGCTGATGCGCAGAAAAGAAGTTAAAAGTTTGGGGTCGTTTTGTACAAAAATATTGTGAGTAAATGAACATTTATTTTTATGTAATTCACCAAAAATATATTATAGGGTGAGAGGTGAGATGTCACCTGTTTTCTCACCTGTTTTCTCACTCTCTGAATTTTCATGAATTTTCACAAAAGACAAAAATAATGTTAGTTTTATTTTTTATTTATTTTTTTATTTGTATAAAAGATAATGATATTCAACAATCGGTACAACAACAATTCAACTACAGCACCAAACTCGTTTATCATGAATCTACGTCAATGTTGATAGAGATGAAAACTTTATTCCTTCTTCATATACTTTTGAAACGAAATCCAGAATGATAAAGCAAGAACTTTAAAAGTAATTTAGACTGTAGTGCGAAAGATGAAACAAATTGACAGTTTATCTTTATGACATGCAGGACATTATTACCATTTGCCTTAAACTAACCTGAAGTTCAGCAGCAAAAACTAACTATCCTGAATCGACCGAAATTGAAGTCAAAGCAACTCTCGTCTAGTAGAAATAAAGAAGTCATTCTAGTAAAGTAAATATGAATTCCTTGGTTTTCATTTCATCTGCAAACCATAAAGTAATGGACAAAGTCTGCGAACATTGGTATATAAAACATTTCTGACATTATATTAAATCTAGAGGGAGCTTAGACTTACGTAACTTTGTTTCATTAGTTGCAAAATGTGTTTGGGAATCTCCTTCACCTTCTGAATCCTAACTGGCTCGATGTGAATTATTTTCTGATTTAATCAGCTTTGAATAAAAAATTATCCAACTTCTAAAATTTTACGGAGAGAGGGTCAAAGTTGCTATTTGTCACTTTTCCACAAGAATATAATGGGGAAAAAGTTATCATATAGTTGATCTCATTCACTGAGGTGAGAGATGCATGTAGTGTAATGGGATAAACAGTGGGCTTGCTGTTCTAAGTCCTAGGTTCGAGACACATTGGCTTCATTTTTCTCTTTTTTATTGACGTAAACTATTCAATTTTTGTGTTATCCATTCAAATTTCAGAATTTTTTTTGCAGATTTCACGCTACATTCGAAGTTACCTTTTGTAACAACCACCACCGCCTACGAAAGACGAAAGTGTGTCACAATTTCACCCGGAAATCCGACGGTTGTTTAAGAGTAAGCACATTTGGCACCTACTCAAATTTTACGGGCATTCAATTTGACGAAGTAACACCTTTTCATATATGCTTTACAAATATTAAGTCCAAATTTGGACGTTAATTTTGATTGATTATAAATTGAAAGCGTGATCATAAAATCAGTAACGATTAATTGCTATTCTTATAATACTGCTGATGGATGACATTTCTGATTTTACTTTTGAGAGAATACCATTCAAATGTGTATAAATTTTCAATCATTCAAAGAATTATCGCAGAGAACTAGTTTGCATACACACTAATTTCCTTTAAAAAATTGAAACTTATTTTTATATTTTATGAAGATTTTGGGGCGGTTTAATAGAAACAAAAAGTTTATTCGTTCACGTTTATTTTAATCATATTTGTATTTCTTTTAATGTCATTATAAACTTTCTTGATGCTTCAAATGAATTTGATTTTGACTGAAACGATTAAATTTTGATTATAAAAATTTTTTTTTCATTGTTCAAAAAAAATTAGACCATGACATCTCGTATGACTTTGCACATAGACCATAGCCAAGGGCAATTACTTCGCTCTAAAATCTTTGGTCATGATGGTGTTATTATCCCATTCAGGGAAGGATACATTGCGAAGAAATGCAAATTAATTCGTGAGTTGAAATTTTATAAAACATATGTAGGCAGTTTGCATAATATCTTAGAGCCCGAACTCATCCCTTCTGTTGAAGGCATTGTTGACGACAACAACGTTCACTTATCTAGTTCAGATGACGAAGTTGATCTTGAAGTCAAGCGCGACATTGAAATCAATCACAAATCAGAACCATACCTTATGATGCATGACATTGCAGATGGTTATTCACGCCCAGCTGTTCTAGACGTGAAACTTGGAACTAGAACTTGGGCGTTAGGTGCCTCTAAAATAAAGCGTGAGCGTATGAAGAAGAAATGCTCATGCCCTACATCATCGGAGCTTTGTGTACGTGTCCGTGCCGCTATGTGGTACTCTCGTACACCAGATAAGTGGCCTGTTGAAGAGAACATCAACTGTGTTAAACGCGAATGGGGTAATTCATGCTCTAAGTCGGAGTTTCTCGACTTCTTGAAAGATTTCTTCCACTACCCAAACCAAATTCCTATTTTTGTTGAAAAACTCAATAAGTTGAAGACATCTATGGCTAAAATGCGCGAACAGTTTGGTGCTCGCATGTACTCTAGCTCGATTGTCTTCGCGTATGATGAAGATGATCCATCCAAATTTGATTGTCGTTTACTTGACTTTGCGAAGACTTATTTAGACATCGACAAAGCGGCTAAAGAGTCAAATGAAAGTGTTGATTGAGTGTGAAGACTCTGTTCTTCCAGCATTGAACAGTATAACTAGTATGATCGAATCTCTTGTTTAATTTTTTTATTTATATTTATATATAAAGTGTTTGTTATCATGTAATGAGGCGATATTCATATACATATATATTCATATATTTATATCTATACTATCGCCTAACTACATTTTCTTTTTTTTTCATTTTTCATTTTAACAATAAAGAGAGTTTATAAAGAATCATCATTTTACCTTTTATTTTTAATTACTTTCTTTCTTGCTAAGTTATTAATTAAATTAATATTTTTTTTAATATCTGAACTTATTGAGCTGGATATCATGCATTTAACTAATGTTATGAAAACAGCTAGTAGAATATGACATTATATATCTCTTATAGCAAAAAAAGTGACTTTGCGAGGTAAGAAAGAACATAATTCTCACCATATCTGTGTGAAGGAGTAAGAAAGAACAGAATTCTCTATCCGTTTCATTTCATTAATTCTCTTTTGTTTATTTTAGTAAAAAAAGTTTTTCATTGGGTTCAAAAAGAATACTCATTTTTGACTACTTTATGCACAAATTGAATGCAAAATAATCGTCTCGCTTCTGCATTGGGTATGAAACTATCGAGAGTGTAATTGAAAGACTTAAATTGATTTTCATGGTTTATGTCTGCTTAACGAACACTCATACAAAAATTTGCAATACATCATAAACAATAATACATGGTTTTACTCATAACTTCATTAACTTGATTTTCTATCATTTTAATTATTATCTATATCTTAGTTTAGGCTTTCTAAGTTTGAAACATACCCCAACCATATAGAGAGTACTTTCGAGACATTCATTTAGAAACAAGAGTTACATTTATTCAACAAAATATATAAAGAATGTGTAAGATCGATAAAAAGCGTATGGAAATTAAAAATCACTGTTTGAGTACTTTCTGAGACTCTGTTTGTCAGAAATATATACATTTGAATACTTTCTGACACCTTTTTCAAAGTTTTTGACATTGTGAGGTTTTTGTGTCAAAAAGTAATCAATTTTCCTCTCAAATGATGATTTATTAAAAAGATCACTTTTTTATCAACTTTTTTTTGTCAAGCGAGTAAAAATAGATTTTTTTTCAAATTATTTTGTTTCAAATTATTGTGTTGGCGAAGGATAGCGGCTGAATTGATCGAAACATGATTTTCCTTGTTCGTAATCACCAAATTTTATTGAAAGACGTTTGTTTGCTTGGAAGAAACAAGATTGTGCTTCTTGATATTGAATAACATAATTTTCAGTGTAAATAGGAGAAGTTGAGAAAGAAACTGCACCAGAAACATCAAGAATGTCACAGTAACAATTATAAACTGCAACATTTCCGTTAGAGTTAGAAATTGAGAAATAAACGTGATTATCAAAGAAAGTTGACTCAAATATTTCTACAGTAGAATGATCAACACTTAAGAGTGCATCGTATGTCGTAATTTCGTTTGAAATAAACATAATTCTGTTGATTTGAAGAGGTTTATGAATATTTATTTCTAAACCTTTAAACATTGATGTAATTATATATCGTATTTGTTAATATCTTTAATGATGATGCAGATCTAATTGCTGGTCCAATTCCGCAATAAACATTATTTTGTGAAAAATTACAGCCTTCGAAGTATTGATCACCGAAATTCGTGTAAACTACATACGATACATCTGGTGTTGGATAATATGTTCCGAAAAAGTTATTAAGATTGTAAAATGAACCTTTTTTTCGTTAACATTTGTTGATAAATATAAGCAATTGCAGCTACTTCGAGCGGTACAGTTCAAACAACAGACTTCTCGTAGTACTGCGAATTTCCTTGTGTTAATATAAATTGCTCCGGCTTGGCCATTCGAATTTGAGTCTGCACGGCATGAGGAATAACGACTATTTTCGATAATGATTTGTACGTTTCCTACTATATTTAAAGCTCCTCCGATATCTGATGTTAATTTTTGAAAATTACCGTTTCTAATGAATACTGAACCACTGACTGGGTTCAAATAATGCCTTTCATTCGATTCTATAGTAAGACATGTCTCTGGCGCTGAGGATGCAGTAGTAAGGAAAAGAGAAATCATAAATTTATTTGCAAAAAATAGTTTATAGCTCGAGTGCATAATAATGTTCTAACTAATGATTTTAGTAAAAGTTTTTCATTTGATCTTGACTTATTTGGGCTTTTCGATATAAATTTCAAATCGAATATCTTTTTTATGCAATGGGATCACCAAATAACGAAGTTGCTCATTGAAGCAAAGTAATGCAAGCAAGAATTGATGTTATTTTCTCCTTTTTTGAATGAAATATAATGTTTTGAAGAATTAAATTATGCTATTTTATATCCATTTGTTGGGGCTAATATAATTAAATACTTATTTTTGCATTAATCTAGTAAAATTAACTGTACGTTTAAAAAAATAAACTATTCAAATCCTGGATGAGTTTGCTTGACTCGTCATGGTTCACAGACAGACCAATTCATCCAGATAAGCAGCCCAAAAAGATTCCTATGACGGAATGGGAATACCAAGAAAAACACGGCCTTGATAGCCAAAAGGATATTGATAGTGATTTTTCTGATCCATCAACTTTCTCATTTTCAAGTGATCAATCGATGGACTCGGATGGGCCAGCACCACCAAAGAAGGAAAGACCGCCATTAAATACTTCAGACCCAGAAAAATTGGAGAAGCACTAAAAACAGATTTAGATTTTATATCAACATCGCATAATTTAAGCACACAACGTAGAGAAGCTGCAGATAGAGAGATACAAGATACAATATCATCAGCAAAATATACATATTTTAACGATTTAGAAGCTGAAGCGCAATTTAGCGATCTGTCCTTTTCAGATGACTTCGAATCATCTTCAAAATCTAAAACAAATAAATACGGAATATCAGATGCACTCGAATCCGAACTTATGACCTGTGGAGTACAAAAAGTTGGAAAAGGAGATTCGTCATGCATCGTAAGAAAATCACAGTCAGCTAAAATCGATTCATCTAGCAAAAATTACGACTTTGATAATTCATCTTCGAAAATCTCAAAAATTTCGACACTGAAAACAACAGATAAATCAACAAAGACAGATAAAAATACAGATACTATATCAACAATGGCCGATATTTCATCATTCCATGATACAATGACATCAGATTTCAAATTAGAATCAACACAAGGAAAAACAAAAACAGATACAGATAAAATTAGCCCTAATAAAAGGAAATCGGTTACTATTACAGATACTCTTCAATCAACCTTAGAAAAAGCAAAAAGTAATAAAGATACAAAAGAATTTACTGATTTTAGTAGTGACACCGATCTTCTTGCCACAAATCGAACATCTACATTAGGTACAACTGATCTCCAAACGAATACTCAAACAATGGGTGATTCTCTCATGAAAAGCAACACAATTACAAAGAAAACAACAATTTCATGCAAAACAGACACATCAACAATTAAACCTGATCCAAATGCAAGTAGTTTATATGGAAGAATTAATAGTAGTCTTGAAATTTCGGATCAAAACAACAAACTTGCGAAAGAAAAATATAAGAAACAACTCGAAGAAGAAAACAGTCCATACAAGAAGATGAAAAAAGAACCAATTCCAGATCAAATCCCAGAATTCATGAAAGATGAAAGAAGAGAACTTATTGAGCGTCGAAAAGAAGAATCACTTCAACGACAAAAAGAAAGTTTGAGACGAAGTGAAGATATTTCGAAACAATTAGAAGAATCAGTCAGAAAACACGAGATGACAGATGAAAGACGTAAAGCATTAGAATACAAACCAAAGCCATTAGAAGACAAATCACCACGATTCCCTAAAGAAGACAGAACATCATTAAAGTCAAAGCGATTGGAAGAAGAAGAGAAAAAGCGAGCATCTAAACAAAGTTCTAAGAAGAAATATGAATTAATACCAGATGAATCTGATTTAATCAAAGAAAGAAAACTCAAGAAGTTAATAGGAGAACAAAAATTAGAAGAAATCGGTGAAAAAGTCCCTCCTCCACCTCCAAAAGAGAAGCATCGTAAAAGAGTTGTTATTGACGAAGATGATGTTGATCCAAGGAGGTTAAATATGAGTGAAAAAGATAAGAAGGCGTTCTATGATCCAGCAACAACAAAAGCAGCACAATTACGTAATCAAATGATCAGACAAAAGATTGTTCAACAAGCAGAAGCAGACAGAGCTAAACGAGAAGAAGAAGATGAACGACTTAGGAAGGAAATCAAAGTTGCTGCAAGGATCGAACCAGATTTGCGGAAATTACGAGAACAAAGTCAAGTTAAAACGAAAGATATTAAAGAACGTAGGAAAGAAGAAGAGGAAAAAAGTAAACAAGTTTCTAAGGAAACTCGAAAAATGCTTAAACGAGTTGAAAAGAATCCTTCATTGTTTAACAGAGAAGGACAAGAACTAACAAGACAAGAAGCGCGTCATCGAGCGAAAGTCAGCAGTGTTGTTAAGACTCAAGAACAAATGCATTGGGATACAGTCCGAGCTCGAAGAGAAGCTAAAAATGAAGAACTGAGAAAGATGTGGAGCGGAAAAATGTAATATTTTTATGTGTTTATTAAATAAAAAGATATTTGTTTATTTATGTTAAGTATGAAATGTATACACATTCTCTATATTTTGAAGGTAACTTTTACCTCAACAAATAAAAATTATTTCTCTGAAAAATACAGAGAGAAATTTAAATGCGGAACTTTGATATTTTTCCCCACACATTAGTATTTTCACTCTTTGCATATGAACTCTATATTGCATTCTGGCTTAAGAGTGCACTAGGAGGATTACGGCTTTTTAATCCTCCTTTTTTTCTAAAAATTCTTCTACTTTTTAGTACTTTCGAGCTCTAAAAAGTAGAGCTTAAATGCGTCTGCAATTAGAGCGCATTCATATCATATACCTCATTCTCCTTGAAATAAAACATAATTCAATATTTTTATTAATTCTTTTTAATTTTCCTGAGAAGTACCTTAATATGTTATACCAATCTAATGTAAATTCATATTTAACATCAAATTAGGCTTGAGAGTTTCATCAAATTAATTTTATTTTTTTTACTAAAGCAATACAAAGAGAAGTAATGAAATGATATGAATAATGATAAACAATTTCATATTTTGTGATAATATTCTTCTTTATAGCTAAATCTAAAATAGGAAACTCTGCTTCACACAGATATGATGAAAAGTGAGAAAGATTATGAATAGAATATATATTTTGAACATTATTTGTTCTAACTGATCCATATGTTTTACCTATTATTCTGTCACAGAAAGAATCTTTAACTGTAATTGAACCAGAATATTGATGATAAAATTCTACTCCTGGTCCTGTGTTTCCAAGAAATGAACAGTTTTCAATAAGAACAGTTGATCCATCTGCCCAGAATGTTACATATTCAGATTTTTTGTGTTCATTATTCAAAACATTACAAAAATTAAAATTATAGTTACCCCAATCTAATGATAAAATTCTATAATTTGATGTTGTGTTACAAAATGATGAATATGTTACGTTACTTAGACTTGTTGGTTCATATAGAAATATTCCTGAGTCATAGTTTGCTTCACAGAAACTAGTGTTGATTGATTTAACTCCAATATTTCCATAACAAAGATGATTTGTTCTAGATTTTTCTAAATTTCCGCATAAATAAAAAGAACTTTCATAAAGATAATTTTTATTATTTGATTTAGAATCTAAGGAAACATATGAATGATGTCCCCAGGAGTTTGTTTTTGATTTGTAGCCACATGTTCGGTATTGGACAATGGAACTATTACAAATAAAGTAGATAGAGCCACCATTTGTATTACTGCTGCAGTTAGTAAATGAACAATACGAGTTAAGAAACTTATTGTTTGTATTCGTAAAATAAATGGCACTATTAGTTGTAATGGTGATGAATATACAGTTATATAAGAAGCATTCATTATTCGTTGATGTAATTGGAACATTTGTACCTTGAATTGGTTTTGAATTAAGTGATGTATTGTAAAAGTGCTCCTAAACATCATCAGGTGATTGATCAAAGTGTAAATTATTCATAGTTGATGTGTGTTTTGATACTGTTATCTGAAAATCGTGATTGAATTTCATTGTTTTCATCAAAAAAATGAATCGGCATTATTTGACATTTCAATGATGTAAATGTCAAATAATGCCGATTCATTTGAATCTTATATTCAAGTTATGAAATTGCGATTCTTTTAGCTGTCATCAGCATTTTAACAGCTAGTGCATGGAAACAATGATGTAAATCATTCTAATCTTATATAAAAACATCGATTTTGCTGATTAAATTTTTGGATTTCGTAATAAAATGATCAATATTGTAAATAATTAAAGCTATTGTACTTACACATGATTTGTATATTATAAAATGTATGAAATATCGACTTAATTCGCTTGAAAATTTGAAATAGGGAGAATCTTTATATAAAACGCCTAATATCTAACAATTATTACATTAAATGAATACTTAAATTTGAGTAATCGATGATTTATATGAATTCTCTGGTCTGAATAAAGAATATCGAAAATTAGTTTGATTTTGGGGTTGTTTTGATAGTATTGTCAAATGTAATGATGTAAAAACATGAATTTATTAGTAAATACATGCTCGTGTTTGAGTAAAAATAGATATTTGTTGTTGTGAAATAAGTATTTGATTTCTTGTAAATCTTGAATGAAAACAATAAGTTCGTATCAATGGGAAAATCGAATATGTAGCTATTTAATTTGTATCAAAAGAATTTTTTAATGAGAATTTAAATTTCGAAGAAATTTGTTATGTATCGTTGAGTTTTGTAATTAAAACTGATATGTTAATGATGTGATTTGCTTTTTTAAAACATTTATTAGTCTTGATGAAATAATTTTTCTTTTAGTTAAACATTTCTTCTGAGTTTGCTAATAAAGACGGAGTCCTTTGTGAATGTGACATAGGCGCCCGAGAACCGTATGCACAAAAACTCTTATTGGGTGTCTTGTCTTTAGATATTCTTTCAAAAATATGCCAAATTTGATTGATGATTTCTAAAAAAGTAATCTAATCATCTGATGCCATTAATTGTATTTAGAAAAAAAATTCGTTCTTTTAATTTTTTAAGAGTATCACAGCAGATGATTAACTTTCCTTGATTTACGATACAACTAATTCACCAAATGCAGAAGTGCAATCGAATACAAACAATCGAATCTCCTAATTGATGAATCAAATAGTCCATTTTTCATTGAATTATTTAATCAAATCGTCTCTAATCATAGCAATCCTCCAAAATCAATCAGTAGTACACATGTTATCTTTGATCAATTCTTACGTTATAAAGAGAAGAGCACATTTATATGATCTCAAGTATATTTTTTTTTTTTTTTACAAATCTTGTCAATAAGACATTTGAAGTTGTTACCGATACAGTTACATAATTTTGAGATACAAATTCACCGCGCAATATTATTTTATTAAACTAAAACAGAGATAATTTTCTAAAAATTTAAATCATACATTGATCAGTACCTTGTAGAAGATACACATATTGATTTCAAATTCGTATGCATTGAAATGTTCGACGACATTTACACTGTTCGTTTTGAACCTATAATTATTCCATTTATAGTTGAAATGACAAAAATTTACCACATCAAGATAAGCGATGATACAATCGAATTGATCTCACATTTCAGCATGATACAAATATCAATAATATGTAAACTAAGAAAACATTATTGATATACTTAAGGGTGCACCCGTATGTACGTTTATTTGAGAGGAGGAGGATTACCCTCTCAATTTTGAGGGATTCGTTAGTTTATTTTCTCGATGAATATGCAATAAAATTTGATTTTTACCTTATCAATATACTTCATATAATATACACATGTTCATGTAAAAACTTTTTTCCAAAATCCTCAGGAATTAAGGGATTTTTGAATTTTAAGAATTTTTTTCGAATTTTTTCGAAAAAAAATATTTTCAGAACAGCCTTAACGGCTAAGATTTAGGAACAATGTTAAGTATCAAAAAGAAAGGAGGTCTGATATAGACAACATATATCGTTGAAGGTTGAAAAAATCTCTAATATTTGAGCCCAAAATTTCAAATTTTAATTTTTTGAAAAAAGAGGCCACCCGTATGTACGTTTATTTGAGAGGAGGAGGATTATATTTTTGAAAGGGTGAAACATTATGAATATGTTAATTATATAATAATATGTATTATTATAAAAAAGAAAAAATAAAGCACGTTAAAATTTTTCTTTCTTGATTTTTTACAAAATCTACTTAGAATTATGCAAAATATGACTAAATAATTATAAATTTCAAGTTAAATTTTAATTTTGATAAATAATTTAAATTTCAAAATATCAAGTTCAGTTCGACTATGTATGTAGTAATTCCTCAATAAAGTGCCAAAACCCTATTAAAATATATGAACATTTTCAACATTTTAATGTTTTTATTTAAAAATTTGATGGAATATGAGCTTCAAACAATTATTATGTAAATAAAAATAATTAAATATATGTATTTATTCGTATTACAACCGTAGTAAGTCGATTCTTCCTTTCTTCTACTGAGATTTGAATTTGATTTCGAATTGTAAAGAGATTCAAAGGGAAAATACTAGCGGATAAAAACTACCTCCATGAAAGGGTCATAATGGAGTCAAGTTGTATTTTTTGATATTTTTTGCTTTTCGAGCCTAAATAGGTAGCCAAGATAATGCCTAAAATAAGGTTCTAAATTCTGAAGTTTACATGATCCTCTCGTGTGCACCCTTAAAATACAATTATTTAATATGAAATATGAATATTTTTAGATCACTATCCTTATTTATGAATCAATTTCTTAATATTGCTCATAATTAAAGAAATATTTTTTGAAATTAATTGATTTAATAGCTTTATCTACGGTATCATAACTTTTCATATTAAGATAATTCTAATATTCTTGAATTTTTAGATTTTATTGACTTGTTCTCGATATAAATTTCAATTTTGCATGAAATATAGAGTAATCCATCAACAATTACTAAACATTACAAGATTATATGACATATTTCCCCTTATTTCCCATTTAGCAAAAACTATTAAAAATACGAAAGTTCAAAAACTGTATTTTCTATTGCAAAATGATTTTAAAGAACACATATAATTCAAATGTGAAAAGAGGTTGAAAGTTTCATATTTTTACATCATTTGAGAATTAATGTCGGTATATTGTTGTGGAGTTTTCTTCCTCTTGATCAAGATAAGGATTACCAATGCAATAACACCAATAACTAACAATCCAATGGCGATATCAAGTAAGATAATCGTCCAGTTTATCGATTTTTTTTTGGTTGACGTAATCAGTCTTTCTCAGTCCTTTTCCTGGAAGATTTCCTGTCATCTTGTAGTCATCAATGAGGAATTCACCACTATTCATAACGTATTTCATACCTGTACTTGGCCATGTCCATCCTGTTTCCTTTGTTGTATCATTGATTTCATCGAGTTTGAACATGTTCAAGTCAGCATAATTTCCAACGAAAACTTTTCCTCTGTCGTTGATTCCGAATCTATCAGCGATGAGTCCGGACATCTTGTTAACAGCTTTTTCGAGGCTGAGAACATCCAACTCCTTCACATACTTGCGGAGGAAAACAGAATGACTTGCCATGTTACGTGGATGCTGAACTGTTTTACCGTAACCTTCGTAATATACATCAGAATCAGATCCCATCATTACGTAGTCCTTTGGCATAATGTTCAGCATATCTTTTTCATTAATCGCGTAGAAGTTAGCGAGGGGAGTAATTCCACGTGCAATCAAATCAAGTGTCCATTCCAAAACTTCTCTTTCATCAGTCTTTCCACTGAGTTCTACCAAATTCTTTTCCATCATTTCGGAAGGAGCTCCTCTAGTTATGACGATTTTACTTGGTGATCCACTGGAAACCCAATAGTTGTCATAAAGAATATGCTCTCTATCCATAACTTCTCCAATAATTTTTTCTCTTAATTTTGTATCATTGATTCTCTTTGCTACATCATCAGGAGTACCTTCTCAAGCCCATGGAGGAAGAATAGCGGTCAAATCAGTGTTTGCCATTAAGTAAGGGTACTGATCAACAGTTACATCTTGTCCTTTGGCTCTTGCTTCATCAATCATTCTGATTGCCTTGTAGGATTTGTTCAAGTTCCTCTCTCCGCATGTTTTCATGTGGCGGATTTGTACTGGACAGCCTGATTGTCTGCCAATTTCGAGAGTTTCTTCAACTGCCTCGATAAAGTAGTCACTTTCGGATCGCATGTGGTTCATGAATATGCCACCATATTTGTTAACAACCTTGCAGAGCTCAGCCATCTCATGGACATCAGCATATCCAGATGGATAATACATTAAACCAGCAGTAAGGCCAAATGCACCGGCTTGCATGGCTTCCTCGACCATATCACGAGCCTTTTGCATCATAGTCTCGTTAAATGTAACATTGACGTTTCCAACGAGTAAATCTCTAACATTTGAATGTCCAAGCATTGGAATTGTATTTACAGCGAATTTAGTCTTATCCAAATAGTCATAATAGTGCTTAAATGTTGTTGGAGGATCCTTAAACCATTCAGTTACACGATCTAATAAAAGATAACTATAATGGTTTGAATTCTTGTCCATTCTTGTTGGTGCAGCAGATACACCACAGATACCTGTAACAATAGATGTGATACCTTGGTTAATTTGGAAAGTAAAGTTTGGTTCTAGGAAAGGAACTTCATCTAAGTGAGCATGAGCATCGAAGAAACCCGGAGTCAATACAAATCCAGTTCCATCGATTTCTTTTTTGCCTGTATGCCTTGTTTCTTTACCAATGTATTGAATCTTCTTTCCATTGATACCAACATACATTTCTTTTTGCGGCAATGATCCAGTGCCATCAATGAGAATCACGTTCTTGAAGAGTACATCAAATTTCTTTGATGAACTCAATAAAAACAAGAAAGAAAACTTTTTTTGTCACTTTCCAGATCACATTTGACAAAATTTTTATCGTTTTTGACAATAACCTAAAAATCCTAAGAGTTGAGACAATACAAATTTTTAAAATTTGCAAATATAACTAGACAGTCTTTAGGTTATTCTATATTATAAATAATTTTTTATTTTTATATTTTTGATGGATGTTTCAAAGACACAATTGGATGATTCTTTGAGCATTCAAGATTTTGATAACCTTGAATCAAACATCCATCAGATAATTGACAAGAAAGAAGCAATTGTTCAGGATTTTACCCCAATATTTCAATTTCTTCGAAAATTATACAAACAAACACCAGAAATAATCAACTTATTACCACATAGTGTGTACACAAAGTTCATTTTGACTACTATTCATGATATGAACAGATTATTTTATGTATGGAAAGATTTATCATTTGAAAACAAGTATATTTATGTTTCATTGCCATCGTATACCATAAATTTTCTCTTAAAACTTAAGCCAAATAGATTAGATGTTAATTTAATGCAATCTTTCTACAAATTATTAAAAAGTTTTAAAGTTAATAACGAAGAAGATTATGTCCTTAATTTCGACATGTTTTACACAATGGATTACGATGAACAAAAGTCAACAAACATTTTTATTCAAAAAGATAATAATTTTCATACTTTGACTTACGACATGATTCAACTGTTTTCAATGACAGGATTCTTTACTAAGCTAATTATTGATAGTTTTTCCATTGAAAATTCATTTGTTCTTCGAAAAATTCTTCGATTTACACTTCGCTATTTAGAACCAAGCTATCAGACATGGCTGTTCCATAAGATATTACGAAAATATGATTATTTACCTCCTAAAAGTCTCGAAAATATCCATATGTTAGGAATATTATTATTTTTCGAATTTGATACAGACAGATACCACAGGATAGAAGATCTTTACATAAGAACATGTTTCATCCTTCTTGACAGATATACAGCTGAAGTTGAGAAAGAATTTCTTTTTTTATTAGATCGAAAGAACAATGACATACATATGGCGTTTTACATCTCAAGTTTATACGACGAACTATGTAAATTCATAAAAACAGAGGAAGAATATAACTTAATTAACAGAATTTACGATATTTGTCAAATTCACATTAATTTTCACAAACAGAAGTTCCATTATGACATACATCCACTATGTGTTGATAGCACCATTGGTTTTTATAACATTAATCCTGAAACTTTAACAGATAATAGATTTTTCAACAAAAATTTCGCTTCTCACATACTTGCAGCCATGAGTAACTTCCCAGATAAGAAGTTCTCAACAGATATACTTATACAAATCATCAAAGACGTCGATTTCATTAATTTAGAAACATTATTTTCTTATTTTTCAAAAAACAAAGATCAGGCCAAAGAAGTACTCAAATGGCTGTTCGATTCTGACGACCACTTCACTTATATTCAACATATTTTCGCAATTTTGGATTTATTTCAGGATAAATCTTCTTATGAGACACAGGTTTTACTCCATTCATTGGTATTCAATCCAAACCATGCTCTGACATTAAACATCCTTCAGAAATATTTGTGGCTCCCTTTGAAAGATGTTTTGGAATATTATCTCAAAATTCCTTTGAAAAATGCCATATTTTACCACAATTTACGCATGAGAAAGATCTGGGTGGACGTAAATGATAATTCTAATGACTGTATACGCTATATCCAGCAATGTTACTATACTGCTCCGACTCCTCAAATTATTAAAAGATGCGCTATACTGGGATTGGATGAATGCATACAGGATGCGATCCAGAAATCACAAAGTATCAAATTCTTGTTCGAAATTGCTCAAACTAACTACAAAAATTTGATTTCTTTCATATCTTTTCTAAATTTCGCAGCTGTTCCAAGCGAAAACTACTTAGAAGATATCACAAAGTATCCTTATGCGTTAATAGTAACTCATTATGCTCCTAAATTCCAGTTTGAGTTCAAAATTGAAATTTTAGAAACAATGTCGCTGCCAGAAGTCCTTTATTACATAGATTGTGCATGCGAATTAGCTCCTTCGTTTGTTAAGACTATAGATTTCCCAGATTGTCAAGATTTTCCCGAACAAATTTGGTATCCAATTCTTTTTAACTACAGAATCGTTCGAGGAGAACCATTTGATGATATAATCCAAAGACAGATCCAGTTGGAACCTCTTTCACCAGTACAAGACCTTAAAAAAGTCAAAAATCAAATTCCTCATAAAATAATCTTGAAAGCGATGCAAAGCCAGAGCGAAATCATAAGAGAAAATGTCATAGACATAGCAAAGGAGATATTAACAGATGCAGAAAAGGTTTCTTTGATAGAATACGCCACATTTGAAAATATTGTTGATATTACAGATATTTCTAAGTCATGTGAAAGCTTTGATGAAGCAGCAACTAAGAAAATCAAGGAAATTATTAATGATAAAAATAATATAATCAAAATAAGGTTATTTGCTTCACTTTCTAAAGAAGCCAAGGTCAATGTTGCCTTGGATGTTATCAATTCCCATTCCATGTCATTTGATATCATCCAAAACTGCATAATCGCGTTAAATGGAGATCTTCAAAAATTAAGACAGACTCCACAGCCGTTAAACTACGATCCAAGGTCTAAAAGAATTGTTTCGGACCTCAGGATATACGCGGAAGATCCAAATGCCGGAAAAACTGCTTTCTTCGAGATAGATTCCTGCGAAAAAATTTCCACGTGGCTCAGCGAGAAACTTAACACCGATAATTCATTGAGAGTATTGTTTAGAGAACGACCATCCCGCATTGAAATTTCTTTAGGGAAAATTAAAAAACTGGAACCGACAATTCCTTTCAATTCCATATACAAATACGATAAGATCTCCATAGAAAAGTATTTTCTTATGTATTTCGTAGGAATTGAAAACGGAATTTACGTATTAAACTCAGGAAAGCCTGTTTACGCATATTACGGACTTACTTGTGAGTTTGTTGTGGCCACTGGATCTCCTCCTCCATGTTGGTCGTTCATTAACAACGAGTGTTTCTTTGAAATTTCACTTTTGTTGTTAAATCATGGTTACTCTGAGCCATTACTCACATTGTACCATAATCCTGACTTTGCAAAATACGCCTTTGATAACCATATTGATATTATCCTTGGCCATGACGTTTTGAGTTTATATACTTTGGCAATTATCACAATGGCGTCATTATATAAGCCTTACAAAGAGCTTCCACCAAGGATCATCTCATATATCATTGATTCGAACAATTTTTACCTTCCTGCCCAATTATTTTTAGTTTTGCATCCAAATGTGGCCGAAATCACTTCATTTTGGCTTTCTTTCTCAGAGACAAATATATCTAAGCACATACAGTTCTTGGATTCCTTAATTTGGGCAATTTGCGATCAAGAAATTTTACCTTTAATTGCTTATCAAATTAAGAGGGAAAGAACATTCAGAATTGTCCTTTTGGCCGTTAACAATTGTTTGCAGAACATTTATCCTGTTACAGAAGAAGATTTACCTTATTTTGACAAGATTCCACGAGATCTTGCGATAATTCACATGCAACATACGGAAGATCCAGAAATAATCAAGAAAGTTGCACAAATGTATGATGATCCAGATGATTTCTTGCTGAAAGTCAGTCAAAATATGGATAATTTGTTCAAATTACTCATATCTGAGAAAGAAGAAGATCATTTAGAAGCGAAAAGGTTGGGATCATTATGTTATCAAGACACATTGACACAAACATTGATAAATGCTGCAAATCTTTCAACAAAAACAAATAAAATTTTAATAAGATGCGCGGAAATCGTAATGATGCATCCAAACAAGATCCAAAGCGAAGAATTGTCATCAATATTCTATTTGGAAGCATCGAAACAGGCAACTTTCACTGAAGATTTTATTTTATTAAATGAAGCGAGCCAAGCATGCGGAGAACCAGCTTTAAATGCTGTTTTAGATGTTACAGCAGCTGTTATTGATAAAACTATATGGATTCCTGCACACGAAGTCGCATTTTCTTCTTTGATTTTAAATCCGAAGATAAGAAAGACAATGAATCCACAACAATTCATAAAATATTGTACGTCGATGAATACCTTCGCCCCAGAACATTCTATCGAGAGATGCGCTGAAATTTTGTTGAAATCGAACTCCCCGGTCAATCCGATCAAACCGACCTCCATGGCCCAATGGACTGATTTTATTACGTTCACTCCAAGAATTCTGCCTTATATTATCCACCAAACAAATTCTTATTATCAGCACTTGGTCAAAACGAGCCAATGGCCACTATTATTATGGCTACCATTATCAGGATTGAATCTATACCTTACGAGAATGAAAAAACCATTAACTTTGGAGTATTACGCAGAATTTATTGATAGTATGATTAAACGCGTTGGCTCTGACATGGACCATTACACAGTAACCGGGAAACAAGCATTCGAAGAGTTTGTGATCGATCCTTGTAAGAAATCCGGATTAGAATTGTCGAAATACGCCATTAGAGAGAATAACGACAATTGTTGTTACGAACTTATTTATTATTCCCACTTGGCTCGTTTCATTCCCGAACTTTTGCAGATTTTGTTCAATGAATTGTCAGAAAATCGATATCATTCATTATTACAACGCGGAAACCTTGTTTTGAAGTACTACACGCAATTAGTAATCACAGTCACTGAAGAAATGATCATGCAAATGGAGCAAATGGACAAAAAACGACTTTTATTAATTTTCAAAATGTTTGGAGACAGATTCAACGATATTACATTGCACAGAGAGTTCAACATGGAAGTATGTGACATATTATCACCATTTATTTTCAAATTGCTCAATAATGAAGTGTCATATTCAGCATTAGTCGAATCTTCCATAAATTTCATCGCTTACACTGACTTTTTACTTCAGTTCAAGGCTGATCAGATCAACCAGATACATTTCGACGTGTTAAAACGTATAATTGGACCTGATTTCAAGAGTTATTCACAAATTTCGATAAGAAGACTTGTTCCATTGATTGTTCCAGGCAGACACATATATAAACAGATAGAACTACTTCAGAAATTTGTGGATTGTGTTCCACAAATTTTAATTAAAGATACTTTGATTGATATTTCAAATTCTAAGCTAATGACTGACAGAGAAACCATTGAAAAGTATCCTAGAATGCATGACGAATTGGAAACATTCATGAGCCAGCAATCAGTTATTGATTTATTGATATAATAATATTATTTTGTTTTGTTTTTTAATAAATAGATATTTATGTACGAAATAAACATTTTTATCACTAACACAATTGTTTTCAATAAACAATTCCTAAAATTCCTAAATAATTTTTTGAATTCTAAAAAAACAAACGGCATCAATCTAATGAACGTTATAATTTTGCAAATAAAATCACATTTAATGGTATTGCATTTAATTTTCATATATTTTTGAACACATGAGCAAAATACATTTGTGTTAAGAGCAGAACAGCTTTAATGTTGCCAGATGTTTCAATGACATTTCGAAAATCAGATAAAACTGAACATTCAGGATATTGTTTTCATCTTTTTAATTAATATTTGCACCATGTGAAATAAAAACTTCAGCTATTTCTTTACTATTGAGTGAGGCTTTATGGATGGTGTTTTTTTATATTTATCATTTTCTTTTTATTTAAACGATCTGAAATAATAAGTTTGACTATTTCTTTGCAATTAAAAAATTCTGCAATGCTAAAAGCAGTTTCACCATACATAGTTTTTTCATTCACATTTGCACCATGTGAAATAAGAAATTCGGCTATTTCTTTACTTTTATGAGATGCTGCAAAATGAAGAGCTGTATATCCATAATTATCTTTTTCATTGATATTTGCACCATGTGAAATAAGAAATTCGGCTGTTTCTTTACTATTATATATTGTTGCAAAATGAAGAGCAGTTTTTCTATTTTCATCTTTTATATTGATATTTGCACCATAAGAAAGGAAATATTCGCAAAGGGATGGAATATTGAACTTCACGGAATGAATAAAGCATTTGTTAATATCATTTGTTTGATCGAAATAAACTAAAAATGATTCAAGATTATTATAATTTATGCAACAATTTAAATCGATCTCTAAATTGTATTCATTCATCAAAAATGTAACAAAATCAATGTTATGCGAAATAATTGCATATTCCATGCATTTTTTATTTGGTTTTTGATATTTCAAACATTCACTCATGATATCTGGGTTTCCTCCTAAAAATGATAATTGTAGACATGTTTCAGTAATTTTGAGTTAAATTTTGTTGTAAAAAACTTGAAACAATCAACAGCTCCATGGTAACAGCATAATTCAAGTAATGAATACTCTTCATCTTCACATGGATATAATATGCTTTTAAGTTTTTGATCTTTATCAAATCCTTCTCTTTCTGTGCATGATATGAACATTTTGATATGCTCTGTAAATTGAATTTTCTTTATGAATATCAAAATTTTCAAATTTAATTTCTTTGAAATAATCATATTTGTTTAATTTAATTTTATACTATTTATAAAATAGGTAACTAAAAGCAAGCGGAATAATAATTGCTTCTTTTACATGATAATTATCATATACGAGTTTGGCAAGATATAAATATGACTTTGTATAGCGATTGTTAAACGGAATAATATTTAATATGTCTCTTATAATATTTCTCGGAAAATGTTTCTTTGAATCAATCAATTCTGCTTTGATCATTTTGTAAATCTTGTTTAATTCTTCTTCATTTTCCGTTTTTAGCCGACACATTGAATTATATGAATCGATGTAATATTTGCAGATAGTTCTCAATTCACTGTATTTATTTGGATGAATGTCTTGATCAAACATAAGAAATTTTTTCCAGAAAAAAAAATTCCAACATAAAAATTTCAAAGTCGTATGATTGCGTTTTACCATATTAAATATACTTTAAATTCTTAAGAATTTGTTGGGATATAGATATATTGTAATAATAAGACATTATTTCAGTTTGATACCTGATGCATGCAAATTTTCAAAAGGAATTAATTGTACATGCAATATAAATTCAATCTCAATACTATTTATGGCATATGTATTGTATTAAATAAAAAAAATTAAAATTTCGAATTTTTAGGATTAGTAGTAGGATAGGATGGGTTGTGTGACTTTTTTTGTTACATCTATATATAGACGATGCATTAAAATATATTTATTTATAAACACATTAAAAAATTAACATTAATTTTAAAATAATTTATTTTTTATCTTTTATAAAAGAAGCTATATATAGATGATGTCAGATATTCCGCGATTAATTAAACATTGTTTAAATCCTGAATGGGTTAAACTTCAATTTAAAAAGGAAGACTGTGAATTATTAAATGAATATGAAAGCCAAAATAAGCTAATGAGGTATAAATATAATGATAAAGAATATTTAATTTCATGGAATCAATGGAGTCATAATCAAAGACCTCATAAACGAGAAGAAGAAATTGAAAATAATGAAATGGAAATCATTGATGACATTAAAGAGGATGGAATTCCTAAATTTTGTAGAAAAACCTTTAGAACTAAGTTAGGAGCATATAAACGTAGAGTATTAAATCCTGAATACATAAAACATTTATTTAAAAAGGAAGACTGTGAATTATTAAACGCTAATGAATATGAAAATGCTAAATCAAAATTGAAATATAAATATATTGGAAGTGATGAAAGATGCAAAGATAAAGATAAAGTTTATACAGTTTCATATAATAACTGGCACACGTTAGGGATAAGAAAACATTTAGGAGATTATGGTAAAAGTTCTGAATTCTTTAAATCTAGTATATACGAGAGAGTAAAAGAAATTAGAAATAATTATTTTCATGAGTAAAAGATTCACTACCATAATGAAATAAAAAATAAAAAAATAAACTTTAAAAATTCATGTCTCAGAATCAACATTGAACTTTAAAAAATTAATGATTATTTGAATTTATGATATCAATTATTTGATTTATTCTTTCTTCAATCTCTTCTATTCTTTTTGTTAAATCATCTATTTTCATTAATGAGGTGATTCTTGATTGAGGAATAGATTTCAAACTAACCACTCCTTTTATTTTTGAAATTTTGAATCCATCAACTTTAAACATTTTATTCAATTTACATGTTGTCAATTCTTCAAATAATTTTTTATTATTAGCATAATAGTCATTAAATTCTTCAACAGATGAAAAAATTTTTATTTCAGTAATTGGTTTAACAACGTTTATTTTTTGTTGAACATTTTCACTTTCATTTATTTCTTCCTCCCCTGTTTCATTTATTTTTAAAATTGGTTTCATTTATCATTAAATAAAAATTAGAATATAAGTGATGAAATATATTTTTTTAATTAATATTAAATCAGAAATGGCGGCAGGATTCTTTATAAAATTATGGGATGGAATTAAGAAAGCTGCGGGTTGGGTTCATAAAAAGATTATTAAACCCATTGCAAACTTTTTGGCACCAGTAGCGAAAACGGCAGGAACTATCATAGGTGGAGTATTAGGTACTAAAGCAGGTAATCCGGCGATGGGAGCACAAGCAGGTAACGCAGTTGGTGGAATTGCTGAAGGAATACTTAATAAAATAGGAGGTAGATAGTGGAAAAATAAATTATTTTAAAATTATTTTTATCTTAGTATCGGTTGAAGTCTTTGATAAACTTTTTCTCCTTTATTTAATATTTCTCTTATTGGGGCAGCTTTTGGTGTTATTGATTCAGCAACGTCACTAATTGCTTCTTTATTCTTAAATATCCAATTTGCTCCCTTCTTCAATGTTTCCCAAACTTTATGCGCTCCTCTTTTTACTTTATCCCACAGTTTCTTAAATATACCTGCAGCCATAGTTGATTATTTCATTAAAATTAAAAATTCATTTTCATCTTTTAATTTTGATTTTTTATTTATTAATAAATGACGACTAACTATTTAGTGCCAAACACCAAACCGATTAATGGAAATGTGTTTCATTCATTCGAAAAGATAAATGAAATATTCGCAAAGAATGACGGTAGAAGATATTATAGAGAACTTGAAAGTTCATGCTATGACTCTGATGCTCCATATTTTGATGATAAACAAACTCATTTAAGAATTACAAATCCGGCTCATGATGTGAACCAATTAGGTGACACATATATTAAACGCAAAGTTAAAGCAACTCTAGTTTCAAATAAAGCTTTCACATGTGATGCCGCTTTTAAATGCATGCGTTTATTCGTTGGTTACAAATCATCAAATCAAAGCTTTAAACAATTAGAAGTAGAAACCGAAAGAGGTGATGCCGGTTATCTTCAGATGGATTGCGCCCGTGAATCTTTCGCATTTGCAACATATAAACCAAAATCAGAAAGGAAAGTTAAAAAGTTTGTTCATTCGTTATATAATAATGTTCAAAAATATGATAACTCAGTATGTGGTAAATATATTGACCCTTCAGAAGTTTTCAAGAGAGCAAATGAAGAAGTTGATGTCACTTTTGATATGATTATTCCGGTAAATGATTTGTTAGCATTTCAGGCGTTCGATGATTATCCTAAATCATTTGGTGATATCATTCTTAAATATTATGTTTTCAGGGATACTTTAGTATTTTGTCAGGTTGACCCGTTAAGAGTTGCTGATTTACAAAATTACGTTTATGAAAAGATAACTGATGAAAATTATGAAAAGATTATGAATCATGTTTATAAATATGATCGCAAATTCCAACAAATCGGACTTCCTGCCAAATTAATTACAAGCTTAGCCGCTACATCTGCTGACGCAACAGTTGATGACGTTATTATTTCATGCACAAAGATGGAAGTTTTAGAGGATAAATGCATTACACCAGGATACGGTTTAATTGAAGAATCAGTTAAAGCAATACCACGTTTATTTAGTAAGGAAGATCCATTCATGATTCCAGCTCAACATATTGACGTTCGTTCACTAAATGGAGGTTGCATCACTCCTGAAGGTATTAGCTCAGATTTCTCATACGCTCTTCATAATGTTACAGATGTTGTGTTAACATTTCCGAAGAATGCAATGCAAAAAACAGTTTTAGAAAATCCAATGCTTCGAGGTCTTCAGGTCACTATAGATTCCAGAAACTTCCCCGATCAAGCGATGACCACAGTGGGCGACATATTCTTTACACGTATGCTTCAAGCTTCTGATTTAGATGGAGTGAATGAATGCACGGAAGAATACGAGGACTCATTAACTAGACCACTGAATGATGATAATGGCACGCCATTAGCTAGAACATGGAAAGACCAAACTTCATTCTTATGCACTATTCCAGTTCAACGTGATGGAGCGGGTATATTCTTTGATGGATTAGAAACTTTCAATTCACAAGTTACAGTACAAGTGAAAGCTTATCCAATCATTCAGGGTGAAAATGACACTTACTGTTCAAAGGTGACAAATCCTCCTCAGGTTTGGTTTACTAGGACTACGTATTGGACATGGACACCGGACGAAGGTTTGAAATATCATCCAACAGGTACACCACCACAGTATAGAAGTTCATATGATGAAATATTGATGAATAGAAATGTTTAAAATTATAAATTTATTTTTGATTAAATGGATTTAAATTCATCCACCCCTTATGAAGAATTAGCAGGAGTATATAATACATACATAGATGATATGATTAATGATGCATTGAGTGATAATAGAAATGCTCTATCTAAGGAAAAATTAATGAAAATTCCATATTCTGAATGTTACTTAAATTCAATCACTGCAGCAATTGGTAAACAAAATAAAGGTAAAACATTAACGATATTAAAACAGATTATCATTATTGCTAACACTTCACCCTATTCACACGTGTTAATTTATATCAACCGTTCAGGTTCACCTTCAGATGATACATTTGAATCTTTAAAGCATTTAATCAAAATTCCAATTATTTATTTATCACAAGAAGAAGCAGAAGATTATTTAAAAAACTTTTTAATGTATAAAGAATTATATAATACAATCAAGAAGCAAGGATTAGAGGATAAAATTATTGATAAACAACGGGATGAATTATTTGAAACACTTTCTATTTCAAATTTTGATAGAGAATTTTTGCATTCACTCATTTTTCTAGATGATGCAGTGAAATCAAAACTAATAACAAATGAGAAATCATATTTTAATCAGTTATTAACTCAATGTCGACACATTCAGTGTTCATTCTTTATGGCTGTTCAATATTTCAAAGCATTAAGCACAAACATTAAATCAAATCTATCAACCCTTTTCATTTTCAGTGGGTTTAGTCGTCAACAGTTGAACGTTATGCTTTATCAAGTGAATTTACCAATGAGCATTAATGAACTTTACACACAATATCAGCAATTAGGTGAACATGGAAAAATAATAGTTGATTTAAATAAAGGAAGTGTTAAATTTGATTAACTTTTTATAATTAATTTTTATTTTTTATTTATAATTAAACATGACAGAAATAGCAAATCTTCTACAGGTTCCATTAAAACAAGGGACAAACAAAAAGGGTGCATATAATAGAACTATGAAAGTTCCTGATGGAATGAAAGAATTAGTTCATATTGTTGCTGGTCTTCAAAAAGATGTTAAACAAATGAGAAACGTTTTAACATTACCAGAAGCTCAAGCATATGCCAAACGTCATGGTCCAAATTGGGAAGCACACGAAGCAGACATTACGGGTCCAAATGGAAAACCTGATGGTATAAATGAAGTTTTCGTTACTGATGGTCAAGGAAATATTAAAGTCATAAATGGTTATAAATTAACTATATCTGATTATCCTAAACGTAAAGCATATAATGAACGTTATCCTATACAATTTGATGAAAATGGAAAAGCTGTTAAACAATACATTGGAGAAGGCGAACATGGCCCAATTAATTCATACCGTCATAATCCATATTCTTATTTCAATGAAGAATTAAATGCTATTGAAGAGGGACCGCATGGATTACCACGATATTCTAACCAGTTTGATGGTCAATATGCAAATATTAGACCTGAAATTTCAGCTAAGAAATTCTTTAAAGTTGCTTTATTCGATCCAGTTTTCGCAAATGTTAAAGATGAACTTAAACAGCAATTCCAACCAATTATAGTAGCAAGAATTGCATCAGGTGCTTTATCTCAAGCATTCAAAGATTTAATTAAGAAACCATTATATCAGCAACGAGGTTTAACTTATGATTTAGTTAAGGAATCAGATAAAAGAAAATTTGAGAAATCAGATGATTATAAGAATGCAATTAATGAATATATTCGGTCTATTAACTTCTCTGAAAATGCTAAAAATCAACTTCATGAACAAATACAGGGAATAATAGATTCAAAAGTTCCAGCAAAATAAAAGTTTAAATATATTTTTTTATTCGATTATAAATGAGAAGACGTTTCACTAGTCAAAAGAACACTAACGCAAAAGCAGAGATTACGGTTGGTTATAACGTAAATGATGATAAATCACGAATTATTCAAAATGTTAAAGTTAATGTTAGCCCCGAATTAACAAGGTCAGCAACTCAACCAAATTTATTAACTCGTGACTTACCGAAGAATGAGGAGGAGCAAAATAAAGAAGATGGAGACCCAATCATTTTATCTGAACCCGGTAAAGAACCTGTTGAAATTCCCACTTATCCAACATACCCCCCACCTCTTTCATCAAACATCGAGAACCCATATAAAATAGACATTAATTCTGAATTAATGAAAATTTACCGTGATATAATAATTAATAATTATGATTCAATAATAAATTTAATTGACCAATCAGGTTTAATTATTTTACCTTATGAATCATTAATTCACATTATCGCCATTCTTTGTGATGTTCAAGATTCAGACGTTAAGATTCAATTTTTCATAATGATGAGGTTTCATGCTGCGGAACAGTTGCAAAAATAAATCCTATAAAGGATATTAGCACAATTAAGATATCAAAGAATGGAACAACAACTGAACTTCATTTAACATATAATGATATTTATAATAAAATAGTTGATGAATATAAAATATCACTTGAAAAATTCTTTGTTAAGACTATTTAATATTCAAGCATTAACATTATCGAATAATAATCCTTTGAATCATAATCGATAATAATTGACCTTTCACCAGTTTCTATCGTTTTTTTATTTCTTTTTGTTCCCCACTATCTGGATCGGTCATTGTAATTGTTTTTGTTATAGTATCAGCTTTATCTTTAACTTCAATCTTTTTTCCATCGGATATTTAAACCAAAATTCCAAAAATTCGATATTGTCAATCTGTTCATATTTTAATCTATCAATTACATTTTTAATACCATCTGAAAATCTTATGAAATGGTCATTATATGGGTTTGATTGAACTAAATTTGAATGAAGTGAAATATAACCTGTTGATGAATATGACATTGACTCATATTTTCTGAAAACACTAAAATTTATAACATGAATGAATTTCTTATTCGTTGAATTTATGAATTCTTGAGGTAATCTTATTTTAGTTTTATTTATCACTGGAAAATAACGCTTTACCATATTTTTAATCGTAATAAAAATGTCAATTATCAATATTATTTCGAATAATAACTGTGAATTAAATTTAACAGTTAGCGGAATTTATAATGTTACTCTCGTTTCTGTGAGTGGTAAATTTAATCCCATTCTTTTAGACCCTTCAGATTATATATCATTTATTAAAGATGACCATGAAAAAACGTATGATATGTATATAAATAATGTGATACGAAATGGGATATTAACATGATTTTAAGTTATTTAAATGAATCATTTATCGTATGGTATGAAGAAAATTTTAAATCAAAACCTGATAAACTTTTTGAACTTGATGAAATAAATAACCTTATTAAATTCCGCTGAAAATTAAATTTTGTACTCCTCATCTTCGTTCATTGTTGGGGATATTAAATTTTGAAAAAGATGTTGGGGATGTTTTGTATTCTGACACTGGTTCCAATTTCATTTTAATCAAATGTGATAAAGTTAATACCCCAATGAGATTTTCACATCAAACATTAGACCCTAACTCTTACCCATCAATACAAAACATTTTATCCATCAACTTAAACACATTTTCTTTATCATATCCGTTTCAATTATCCGGGAATTCATTTATTCTTCATTCAAAAGATTTATCAAATATTAAATTTAGAATAACTGACCTATTTGATTGTGATTAGAATTCATGAATGAAATATTATGGCAATTTCAAATAGAAAAATAGCTGATGAGATAACGATTAAATATTTATTTTTAAATCATAATAAATGATTAAACAACAGCAACTTAAGCACAAAGCACCCAGGTCCTTCAGACCATTACATACGCCATATATGCATATAATTCAAAGACGGCAGAACAAACGCAAAGGTTGAAATATGGAGATTTGGAGATAGTATTGAAAAATGAACATTTCGAATTCGTTGCAAAGGTGGTGCAGTGATATCAAATATAAAAGAAATTTTATTTATGAATTCAAAAATTAAAGGAATAACGGATGATATAACATCAATTCCACCAGAAGAACAGAGATATTACGCATTAAATGCATTTCCTAAAGTTTTGAAGATTGGAAGATTTAATTTAAATGAGGAATTCATAGAAGGTTTCCTAAATGACATAATGAAGAAGGCGGATAAGGAATATGTGGATAGTGAGTTAAATAAGAAGGCAAATTTGGTTTATGTTGATGAAAAAGATAATGAAATTAAAGAAAAGGTTGAATGGTATCATGAATGGACATCGGAGACTTTTAAAGTTAAAGCTGATACAGAATGGGTTTCAGGATGTTTAGACCTTAAAGCAGATTAAGAACCATACACATAACTTCTTCTCAACTGTTGCTATAGAAAGTATTGAAGGAACGGTTGACGGAACTGATGGGGATGCATTATATTATAATCCTCCTAACTTTCCACAAGGTTTAACATCGAATGAAAACATAACAACGATGAAAAAAATTAAATGTAAAAATGTTTATGTCATGGATGATGAAAATAAAGTTAAATTCACTGCTCAAGATTTATATGATAAGAAAGCAGACAAAACAGAGCTTCAAACATTGAAGACTGAAATACTTCAAACATTATATCCTGTTGGTTCTATTTATACGTCAATGAACTCAACAAATCCAGAAACGGTTTTAGGTTTTGGTATGTGGAAGCAGATTGTAGACAAATTCTTATACTGTGCTAGATATTCAAAGCAAACAGGAGGTTCGAAGAAAATTAAAGAAGCAAACCTTCCACCGCACACTCATACAGGAACTACAAACACAACAGGTAATCATTCACATTCAATAACAAAAAGAGGTTATATAAATCTTGCAGCGGGTTCGGATAGATGGGGAATGAATAGATATGATATCACAACTGACCCAGTAGATTCAAACACAGGTATTTTCTGTGGAACCGCAGGAAATCATTCACACACTTTCACAACAAATCCAACAGGCTCGGGTAAAGATTACATGCCACCATTTGTGACTGTATTCGCATGGTACCGCGTTCATTGAATGTGCTTGAGACTTGACCCAAAGGATTTAGGCTTACCGAATGAACTAAATATATTTTATGTCTGTAATTAATTAGGTAATGAACTGCGGAAATAAATGTTTACGTTAATGTTTACGTTAAGTGACTCAAAGAGTCCGGAGACAAAGTCTCATGTTTTCAGGTTATTCAATAATTAATTATTTTTGAAGAACTGAAGGTGTCACTACGTCACCATGTGTCACCAGGTTAATTAACTTCTCTGAAAAAATGAGACAACATGACATTTTGACAACAACACAGGAGGAAGGCACTTATGAATTATTTTTGAAGAACTGAAGGTGTCACCAGGTCACCAGGTCACCAGGTTAATTAACTTCTCTGAAAAAATGAGACAACATGACATTTTGACAACAGTCCTGGAAATATGATGTTTACGTTAATGTTTACGTTAATGTTTACGTTAATGTTTACGTTAATGTTTTGTGAAGAATATAGCAACCGTCTGAATTCCGGTGGTTGTTTTTTATACAAAATTCATGCAGGAAATTCTTGAGTTTTGGTTGAAAGAATACGGTCGAGCCACTTTTGGCTCCACCTCAAAACAAGCATTTTATGAGCTTACAAAGGGTGTTATAAATGAATTCAAAGGTATTTACATACATCCTGACCTCGTTCATTTTGTTGCTGAATTCAGTAAAAATATATTTAGGTGAAGAGGTGAATTTCACCAGTTTTCTCACCTAATTTTTCACCTCCTTTTCACCAGTTTTCTCACCCTCACCGCTTAGCGGCTCAGATTGCTTTTGCTTTCTCGTGAATTTTCATGAATTTCCTTAATAAAGTTAGTTTTATTTTATTTTTTTATTTTGTATAAAAGATATGATTTCAACAATCGGCACAACAACAATTCAAGCCACGAACGGCGGGACTCTGTCCACAACTACAGCACCAAACTCGCTAGTCATGAATCCTACGTCAATGTTGGTAGAGATGAAAAGCTTTATTCCTTCTTCATATACTTTTGAAACAGAAATACAAAGAATTAAGCAAGAACTTTTAACAAAGTAATTTAGACTGTAGTGCGAAAGATGAAACAAATGGAGAGGAGCTATATGAAATGCAAGATATCATAGACCATTTACCCAAATTACCGGAAGTTCAGCAACAAAAACTAACTATTCCTGAATTCGATGAAATAGAAGTTAAAGTTACTGATTCAGTAGAAATAAAGAAGTTCATACTAAAGTAAACTATGAATTCCTTGGTTTTCATTGCAACCATAAAGTTATGAACAAAGATTGCGACATGGTATATAAGAACATCTCTGACATATATAAATCTGAGGAGTTTAAGACATACGACAACTTTGTTTCATTAGTTGCTGAATGTGTATGGCAGATAAGAGATAAAGAAAAGATGTAAAATATGGAATGGACAAATAAAACCAACAACTTTTGAGTTAAAGAAAACCATTGACGCCTTAGTTGTTCTAGCAGGTCAAATTTCAATGTATAACGCAAAAATGAATCCGCAATGTTCAAAATGTAAAGCAGCAATGAGGAAATATAACTACTCCGTCAAAGAGATAGAACGTATGAGAAACGACTATGCTGACTTAAAGAAAGAATAGAGAAACCAGCAGAAGATAAAATGGACATGTTAGCATTTCTGAACAAAAACTATCCAACAGCTGACGATTTCCTTCTATCTGACGTCAAGAAGAAGTATAAAGAAACTTTCGGCATTGTTAAAACTTTGACATACTGACAGAAGAAATAGAAGCTACGAAATTGTTTAGAATTTCAAATATACATCGTACAATTCATGTAAAACGCTTATAAAATAACTGGGGTGAAAAATTAGGTGAGAAAACTGGTGAAATCTCACTTCTTCACCTAAAATATATTTTTACTGAATTCAGCAACAAAATTCTGAGTAAAATAATTTTTAGGTCATGTGTCAAACCGTTGAGTTTTCACAAAATTTAAAAAATAACGTATATCACGTTAAACGTTTGTAAATCTTGAGGGTAGAAATGAGGTGAGAAAACTGGTGAAATCTCACCTCTTCACCTAAAATATATTTTTATTGAATTCAGCAACAAAAATAATGAATTTCATTAGTTAGAAAAATAACGCTAATTTTATTTTCTAAGAAAATTTTTTATTTTGTATGTAAAGACAGTAATGTCAAACATTGAGTTTGAAACAGTTAGAAAGATTGACAATGACACCAAAGTGGTTAGAATAGGTGATTTAAACGTAAGATACTCAAAGAAATACAACAAATATTCTTTGTCAGACATTATATCTCCATCTGAAAAGAAAACAAGCGACTGGGTTAGAAATGCTTCAACTCAGAAAATTTTGACAAGAAATCCTGAGCTTATGATATCAGTAGCATTTCATGGAACAAGAGCATATCTCATTGACAAAAAGTCTTATACCAATAGTTTGTTATGGTTAGACCCAGTTGTGATATAACTTCATAACTTATGGTTCATTCGACTCAGAACGTTGCAGTGAAGGCTTACTTTACATCGTTCAGAAACCGAAGGACTTCAATACAAAGAGATATAAGATAGAAAGAACATATAATATAACTCAAAGATATGACAGTACAGTCAATAGAGTCAAGGTTGTGTTCGTTAATGATATGAGAGCTGCAGAAACAGAACTACTTGAAAAGTTTGAGAAAAGGTATGGTGCTCCCATGAAAGGTAAAGAAACGTTTGAAGTAGATGAGGTAGATAAAGCTATAAAATTATTTGACGAAGTTGCTGAAAAATACATGTAAAGCGTTTATTTTTGGTCTTTTGTGAAAGTCAGAAAATAAAGTTAGTTTTAAAATTATTTTTATTTTGTATGTAAAGACAGATATGTCAACATCAGAGAACACAACAACTGCTATCGTTCATGAAGCTATAAATGAAGAATACGAGTACATACAGTATAACAAACAATTGAGACCCATTCGTTCAGTCAAAGATGACATGTACCAAATGCAAAGTATAATGAATGCTCTTCGTTCTACAAAGCAAGCATATCATTGGTTTGAAAACCAACAGACAAAAGAACTTTTAGAAGAATTTCCTCATATGATTGCTTCCCTCGGAAAACCGAGAGAAGAGATTCCATTCGAAAATCGCAAGAGGTTAGATCTACCCTTCTACCCTAAAATATATTTTTGTCTGATTTACACTCATTACGATGAAATCATGACAAAACGTCTACCCTGTCAAAATTGAAGTTGGAGACAGAAGATACGTAGTTTTAAGAGTTAATGGTAAATTCAAGGGTCAATTTGATTACTTCAAGAATTTAATGGATTCATGCACAAAGGAATTTTATGATAATTTACTGACGTATTTTATGCAATATGACCTTTCATCATTTAATGTACGAATCATACCGATGACTGAAGCCAAACAAGATTTAATTGAATTATCAACAAATCCTTTAGATGTATGGATAAATACACATTATGATGAATTGTGTGCAGGTATGACGTGTGAAAATGCTCTATTCTGCAAACCATCAGACATGAAAGACAAAAACTTTCAAATGAGCATTAAGGATAAATGTGATAGGAAACATAGAAGAATAGACGATAAACAAACATGGTGTTATGTTTTGAAAGAAGAAATGAAAGGATTATATAAACAGGTTGAACCAAACGATAATGAGGATTCATTTACTGACGATGAAATACCTGTAAATGATGCTTTATAAAGTATGATTGGAATTTATTTTTGCATTAATCCTGCTGTGTTGTCAAAATGTCATGTTGTCTCATTTTTTCAGAGAAGTTAATTAACCTGGTAGCACATGGTAACATGGTAGCACCTTCAGTTCTTCAAAAATAATTAATTATTGAATAACCTGAAACCATTAACGATAAAATAACTGATAACAAATTTTTATTTTTATCATAAATGGATACCCCACAAGCTCAAAATTTACCACGAATCATAACAAGGGAGGAAACGATAAAAATGATGCGAGAACTTGCTAAAAATAACAAACCACTAAAACTGAGAAAATGTGGTTATGCAGTAATGATGGAAAGAGAGACGTTGTCAAAGAGGAATAAAAATTAAATTTGGATAGAGTTTAAAAATTCATCTTTATTAAATTCATCTCTTCCAATCAATTTATTTATTCTATTAAATTCTTTTATTTTTGCTTCACTCAGTTTAAGGATTGAACGATAAGTTTCTAATTTTTCGATTATTTCTTTATCGTTTTCAATTACTTTAGTTTTATGGGCATCAACCCCACCACATTGCGGCTTCTTTTTGTAATAGCATATTTTTGATTTAATTCTGTTTAGTTTCTTTTTATATTCATCGTCTGGACTCTTGGCTGCTTCGTTGTCACTCATTTCTTACGAATTAAAAAAATTAAATATTATTTAAATATAATGGAGTAATAAAATAAATTGGAATTTCTATTAATTTATTGTCAACTTCAACTAATGCATTGCCGTTAATATATCTAACAAATTCAGCTATTGTGTCAAATCTTCGTCTTCTTTTTGTCATTGATTTATCAGTTTTTCCATAATCGAGATGAATCAAAACTTTATCCCCTTGTTTAAAATTCATGAGCCCCGAATTAATTTTCACGTTTAACATCATTCAAACCTTTCCATTTGCTTTCTAATATATTCCATTCTTTTGAAATATCATTTTTCATTTCCACTGGTTTCATGTTATTTTCTATGCCATGTATTATTGTAATAATATACTAACTGTTGTATGATGGAGTCATGATTTCCATCCCAGTATATCTGACCGTTAACCCCTAACGCATCTCTAAGAGTTCTCATTACCGCATCAACTATTTTATTATGAAACGTATATGGAGAGGATGAAAAAAAAAATTAATTTGTGGGAAATAATGAGCCATAGCTGCCTGAAATCCTTTATCACCATCACCCCTTATATTATCTACTCTTTCATGATCTAGTAAGTATTGTATAGCTCTTCTTGTTTCCTGTTCTGTTTTCCCTTTCACTGGAATGCAATATAAATATCTAGTGTTAATGTTAATGGCAAAAAATAAGTAACGTTTCCTTTTGAATATTCTAAATGATCGATTTCGTATGAATATGGATATGGAGCAAATAAGGTCGACTAAATTTTTCCTTTAATGGTTGAATTTTTGGGTCAGTGTTTATTTAATATTTTGAAATCCTTTTTTAAAATCTTTTTGTTTCTTTAATTTTGAAATGGATATAATAAAGTGAATGATGAAGGATTAACTGAAGGAGAGGTACTGTCGTTGGAGGGTTTAGTGTTGCAGGTGGTTTAATTTTATCTGCTTTGATTTTGGATTTCATTCTCCTTCATTAATTCTGGATGTATTCTATTCATTTGTTTTAAATATGCTGTATATAAAGGTTTATATACTTTCCTGCTTCGAGTTTATGTTGAAGATGAATTCCAAAAGTTGATCTTCATTTAAAAGTCGGGCTGAATATGGTTTAACTAATGAATCATAAATTAAAGCTTGTGCTTCATTTATGTCTGAAGACCTGGGTGTTTTGCACCTTTTGTTTTTGTTCCTTTGGTTTTTGCGGCTCAGGATTATATAAATTATAATTCATCAATATCTTCTTCTGTTAATACTTTATTTTTGAAATCTTTCAATTGTTTAAGTTGTGATTTAGTTTTTCCCTTATATTCATTATTTTAATTTTGTCTTTAATTTTAGAAATTATTTATCATGATATTTCAAAACTTCATTTTTATAATAGAATAAAAATCCCATCATCATCTCCCGTTATATTGTTATTCATGTTTTTGGAGATATATTTTAATTCATAATAACTAAGAAAATTTTGATTAAATACTAAATCATCAATTAAAATTTTTAAATCTACGTTATCCATTTATATAAAAATAAAATCAATGTTAAGGGTGCCCACCTCTTTGAATCATAGTATCAAAACCATCATTAACGGTTCCTTTTGTCTCTTCTTGGCATTCATTAAAAAATAAAATTTTAAATTGTATTAAATAAATGGCATACAAATCCATTTTCACAACATACAGCCTTAGTGTTGCTCCTGTTAATGCAGTCTTACCAATTGTTAAGCGAGTCATTGACCCATTTTTAAGTTGTAAATTAATATTCTGACCATCAATATCAATTTATCATTTTTATATCCAAATAATTTTTAGGTGTTAATTGTTTATTTTGTCGTAAACTAACACCTTTCATTTTTGTGCAATCTTTTTAAAATCACTCCATCAATTGAACCATTGAATGATGTATAACACTTAGGATAAAGCAACCATGTTATCACCTTGTTTCTCAATTGCTAACCCAATAACTTCTTCTCATGTGCTTTTCTTCAGCTTTATTCTTTAATTTAGTTTAAATTTCTCATCAAAACAGAAGAAATCAAATGGTGCGAATTTGAAAATGTTTTTATCATAAAATTGTTTATCAGTAACAATCGCTTGAAATGCTTGAGTGTAGGAAGACTTGGATCGCCAGCGATTGCCCAATAAGATGAATCAGTATCACCTTCAATGAAATGAAAACGATTAACATCATGCATATACTACTAAAATCATAAATGAAAACCAAATACCAGTATTTAGCATTATCTAAAGTGAAGAATGCCTCTTGAAACATGTATCACATCTATAAAATCTATCTTTAAGCATCACTTGATATGTATCCTCACCTATTTCTCTTATGTTTTTAAACTTATTTGGACATACATGCAACGCGTCCTTCTGTGCATTCATTATTTTAGTCTTTGCGTAATTTTATGTATTCATTGCATCGTAACCATATGATCCATTAAGTGAAATCTTGCAAAATAAATTTTCCTTTATTTCCTTTCTAATTCAGCCTTTGTCTTTCGTTCTAAATTTGTTCGCAAATCATTAAACAAGGTTTTTCGTAAATGTTAAAATTGATTGATATCATCGATGATAAAATGAAATCTGTCTATAGATACCAAAGATAATAAGAAGAAAATGGTTGATATTGGTTGTGTGTTGATGCTAACTGAGTTAATTTTCTCTGTTTTCTGGTCAACTGTAGTTGTTTGATTTCATGTAATTATACATAAAACTGCCAATTGTTTTTCATCTGTGATAATATCTAAGTTTCTTATTATCGGTAAAAAGTTTATTAATCATTAATGTATTTTTCATCAATGTGACCCTTTACTTCAGCCACGAATAAAGTATTTTTTTCTTAATTATTCCCAGTGCTTTTGCTTCTTGTTGCTGTATCACAAATGATAACACCATTCATCTTCCCGGCATATACATTTTATGTCATGTCATATATTGAATGAAATCATGAATTAGATGAAAATGATGAAGGATATAATGAATTAAAGTCAACTCCAACGAAATGAGTCATATGTTGGAAGTGTCTCATTTGATACAGTTTTAGTTTCTGGACTATATGAAAGTTTATTAATGTGCGTGATTCCTTTAAGATTTACTCTATGTTGAACATTTGATAAACCACCAGTAATTCCATTACGGAGAATGTGATAAGCTTCAACTGAATCTAAAGTCATTGGTAAATTATTTTTTAATGCATAATTTCTTAAATTGATTCTTAAACGTTGAACATCTCATCTTTATTGATTTTACGACATTGCCAAATAACAACACATTAACTGACAATTTTCTTTTGGTATGTGGTTTTTCATATCGATTCTATCCAATGTTGGTTTATTTGCATTATGTAAACGCTTTACCACACTTTTGCATTTAGATGAAAGGATTAAATCGTGATAGTGTTTGAAAATCATCCATTGAAACATTATTTTAGTATCCCTTTCTGTTTTCATCTTGTTTCTTATATGATTCAATTTATATTTCCAATACTTTTCGTTAATTCAAAACTTGATTCTATCTCTTCCTCAGGATATTTTTCATTAGATTAAAGTCTTTATATGCTAAAGCGTAACGAATCATTGAAGCATTCGATGATAAAGAAAGATTATGAAGCGTGTCAATTTTATAAACAAATGTTTCTTCAATAATTTTATCGATTGGGTCAATCTATTTCAACATCTTTATTGCAATAATGAATAAATATTCTAATCTATTCTCAAATTTTAGCATCATTGAGATATATTTGATAATCACTATCTGATTATAGTTTCTTGAGTTAATGCCGAATAAAATGAATCTTGAGTGAATGGTTCCACTTTATATAATTCTTCTTCGTAATTTTCCCACGTGATGAATTGATAAGGGAAAAAGGATTTAACGAGTGATTATTGTTTCCGAAATCTTGAGTGAATTGGTCTAATGTTCCACCCGCTATATAATTTCTGATGTCAATAAATCTCAATTCATATGGAACGTTTGTTTTCTTACAATGATTTGCTTTAAATTGTGAAGATGAACCCAGCATTGATTTTTATTTTCCATTTGCAGTGTTTAAATCACGAAGAATTAAATTTAAATCAAACTTTCCCGAATTAAAACCTATGATATCACTTTATTGAATTCCTCATCTAGAAGTTCTTTAAATGCTTCCTTCTGTTTTTCATTTAATGTATGGACAAAGTCCCGCCGTTTGCGGCTTCAATAATTCTTCATATTGTTCAATATTTGATTTAGCAACTAATGAACAGTTGAAAATAAAAACTCAATCCAATCAGAAATAAAAGAATCACTCGAAGTTAAGCAAAAATATCTCGTATGTTTTTATCGTTAATTTAACCGTTGATGATACCATGAATGGTTTTAAGTAAGCGTTCAAAGTTGCACACTCAGAAAGTTGTAATTCTTCTTAGTCTCTAATGTTTCAAAGTCAAAAGTAATATAATATCTTGTCGGTTTATAATATTTCTGCAAATTGTGAGCTAATAACCACTGATATATCTTCTGTTTCGTAATATGTGGTGCATATGGTTGCTGGTCTTTTGCAATTGAACGTCTTGAATTAATCTTCCATTATTTTCTTTACATTTCTCACAATGCTTTAAAAATCTTCTTTGGTTTTTCCTTTCTGGATCATCACGGATAGAATAAACTTCTTCTTTACAATATGGACAAACTTTATAGCCGGTGAGTGCTTCAACGTCTGTTATTCTGTCAGCGTGAAGTTTTCCACATGGACTCTGTGTTAATAAAATATTTACTGTTTCAAATTCTGGATCTATCATTATTGATTCCACTAATGGAAAGTCTACCTTATTTATGTCCACGTCTTCTGGTTGAGGATCACAATAATAGAAATCAATATTAACATTTAACATTCTCGCTAATCTCTCACTTTCTGATGAAATGTCAAACCCTTCATATGCATCTATTGCTTCATTTAAATAGCTTCTACGAGTTTTAGGATTAACACCATCAGGAATGTTATAGAAGCGTTTAAATAACCTTCTACCTTCTGCTCTAATTTGATTATCATTCATTTTAGCGTTCCGTTTTTGTTCATTTATGTAAGAATAAAAAAATTAAAAAATAAATAAAAATAAAGTTTATTTTTTAAAGCCCATAAAATGAATTAAGAACACATAAATTTTTATCATCTGCGACGTGACGAATACATTTTAATTTACTCAAGAATGCGTACCCTGATACATTAAATCTAATTCCTGTCTTATTTAATTTCACAACTTTGAAAAGGAATGTATGAATAGCTATAAAATGATGAGAAGATGTTTTATGGGTTGCTTCCATTTTTTCTGAAATAAATGAATAAATATAATGTTTATAAGTTTTCATATCTTTTATGTTCTTAATAACGAATGGTATAGACCTTTCAACTTCGTCTTCCTTCGGTGCTGTTCTTTCATATGAAACATTATTGGTATCTTCAACAATGAAACCACAATCACACAAAATTTTATAGGTTCCAATGGTTTCTTTTGATATTTTATCTAATAAATCAAAAATTTTATCAACACCTGTGCATTTATTTAAATAATAATTTGTGTAAATATCATGATCTTCTTTCTTAATCGTATTAGTTGCATATGTCACATTTTTAAGAGCTTTTTTGAATTTCTCAGAATCGAGAGGGGGTGAAAGTAGGATACAGGGGTATTCTTCATTATCAATAAATTGTAACTTATGTTTACGTATAAATTTAGTACCTTCTTCTGAAAGTGTTTCGTCTATTTCACCATCTAATAAATTTTGTGTTGATTCTGAGACATAATTTTTATATCTTTCTTCATGAGATTTCTGAACTGCTGATTCTGAAGCTGGGATATTCATTAAACCCTCTACTTCATTTTCATTATATTTTTCAACTTCTCTTAATTCCTTAATTTTTTCATCTATTTCATCTCTTATTTTTTTCAGTCTTTCAATTTCATCGTATTCATCATCTTTAATCCGTTCTTCATAATATTCAGGGAAAACATCAGGTTCTTTAGGTTTTTCTTCTTCAGATGTGGGATATAAGAAATTTATAACATCATCTTTATTCATTTTTCCATCATAATCTAAATCATTTAATAACTCCGCGAATTTTTTACAATTTCTTAAATAATATTTATCAACTTCATAACACATCTCATCTAATATATCCTTTATTTCCTCGTTTGTGAATCCTAATTTTTTAACGTCGTTAGTTTTGACGCTCATTTCATACAAAATAAAAAAATAAATTATTCAAAAATGTAAGACATGAATTTTTAAAGTTTATTTTTTTATTTTTTATTTCATTATGGTAGTGAATCTTTTACTCGTTTATGAGGTCTTTGATTATGACTCCATTGATTCCATTCAGGATTTAAACAATGTTTAATTAATCGCGGAATATCTGACATCATCTATATATAGCTTCTTTTATAAAAGATAAAAAATAAATTATTTTAAAATTAATGTTAATTTTTTAATGTGTTTATAAATAAATATATTTTAATGCATCGTCTATATATAGATGTAACAAAAAAAGTCACACAACCCATCCTATCCTACTACTAGGATTGACGAATTTTAATAAACTTAAATTCAAGTATTCTTTTTATTATGATGTTCTTTGGATTCAAGCTTTGATCTTTTTAAATTCTTCGATTTCGAATTCATTATTTAATAATTTTTCCCAAACACGAACTTGATAGATTCCGCCTGATGTTTTGATCTTTCCTTCCCATATTGTTCCAGAAACAATTTGGGATGTCATTTCCAATACTTTAACAAACTTGATTTTTGTATTATTCTTCTTATTTTGCTCTATGACAACTCTACGCATCAAAGAAATTAAATCTTTATCATTCAGATCTTTGAATGGGGCTGCTCCTCCAGCAGCTGTCTCATCAACCATGAGGAATGGGATGAAGAGCATCAAGAGTGGAATCATGATTTAAAAATGAATTGAAATTCAATCTGCTTACAATTTTGAATTTCTCTGTCAAATTTAACTGATTCTCAATTTTCAAATAAATTATCGATTCCGATTAGGAGAAGATGATATATTTAAAATATTAGTAAACAAATAAAATGCATTCTTAGTTTTTATTAGATTCATCAAATTTACACTCATGAAAATTCAAATTAAAACTGACATGTTGCTACATTTAAACTTTTTAATGCATATGAGTTATCATGGATCAAGCAAGAAGAATTCATTATTATTGACAAAGTTCCGATCATCTTTTTTATTTTTTTTCTTTGAGATATGGATTTGATATCTGAACAAGTTTATAGATTGCTTAACCATTCTATACTTTGATATTTCAATATCGTATTACTTCTTTCAAAAGTTTCCGATAATTTTGAAAAACCGATAATTAATTCAAATTTGAAAACGCGACTTTTGAGATTAGAACAAAATTATAAAGTCTTAACCCAATTCAATTCACGATTTTGACAATTCTTTTAAAATCGTGATATACATTGAATAGGGAATAAAGACTGCCAATTTTAGCAGACTGTTTCAGAGGATTGAGTTTCACTCAATCCTCTGAAAAGTCTGCAAAAATTAGCTAAATCATAACCCATTATTCATCGCTAAATTTTAAAATATTTAAATATGGAGCTTATATAGAAATGGAATTTTAATTTCTTATCCTAGAGGATTGAGATTCTTTTAATATAATATCATCGAAAAGAATGAATGCAAATTTATTATCAATACATTGAATTTATATTATTATAATAAATGTGATGTATTATCTCAATCAATATCAATAAGAAAAATGATGTCATGAAAATGACATTGATTCATAACATGATGTATTCATAGATAATACTAAATCAAAAGAGCTTTCAATGCATTTTAGAAAATATAGTCGAACTGAATATTTTAATAAAGTTTATTTGAAATAAAAACTATTGCAATTAGAAAAATCTCAATTGCAAAAATGCAAAATACTATAACACTTTTTTGCTTATGAACATCTTATTGATTCTATTTCTAAACAATAAAAATGAAAAATTGACAAAAAATTATATTATTTGGTCGCAAGAAGAATTGCATGATAAATAAAAACATTTAATCAAAGTCAATTTTATTTTTCATATTCAAATGGACTGAGTGTTAACATTTAACATTTTTTGCTAATTGTCGTCAAAAATTAGGCGTAAAGCAAAAATTGATATTTCATATGGTTTTATGATAGATAAGCATTATATTCCCACTCATTATATTCGTAAATTTTGAGGTTTATCCTTCGCTTTTAAGATCATTGAATTTGATTTTTATATAAAATAGTTATATATTAGAAAATAATATGAGTTTATGTGATATTATTTTTCAGAAGATTTTGTGTTCTTCTTCAAAATTTTATTTTTTTATTAAAAAGAATCTTTACAAAATATACATTTACTTTAATTAATATTTAAAAACGTGCTCTATCAAAAGTTCCAAAAATTCAATATTTTAGCTTTTCTGAGGTGTCACTTTTGATGAATTTCTGTTTACAACAGTGTTTCCATGAAAAAAAAACATGATACATTTTCTAGAAATTAAACTGTTATTATGCATGACAAAATTATCTAGGTAACATTAATCTTAATGAGATGAACAATATGGAAACAAAATTAACTAACATAAATAATTCAAAATAATATAATTAATAATTTTTTAACTATTTTAACCTGCATCATTGACAATCAACTCAATATTGACATTGTTGTTGATTTACTATATATTTCAAAAAAACTCAATCATCTTTTTAAAACTCAGTATGCAATTTGTATCACAAACAAATACAAATTGTGAAAATGTATCTTGTAATTATTAATAGTAAATATGTAATTTTATTCGCATCAACATAAAGTTTGCATTCTTTTTGTAAACAGTTAGGGACTTCTTGTCTAATGCAATCATTCTTTATGTAGAAATATTTTTTAAATGAAGAAGGTCATTATCAATCTCAATCTCGATGAGTGCTTCATTAATTTTTTTAGATAATTAATCCCTTCAAATGAATGATTATTTCGTTTTCTTTTGTTTTAATTCGTAGTATCTTCACAACCCAGATCCAAATGGCCATGCTTGACTGATTTCCCATCTTTATTGATTTAACGAACTTTACTTATTGCAGGCCTCCTAATTTTTTAAAACGTGAAGGATGTATGATTAATTACTTAGATCTTTATGTCATCTCCTTCAATTCTCATGATTAAATGACTCTTCATGACTGCAGCTTTCTGTGAAAAATGAATCAAATCGGTCCAATTTTTTTTCTTCCGATAAATTTCTGACAGAAAGAGTTTTCGACTATAAAAGTTTAAATTAACGTGGACCATGGACAACTGACCTTGTATTTGCAACAATCTTTCCATTCTTATAAACATAATTAGTATCGAAATTAGATCCGAAATAATTATAGTTCATAGATCGTAGTTCTTCATTAGTTTTCACTAAAGGATCAGCACCTTTATTGAATTGGTGTCTAACATGGTCAATGTGATAAATTGGAGGAGTGACACCAAACAAAATCGTTAAAACTTTGTAATTTAAGTATCCACAAATCCAATTATCCCAATTATATCGACCAACAAGGAAAGGTGGAATAACATGCGGATTAAATGGCATAATATCTTTTCGAAAAGTAAAAGTATCGACTCCATATATCATTAATAAGAGCATCTGTTTTGTTCAGGAGGTCTTTTGAATAAAAATCCCAATTTTCAATTGCGGAGGGATCTAAATAAAAATCGATTCTTTGATTAATTATTAGTGCCTTTTTGTTGCCTATTAACTTAAATGCTGTTTGTATTGCTGGAAACCAGGAACTTGAAAGTAAAATATCTGTATTTATAAAGCAAACGTATAATGTTTCTGCATCTTCAAATCCTTTTGAAAACCATGAATCAATATATGGTATACCTGCATAATTATGCCTTAGTGTATCAAGAAAACTTAATCGACCTTCCCCGAATTTACTTTCAATTTCTCTTTGAGTATCACCTGACGGATCAAAATTGCTTGAATTCATGTATGCTATTATTCTACTTCCATTTGAAGTTGCTAACCAATTACAAAATGCAAATTTATACTTTAATCTATCTTCATCTTTCTCTACTTTCTTAGGAACAGTAATATATGTAATATCATTGACTGTGTTGTACTTTATTATGCTGCTATTAGAACAACTCGGACAAGTATTAACTCCAGTACCATATTTTGGAGAGAATACTACGCTGGCAAATAGTGATGATATCATTATTGCTAAAAGCAATATTACCAGCTTTGGAGGTGAGTACCGAAGAGGATCAAACAAATTGAATAAAAAGTGACATTTCTCCATATCAAAAATTGAATAAATGATTGATTCCAGCTTCAAACGAATGAGTAAATGAAACAAAAATACTAATTCTGTATACTACTCATAGTTGTTTACCTCTATGACAAACATTTTCATAGATATAAACCTTTGTATCTTCATTTTCATCTTTTGAATATTGAATTCATTCAAAATTATGAAAATTATATATTAATGCTCATAAATACTATTGGAATATGAGATGGATAGTCTGTCATATATCATAAACAGTTGCTTTGATCAAAATCTGAAAATGAATAAATTAATTCAGGGCAGAGAGATGAATTTTATGAGAGAAAATAATTTCATTACTTAAATGAAGTCAATTCCTTAATAATGATAAATTCGTTTTTTGATAATTTAGAATTTTTAAACGATTATTTTGAGGCATGAGCCAAAAAGATCAGCTTCTGAGTAGGCTTTATGCTAAACCAGTAGCATCAAAGGCTCCAAAAGGTCTTATTCCAAAGAATCCTGATCAAATTTCACCGACATTAAAAACATCTCGATTAGAAAATAAGACAGATACCGTTGTTGTTCCAGGCTTGCGCATACCTGAAGATATAAATTCACGAACTACAGGTGGATTACCAACAGGTACATCAAGACCTGCAACAGCAACTGGATATCGCGCTCCACCAACTCCTCTGACCGCAAATTCTACAATGTCACGACCTCCAACAGCATTAAATTCAGTAAGATTCGGAAATACGCCAAGAACACCTAAAACTAATGAGGCAATTACTCCATCACTTGCGTTATCTGGGGTTAGCATTCCGCATGAGACGCCTGTTCAAATACCAACATCACGAGCACGTCCTCGATCATACATATCTAATGATGTTAGGCCTTCAACTGCATTAGATAGATCTGATTCGAAATACTCTCGATCTAATGTCACATCAAAAGCAGCATCAGCTCGAAGACCAGAATCGTCTTTTGCAACTTCATCACCTATTTCAGCAAGAAGAGAAAAGCCAGAATTTACAATTCCAAAGACAGCTACACCTCAAGCTGAAGAGCCAGAAGTACCATACACTCTATTTAGACTCAAAAAATCCAATAATGTTGCTCAAATTCCGGATGATCTTGAAAGATTCAAGATGGATGAATTTTACACAAGCGCAATCTCAGACGATTTATGGAATGATCAACGATATATATTTTACTATATACGCCTTATCAAGCAAAAGAAACTTGATGAAGAATTTTTATACTTCCATTCAACTCCTCCGACTGCAATAGAACCAGAAAATGTTTATTTCCTAAGAGTTACAAGTCCAAACGTCGTTAATTGGCAAAATTATTATACTTTATCAGCAGATGGTGTTACATCTTACAAAGGAGGCAAGGTTGAGTTTACAAAACTTGCACAGTGGGTAAGAGAATGCACAATATTCATACAAATCAAGAACCAAAAGTTCTTCCATCAATACGAAAAATGGAGATCATTTACGTTATTAAGAACAATTACTCTTAAGCACGGAATTACTCATTCACAGACAAAGATGTCATCCGAACTATTCATTGTCGATGCAATTTTACGTCATGCAGTCTTAGATCTTCAAAAAGTTTGCAATCAAGTTTTATATCAGTCTCTTGTTGATGTAAAATCTAGCCAATCACTAACATTACAGCAATTTGTTGATAGGCAAAACGAACACCTTGAAAAAGTTAGAGTTATCGTTACAGATTTAATCGAATCTGCCAGAACATCAATTGTCCACGCTTGTGATGTAACATATGAAGCGACAGGTTCATCACACGACTCTTTAAAGAAGAAGCAAAAGAAGAAAGAGAAAAAAGAAGACGATACAGAAGAAGTTAAGCCTAAAAAAGTTTCTGCACAAGCAAAGAAAGAAAAACCAACAAGAAGCTCAGATATGATGGTTTATACACAACTTGCTACACAAAGATTCTGCTACAAGAGGCTTTCAAGGTTCATCAGATTATGTGATTACATGTTAATCCATTGCTTGTATTCTTTTGTTATCAAAAGTATTACAGAACTTGTAGACTTCCTTGCACCACGTGCAAATAGCCAAGGAGGTGATATAACAAGGTTATCAATTAATATGATAATTGAAGATCAAAAATTAGCTTTCAGTCCTAACCTCGAAACAACAAGATCTCAAATTATTGAGGTCTGGGAACTTCTTCTCCAGTTTGCTTTTTCAATTCCGACATTTTCTGAACACGCATCTCTTTCTCAGTATTATGCAGCGTATGGATGGAGTGAATATGTTGTTCCTTTATCCAAGATCATGCATAATTCATTGGAATATAGAGAGCTCAGTACAGAAATGATCACAAGAATAGAGAATGCATATAGTTTGGCAACGAAGAAAATCGAAGATTATGTTCCATTTCTTACTGCTTATTTCGAAAATGTCGAATTCAATGTTGATAAAGTCAGAGCAGAAGATCCTAAAGCAGATTATTACAATGAAAAAATCGAATTATATAGAAAGGAAATCAAAGAAATGGACGCTTTGGAAAGAAACACACAAGTTGATTTATTACTTGTCATTCTTTCTCAATTTTGTGATAGAATTAAACCAAGTCCTCGTCGTTGTTTACAAGCACTTAATGCAGCAATCCCTGTTATTGCTGAAACAAAAGTTACTGCATTACAAGAAACAGTTGATGAATCATTACGAACTCTTAGAAATGATCCACAAACAATCCATGTTTTCGTTTCCCAACTTGAATTCAGAAGACAAACATCTAAAAACATGGAAACAATAAGACAAACATATAAAGAAATCAGTGATTTCTATGCTTTGATACAGAACCAATCAATTACTGTCGCTGATGATCAAGTATTGAATTGGAGACAATTAGGACAATTCATACAACAACTTGAGACATTGTTACAATCAATGAACGAAGAAGAAGACAACAAGATCAAGAAATGGTCACCAAGCATTGCACAATTGTTATCAGATTTGTCAAAGGAATTCGTGGAAATGCATTCCAGTCTACAAAACGAAAAAGTTATGTCTGTCGATGCATATCCACAAGATAACATCCAATATTTGTCGAAATTACAGACAAAATTGGACGAATTAAGAGACAGATCAGAAGAAATTCAAAGATATCAAAGATCTCTTCAAATCAAAGTTAGTCCTATTGACGAACTTACACAAATCACACAAGAATTCAATGTCAGAATGTTGCTTTGGACATCATACAGAGATTGGCAGATTCTCACGAAGAAATGGTTGCCAAGTCCATTCAAGACAATCGATGTCGAAAACATGACAGAAGAATTACAAAAATACACAAGAATTTCAATGCAAATTACAAGTGGAATGCCAAATCATCCTTTGGGACCAACATTCAAGGCTTCAGTCAATTCATTCAACGAAATACTTCCTGTTATTGTCGCATTCACTAATCCAAACTTGACACCAATGCATTGGCAAAAGATAGAATCATTAACAGGAATTCAACGTCTTAATGAAGCGACATATTCACTTAATTTCTTGATTGATAAACATATTTCTAGTTTCTCGGAAAGCATCGAATCAATTGCGAACGATGCAACAAACGAAGCTGCTCTTCTCAAGGCTTTGCGCGAGATCGAAGCAACATGGGACAAAGTCGAATTCACAATGGTCCCTCACAAAGACATCAAAGACTTTTATCTCGTTGGATCTCTCGATGAAGTTATCGCTTTACTCGAAGAATCACAAGTACAATTATCTACTATCAGATCATCAAGATATGTTGGTGCCATCAAATCACAAGTTGATGATTATTCAAAGGCTATGAATGGTCTTGCCAAATGCCTTGATTACATCACACAATTCCAAATTGCTTTCAACAGTTTGTCAAAAGTTTTCAGTTCATCTGATATCCAACGTGAATTGGCAACAGAAACAAAGGAATTGTCAACAATAGAAAGACAATACAAGGCATGGGGTTTGCATGCAAGAGATTCTCCAAGAGTTTATAAGCTTTGCGCAAACCAAAAAGCCGTTTCAGTGTTCGAAGGATATATCCAGAAAACAGATGAAATACAAAAAGCTCTTGAAGCATTCTTACAGAAAAAGAGAACAGCATTTCCAAGATTTTACTTCCTTTCCAACGAGAACCTTCTCAAGATCTTTGCAGAAGCAAGAAATCCAAAAGCTGTTCAACCATTCTTACAAAAATTGTTCGAAGGCATCCAAACATTACGGTTCTCCGCAAACTGCCAAGATATTTTGTCGATGACTTCTGCGGAAGGAGAAGTTGTCACATTGACAAAGACACAAACTCTTGGTGCAATCGAAGGATGGATGTCGAATATGGAGAAATCAATGAAACTATCAATAAACAGAGTATTAAAGAACGGAAGAAACACTTATGTAGACGAGCAAAGAACAGCATGGTTACAACAGAATCCTGCTCAAGTTGTTTCTGTTATTACACAGATCAATTTCGCAATGCAAGTTGAAGAAGCTTTATCACAAGAAGATCCAATCAAAGCTCTCAACGAATTGCGTGAGAAACAAGAGAAACAACTTGTCGATCTTGCTGATTTAGTAAGAACAAAACTATCAAGAGCTATTCATTCATCAATTGTTGCTTTGATTACTTTGGATGTCCATTCAAGAGATATTGTCACAGAATTAATTGATGCAGAAGTTAAATCTGTTGATGATTTCGAGTGGACAAGAAGACTCAGATATTATTGGGATGAAGATTCAAACAGAGTACAAATACACCAAGCAAATGCAAATATCGAATACGGTTACGAATATCTTGGTGCAACATCAAGGTTAGTTGTAACTCCTTTGACAGAAAGATGCTATTTAACATTGACAAGTGCCGCACAGTTCTTCCTCGGTGGTTCACCAGCAGGTCCTGCAGGTACAGGTAAAACAGAAACAGTTAAAGATCTCGCAAAGGCTGTCGGTAACTTCTGCGTAGTTTTCAACTGCTCAGACGCCGTCACAGTCATTCAAATGGAATCTTTCTTCAGTGGTTTGGCACAGTCAGGTGCTTGGGCTTGCTTCGATGAATTCAACAGAATTAACAGTGAAGTTCTTTCTGTTATTGCAGAGCAAGTTTACGAAGTTCAATCAGCTGCTGCAGCTGGTTTGACGCAATTTACTTTCTGCGGACAGACAATTCCATTGAATCCACGTGCAGGAGTTTTCATCACAATGAACCCAGGTTACGCAGGTAGAACAGAACTTCCTGATAACTTGAAATCATTGTTCAGACCAATCTCTATGATGGTTCCTGATTATTCAATGATTGCTGAAGTCGTTTTGTACTCAGAAGGTTTCAACAACGCTAAACAACTTGCTCAAAAGGTTACTCAACTCTACAAACTTTCAAGTGAAATGCTCAGTCGCCAAAGCCACTACGATTTCGGTATGCGTGCACTTAAATCAGTCTTAGTCATGGCTGGTGCTTCAAAACGCAGATCTCCTGATTTGAATGAAGATATCATTTTGATCAGATCAATGAGAGATTCCAACATTTCCAAGTTGTTAATTGACGATTGCAAATTGTTTGATGCTATAATTGGAGACTTGTTCCCAGGAGTTGAATTCCAGGACGAAGTTTTCCCAACATTAGAACAAGCAATTGCAAATGTTTACACACAAAAGAAATTACAACCTTCTCAATTCCTTACAACAAAAACAATCCAATTATATCAGACAATCTTCATCAGACATGGTGTTATGTTGGTTGGTCCAACAGGTGGTGGCAAGACAACATCAAGAAACATTCTTGCTGATGCTTTAGGATTAATGGGAAGCCAAGTTGAGTTCAAGGAATTAAGTCCAAAGTCTGTAACTCTCACAGATTTATATGGTGCTTATAACTTAGTTACAGGTGACTGGAAGAATGGTTTAGTTGGAAAGATGTTTAGCGAAATGGCTGAGGCAGATCCTAAATTACAAGAATGGATCATATTCGATGGCCCTGTCGATGCTTTGTGGATTGAAAACATGAACACAGTTTTGGATGATAACAAACTTTTGTCACTTGCTAACAGTGATAGAATTAAGATGACAGACCAAATGCACTTGTTATTCGAAGTTGGTGACTTAGAACAAGCATCTCCAGCTACAGTTTCTCGTTGCGGTATGGTCTATTACCAACCAGAAGATTTAGGATGGCATCCTTTAGTTGATGCATGGATCCTCAAACAACCAGAAAACATCAGACCAGTTTACACAGAATTATTCGAAAAGGCATTCGATCCTGCAATGAATTGTCTCCAAGAAAACTGCAAGACAGTTATCAAACCAGTCATTTGGAACATTGCTCAATCAATTTGCTCAATAATCGATGCAATGGTTCATGATCAAACCGTTGATTGGAATTTCTACAAAGAAGATGTCATTGCTAAAGCCGTTTCTCATATTTTCGCTTTCGCTGCTGCATGGGCATTTGGTGGTATTATCACAGATGGAACTCGTGGAGATTTCGATACATTCATGAGAGATATCTTCGAAAGAAGAATCAATTATCCAACGAGACACATGATTTTCGATTATTATCTAGACATGAAAGAACTCAAATTCATTCCATGGACAGATTTACTTGCAAAAGAAGAAGTAACATCTATCATTCCTACATCGGATACACTTAGATTCTCTTCGATTTTGTCAATGTTAATCAACATGAAACGTCCTGTTTTGTTCTTGGGAGAAAGTGGTTGCGGAAAAACATCAATAATCCAAAATACTCTTCAAAAGAATATGAACTCAATTTACGCAATCACATTCACTTTATCTGCAAGAACAACTGCTGCTCAATTACAAGATTTGCTTGAAGCCAAACTTCAATCAAAACGTAAAACATTATATGGTCCTCCTGAAGGAAAATCCGCTGTTTTATTGATTGATGATTTCAATTTACCAAGACCAGATACATATTGGTCTCAACCTCCAATAGAAATCCTCAGACAAGTCATTAATTGCAAAGGACTTTACAACAGAGATGAATTATATTGGTATGACATTGATAATTTAACAACAGTTGCTGCAGGTATTACACAAGGTCATGTTACACCAAGATTCATCTCTCGTTTCACAGTTCTTTCTTTGCCAGCACCAAGTGATAATGTTTTAACAAGAATCTTTGGAGAAACACTCAACAGATTCCTCGCAAATGGATTCATGGATCCTGTTGTCGGATTGGCAGAAAGCATTGTCAAAGCAAGTGTTACATTTTACAGAAAGGCCAAGGCGGAATTGTTACCAACACCTTCAAGAAGTCATTATACATTCAACTTGAGAGATGTCAGCAGAGTTTTCAAAGGCATCTGTATGACAAGCAACAAATCTCTCGCAGATGTTCCAACATTCGTTAAGTTGTGGTTCCATGAATGTATGAGAGTTTTCGGAGATAGATTGATTGATAACAACGATCGCGAAAAACTCCAACAAATGATGTATGAAATTTCTAAATCTACACTCAAAGTTAAAGAAGATATTTCATACTTCTTCGGTGAAACCCCTTTAGTTTTCACAGATATCCTTAAAGGATATGGAGATCCAAACAAGAGAATTTACGAAGAATCTGCTTCACTGACAAAGACATCAGCAGCTTTGCAGACATTTGCGGAAATCTACAAATCTCCAATTGTTCTCTTCAAAGAATGCATTGAACACATTTTGAGAATCGTAAGAGTTCTTCGCCAACCAGTTGGACACATGTTATTAGTTGGTATGGGAGGAACAGGTAAGAGAACAGCTGCAAGATTTGCTGCTTTCGTTGCGGAAATTGAAATCTTCGGACCACAGCCGGGTAAAGAGTATGGATTACCTGAATTCAGAAATGATTTGAGAGGTTTGTTCAAGACTGCTGGTGTTGCAAACAAACCAATCATGTTCTTGTTGACTGATGAACAAATTGTTGATGAATCATTCTTGGAAGATATCAACAACATTCTTAACAGTGGCGAAGTTCCTGGATTGTTTGAAAGTGAAGAATTTGATCAAATGGTCAATGAATTAGTTCCACAAATGAAGAAAGCAGGAGAAAGCCTTGGATATGATTCATTGTGCAGAAGATTCACACAAAACATCATGAACAATTTACATGTTGTTTTGGCTTTGAGTCCAATTGGTGGATCCTTCAGAGATAGATGCAGAATCTTCCCATCATTAGTTTCATGCTGCACAATCGATTGGTACGATCCATGGCCAGATCAAGCTTTGAGAACTGTTGCTGCTGACTTCATTGATAAAATCGATTTGTCAGAATTCGGAGATGTCAAAGAAAAAATTGCAGATTTGGCAACAACAGCACATTCCATTGTTTGCCAAGCAGCAAATCAGTTTAAGTCAACTCTCAACAGAGTTTACTACGTTACTCCTGCTGTTTATGTCGAATTCTTCGCTTTGTTCAATGCAACATTAGCAAAGAGAAAAGGAGATTTGAACCAGAAGAAAGAACAACTCGAAAAAGGTGTTGAAAAATTACTTGAAACTAACGAAAAAGTTCAAGAAATGGAAGGACGGTTGACAACAATGAGACCACAACTCCAAGTTAAAGCAGAGAACACTGCAAAGATCCTTGCAAAACTTAAAGTTGATAGAGAGCATGTTAATCAAACGCATCTTTTGATTTCAAAGGAAGAAGAAGTTGTCAAGAAAGTTAGAGAAGAAGCAACACAGTTAGCAGATGAAGCACAAGCTGATCTTGATAGGGCTTTGCCTTATCTTGAGAATGCTAAAGCAGCTGTCGAAGACTTGAAGAACAAGAAGACAGATTTAGCCGCAGTTAAAACATTTGTTAAACCTCCACAATTGGTTATCGAAATCATGGAAGCTGTTTGTTTGTTATGTGGAAAGAATCCTGATTGGGCATCTGCCAAACAATTATTGTCACAAACAGATTTCTTCAACAGATTGCTTGAAATCCACAATAATCCAATCCATGATTCAGTTTTGGACAGAATCCGTAAAATGTCTGCAGATCCAAGGTTCGAACTCTCCAAAGTCATGGGAGTTTCTCAATCCGCTGCTTGCTTGTTCAAGTGGGTCACAGCTATTGAACAATTCGTTACAGAGAATACAAAAATTCAACCAAAGATCAAGAGGAGAGATGAAGCCAAAGCCAAACAAGAAGAAGCAGAAATTAACCTCAAGAAGAAACAAGAAGAATTGGTTGAAATTTCCGAAAAACTCGCACAATTACAACAGGAGTACGACAACTCTGTAAACGAACAGAAAGAACTTCAAGTAAAGATTGAACAATGCGAGTACAGATTGAAGAACGCTTCACAATTAACAACAGCTTTGGATAGTGAAAGAGTCAGATGGTCTGAAAACTTAAAGGAACTCAGAGAACAAGAAAAATCATTACTTGGCGATTCTTTGTTGATTTCATTACATGTTGCTTATGTTGGTCCATTCTCGATGCCATTTAGACAAACAGTCATCTCGCAATGGATCAAGAAATTCGATGAACTCGAAGTAATTCACACACAGAATTTCGCTTTAGAATCTGTTGCTGTTGATCCAATTACATTAAGAGAATGGCAAGTCAATGGATTACCAAATGATCAACTAAGTAGACAAAATGGTGTTTTAGTTACATCAACAAGAAGATGGCCTCTTTTGATTGATCCTCAAGGACAAGGAAGATCATGGTTACTCGCAAACAGTGGAATTAAAGCTGTGAGATGTGATGATCCTAACTATACAAGAGAAATCATTTCCGCAATCAAGTTGGGAACATCAATTCTCGTTGAAGATGTTGGAGAAGTTTTGGATCCAGGTTTACAATTCATTTTACTTCCGAAATTCAAAGTTGCAAGCGGAAGAAAGACTCTCAAAGTTGGTGACAAATGGATTGATTACGATCCACAATTCAGATTGTATTTGACAACTAAATTGTCGAATCCACAATACCTTCCTGATGTTTTCATCCAGTTATCTGTCATCAACTTCTCCGTAACTCTTGAAGGTCTTGAAGAACAATTGCTTTCCGATGTCGTTTTACACGAAATGCCAGAACTCGAAAAGCAAAGATCCGACTTAATTGTTGCCATTTCCAAAGATCAAAAGCAACTTTCACAGCTCATGTCTCAAATCCTTCATTTGTTGTTCACTTCCAAAGGAAACATTCTTGACAATGAACAGCTGATTAAGACATTGAACGAAGCTAAATCAACAGCAACACAAGTTGGTGAAAGATTAATCGAATCACAAAAGACAGAGAAAGAAATTGCAGAGAAAAGAGAAGTTTACAGACCAGTTGCAACACGTGGCTCTGTTTTGTATTTCGTTGTTTTGGAGTTACCTGGTATCGATACAATGTATCAGTATTCTCTCGAATTCTTCAAGAGAATCTTTAATGCTGTACTTGATAACACAGAAGACAACGACAATGTCGAAGAAAAATGCGATGCATTTATCGAACGAACAACTTACGCTGTTTACGCTAATGTTTCAAGAGGTTTGTTCTCTAATCACAGACAAGTATTTGCTTTCTTGATTGCTACATGGTTACACAGATCAACAAATCAAATACAAGACGACATGTGGAAGATTTTCACACGCGGTCCTCCTGATGTTGATCTGGAGAAATTTGGAGAACCAAATGATAAAATCGAACCTAGAATTTGGTCTAAAGCTTGCGCATTATCAGCTGCAGTTCCAGAGTTTAGAGATTTACCATCACTTTTGTGCAGTAGTTATGAAGATTTCCAACCATTCATTTTCGGTCCAATCTTCACATTACCAGCGCCATTTGATAAATTACCAACCTTCATGAAATTGATCTGTGCAACGTGCATTGCTCGTCGCAAAGTTGTTTCAATTTCAAGACAATTAGTTGCAGAAATTCTTGGTGCTAAATTCGTTGAATCATCAAGTGTTGATCTCAATGAAGCATTTGCTGATACTTCTAATGATACTCCACTCTTGTTCATCCTTTCACAAGGTGCAGATCCTCGTGAGACATTAGAAAGACTTGCAAGTGAACATGGAGTTTCTTCCAAGCTCCACATTCTTTCTTTGGGTCAAGGAAGAGGTCCAACAGCTTCCAAACTCGTCAAAGACTCAAAGAGAGATGGAGACTGGGTATTCTTACAGAACTGCCATCTCTGCCCATCGTTCCTTCCTAAACTCGAACACATTGTTCAGAAGATGTCAGCTACTTCTAGTACTTTCCATTCAGAATTCAGACTATTCCTTTCATCAATGCCAACTGAAGTCTTCCCAATTTCCATCCTCAGAAACTCAGTGAAAGTCACATCAGAACCACCAAGTGGCATCAAACCAAATATTGGTTTATTGATGAACACATTGTCATCAGAGAAATGGGAAGGATGTCCTAAATCTCGTCCATGGAAGAAACTTGTTTATTCCATTGCAGTTTTCCATGCAACAATACAAGAAAGAAAACGCTATGGATCTCTTGGTTTCAACAAGACATACGAGTGGAATACAAGCGATTTTTCAATTGCTACAAAGTTCCTTCTTCAGTTCTTGACACAACAAGACCAAGTCCCATGGCAAGCTCTCAAGACAATGATTGGAGGAGTTGTTTATGGTGGTCGTGTTACAGATGATTGGGATAGAAGATGCATGAATGCAATTCTCGATAAATTCCTTGATCCTAACGCTTTGGAAGACAATTTCTATTTCGATTCAGATAATTTATATTCTTCCATTCCTTTGTGCGACTTCACAGGTGTTTTTGATCATATTTCCAATCTTCCTAACGATGATTCTCCATCAATCTTCGGTTTGCATCCAACAGCTCTCAACGCTCTCAATCTTAGAATGTCTGAGCAGATGATGACATGGGTTTTGAATGTCCAACCTCGCGATGCAGGTGGAGAATCAGCATCCAAAGATGATGAAATGGTTGTTGCATTGGCTGAACAATTGGACACAAGTTTGATTTCAGAAATCAATCTTAAAGGTGCAAGTCCATCAATTGTCGGAGAAGAAGGAAGCGAAGAAACTGATCAACCACCTAATTCTATGACTGTTGTTTTGTTCCAAGAAATGGAGAGATACAACAAACTCATCAAAGTCATCCATTCCACATTGAAAGAATGCTGTGCAGCAGTCAGAGGTGAAGTTGTTATGTCCGTTGATTCACAAGATGTTTACAGGTCTCTCATTTCTCAGAGAGTTCCTGAAGCATGGTCAAGACACTCATATCCATCGATGAGACCTCTTTCAAGTTGGTTCAAAGACCTGCTGCAGCGTGTTGATTTCATCAGAGACTGGATAAGAAGAGGCGAACCAACAGTTTTCTGGTTCCCAGGTTTCTTCTTCCCACAATCATTCTTAACTGCTGTTTTGCAGTCTCATTCTAGAAAACACAAATTGCCGATTGATAAACTTTCATTCAAATGCGAAGTTTTGAAAGAGTCTCCAGAGAAAATTGTTCATCAACCAGAAGATGGCGCTTACATTTCAGGCTTGTTCATTGATGGTGGAAGATGGGATTCAAAGAACTTTGTTCTCTGTGATAATGATACAGATGTTGTCTACAACGAGTTCCCATGTGTCCATATCATTCCTGTTGCAGATTTCGAATCACCCGAAGCCGACTATAAATGCCCATTGTACAGAACACCAGAAAGAGCAGGTGTTCTGTCAACAACAGGCCATTCTACAAACTTCGTTGTTGCTCTCAACTTACCAACGAATTCTAAGCCAGATAAGTGGACTCTTCGTGGTACAGCTCTATTATTAACAACACCATATTAATTTCATTTTTATTTATTATTTTGTATATTATTTATGTTTTAAAAAACTGTTATTATACTTTTTAATCATTTTAGTTGCAAATAATTGGATATGATGAAAATATCATATGGTTCTATGTATATAAATAAGATGCGAAGAAAAATTTTGTAGAACCATTATATATCCTTTTAATGATTTTACGTTTAGTAACCATGCTAAGGCACAATTTGATAATCTTGGGAGGAATACCTGACTATTCAATCATTTCAGAAACAAATACTACAGAAATTAACCATTTACAATCTTGAAAAGAAGAGTATCCCAAGGTTGTAAGAATATTGATAGTAAAGTTAAATGGTTGAACAAGTGAAGAATTTCGAAATGCAAAACTCTCAATTATAGAAAGTGCTGAGTTTTCTTCAAAATGAAATTCAGGAATTGATGAGTTTGAAGAAGATGAAGAACTTGATGAAGAAGATGATTTTGATGCAGATGGGAATTTACGATGAACTTTCTTTTTCTCTTTCTTTTCTGGCTTCTTTTTATCAAGCTTCTCCCTTATATCTGTCTGATTCTGAATTGCTTGGTGAATAGATATCAAAATTAATATAAGGTTGACAAAAAAAGTTTGAAAGATTAAAAATCGCCATTTGAGTACTATCTGATACTCTTTTTGTCTGAAAGTATACATTTGTAAACTTTCTGAAAGTAATTTTTTAATCTTTCAAAGTTTATGACATTGTGGATTTTGCGTCAGAAAGTACTCAGTTTAAGGCTCCAGTCCCACGCTCTCAATTTTTAAAATTGAACATATCCATAAATAAGAGTTATCATGACTTATAATTAAAGTTATAATATTTGTGTAATATGAGCTATAATATTATATTATGATACTTGGCGTAGTATTGCAAGAAAACTCTAATTGATGGATATATTCACTTTTAAAAATTGAGAGGGTGGGACTGGAGCCTTAAACATTTTTTTTAAAAAAACGCACAATTTTTAAGATAATCCACAAGAGCTGGAAGTTCGATTGTCGAAGAAAGGGAAAGGAAATTTGACGAGTGCTTGAATTTAATTGATCAGATCAGATCAATTTTGGAAAGTTGCGAAATCGAACCAAGTGTTTTACTTCCCTCATTAAAAACAGTTTTAAACCTGGCAAAAAGAAGTATCAAGCATGAATAAGTCCATATTATCTTATAAATTTTAATTTTTTCAAAATAAACGCTTAATTTATTGATTATTTGCTTTTACTTTTTATTACATTATGAAATATAATAGATAGAGTAAATTAGCAATGTGTTAGAAAGATAAATTTCTTAATATTTCACAAGAAATGTAAGAAATTTATAAATTCTGTATTAATAAGCAAAAGGAATTATTTATTTATGTGAGAACATGTTGTTGCTTCAGTATAACTATGATACTGTAAGTAAATAGTACGTTTTGAAATTTGAACTTAAAATAAGATTTAAAATCAGTAATTATGAGTGAAGGAATTATTTGTTTATGTGAGAACATATTGTTGCTTCAGTATAACTATGATACTGTATGTTGGATCGAAACAAGTTTGTCCCCCACTCTGTAAAGATTTTACAGACAATAGAACCAAATCCATTTTCAAATATAAAGAATTTACACTCTGATCAAGCTTCAAATGATATTTGGCAACGCTTTTACGAAAGTCCTCCAAATTCAGATGTTATTTCAGGTAAAAATGTTGGGGTAATGTCAAATGAAAATGAATGTTTCTTATACAACTGTATATTCATTGATATTACAACTAAAAGTGCTATTTATTATGAAGATTGGTATAATAAGTTTCTTTGCTCTGATTGTTCATTTAATAACTGCAGCAGTAATACAGAATGTGGATCTATCTACTTTAAATGTGATAGTTCCATTGTCCAATACCGAACATGTGGCTACAAATCAAAAACAATTGGGTGGGGAGGAGGGGGGTGATGGGACATCATTCATATGTTGAATTAACTATTGATTCAAATAATAAAAATTATCTTTACGAAAGTTCTTTTTATGAATGCGGTAATTTAGAACAACGTAATACAAATGATCTTAAATATGGAAATATTGAAGTTAAATCAATTAACACAAGTTTCTGTGAAGCAAGAGATAATTCAGGAATATTTCTGTCAGCGAAAGTAAATCTATGTAACGTAACATATTCATCATTTTGTAACACAACATCAAAATTCGCAATTTTAGGATTAAATGGTGGTAACATTAATTTTAATTTTTGTAATGTTTTGAATAATGAAAACAAATATTCTGATTCTGCAACATTGAGTTCATATAAATCAACAGTTCTTATTGAAAACTGTTCATTTCTTGGAAACACAGGACCAGAAATAGAATTTTCTCAAGGATGGTCTGGTTCAATTACAGTTAAAGATTCTTTCTGTGACAGAATTGATAAAACAACAGGATCAGTTACAACAAATAATGTTCAAAATACATCTTCTATTCAAAAACTTTCTCACTTTTCATCATATATTTGTGAAGTTAATGTTCAGACAAAGCCTCATTCTGATGCATTTTATCATCCCTCATATAACATTAGACGAGTTCGTTAATTAAAATCATTCAATTGCATATTTATGAAATGTTCTCTAATATCATTCATTTGCGCATAAGCATTTATTTTCCTGATTTTTTAAGATACTTTTCATATAAAAAATTTTATTAAATCTTAGTTAACTAATTGAAATAAATTTTTGCAACACATTGAATTATTTGTCAAGGGGAACTGAGAGTTTTTTCTTATACGTTGAATTATAAGTCAAATTATTGAATGTATTTTTGAAAAATTGAATACTCAATTTTCGAAAAACCGTTTTGACACAAAGTGATTAATACAATATTGTTGCCTATATTAAGTTATTATCATATATGATTTTTATTATCATATCTATCAATCGAGCATGAAGTTATTCTCGACGCAAAAATCGTTTTTTATAGGGGTTTTGCAAATCTAATTCTTCTTTCATATTTTTTTTGAAACAAGCTCACAATATCAAAATAAACTTTACTTGCATTCTAACAATTTGTCGAAGGGGAACTGAGAGTTTTTGCTTTATTATCAAGATATGACAAATAATGTTAATATACATTTTTTGAATATTAGACATATCTAGTGATAAAGTAATATTATATGATTACACAATATTATGATAGTATGTTTTAGCCTTATCATATTATTAAAACTTTTACAAATCAAAAATCCTTAGATTCTGTGAAAAAGTGATTTTTAATATTTTATCAAAAAAACAAATAACTCATCTAGAAGAGATTGCAAATCAAGTTTACTAATAATAATATAATGTATCACTAATATGCTATAAAATGTCGTGGGCTTTTTGGATTATAAATACTTTTACCGGTCAAAGTTGAAATTTGTCAAAATACCAAATTATAGTGTATTACATAATGATATTATATACTAAAATAAAAGTATCAAAAACTCATATTGCCGGAGATATTAAAACTTTTAAAATTGAGAGGGTGGGACCGGAGCCTTAACTAATTGAAATAAATTTTTGCAACACATTGAATTAATTGTTTAATCAATGAGATATCTCTTAAATGGAGATGCTTTTGAAACTGCCTCTTGATTCTTTAGAGTTACGGCTTCACTTTTACTGAAATAGTCGTATCAAGAGCCAATATTGATGTTACGGTTGTTTATCATGAATTGAGATGTATCTGTCTCTTTAAGAAGTTAGTATCTAGTAATTCGGTACCAAGGGTCTACGCCCCTCGGAACCAAAATTACTAGAATTTACAAAAACCGTTTGACACGTTAAAATACATTTGACATTTACAAAAAAAATAAAAAAATAATTTTTTAAAAAATAAACTTAAAAATTAACGTTAAAATTTTTGACACTTTACAAAATAAAAAAATATTTTTAAAAAAATAAACTTAAAAATTAACGTTAAAATTTTTGACACTTTACAAAATAAAAAAATAATTTTTTAAAAATAAACTTTAAAAAATTAACGTTAAAATTTTTTTATTTATTTTTTTTATCATAGATTTTAACACCCAGAGTAAAAAAAATAATTTTTTAAAAATAAATTAACTCAAAAATTTTTTAATTTCTGTATATACTAAATTTTTCATAAATGATAAAATTAATTTTAGGGTAGATCTAACCCGACATCTAACCTCATTTCTAACCTCGCCGCTTAGCGGCTCAGACCCTTTGGGTCTCATGAATTTTCTTATAAAGTTGCGATAGTTGAATTCAGTAACTGAGCCTCAAGGAAGAAAACATCCTTTCCGTCTTCGGGTAACACAACGGGGCATTTATGATCATGTGTAGAATACATATCAATCCAAAACTCTCTATTATTTCCTGATAACTTATAATATTTAATATTTGTTAATGGCGTCGATCTAGTATGACCGATAAATTCATTTTCAACCCCTTTAGCGATATTTGAATATAAAATGACTTGTTTTCTGTCCCATACATTACATGTTATTATTGGTAATAATACTGTTCGTTCTTCTCCGGGTTTATAATTAAATACATTCATGAAGTCTTCATTATACTGAGAAATTTTAAAACCTATCCTAAAATCACTTTTTCTCTTTTCTGCTATTTCATTAAACGGTGAGTATATAACAAATGTGCATGTATGTGAATCATCTATTTGTTCAATAAATTCATAATGAAAGTCTATAATTTGTGGTTGAATTCCTTCTTCTTTTAATTTATCAAGATACACATTTAATCCTAAAGCGTTTTTGTTAAATTTCTTTTCGAAAATTTCGTTAAAATCACTCATGCATTCATATAATGTTGTGTCGTCTTTGAAATATTTATATATGTGAATAGTTTGCTTAAATTCTTGGTTTCGTTTATAACAACAACTTCGAGCTCAAATTCAACCTTTCTAAATCCTCGTGTTATATACATACTTGATAAACCAATATATTTTTCGTTTATATTAACAGACCAGTCAATAGGTAATTTAAATGTGATTCTATTTCCATTTATTTTAACATTTTCGTCTTCAGAACTGAAAGCAACTGTTAAAGGTACTTGTCTATACATTTATTACAAACAAAAATATATCATTTATTCTTTCTTCTCAATGGATTCAGCCTTTTCCTTCTCCGCCTTTTCTTTAGCCTCACGTTCTCTTTTTGCTTTCATTCGCGGGTTCTTCTCTCTTCCTGCAGCTAATGCGGCTAACTGCTTTTCACTTAATTTCCTTTTTGGTTTTTCTGGTTTTTCTTCTGTTTTTGATGTCTTTAGTTCTGTTAATATCTGCTCACGAATTTCTTTTTTGATGGCTTCAATATCTAATCCCTGACTCATTTGATTACCGATAAAAAATTCAAAATTTAAAAATTTTATTTGAATTAAATATGAGCCTATCAAAATCTGAGAGACAATCGATTATATTAAATGATGCAAGAGGAATTCAGCATCCATTATATTATGTATCAACAAGTAAAGATGGAAAAAAAAAGACGAGTTCCATTAACGAATTCGGAAACTGATAAAATGATATTAAACCTCCTCCATCTGAAACAAAAGAACTAAACAGACCGGCTTGGGCAGCCCGATAAAGGAAACGGAACCTAAACCAGAACCTAAACCCGATGTACTTTCGATAACGAATCAAGAATTAATAGCTAAATTTGTAAATTTCATTGAAAAGCAAACGGAATCAAAAAATCCAGACCCACCAGTAAAAGAAAGGAAACCAAAATTAATGAAGAGTTTTAAAAACGTAAAACATGAAATTATTGAACAAAAGAAACAAATTCCTCAACTAAGAAGAAGAGTTAGAATATTAAACTAAATAAATATTTTTATCTAACATAAAACATGCAAAACGAACAGCTTAACGAATTTACACCAGCTGAACATATCCATCAAATTCGTTCATATTTTGATGTAATCGATAATGCAATTAATATTGGTGATACTAATAGAAGATATATCGATGCAAAATTCCATCACAACCAGGAAGCGCAAAGGATCATAACTGGGTCACATTCAATTTATCTCCGCCAGGTGAAAATATGCTAGACCTTTATAACACATTCCTTACAACTACCTATAAAAGTAAATATATCATTGATAATGCTATTACTGGCTCATCAATTCCAAATACTAATTCTCCAGGTTTCTTTGGCGTTTTTGATGAATCAATTTACACCATTAGCGCTTATCAGTTATTAGCAAATGGAAGAGTTATTTATAGTCAGGATAACGCAAGAGAAGAAGCATATATCATTTCTAATTCACAGACTACAGAACAAATAAAGAAAGTTGATGTTTTCTCAAAAACGAGACATAAAGATGTATGGAAACGTTCTGGAACAGTTCGAACAGGTCAAATTATCTCAGGACCTTTAGCTGCAGGAGCTGAAATTAATTTTGACATTAAAATAAAGATTCCATGTCGTAAATTCCTTATTCTAGAAGTTATTAGATTTATTCCTGCTTTTGCAGGCAACATTCAGTTAAAGGTTAAATTTAGTAGCGATGCATTCCAGGTAACAGCACTGCCGGTAGAAGATATTTTAGCTCATAATCCTTCTTTAATCAGTCAGGTAAAAGATAATTATGACCCACCAACTAATAAATTTGTTCCATGGAATGAACCATTCAATATGATAACAGCAGTTTCTAAATCAAATGGTGAAATTACTGTTTCAACAGTTGAACAAAGATTAACGAAGAAATCAGCTGAATTCATTGATTGCTTCATTCATCCTAAAGCATTTTCACTCGATCCAAATATTTACACTGAATTAGTCGATCATTATACATCACAAGCTTTATGTTTTCCAATTAAAGTAATGGACTGGATTCCTATGGACGGTTCGTTCAGTAAAGGTTCACCATCAGCAACGTTCACAGCAGCTTATACACCAATTAACGTTAAAAGCATTTGGGCTTTATTTAGGAAGAATGATAATTATATCGTGAATTTCGAAAATTCTCAATTTGAAACCCTTCAATTATCAATGGGCGCTTATGGAAGTATGCCAGCTGAACCCGAAAGCTCTTATGGTCCTGTGTTCTATGAAATGGTTGCTAATGCATGCAATACAAATAACGATATGATAGGATTTAATGAAGATGTGATGAGGTCGTTAATTGATGATGGAAGCGTTAAACATTTATATGAATCATACGATAACACACATTTCCTCTGTGGATTCCCTACGGAAACTGATTTCACATTTCAACAGGGTCAAACATCAACGGCACCAATTACTTATAAATTAGGTGTTAAAGCTAATGATACAAATATAAGCGAAAAATACACTGTCAAACCTTTATTAGGATTTCTTAGAAATGCTTATGTGGTGGAAGATTTGCTTCAGTAATTTTCTTTGAACCACCCGTTTGATTTGATGAATTAGCACAGTATAAGAATTTATCTACAATCTGCTGCCATGTACCAAAACGTAAAACACTTGCCGGATTTGTTGAATTCATTGATGTATATAAAGAACCAACAGGATATATGGCTTGTAATATTTCATTCTTCATACTTGCAATTGCATTTGTTGCATTAGTTCTAAATTCATCGAAACCATCGAGAATGTTAGTGAGATTATTATATTCCACATTCTTTTGACCCGGTAACCGATGATGTAATTGAATGTTATTAACTGTTAATGAATCGATATTCGAAAATCTTTCATTTATTTTACCATTAACTGCATCATTCATTTCCGACTTCTTCGCATAATTTTCATTGACCCATTCCCTCGTCCACTCTGTATAATCTATTGCATTGTTTTTAGCATATTCTGTTTTTCATCTACATAAGTTTTGTCGGCTTTCTTATCTAACATTGCTGGTAGTTCATATGCTTCAAAGTTTCTGACATGACCTTCAATGTTCCTGCAACTGTTATCTAAATTGTTAAGCGTGTCTTTTACGCTAGTGCTTGGATTTTCTAAAGGTGCGCTTGAACCCAAATCAAAGTTCAGTATTATGTCGTCTGCTCTAACAGTTGTGAAGGATTCATGTGTATGGTTCTTGTCTGCTTTACTGTCTAATGAAGTTTGAAGTGAATTTATGTCGTTATGTTCTGTTATTAAATCATGCCTTAAGTTTACTATTTCTTGATTTAACTCAGGGTGCATATGATTTACATCAGCTTTACTTTTAATAGCATCTTCAACAGTTATTTTTGACTTAACCATCAAAGTAAATCTTGGTTCAACTAATACATCGTTAACAAAGAAGTATGAAGCATAAATTTCATCGTTATAATCAAATGCTTCTGGTGCTTTACCTGTTGTATCATAATTTATAACACATCTTATGTCATAACCTTCAGCACGAATGAATTTATATCTTCTTTCATTAACATCTTCCGTATTCACTTCTTCATCCTGTGTTAAATATCCATGATAATCCGTTATAATCTGTTCATCTGAACTTATATAATGAACATGGTTTTTATCTGCTTTACTATCTAATTTCTCATCAATTTCATTCACTTCTAATTCAACTCTTCCGCCAGAGCTCTTATTATCATTAATCTTTTTCATTAATTCAGTAATTACATCATAAAGACTGTATTCTGTTTTCGGTTCTGTAAATAATGAGTCAAAATTTCTTTTCATCATTACATCGCTGACATTAATGATATCATCAATACCTTTTTCATTTATTCGCTTCATTAGTTCTGCAATAATGACAAATATATAATCTGTTAATTTATTCTCTTCATCAAGGGTTATAGAATGATTTGAAATCAAATCATTAACACCTCTAAATAAATCAATAACTTCAGGATACACGTTTTTAATGTCTCGAATAACCTGACCCGTATCCTGTTGTTCCTCTGTTTCTTCCTCTTCGTTTATGTCTCTAGCCATCATCAACGCAGCCATAACCGGAGGGTTTGTTGCTACCTGTTCGAAAATCTGTCCGTTATGTACGGTATATCTAAATAATTTCTTTGTGTTTGTTAAAACATTTGAAACAAGTCTTTTAAAACCATCTACAAAATTTCCCGTTTCACCTAATGTTCTTGCAGCATCTACAAGCTCACCCATTCCCGCTTTCGACCCCAAAAACGTCCATATTGCATTTATCTCACTCTGTATAGTTGTCTATTCAGCGAAACTAACACCCGCATTCGCTAAGTCGAAAATGAAACCCAGTGGATCGAACTTAATTCCACCTTCTTTTTCAATTTCAACGAACTCGCTAACATGAGATTTTAAATATTCTTTCGTTAAAATCGTTTTTCCTGATGTCATGCTATTAACGGAACTATCACCGTCAAAAGTTAACGAATTCAATTTCGTCATTGATGCTTTTATTTCATACACCATTTTATCGATGGTTTTTGGCTCACCTTCTTTAGAAGTGTATGAAACATTAATGAATGAATTATATGAATTCATGAATGAGTTAAAATCAATGATTTTCATTAATGAAGCCTTTAATGATTCATTAACTGTTGAATCCCTTAATTCAATTAATGAACTGTCGTTAATGAAAGGTACACTGCAAACCGTTGAGTTTGGGTCAAATGCCGTAGTTGGTGAAGGAGTATTAATTATATAAGTCATTAAATCATTAAGTGATGTAAATAATGTTGTTGTTTTTGATTTAATTTCTTTAGCATCTGTTATATACGGTAATTTTATTTCTGTAGTTTCTGAATTAAAGATATTCGCTAAAATGTTTTGCAAATTGCTTTGAACAGCTGTATAAACCGTTAAATTTGGAACCCTTACAATTTTACCGTCCATCAGAAAGGGCATTGCACATGGCGTAGTGCTTGGGTCAAATCTTTCGGGATTATAATTCAACATATATTCTAATGCTTCATAAACAGACCTATAAACCGTTGTATTATCTTTTTCAATAATTTCTCCGTCTTTTATAAAAGGCATTGTACATGGCGTTAATATTGGAATAAATTTTTCATATTCTTTCCACGATATATAATGTTCAGTTTTTCCGTCAGTGATAATTAAACATTCATCATTAAATGAAAAAGTGTATGAACCGAAAATTAATCTTTTCGCCCTATCAGCTTCATAAGAATATGCGGATATACTCATATTTTTAATTAGAATAAAAATGTTGTTCTATTTGCAAAGTACTGATCCTAATGATTACGGGACATTAAAATTACAAACTAACCTTGGTCTTCAGAATGAACCACTAGCTTTCAGAGTTCTTGATTTTAGCACTATCGCTTCATTTGTTATAACAGACACTAACGATTTCATTACATTTGAAATTGATGGTATTAGTACTGAAATTCATTTTAAAGCAAGAAATAAATATGATATTGATACGTTAGAGAAAAAGATTCATGATCTCATTGATGAAAAATTTAACAGAGCCCTTAACTGTGAATTAACTGATTCAGGAATAATAAAATTTAGTTCCGAAAAAGAATTTAAAATTACTGATATGACTCATCGAGCACGTTTATTACTAGGTGCTTATCATCAAGAATTACCATTAAAATCTTCTATTGAAAATCAGAAATATATAATTGAAATGAAATCTGCACCCTACATATGTTATGGAAACTGTTTATATGTTGAATCAAAAATAAGTAATGTAACAGGAATTTCAGGAGTTAATAATAAAAATGCTGTAATAGAATATAAATCGTTCTGTTACGCCGTTAATTCTGTATTTATACCTAATTTTCCGATTTTATTAAGGCACGAAGGAAAATGGGTTCGAATTCAACCACACCATTTAAAAGATATGACATTTAGATTAGTTGATTTTCAAGGCGAACCAATTGAAATTAAAGCTCCTGTGCAATGACTATAGAAGTTGATTTTTGGTCTAATATAAGAGCTAATGGACTAGATGATGAACAGAGCCAGGATAAAAATATAAATCTTAAATTAATTCGTTAAAACATATTTCAAGCAAAGTTTATATTCTGTTGAAAGTTTTGTGTATTCATTCGAATATTTATACTTAAACTCAACTCCTGTAGTTCCTGGTGTTTCGATTATTCTAATATTACCGATTTTCATAAATACTGGTATTGACCGCAACATTCGATTTCAGGGTCGAGATAATCAATAACGCACTGTTTCCTGTTATTCTTGATATAACATTTTCTAAATCCTCCTTTGTTAAAATTATTTGATTCTTACTAATAAGATTTGTCAAAAGCTTCTTATCGTCTTTGAGTAATATTGTTTGGTATAAATTAAGGAGGTAATGGTCTACGTTATCTGAAGGATTAGTTTGAATAGTTGAATATGGATTGTCTTGAGCATCTCGATATATGGTCTAATGGAGGTGGATATTCTAACTTAACTTCACTGTTAGCGTTTGTTTGAAGCTGTGTTTAAATTAACGGATTTCAGTCTGGCTCTTTATCTTTCAAGTTTTCGGAGCTGTAATTTTTGATTATAATATTATTTGTCGTTCTTGAATCAACATTGAGTCGGTTCAATAGGAACATTCACTGCACCGGCTAAGATGGATTTACTTCTCATTTTCTAGAGAATAAAAACCTTTTATTACTATAAAAATGAATAATATCTTTGATAAAGGTTTAAACGTGAAACTTGAAAATGAAAATCTTGTTGAATTCACTGAAACGGGCGCAGTTTATAAAGATGTTGAGTGTTAAATAAGAAAAAAAGGCAGAAGTCGAAATATGAACATCGATTATAAACCATTTACTATTTACGTTAATGATGGTTCTGGTGGTTCAAATATTAAATATGCAGAAAGTAATAGAGTTTATGCGTTAAAAGGTGAAGCACCATCATTAAAAACAGTTATTCTAATCTTTATCCTCAAAAACTAACTGATCCAGAAAGTGTGGACATGAATGACACCAAAAATATAAACAGAAATGGTGATAGAGATGGATGGAATCTATTCACAACACCTCATCTAAAAATAAAGCTTTAAAATAATGTTGGTCTTTCCCAAGGTATATTTTTAACATTAATTGTATTAGTCATTATATGAATTTCTAAATATGAACGTGGTGAAATGAGTGATTTATAAGCATCCCAGATTTCATCAAAAGGTAATGTTATACCTGATTGCTTCCAAATTAATTCTATATCGTATTTTGAGAAACCTTGAAATATAACGAAATCAGTAATTAACGTTTAATGTTTAAAGCTAAAAACCTCCACGTTGCATAAGTATTGCAACAGTCATGTGATAATGTCTGACTTTAGTATTAAATTAGCTAATGGTGAATCTGGTTTTGAAACTAAACCTTTACCAGCGAAATCATCACAAACTAATAAAGTGTTTGATGGATATTTTTTAAAAGGATATTTTGAAAGTTTTGAGAGAATGTAGTTTGTCAATCGTTTCATATCATACGTACCATCCTGCTGTCTCAAATGATGTTTATCAATAATTCTTTCCATTTCTTCCGAGGTCTTTTGCATTCCTGATTGTATAAATTCAACTATTGCATAATATTTCTTCTTTCTTCTTATATATGTTGAAGAAAAGAAATTAATTCGCTATCTGGAACTTTAATTACTGATGCCTGAACTTTACCATAAACGTCTTCGCTGTTGAATCCATTGAATCTGAAGTTGCTGATATAATGATTTGGTCATAATATGAATCAGACCTAAACGTTCAGTAATTAAAATATGACGAATTAAATTAAAAGTCTTTCCCGAACCCATTTTTCCGCAATAGAAATACACACCGTTTGAACAGAACTGATAATCCTTACTGAAGGGAAGAATTAATGAACTATTGAGTTTATCAGATTTTTCATTCATTTTTTCATCTACTTCTTCAAATAAATGTTTCATTTTATTATAATTAAAAATGCAAGTCAGAAATTTTGTTAATACCGTTCCCAGTCTTAATGATAAAAGTATTAAAATCTATTATGAGCACATATTTTCACAACCGTTTAAAATAATCAATGGTGAATACATTTATGAATACCCTAAACACTGGGTTGATTATAACACTGGAAAAAGCAATTGAAATAAGACAGATAAAAACCATTCCTGCAGGACGAACCATTGAATTATATAACTTTGGAATAATAAGAGATAATCATCAATATGATTTACAGATTTATATAGATTTAGACACAGGAGATGATATGACAGCATTTAATAAAAAGATTAAATCGGTTCTTATTGAACAGTTAAAAGGTGCCGGATATCCTCAACCTAATGAAGTTGATATGTTTTATAGTTTTGAAACTAATTCAATAGAATTTCGTGTTAATTCAAATTCAAAAGCTGGTTTCATATTTGATTTAAAAGATGGTGCTGTCGGTGATGAGATTGAAAATATATACACGAATAAAAATTTTCAAGAGATTACAGGAATTAATAATGATGAATGCTTTTATCGATTTGCTCAGTTCGGAGCAGAACAGATAACATTAAATGACCTCCTGGAGTACTTACCAAAATCAATTTCCATTAAAAATGATGATTATTTATTAACATCAATTTCATTTAATGGTGTTTGGTCCAGAGAAGCGGCAATCATTAAATCAAGTATAAGTGAATTCGCTGAAGATTCTATTTTATGTTTATCAAACTGTTTATATTCTCCGCCGAAGCATTATTCAATAACTAATTATGTTAATAAATTTAATATAAAATTAGTTGAACCATCGAGCCTAAAAGATATTGTCCTTCCTGATGACAGAAAAGATAGTATTATTATCGAACTCATATTAATCGCTTATTAAAATTTAATTATATATAAATGAGTTCAACGACTGAAAGCGCATGGGCTAGTTTTGATGAAGATCCTAAACCGCGGAATTATAATAGAATTGTAATTCCTGTAGGTCTTTTATTAGCTGCTGGTGCTGTAGCGGGACCATATTTATATAGAAATTTATATAGAACACCGATTAATTCAACTGCCGGGGCTGATCTTATTCCAACAGGTCTGAAAAAATCTACACCGATTCAAACAAGCCCGACACAGGAAAGGAACCGCGAACCACTCACACGTATTAGGTCTTTTATTAATTATTTAAAGAATAGAAGAAATTAATTTGTAATAAATGACGTCGTTAAATGTAAAAATAATTTGTGATGATATTACTATCATTGATGATGTAAGTGAGTGTGCTAATATAATTGATAGAATTAATGAACTAATAAAGAGGTTCAGTGGTGAAAAAGTCAGAGTTTCATTAACGTTTAGCTCCGATGAAAAATTTTATGAGTTAATCATTATGAGAAATGATTTTAATAAGCATTAAATGGTATTTTCAACACTATCAGCTTTGTATGGAGGTTATAAAGCTATTGACGGTTTAACTGGTGGAGCTGTATCAAAAGCTTTAAAAAATAATGCCGGAATGCTTGTGGGAGCTGCTACCAGAAAATTAAAATCTGAAAAGTTAAAGAAATTAGGTAACTGGGTTGCTGACCAGTCGCAAAACCCTTTAGGTGAAGATAATGAAATATCTAAGCAGCTAAAAGATTTTAAAGGTCAGTTGAATGGCGAAGAGTTTAAATTAAATTCACTTAAAGAAAAGGAGAAACAGCCAGAATATCCACCAATTGAGGCACCGCCGATTAATTCAGCACCTGCGCCATCACCAGCGCCAGTAACTGCAGTCGCACCATATGACCCTGGCGGTTATGGAAGACCTTTTGACCCTAAAACAGGAGGTTCTAATTGGTTCCATTACGGTCGAAGATATATTTTAGCTAAAATCGCAAAAGCAAAGAAACTGTTAAAAACTAAAAAGAAACCAAGAGTTTTAAAGTAATTAAATGGTTAGAGATGTTCTCGAATACCCTGCACCACCTGAAACGCCTAACAATAATGATTTATATAATCGATTGAAAACTTTAGGTAAAGTGTATTTATGGTTTAATTATCCTTATCATATGGCGGCTTATAAACTTTATAAACACTATAAAGAAAGTAATAGACCTTCAACCGACCTAGTTGATCCGCTGGAATTAAGGAAAAGACGACGATAAAAAATAAAGTTAATTTTAAAAATATTTTTTATTTTTTACTTTTAATAAAATGAGTACTAAAATTACTGAAGCAACAAAACAAAAGTTTTTAGTTGAATACATTAAATCAGGAACTATTCCAGAAGGTTTTTATGTTCATCAAATGAAATATGGTAGAGTTCAATTTAGAAAAATTAAGCAGCCATTAGATAAAAATGGTATTTTGAGAAAGATTAAATTATATGAAGATAATATAGCAGAACTGAAGAAGAAGTTAGAAGAATTCGAAAAATCAGATGAATGAAATAATAAATTTTATTTTTATATAAAATGAATTTTACTAATAAATTATTAATTATTGTTTCATTACTTCTCATCTCCCGTGAAGCTCGTTTATGGTATGAATCTATAACGTATGTGGATGATGATAGTGATGACATTCCTGAATCATGCCAGCATATTTACTGTTGAAAATTCATGAGACCCAAAGGGTCTGAGCCGCTAAGCGGCGAGGTTAGAAATGAGGTTAGATGTCGGGTTAGATCTACCCTAAAATTAATTTTATCATTTATGAAAAATTTAGTATATACAGAAATTAAAAAATTTTTGAGTTAATTTATTTTTAAAAAAATTATTTTTTTACTCTGGGTGTTAAAATCTATGATAAAAAAATAAATAAAAAATTTTAACGTTAATTTTTTAAAGTTTATTTTAAAAAAATTAATTTTTTTATTTTGTGTAAATGTCAAAAATTTTAACGTTAATTTTTAAGTTTATTTTTTAAAAAATTATTTTTTATTTTGTAAAGTGTCAAAAATTTTAACGTTAATTTTTAAGTTTATTTTTTAAAAAAAAATATTTTTTTTATTTTTTGTAAATGTCAAATGTATTTTAACGTGTCAAACGGTTTTTGTAAATTCTAGTAATTTTGGTTCCGAGGGGCGTAGACCCTTGGTACCGAATTACTAGATACTAACTTCTTAAAGAGACAGATACATCTCAATTCATGATAAACAACTGTAACATCAATATTGGCTCTTGATACGACTATTTCAGTAAAATAACGATTATAATGATCAATCAAATGATTATGCAATTCCAAGCATTGAAGAACTTGACACAAAATCTCGTTTATTGGATCAGTATAAAGAAGATGTTCAGGAAATGAAGAAACGATTAGTTTGGGATTTAACCTTTGCATTAAAGCGCAATTTATGTTCCCAGATTAACAACAATGACTATTCAACATCTTTTGCAAATGTTCCAATTGAGTTTATTATATCAAAACTTGATGAAGAAAATCCCCAGCAAAGTCAATGGATTTCATTCATAATGCGTCATCTTCTTAATTATGATTGATTTATAAATACTTATTTTCGTGATATGATATAAATTTTTATTATTAAATGAGATATTAAAATTAATTATTAGTTAGTATGTTTTCTCAAATGAAAAAAATATTTGGGTTCCTTATTCTATGTTACCTGGGAGCATGAAAAATCTCAAAAACATAACAAACATCATCCTCAATTGATTTTTCTATTAATAAAATTGCTATACAATATACAAAGTTGGAGGGAAATAATTACTCCAAACAAATGCACAATAAATATTTGTGACAGGGAAAGTTGGGGAAATATTCTCAGAATCAATAATTTCAAAGGTATCCTTGGTTTGGGAAATTTTTTTTCACAAACTTTCATTTATATGAATGTTCTAAAAATAAAGCTTATTTACCAGCCTGTAGAAGAATCAGATGGGTATCGTGTGCTCGTAGACCGTCTTTGGCCTCGTAGAGTCAAAAAGGAAGCTTCAAAACTTGATGAATGGAATAAAGATGTAACACCATCAACTGAGATTCGCAAAATGTTCAATCATGAGGAAGAAAAGTTTGATGAGTTCAAAAAGTTGTATGTAGATAAACTTAATAAAAATTCAAAAGCTGGTGAATTTGCTTACAAAATTAGAGATTCTTGATATGGAATTTTCCGCAATCAATAAAAATTCCCTTTGAATTTGAAGCTTTCATTTCGATTTCAATGATTTTCTTATCAGCATTAAAATTCATAATATTTCTAGGGATATTTAGATAAAACTTAATACCTTTGAATGAAGTACAACGATTGAGACATGTTAAGTTGAATGTGATTATATCACTGCTATCAAAAGGAAATAGTAGATATTGTAGATTTGCACAATTGTAGAAAGAATTTGAATCAATGATCATATTGCTATTTAATTTGTTAAATTTTATAGTTTCCAAATGTGAACAATTAATAAAACTTTCACTTTCAATCATTTGCAAGTCCGAATAAAACTCGATGCTGTTCCCATTGTATCTTTCGAAAACACTAGATTTTACTACTCTAAGTTTTTCTGGCATTTTAATAGCGGAAGTACAAGCATAAAATAAGTTATAATTTGGTGTTTCAAACATATCATTTTGAAAGATGATTGATCTGCATAAGCACTGATAGAAAGCGTCTATCTTAATAGTTGTAATTTCTTTTGGTATCACCAAATCATTATTAGTTCTATAACCTCTGAAAGCTTGACTTTCAATAGCATGACAATTAGAATTGAAAGTAAAATTATTTTGATAATAACTTGGGATCCAATATAAAGAATTTAAATTAAAACTATATATACAGTTATCAAACATCTTCAGATGAAGATTTCTAGGATCTATTGTTATGGTGAGATTATCCATGAGGTTAAAAGCTCCCAAAGAGATCATACAGTTTTGAGGAATGAAAATATTTTTCACTGGTGTGAGTTGGGCAACGGCATAACCAATAAAAGCCAAAAGGCTATTTTCTGAAATAATTATGTTTTCAAAAGACTTACAAAAGCAAAATACTCCACCTATAACTTCATTATCACCGTGTCCACGAATATATTTTACAGAATCAGGAATAGTAATATTTTTAAGTTTAGAGTTATAAAAAGCCGCAGAATCAATACTTAATAATTCTCCATTCATTGGAAGAAAAATCTGATTTAAATTAGAATTCTGAAAAGCTCCAGAACTTATGTTCTTTAAATGATTGCACATACTCAAATTAACACTTACGAGCTTTGTGAATGATGAAAATGTACCAATACCAAGTGTTTCCAATAAGGAACCTGTTTCGAAACTTAGGTATTTTAATACATTACAAAGAGATTCAAGTGGACGCTGTGTAATAATCAGACGATCTTTCACTGTGCTATCTTTTATTTTGACTACATTTTTCGGGATTTCAATTGATTCTGCTGGACTTGCTTCAATAAGTATGGTTTGTTGTTCATCTTCATACTTGAATTCAATTAATAGTGATGAGAATAACAATGAAAAAATCACTTATTGAAGAATGATTTTTAAAACGAAGAACAAATAAAATGTCAATTTTTTGATCTTAAATTTAAGAGTGCACTGTAATCGGTTTGACACTCGCACATTTTTTCCCTTGAGTTTCGAGATAATTTTCCATGATTTTTATGGACATATGGTAATATATCAATATATGATCAATCCAAATAATTGTTCCCATCGTGCTTGGCATATTCAAAATATGTTTCACACTTTTTCTGAGAAGCTTCAAGCCGATATAAAGTGTGAATACATGTTTTAATAGGTTCTGATACTTTTTTCGGGCTTATTATATAAGCCCGTAAAAAGTGTCAAACCTATTTCCATATTCGATTGACTAGTCAATCTGTTGTTTCAATATCTTTTTTAAATTTATTATGCCAAAATTTTACTTTGATATCATTGGGTAATTCAATTATCATTAGGATAGATGGAAACGTTTTGCCTTAAACTTCAATTGATCGAAACTGAGGGCTTTGGCAAACCGACAACAGTACACGATTAACGTATTTGATTTTTATTTCAATTGACAGAATACTCTGACTTTGAAAGTACATAGATATTAAACTTCTAAAGCTTATTAATGATATAAAAAGTCTAAAAATTTACAAAACAAAACAAAAAATTAAAAAGAATGTTATTCAATGGAGTCATAAAGACATTTGATTCTTCCATAAACATTAATAACATTATCCATGCTCTTATTCCATGCATTTTTCAGAATTTGGAATTTCTCCCAATCAACGAGTGTCTCTTCTTTCAACTCCATGAGAAAATCTGAGTTGACAATGATAGAATTGATGTTGAAGTACTCTTCTGAATCAGAGAGAACCTGTAATAGTGAAATACATGTCTTCCTATATTCTCGATCTTCTATTTTACGAAGCATATCAGCCTCACGTTGTAAAAGACCACCATTTCGAACTCGAGAAACCAAACTTGATAAAACGGAATCCCCATGTCTTGATTTCGTGCAAACAATGCGAATAAACTGGATGGCTTCATTCCTGATTTGATATGTCCTGTTGTAATTTGAAAATGATGTAGGAACAACTCTCAAATTAACTTCAAGTTTGACAGGAGTATTAAGACATTCTATAATGAAATCTGCAAATCCTTCGTCATAAAGAACTAATGGAACTCTTCTATCGGTACATGTCAAGATTGCCGAAAGCATTGTCATCCTCCATTTTCTTTCACTCGGATAGTTTTCAACAATGCTCATGTCAACACTTCGCTTTTTAACAGCAGCTTTTATCTTTTCATATGCTGTCCTAGCAGAATTAATGAATGCTTTTGGAATGGTCAAAAAGCTTTCTGGAAGTGTCGGTCTTTGCAAAATCTTCAGACTTAAATGGACACAATCTTGTCTGTTTGAATTTGCAAATTCTCGATTGATGAAATCAAATAAAGGAGTATATAAATCCCATTTGTGATTTTCCCAAATAGAGATAACGCTTTTCAGTAATGAAACTTCTTTGACACCAGTTCGAACAAGATATTTAGCAACAACAGTCATTGATTCCTGGAATGCCTGAGATGTTTGTCCTGTCATCGAAGTAACAATACTGATTGGAGAAACTTCAGCAACTGACATTGTTGTAATTAATGTTGGTTCAATAACATTATTAGTTTCGATGTTCTTTATCATAGAACTAAAGTTCTTTGCATCGAAGCTTATAATGTTGAGGGATTCTAATTGGTCAACAATATCAGGGCAATTAATGACAACTGCATATATTGAAGAAATTCCATTATTGAAAATATCAGTTAATGCGCTTCTTGCTTGTCTGAAAATCGGAAGTTCTTCTTTATATCCCCAAACTGTATATTGGGAATATTCTGGAACTGATGAACTCGTGCAACTTAATAAAGCTTCGATTATTCCTGATCTCATCATTGATAAAATTACATTGAAAGATTTAGAGAGCATAAATCTTCTCGTTAATTCAATCATTGATTGCTTCTCAGCAAATGGTTGAACGCCAGATTCGATATGATATGCAAATGTTGTGAAAATGAAATCACAATATAGTTCTGGAGCATTAAATGAAAGCATTTCACTACAAAGTTCTAATGCAGCCAATCTAACTGGTGGAATTGAGAAAACTAATGATTGTTCAATTTTATGGGAAATTCCAAAATCAAACAACAACTGCCTTGTATCATCATTTCTGTACGCTTCGATGAATATCTTCATGAAAGATAAAGCAGAAGTGTATCTTTTGATACTTTTCTCTTCAAACGCAAGTGAGAAATCTCGAAGATTATCATAAAATTGAACAAAATTCTTGCAATAAAACTCAGAAACTCCCATCTTCTTATGAACATCTGGCGATAATTTGAGGAAGAAGAAATCAACTAATGGTTTCATTTGTTGATGTAGAAAAGCAAAAAGAACATGAGATTCATGCCATCCCCAAATTCCAGTTGCAATTCTCTTGAAACTTGGAAAAACTCTAATGAATAAATCATTTGAAATAACTCTTGATCTGAAGAATTGATGGAATAAATGCAAAACAGCTGAAAAAGCAGCATCTTCTTTGACATCTTCTCCTCTTTCAAATCTTAAACTTAAACAGTTGATAACATAATTAACAATTCTATCGAAGTATTCTTGATCAAAAACTTCATTGACAATTGTTGCAGTTGAATGGTTTTCAATTGGGAAAGGAATGTTAGAATCAGTTGGATTGATAAATGCGTCTAAAATGTTAACAGCTGTCAAGAGAGTTGGTGCTGAAGCTGGATTGATTTTCAGTTCATTCTCGATATGATTGCAAAGATTTCCAAATATAGCGCTGACAAATATTGAGTAAGGTGTACTGTGAACAATATTTACAGCGTTTGCTTTGGCTCTGTTGCATAATCCTAATGGAATATTGAAGAATGGATGATCTAATAATTGTCTCACAGTTGGCCTTCTTTCTGGATCGAAATCAAGACAAGCAGTAACAATATCAAAGAGACTTGTAATGCTATCAATTTCGAGCAATTTGTGAAGAACATCATTCTTTGCTGTGAAGAATGGAAATGGATGAAAATCTAAAGATTCAATTGGATCATAGTAGAACAGAGGAGACTTGAGAATTTGGATGATATCAACTTTCTTGTATTTCTGATATTTCTTTAGGACAGCATGGAAAGAAGAAGGAACTTGACCAGTGAAAATTATAAGCAGCAAAACACCAAATTGATAAATATCAAATGCTGATGTGTATTGTTTTTCATCAAAGTATTCTGGTGGAAGGAAATATTCAAATTTTTCTTTCCAATGCAAATCTGGAGGTTTCGTTCCAGGGAATTTTGCATCTGCCAAAGTTAATAATTGGACAGTTGATCCATCTTGGGAGATGATCCAATTGGAAGGAAGACAGCTCCTCAAAACAATCTTCATTTTATGCAAAGATCCAATAATAATCAATATCTGCATCAACCAATATCTTGCAACTAAGAAATTCTGAGGATTTCCTCTTGTGAAATGATCACTTTCAAGGAAATAAGCCAAAGGAACATATCCAGTCGGATATTGCTGCATCAACTGCATTCCATCTTTCGAGATACAAACAATGCTGGGGCATTGATTGATATGTCCCATTCCTCTATTGATACTTAATTCGTCAATTGGAATTTCTTCTTTGAGAGGAATAATCTCCGCATTTTCGATTTCTTTGTCATAAGAGCAATATTTGACATTATTCGATGGGATGTCAAAATCTCTGTGTGATCTGTATCTGTATGCTTCGAACAATGGATTTGGAGTTAATCCATATGGTTTCTCGATTAACTTTGGAAGCATAATTGGCTTCGAAATCTCCGGATAAATGTCTGGAATAACAACAAATTTCGTTTGTTTCTTAAGATACAAAGCGGGAGGACTTCCAGACATCTTGATTCTGTTTTTGATGATGTTTTCGATCTCGTTCAGCCTATGAATAACATATGCATTGTATTCATTGGCAGCAGATTTCATGTAAAATGCTGGGAAAGTCAAATCCAAAGTTTGGATATTTTCTCTGAAAATGTTGAAGTCTTTCAATTCAGAAGACAAAAGTGTTGCCACTGCCTCTAAACCAATGATGATATCTTGAGTATTAAATGTCAATCCTGACAAACATTTGTACTTTCCAACACTTGCTGAATTCTTCATATTTGTTCTTGAAATCAATAAATGAATGAATTTATCTGTTGTATCAATTGAAGGATTCATCATCATTGTTTTAGAAATGATGTTATAGAGTTCATAAACAGACAAGGTATCTTTGAAGATTGTCAAATACTTGATCCATCTTCTATAAGGGCTTTGCAACATTATCTTTGCATATTCTGGATTTGGTGTTGATTTGAGTCTATATAAATTATATCTCTTTTCAACTTCAGCGCTGATTTGTTGATTATACAAAGCATCACGATCAAACTGAACTCTTGATCTTGTAACAAGTGGATAAACTTTGAAGAAGTCTTCGTCAAAGATTCTTCTGCAAATTACATGCGGAGATGTGAAAAATGGTGGTAATTTCATCAATGGAACTTGATATGCTTTCACAGGATATTCAATTATAACCATGAAAATGAAATTCACATCTCCATTTGTGCAGCAAGTAACAACCAAAAATGTTGTTGTAGAGAATTGAATAACTCTAAGATAATTTGCTGGAGAAATCATTCTGTGTTCCCAAATTTCAACGAAATCATCTTTTCCGTACTTTGGACGGCTTAATATTTCTGCGAATGTTTCTTCATATAATGGTTGGAGTTTTGGATCAATGTTTTCTTTTGGAATGACAACTTGGTACTGTTTTCTTGCCAATGCCAAAATCTTTATCTTTGCATTTGTCATTCCAAGAATCCAAAGTTGTCTCCTTCTGTTGTATTGAACACTTATGACAGGACTTTCGAATTTAATTGTTTGTCTCTTAGTAATATTCTCTCCATTCCTATCATATATCACAAAATAACAGCTATTTCCGCCATATTTAACAAGAAATTCCTTGGAAATGAAGATTTGTGTGTTTTCATCACCATAGTCATTAAATTTGTCATAAGTTATTTCCCAGAATCTGTTCATGAGATATGGTTTCGAATATTTGATATCGTAAACGATATATCCGTTTGGATTTCCATTTGTGAACAAAGGAATGATCTCTCCAAGTGGTAATTCATCTGGTAATTTGATGTGTTGATCTAATAATGGTGAAAATGTCAAAGCATCTAATAAAACATAATTAGAACGAGTGACTCCACAATAAAGCCAAAGATATCCAAATTTATCGACATAAAGATACTTCCTTTGGCAGAGAAGAGTTGGTTTGGACAATATTCTCTTTGGTTTGATAAAGTTTCCATGTTCAAAAACGGAAATTGTCCAATCATCAAACAAAAGATAAATTCTGCCGCAATATTTGTCGAATGCAGAATCAATTAAATTTGCATCGGCTTCAATATGAAATGATTCATTATCTGTTTCATTTTCATGAATTGTAAGCATCGAAACACTCTTTCTGCAAACAACAAATAATCTGTATGAAGGTTCATGAAAATAGAACCATCTTGCAAATGGAATATTATGTCTGTAGTATGGCGTAAACAAATAGAAGTTAGATTGCACTTGTCTATTCATAAATTCTGTATTTTTGCTTTTGATTTGATCGATCATATCAAATTTGTTAAATAATTTCTTAGGTATACTTGATACAAGATTGTATGCCCATTTGTATAATGATTCTCGTTCTTTTAGCATTGCATCTATCTGATCATCTCGAAATTTTCTCATATTTTGATCTTTCCATGGAGGTGGAAGTTCTGGTACAATAAATCGACGTTTTGAACGATGTGGTATTCCAGTTCCGTTTAGATCTGCATTTAAAGTTCCTGTTATAATTTTTCTTTTTCTTTTTCGTTCTTCTGATTCACTATTCTGGCGTAAAATAGTTCTCCAGAATCTTTGTATTTTAATGGCTGCTCTTGACTTAATATATTCATTTAGTTGCTTCTTATATAAATAATAACGAAATAATCTTTGGATTTTAACAGCGCATTTGTATTTCCTAAACTTGAAATTATGAATTGCTTTCTTTGCGAATCTCTGGAGTATATAAACCTGATTTTTATTCAGATTTTCTAATTCCATTTCATTTACAAATTTTTAAACGTTCACTTTTTATTTACAAAGATTTTAAAAAATGACATGTCCATATAAGCTTACAGATTACTTTAATGATCCAATACTGCTTAATCTATCAGTATCTCATCCTATCCAATACAAATTCGACAAAGTTTACGGCATTCAGTGGCAATATCGCTGTGGCGGAAATCAAAATGACCCAGAAGCAGTAGTATTTTTGCCAGGAACATATGAAACATGCTCTTCATCTATATATATTCTTGATAAACTTATTAAACAAGGTTATCGCGCATTCGCATTAGATTTAGGTGAATATATGAAGTATAAACAACTTGCAAAAGGTTTTGATCAGTTTTGTGCTCAGTTAAACATTAAAAAGGCGCATCTAATAGGTTCTGATTTAGGAGGTTTTTACGCATTACAAATCGCATCTTATCCAAAACTTGAGACTCAAATTAAATCAATTACGTTAATTAACGCTTTTACATCTACAGATGTTTACAATAAGCCAGGATTTGTAATTGAAATTTTGGGAGATTTAGGAGCCAAACCAATCTTACACTCTGAAATTAAGAAACTATACCCTAAAGAAAATCCATCCCCAACTGCTGTTTTTATTGATAATGAACTTGATAAAGCAATAGCTGAGATTCTAAAGGCAAGAATTAAAATTAGAAAGGCAACTAACTTGCAAATTAATCCAAGATGTGAATTAGCAGCTATTATGTCAATAGAGACTCTTGATAAGCGATTTGTTTTCCAAGAAAAATTTTTGCCATCAATTGCAATTGAAGGATGCAAACAAGCATTGATGAAGGATGGTGGTGATTGGCCACATATACAAAATCCAGATGATACATTCCATTATATTACAGCTCATCTCAGGAAATGGGGAAAGATACCAAATCTTGAAACAATTCAAGACGGAACTGATGAAAGGCATGAAGACTAATGTATTCTTTATCTTTGCATCCAAATATTATGATGAATTTATTTTTTGTTCTCTTAATTCTTCTTTTAATCTTCTTTCTGAATAAAATCCATAAACAGATTTAAAATTAAACCTTAAGATTAAGATTCTTCTGCATTTTAAGAAGAAATTAATTTTAAAATTAGAAATGAGATATTTTTAAACAGTATTGATATCAATATTTATTTGTTGGGCCCATATGTCAGTATCTACTTGATTGAAATATATAATTAAGTTTCATATTTAATCTAGATTGTGATATATTCTTTACTTCTTTGAATACACAGGTGCAAAGCAAGACGTTGTCCTAAAACCATCTAAGTACCTCATCCGGGTATGGGGCGCGCAGGGTGGCTGTATCAACAACAAGAGTTCTGGTCTTGGTGCATACACAGAAGGAGTTTTCGATGTCAAACATCAGACCAAATTGAATGTTTATGTTGGCAGTCACGGTCACTGCGACACTAAAAAACTCACCTCCAATTTTTATAATTCTGGAATTAATTTTGTCGGAAGTTCAAAACTTCCTTCTTGCACAGGTGGTGGATCGACATTTGTTAGTGTAAATGATAATATATCTGATGTTCTTATCGCTGCTGGCTCAGGTGGTGGTTCTGGATTTTGGAATAATACCGAAAGCCCCGGAGGCTATGGTGGCTATATCGGACAAGAAGGTCAAGACTTTTATTATAATTTGTTTCATGCTGGAGGTGGGACACAAGATAAATGTGGCTCTGAGTGTATTTATGATTATGAGGGAACTTACTGTGTATCATCTTCTGGTGGTTTTTTGACAGGCGGTGTTGCAAATGGATGCAAGGGAGGGTCGTCAGGAGGTGGAGGAGGTGGTTATTATGGTGGTGGTGGTGGTGTAGACGTCAGCGGCGGCGGTGGGGGAAGTAGTTTCGCAAGAAATGATTTAGAATCTGTCATATTCTATAACGGAAGCGAAATTTTCAAATCTCCTTCCGGCACTCTCGAGAAAGGCCGTACTGGCCATGGCCTTATAATCATCCAACGCCTCTTTGCTTGTTCTGCCATAAAATCATACTTCAATATTAACTTTTCTCCATTTTTACTATTCGTATTGTTTGATATGAAATAAAAATTATCGAAACTATGATCATTTATATCAGATATTACAAATAGGTGATGTTTGCAAGCTTTTATAAAGATGGTGATAATTGAATATATACTCAAAGTTCATATATCGTATTCAAAAGAAAATATTATTTTTAAAATTGATGACTTAGCTAGTGATAATGTATTTTTATATCATTTTAAGCTTTGTCCTTGAGAAATCATGCAATATTTGATTCATATTTAATCTAAGGTGTGAAATATTCTTTACTTCTTTGAATACACAGGTGCAAAGCAAGACGTTGTCCTAAAACCATCTAAGTACCTCATCCGGGTATGGGGCGCGCAGGGTGGCTGTATCAACAACAAGAGTTCTGGTCTTGGTGCATACACAGAAGGAGTTTTCGATGTCAAACATCAGACCAAATTGAATGTTTATGTTGGCAGTCACGGTCACTGCGACACTAAAAAACTCATCTCCAATTTTTATAATTCTGGAATTAATTTTGTAGGTCTTGATAGCAATATCTCTTGCACAGGTGGTGGATCGACGTTTGTCAGTGTAAATGATAATATATCTGATGTTCTTATCGCGGCCGGCTCTGATGGTGGTTCTGGATTTTGGATAAAAACAGAAAATTCGGGAGGCTACGGGGGTTATTCAGGACAAGAAGGACAAGATTTTAGTTTTAATCTATATCATGCTGGAGGTGGGACGCAATATAAAGGTGGTTCTGGGACTACTTTTAATGTAAATGGATTTTATTGTGTTTCAACTCCTGGCGGTTTTTTGACAGGCGGTAACGCAAATGGATGTTCAGGAGGATCGTCAGGAGGTGGAGGAGGTGGTTATTATGGTGGTGGTGGTGGTGTAGACGTCAGCGGCGGCGGTGGGGGAAGTAGTTTCGCAAGAAATGATTTAGAATCTGTCATATTCTATAACGGAAGCGAAATTTTCAAATCTCCTTCCGGCACTCTCGAGAAAGGCCGTACTGGCCATGGCCTTATAATCATCCAACGCCTCTTTGCTTGTTCTGCCATAAAATCATACTTCAATATTAACTTTTCTCCATTTTTACTATTCGTATTGTTTGATATGAAATAAAAATTTCAAATCATCTTTTAACAGTTTATAACATATTTGTTCAACATGTAAATTAGCAGATATAATACCAATTGATATACTTCATATATCGTTCGTAATCCAACAAATTGTTTTGCCATTAATTGAAAATGTGCGACATTGCCAAATGATAAAATAAGATTGTGGCCATTAGCTACATATTCAAAGTCTGAATCAGATTTCCCATGGGATAAAATATATCCATTTAAAAATGAGAGAATTCGATAACTTTTTTCATTAGATATATATTTTCAATGTCATTTAATGCTTGATTCCTGAGAAACGAAGAGATATTAGAATCATATTTAAATCAGCATCTGAGATATCAGTTATCTCTTTAAATACACAGGTGAAAAACAAGATATTATTTTAATCCCATCTAAGTACCTCATCCGGGTATGGGGCGCGCAGGGTGGCTGTATCAACAACAAGAGTTCTGGTCTTGGTGCATACACAGAAGGAGTTTTCGATGTCAAACATCAGACCAAATTGAATGTTTATGTTGGCAGTCACGGTCACTGCGACACTAAAAAACTCACCTCCAATTTTTATAATTCTGGAATTAATTTTGTCGGAAGTTCAAAACTTCCTTCTTGCACAGGTGGTGGATCGACATTTGTTAGTGTAAATGATAATATATCTGATGTTCTTATCGCTGCTGGCTCAGGTGGTGGTTCTGGATTTTGGAATAATACCGAAAGCCCCGGAGGCTATGGTGGCTATATCGGACAAGAAGGTCAAGACTTTTATTATAATTTGTTTCATGCTGGAGGTGGGACACAAGATAAAGGTGGTTCTTCGACTACTTTTGATGCTAATGGATTTTATTGTGTATCATCTTCTGGCGGTTTTTTGACAGGCGGTAATGCAAATGGGTGCTCAGGCGGATCGTCAGGAGGTGGAGGATGTGGTTATTATTATGGTGGTGGTGGTGTAGACGTTAGTGGCGGTGGTGGGGGAAGTAGCTTTGCGAGAAATGACTTAAAATCTATTATTTTTTATAATGGAAGCCAAACTTTTAATGCCCCCTCAGGGTCTCCCGAGAGAGGCCACTCAGGTCATGGCCTTATACTCATCCAACATCTCTTCTTTATATCTGCCATTAAAAAATATATTGACTTTTCCCAATTTTTGTTTCTCAATTTGATTGAATCAGAATAAAAGCTTGTGTATTTTACATTTTTCAATGAGATTATAGATATTTGTCAATATCTATTATTTTATATACTTAAATATTTCAAATTTTTCATGGAAGAATTGCCTGAGATTCAATATCGATTGGCAAGGCTCTCAGAAAATGATATAGACGATACAGTATCCTATTTGATTAGCTTCTCACTTTCCAAAATTGAAAATCTTAGTATAATCGCTCGACAAATTATAAAATTTTCCGCAATTCGAGTAAATTCATGCGATATTTACATTAAACTTATATCAAAATTGGAAGAAGATGATTCTATTAAAGATAGAATGAAACAAGAGCTTGAAAAATATATTATCAACAGATTTACCTATCATTATATGGACAAATTTTTATTATCCCTCGTCAGAATTTACATACAGCAGAGCATCATTAGTTTTGAGCCAATAAAGACATTTCTAGAAAAAATTGATTATCAAGATTTTCATATTATATATCCATACTATATTCTTTTCTTATACGAATTCTTTCCTGAAAGTGAACAATACAGATACAAGCACATATTTATGCAATATCAAACCAAATACCAAAATCTTCAAGATTTTCCATTAAATATCGATATTGATAATTTCAAACCTTCGACATGCATTTCAGGTGATCAAGAAGACTCTCTATACATGTCAATCAAGAACGATGACTTTGAATTATTTTCAAGTTATACAACTCTTCCAAATTTCACAGTTAATGATCACATAGATTACAAACCATTAGACCCATACTTTCCCTATATTACTGATCCAACGTCGATAAATGCTGCCGCATTTTTTGGTTCAAAAACGATTTTTAAATTTTTAATATCAAATAACGCAGATATCACTCAATTTACTGCAATGAATGCTGTTGCATCTGGTAATACTGAGATAATTAGAATATGTTTCCAGCATAAACTACTTGATTTCAAATGTATTCCTTATTCTTTGAAATTTTACAGACATGACATCTATCATTGGCTTTTAGACATGCCAAACATAAAAATACCAATGAGTAACTTGATAAAAACAGTTGCTCCTTATGGTGATGCTTATATTTTGAAGGAATTAATTGAAGAATTTAATGTTCCTGCTATTAACGTTTATAAGATATTCATATTAATGGGTGATTATGATCTTGTTCGATTTTACCTAAATTATAATCCAAATATCAATGAAATGGAAATGAAAGAATACGCGTTTCTTTTTTCAGCGAATGATGGTGAAATGATTGATCTTTTACTTTCTATACCAGGTATTAATGTCAATGTTGTTAATTATGATAAGGAAACGTTTCTGCACAAGCTTGTTGAAGCAAATAATTACAAATATCTCCAAAAGTTTTTAGATATGGGTGTTATTGATTGCAATGCTCAAACAAGAGCAGGTGAAACACCTTTGCACTGGGCTGCTCATAAAAATGATTTAATTTCAATTCAAATTCTGTTGAATCATGAAAAAGTTGATCCAAATATTACTGCTAAGAACATGAGAACCGCTTATGATATATCATTGATTAATAAAACTCCCGAAATTCTCGAGTTATATAAGAAATGTCCAAGAATGGAGTTTAATTAGTCATTTGATAACTGTTATTATATTGACATGTATTGTTTTGTAATAAATATATAACTATCTTTATGATTTCTTTGTTTTTCATTGAATTTGAATTAGAATCAAGAAATAAATAATATTAGTAACAAAATATATCAGCAATATTTAATGTATGGTAATTTAGTCATTTGCTGAGTATTCATGATATCTCTGAGTCATTAGTATTTATGTGATTGAGGCCAATTACTTTCAGCATTTGTTTTATGTAAGCTGCATCTAAGAAGTGAACCTAAATCAACCAGTATTAAGATGTAATCAGAATATCCAATTGAGTAGAATCGCGTTAGCCTGAATTTTTTATATTATTATTCATTATCATAAGTATCAAAGCTAATGTAACGTAAATATAAGCATTTTATATTTCACATTTTTATGTCACTCAGTAAGAATCTTATACCTTCGGATGATGCCCAAACTGTTCGAGCAACAGGCAAAGGAGTCATCGAAATTGATCTCCTTCCACCTAAGGTTGTTAAAAACTGTAGATTTCTATACGTTTCTTATAATTCAATTTCAAATCTTCAAAATATCACACAATTTCGATTTATGCAATCTCTTATGATTGAGTACAACTTGATCGAAACTATTGAAGCATTGTATCCTCTTGCACAACTTACAAAATTACGCACAATACGTTTAGAAGGAAACCCTGTCTGTTTCCTTCCATTATGGGAACTTCAGTTAATTAAAATTTGTCCGCAAATTGTATATATAAACGGAATGGACGTTAATACAATACTTAAATCGAAAGAATCTCGTATTAAGCTTGATTACCTTGAACTAGAGCGCAATTTTATACAAGTCATCTATCTAGCAGAATATGTATGCAGATCTATCGAAATTGTTCTCCAACATCCTGAAATGTCGTTTACAGATTCAAATAATTTAGTTGACCTTCCACCAGAAGAAGAATTCTCTCAGCAAGTAAGAAAGAGATGCAGAAATGCTCGTCCTAACCAATACATGAGCCAATTAAAAGGAATAATTATCGAAACTCACAAGCGCGTACAAGAATTATCAAATTCCTGCCCAGCAATACCGAAAACATCAATCAGACAACACAGAAAAGTACTTGCTACAGCCTCACAGAAAAATTCTGTTCTTCAATTTACAGAAGCAGTTGATCCACTTTCTTCAGCTGCTCTCTTCTTGGTTGGTATCGGAGATGGTGTACAATTGAGTCCTGATGATTGTATGAGCGTTACTTCTCAAATGAGTCGCAAATCAATTGTATCAACTGCATCAACAGCTTCTACATCATCTAGAGCACGTTCTGTACTTAAAGGAGTGAAGAAAGTCAATGATGCTCAAAAGAGAAGACCATCAGGAAGCACAGCGAACTCTCAAATCAAAGATGAAGAAAATATTAATAATAATCCAAACGGAGAGTTCGAAGTTGACATGAATAACACATATAATGATGATAATATGCAACATTCAGATGATGATTATGATGAAAACGATCAGAAATTAAATAAAAATCAAAATGAAGGAGAAGAAGAGGAATTTAACGAAGATAATATCAATAAGCATAATAGTGACATAAATAGCAATACAAACCAACAAAATTCCAAAAATAATAAAGAAAATATTGAGATGAATCAAAATGAAGAGGAAGATAACCTTGATTCGGTTGATGAGAATGATCAAGATAAGAACCATGGTAATCGAAACGGAATTAATGAAGAAGAAGAAAATGATGATGAAAATACCAACAAAGATAATGAAAATCTTGAAGAAGAAGAGGACTATGATGATGAAGTAGATGATATCAATGGTTTCCAGCAAAAGAATGATGTTAATTCTAAAAATTCTGGATCAACCGGCAAAAATTCTCAAAATGAAGATGGAAAACTTCAATCCAATGCTAAAAACTATGGAAAGAATGGACTTTCAGATGAAAATGATGAAGACAGAGATCAATCAAATAATTTATCTCAGAAAAACAAATTAAACGGAAACCAAACTGCAGGAAATGGTAAGAATTCCGGAAAGAATAGTTATTCTGATGAAAATGATGAAGAAAAAGAAAATTCATTTGATAATCTTCAGAAAAATGGATTAAATGGAAACAAATCTGCAACCAATGGTAAGAATGGCTCCAATGGACAAGGATCTGATGAAAATCAGTCAGATTACAACAATTCAGAAAATGATCCAAATCAAAGCCTTGAAAAAGAAGGAAAACTTGATAAAAACGGTCAAACTAATTCGAATGAATACAACAGTGATGATAATTTATTAAAAGGAGCACATTCAAAACAAAATCAAAATGAAGAGGAAGAAGATAATTTATCAGGTGAAGAAAATGATCAAAACATTGGCAATAAGAGGAAATCTCACTATTTCGATGAAGAAGAAGACCTTTACAATGATAATCCAAATTATTCCAAAGAAGATGAGATAAATTTGGATTCAAACGATCATCCAAAGTCCAGTTTCCATTCATTTGAGTTAGAAGAACTCAGAGCGCAACAAGAAGCTGAAGAAAACGATTACGAAGAAGAAGATTTCAATTTCGAAGAAGTTGAACCACCGAAATACGACGGATCCAAGCGAAACATCCGTAAATACGTTGATAGTGCTGAACAAGTCACGATGCCACTGTTAACTTTGTTCACACAAACCCCATCAAACATTTACAACTCGAGAGCCAGCCAAATTTCACAACCAACGGATAACATGGCATCACAGACAAATACAACACCTCTTAAGGCATCAGATATCAGACAAATTGCTTCTGTTTCTGATGATGACGATAATGACAAATTATTTGAAATTGATGACGAAATTGACAACGAAGAAATGAAAGATAACGATGAGGAAATACAGAAATACAACGATCTAAAGAATGACGCATTAAGATTGATCCAAATGTCTGAAGAAGAAGAAACAAATCAAAATATAAATGATTTACAAAAAGTGACACAAAATTCTGAGGAAGAAGAAACAAATCCAAAATCAAAGAAATATAATAAATTTAATCAAAACTCTGATGAAGAAATACCAAAATCTAACAAATTTAATGTATATATGAATATGTTTGAAGAAGAAGATGAATTAAATCCAAAATCAAAGAATTATAAGAACATTTCTCAAAAACAAAAGAATTTGTCTGAAGAAGATGATGAATTAAATCCAAAATCAAAGAATTATAAGAACATTTCTCAAAAACAAAAGAATTTGTCTGAAGAAGACGATGAATTAAATCCAAAATCAAAGAATTATAAGGACATTTCTCAAAAACAAAAGAATTTGTCTGAAGAAGACGATGAATTAAATCCAAAATCAAAGAATTATAAGAACATTTCTCAAAAACAAAAGAATTTGTCTGAAGAAGATGATGAATTAAATCCAAAATCAAAGAATTATAAGAACATTTCTCAAAAACAAAAGAATTTGTCTGAAGAAGATGATGAATTAAATCCAAAATCAAAGAAATTCAATGGTTTACAAAAAGTGACACAAAATTCTGAGGAAGAAGAAACAAATCCAAAATCAAAGAAATATAATAAATTTAATCAAAACTCTGATGAAGAAATACCAAAATCTAACAAATTTAATGTATATATGAATATGTTTGAAGAAGAAGATGAATTAAATCCAAAATCAAAGAATTATAAGAACATTTCTCAAAAACAAAAGAATTTGTCTGAAGAAGATGATGAATTAAATCCAAAATCAAAGAATTATAAGAACATTTCTCAAAAACAAAAGAATTTGTCTGAAGAAGACGATGAATTAAATCCAAAATCAAAGAATTATAAGGACATTTCTCAAAAACAAAAGAATTTGTCTGAAGAAGACGATGAATTAAATCCAAAATCAAAGAATTATAAGAACATTTCTCAAAAACAAAAGAATTTGTCTGAAGAAGATGATGAATTAAATCCAAAATCAAAGAATTATAAGAACATTTCTCAAAAACAAAAGAATTTGTCTGAAGAAGATGATGAATTAAATCCAAAATCAAAGAAATTCAATGGTTTACAAAAAGTGACACAAAATTCAGAGAAAGAAAAACCGAAATCAAAGAAATATAATAAATTATCTGAAGAAGAAGATAATGTTAATCCAAAATCCAAATCAAAGATCGAACAACAAAATGAAGAAGATATTAATTCTATTTCACCACAAAGTAGTCAAATCAAAGAAGAAAATGAACAAAAGAACACTCCAGAAAACAAATCAGGAAAGAAAGTTGTTTTGAGTGATGTTTCTCCTCAATTTAGACCAAGTTTTGCTGTTGGAAGATCAAAGAACAAGAAAGATATTCCTAAAGTTAATTTCGATTCCGATGATTTGAACAACAACAAACAACTTGAAAACGAAAAATCTCTTCAAACAAGTGAATTCAAGAACAATGAAGAGAACTCTCCAAATGAAAGCGATATTTTGTTCAACGCGAAAGGAAACAAAGCTTCTCCACATACAAGTGATATTTTGTTCAATGATGATATCGAAACTAAAGAAAATAACAATGAAATTGAAGATGTCCAGATAAATAATGTCATTGATTCTTTGACACCTTTGAATTCTGATGTTTTGAGACAGATTGAACACTTAGATCCAGCATCGAATTCATCAAATGATGGAGATAAAAAGAAAGATTTAAGTGTTGTTGAACTCGCTAAAACAATTGAACAAAAAGAATTAACAGACAGCGAAACAAAAATGAGTAGTAATTCATTTGATGGAACTGATGAAGACAACAAATTATTACAAGAATTCGCTTCAACAGAACCATTAATGAATTCTGCAGCAAGATTTGGAGAACCATCATCTCCAAGTTCTATAAAGAAAGACATGAATAAACCTGAAACAAACATCTCATTAAAGAGTAAGAAGAAAGTCAACATAGAAAAAGTTGACCAAAAAACTAAAAATGACGACGAAAAAATGGCTTTGTCAGATATCAGAAATGTTACTGATGGAAGTAATTTCGATGCTTCTCTTGGTACATCGGATAATGGAAGAAGACGTCCAAAGAGTATTCTCAAGACAAGTAGTACTTCGCCTATTAATAAAGAGAATACAAAAAGAATCACTTTTGTTCCTCAAAATACATCAGAAACTATGTCAGGTGAAAATTACAGTGGCGTTGAACCTGTTTTGATTTTGAGAAATGTTGTGAAAAACTATGATTTAATGGACAAATTCTTCTCGAAATGGAAAGGTGAATACAAGAAGAGAACACAGCAGATGTCTAGTGTTATTTCTGATATACAAACACAGGCACATTCTGCTATCATTGAGGAAAGAAAATCAAAGACAATTTCTATTATGCCAATAAATTCAATTCAATCGAATTTCGACACCATCAAACAAATTGCAATTAAACATGAATTGATTAGAAAGATCGATGTTCAAAGAGACATCAACGAAAAATTACGAGAAAGATATGAACAGGCAAAGAGAGAACTGGCTGCAAGACAATCATCAAAGCCAATTCCTCAATCGCCAATGTTCAACAGATCTTCTGCAAAACAAACAAGAGTTGATGATGATGTCATTAATTTCGCAATGTCTACAAGAGCTTCTGTGAGACAATCAACAAATACAAGAGTTAGAACTTCTTTGACAACATCTGGAAATCCTCAAGGAAGAATTACACATATGGATATCTTGAGACTCCAGATGGGTATGTAATTTTTATATGATTATTAAATTGTGTTTTTTAATTTTATAATTTAACCTATTTTTCTCATATTCTATTCACAAAATCTAGAAATCAAAAGATATGATCAAGTTTTTGTCATAGAATTTTCCCGAAGATCATGAAAAATATAATTTTAAATATCTTTATTATTACTTGATATCTTAATAAATGATAATGATTTTATGTGGCTTGGGGAAATGTATCTAGATATCGTATGATTAAAGAGATAATAAAAAATATATAACGAAATAATCAGAGTTTTAAAATAGTACTCAGAGTAAATGTAATGGATAATAAATGTGTCGTAAATTTTTGAATGGTATTAAGCTGGTATTATAATGGTTTGTCGATGAATTGGAAATCATAATTAAATATACTTTGTTCATGCAAGAATGTATGGAGAGTAAGGTTCACTGATATTGATTTTTATTCAGGTTTTGATGGACAGGCCTTGGCTGTCATTTTGTATCCATAAAAAATGAAATTCGGTACTAAATTACAAATACGTTTTTTTCAATGCGTCCTGCTGGAACTCCAACTTTATCAATACCGGACAGTGCCGACTTTGGTTTCTGTCCAGTTGGTGAAACAGCAACGTTTGAAATAACAATCAAGAATACTACTCGTGAAGAAACTGAATTCGTTTGGCTATTTAAAGATCCATTCAAGATTTCTCCATCACATGGAACAATTGCCGGCAAGAAAACACAAACACTAACAGTTTCATTTTTACCTGATACAGCTACTCGCTTTGATGGAACTATCATTTGTCGTTTCGGTAAAAATTTACTCGAATCATCAGAATTAAAGGTTGTTGGTGTTGCCAAAGTACCACATATTTCGCTCAGTACAGAGAACATTGACTTTGGTCGTGTACCAAGTGGTGCAAAGGCAGTTCAATCGTTAACAGTCCATAACTCTGCCCCTGTACCTGCCACTGTTGAAATTGTTTCTGACTTCAATCAATTCCAAGTACAGCCTACTAAAATTCATCTTCAGCCTGAAAGTACTGCGAGCGTTAAAATTCAATTTCACCCAACAAACTTTGACTTCTTCGCTTTTGCTAATATCAACTTTACTACTGCTGGCGGCAACTCTGCTTCCATGCGTTGCAGTGCTTACGTTACAGGCCCAGAAGTCTCAATTGACAAGAATTACATTAATCTCGGAAATGTCCAACTTAAATCTAAGTCATCAAGTATGTTGAATATCCAGAACCACTCAGATCGTCGTGTTTTCTTCCAATTCATGATCGAGCCAACATCTGCATTTTTCTTCGAGCCAAATCAAGGTATTTTGGCACCAAACTATTCTAAGTCTATTCGTATTACATTTACACCTCAATATCCTATTGCTTACTACAGAAGAGTTACTCTTTTGATCCATCAGCATCATCCTATTGCAGTTGATGTCTTTGGCTCAGCCTACGACACATTTACTATTCCACCTCGCCTGAAGATCTCATCGATCGAAGCAAACCGCTGCATTATCGCTCAAGGTTTACAGAATAAGCCACCACATTTACTTCCTAAGATTACGAACCCACAATTACCATCAGTTGATTACATTTCAGCTGATCTTCGTCGTAATGCATGCACACTCCAGTCTGGTGCCCATCTTTTCGACGAATTATTCTCTCATTCAGATCTTGTTACGATGAGTGCTTCCAACTTCGAGTTCGGACAATGCGTACGTGATGTATCCCCTGAACCACAGATCCTCACCGTCAAGAACAACACAGATGCCCCATTAACTCTGTTTTGGCAAACTAATTCCGACGGTTTGGTCTCTGTCGAGCCAGCAACAACAGAAATCGCCAAACATCAGTCCGCAGAACTCAAAGTCAAGTTCAATCCACTCCTTGAGTTCCAATTCATGGGTGCGACGATCGAAGGTTTCGCACAATACAAAGAAATGCGAAACAAGAACATCGTTGAGTTCCCAACGATTCCTTTCTTGTTGTTACCATTTGTCAATGGCCATACAATGGATGATGTCACGTCATTCATCCCAACAATGTTCACAAGCCACAAAACTCTTGTTTTCGCAGGTTCGATCGCCGGAGATTCGAATTACCAAACTTTCTTTGTTGAAAACAGAGGAGATTGTGCATTTAAGTTCGACGTGAGAGTCATTGAAGCCGAGAAACCGGATAAAGGTGCATTGACATCTTCTTCTGCCGCTTTCTCAGTTTATCCACAAGTAGGAACAATAAGAAAAGGATCTTTCCAGATTTTCGTTGTCAGATTCTCTCCAGCACAAAGAGGACATTACCACGCACAATTGTTTGCACAAATCAATGATTCCCCTGCAAACAGTTTCTCTGTTAATCTCAAAGGCGATGCAAGTGTTCCTGCTGTTTCATTCTCAACAATGGGAACTCTTTTCTTGCATCCTGTTTCTTTGGGATCGATTTCCTCCCAAACAATCAAAATCACAAATGATTCAAGTGTTCCAATGCGTTTGGAATGGAAGATTCCTTCCGTTTACTCGAATCTTTTGATTGTCAAGCCACAGACATCCGAAATCAAGTCACACGAAATCATTGACTGTGTCTGGGAATTCCATCCCGATGCTGTTGGTGAATTCCGTGTCGAAGTTGTCTGTAACGTTCAAGCATTGGCTGGATCTTCTCATGCATATGTCGCCAAGCAATTGTTACCTTACATTGTTGGCAATGACGGCATGAACAATGATCCAAGCTTGTTCTCTTCCTTGAGAACTGTTCAACACTATCCATTGACAATTTGCACTTTAGTTACAGATTGTATTGTCAATTCGAAGCCACAAAACATCGATTTCGGATTTGTCAGAATCAACAGTGCAGCTGTTTCAACACTTTCCATTTCGAATCATTCAGATTCGCAGATGCACTTCTTACTGCAATCTTCTTCCCCTCAGAAATTGTTGCAGTTCTCTCCAGCTGATGATGTTTTACCACCGAGATCTTCAAGAGAAGTCGAAGTCAGATTCACTCCGAAAACACCAGGAGATGTCACTGATTCAATCCTTTGCTCCCTCCTCAACGAATCAATTTACCAACAGGATTGCGCTGGCGAAAAGAAGAAGTCAATCGAAAAGTTGATTGTCAAGAGTTCTGTATCAGAAATCTGCAAGATTTCAGGTATTGGATGCTTCCCGCATTTATCTGTTGTCGATGTTTTCTCTCAGAAATACAGTCGATCATTGATCTGGGAAAACTGTTCTTGCAACGCAATCAACGATGAAATGAACTTGCTCGGCTGCAATTCATTGACAGATGACTTGAAACAGTTCGTTGTTGACTTCGGATTCGATACAGTTGATGCAGAACCAACATTGATCTCCATGAGATTCAAGAATGTTGGACACATCGCTTTCAATTTCAGCATCAACTTCCCTAACGATGTTTCAATTGATCCTGAATACTGGGCACTTCCTGATGAGATTGACCCGAACCAACTCAAGCAGGACCAGATCATGCAGGCGAAACTCTTCAAGGTAAGTGAAAAGAAGTTCCATCTCGAGCCAAACGAGTCATGCAATGTCACATTCACTTACTCCCACAAATTCGTTGAATCCCATCAATTACCTGTTGTTTTGTCTGTTCAAAACGGAAGAATCATCAAATTACTTCTCAAAGGAACAACACTTGATCCATCTCTTCCTTACATTGTCAACTATCGCCCTGTCTTCGATCTCCAGCCTGTTCCAATCGGTGCAATGGAGCCTGCTGTCCAACTTATGCAGATCTTCAATGCTTCATTGACAGAAGCAGACTTCAGAATCGATTTGACACAAGTACAAGAGTGCAATGAGACAAACCACAACTTCGAGATCTTCAAGTGCTTGAATCCAATGGGAACTGTCAGACCTCGTGGCTTTGCAAACATCCAATGGATATTTAAGCCATTGGAAGCAATCCAATACGAAGTTTCCATTCTCTGTGTTGTTTCAAACGGAAACTCATTCACTGTAACATTGAGAGGCCGTGGTGTACACACAGATCACGAGGAATGCGCTGTTACATGGGAGACAGCACCTCCTAAGTCGTTGATCATTGAAGACTGCTCTCCAGTCACTTTCAGTGAACAATATTTGATGTTTGGAGACATGCCTGTTTTCGCAACAAAAGACAGAGTTGTCTACATGACAAACACATCAAATATGCCATTGACTTTCGATACGGAGTTGCTCAGTGATTGTGTTAAATTGGAGCCAAGTACAGGAACTCTTGAACCGCATGAATGCCGCAAGATGATTTTAACAATCAACGCACCACAATCTCCAATGATTTACTCCAATTCAATTCCAATCTACTTCTCAGAGCCAAAGGCACCAATGCAACGTCAGCCAACTGCTGCAGAACTCGCAGACGAAGAGCAAATCTTATACTGCGATCCTCCAATTGACACATCCAATGTTAGAAGCAGTAGAATTGGAGCTTTGCAGTCCCTCAGAACAGGAGGAAGAACACAGAACCCCGACGAATGGAAGTCTGTTGGAGAAAGAACTCTCGAATTGTCTCAGAAGACAAAGAACATGAATGCAAGACTTTTCTCAACACACATTGGAAAACGTGGAACAGAAGTTCCTAAAGTCGATGCACCAAAGTATTCCGCAATACAGTATATCGATATTGCTTTCAACGCAATGACAAAGAACGAATACAGAGAGAGATACGGAAGCCTCGATACTTACTTCTTCGCACCAGAAAACTCTACAAAAGCAGAACCAAATGCTCAACATCACGAAGAAGTTGCTGAAGTCCTTGGAGCAATCATTGATGAAACAATTGCTGATGCACAATTGAAGGACTTGTCAATGAAGGGAGCACAGGAGAGAAGATTGCACATCCCTCTTTTCAGTCAGTTGTACCAGAAGGATCCAGAAATCAACGTCCCACAACAAGACGCTCCTTCTTTGGCTGACGCAGAAAATGTCGAGGAGATTCTCCACTCAATTATCGATGAAATCATCGATGAGGCATCTGCTGGTAAGTTCAAGCTCGACAAGGAAATTATTCAGGTATCTGGTTTCAAACAATTAAACTAAATGTTAATAAATGATTTATTTTGATATTAATGATATAATTTTTTGATGTCTTTTTTGCAAATAAATAATTATATTCACGTTATTATACTGTTCTATTCCAGCTCTCTCAGTAAAAGCACTGCATGATTTAGTTAACTAATTTCCGTGAATTTTTGGTAAATAGCAAATATCAAATTCGGATACTATTAAGAGAGTATTTTCACGATTACATGTTTGCCAATATATATTTGTTTTTTCGATTAAAGTTGGCTTTGATTTCTTCTTTTTCTTTTGTTTTAGGCATCTTTTCAATTGGGATTGCGTCATGCGACAAGTGTCAACACAGGATTTCATGAATCTTGCTTTCTGGCGTTTTGCAAGTTTAAGGCTCCAATTAATCATATCTAGAATTTTATAAAAACATCCATAATTGTAAATGGGTTCTTTTTTGCAAACAGATTTGGAATCTCCCTTAAATAAAGGTTTAGGAGCAATTATTGTGCAAGAACATACGCTATTGTTCAAATGTCGCTATGGTTATGCTCTTCGCCAAGAATAATTGCATTACTCGCAATTAGATTCAAAATATTCAGGTAGATAAAATGATGGAATTACGCCTGATAATGCATCTCTTGTCTAATGAGAAGACTAATAAAGTCATCGTCTTATTAAGGCATGAAAATTTTTCCATTACACACAAAACTTTTAAATTTAAATTGTTTTCTAAATCTTTGAAAAAAAAATTCAAAGATACAATAATAAAATTTGTATTTTTGAATCTTGAGCCCATATTAATAATATCATAATTTTTGGTAGTGCATTCAAAATTCTGATAATTTCGATTTTTGAAAGCAGGGCCGAGTCAATCTCTAACTTTTTTCCTCATCTTTAAACTCTTTAGGCCGAATTTTGATTGCTATACTCAATGGAATTTCATTTATTATCTGTTAAATAATCCCTTTCATTAAACGTAGACGATTTTGATTCGAAGCTTCAAAAGATTAAATTAAATGTCGACCGCTGTTACTCAATTAAAAGTTGATTTCCCATACGGGAATTATACCTTTATTAATGGAGAAAATCTAAAGGATGGATATCAACCTATTTGCAGCATATCAAATTGTAAATTTATGTACCCTTGTAAAGACAGCATAACTTGCACACCAATACAGTTAGATCTAAAAGTTGGAAAATATTATTTTGAAGTGTATGGTGCGGCTGGCGGAAATGATAACTACGCCTATTATGATGCTTATGGAGGATATGCCGCACTTCAAGTTTCATTGCTTAAAGAAATACCTTTATTTTTATATATAGGAGGTAAAGGAGGAATGTGGCCAGCTATACATGAGGATGCCTTTAATGGCGGCGGTTGGGGCGGTTCTAAAAATTCCGGCGGCGGGGCCACTGACTTTCGATCTAAATTAGATGAGCTCAATTCTAGATTTTTGATAGCGGGCGGTGGAGGAGGAGCAGAATATGGAATTGGTGAATCATTTGGCGGCGGATTGATAGGTGGTAATAGGCACTATACTCCATATTCCGGTGCCAATCAAACGCATCCTGGAACTTATCGAGAAGGTGATACAATATATTCTGGAAGTTTTGGCTCCGGTTTCTCTCAAAAAAACTTAGAAATTAGAACCTATCCAGGTGGTGGTGGAGGCCTCTACGGTGGGAGTACTGCAGCTGGTGGATCTGGTTTTGTTTATACTGAAGGCAGATTGACCACTGAAATTATGGCTTTACCCCCCTCAATAAAAGTCGATAATCCTGAAATTGGTTATTCACGCAATACAGGATACGGATATGCTATCATTACATCATTGTCTCAATCTGAATGCAAGTGTGTGCAAAAATGCTTTTGTTCAAATGAACGTTTGCTTTTAAGGAATGTTCAAGCAGTTCCTTTCATGTATAGTTATTTGTTTAAATCTTAATTTGATAAAAAATTTACATCAGAAATTTATTAAGCCTTTTTCTTTGTTGACTAGCAAATTCTTTTGTGTGTACTTATAATTTTCTGACATGCTCTCAAAAAGTGTAATAGAAAATAAAACTTTCATGGGAAAATTAAGAGTATGTCAGAAAATGTTAAGTTTTATGTTATTCTCTGAACATAAAAACCCTGAGCTGAATTAAATTAAGTAATCACGCATAATCATTCTTTAATTTGATTCTCATGATTGAGAATAATATTGTTTATATTGATTTTATCTTATGAGTGATCTTGAAACATTGATGACAGACTTTATGCTCACTATTAAGATCTATCAATATTAAAATTTATTATATTTGTTGATTTATTTGTAATGTGAGATTAGTGTATTAAAAATGAAAATAAAGTTGATTTTAAAAAAGAAATTGCTTTTAGAAAAGTAAAATTAAAAATTTCAGTGGTTGTTGAAAATCTTTTCGAGTGCAAGGTTGATATTTCCGTTTGTTTGCTTGAGGATTGATATGTTTGTCTCTTTGTCGAGGAATCCCATCTCACCAAGTGTGTTCAACTGTTGTTCATACTTCTTCTCGAGGTTATCTTCTGTTCCATGAATCTCGACACCCTTGAAGACATCAATTCCGCTAGCACGAAGTCTTCTGACTGTCTCGATGAGGTTGTGAATGTCGCCAGATGCTTCTGCCTTCGCAATCATCTCGTCCATCTCTGGTGTGCGTTCAACACCTGTAAGTCTGTAGAAGTTTTCTCTCTCAGATGTCTGACGATCGTCTTCTTCGGAGTGCTGGCAGTCGCAGTTGAATGAGTTCCTGAGTATCTCGTTGAATTCATCGTTCTTCTGGAGTTTCTCTGCATCCTCTTTGAACTGTGTCATTCCTTGTGTGAATGTCTGAGAGAGGTTCTTCAACATTGTGATGATCTGCTTGAATGTCTCTGGGTGATCTACAAGCTGCTGAACAGCTGGGAGAACCAATGGATGTGCAGCGAGCATTGGGTATTTGTTGAAGAACAAAAAAATACTCATCGATCAATTTCAAAAAGTTTTATTCGGTTGGATTAAGGAAAGATTTCAATTATTTGTCAGAGTGGGTAAAGTTTGAAAAGAAAAATTAGTCACTTTTATTTTTCGATAATTGTTCAATTCAAATCAAAATTTTATGAAAGAATTATGATATTTTAAGACATTTATCATTATGTAACCATGAATATATTAGTTTGTTGATTTTTTTTTTCAATGAAAAAATTGTTCAGATGAAATTCAATTGAAAAGGAAATCATTTTTCAAGAATGAAGATCCAAATCACTGGCGAAAACACAGAGACATTCGAAGTAGGGGTAGACAATGCTAAGTCAACTGTTGTCGAACTCAAAGCAATCATTGCTTCAATCAAGGAAACAGATTACGATGATATGCATCTCTTCTTAAACGATAAAGAACTCGAAGACGAGAACACACTTGAGGAGAGCGGAGTACAAGAAAATACATCTCTCAAGATGATCAAGAATACTTCGTTCAATGATGCATGCTTTGGAGGCTGCCCATTCGACTGCTTCGACCCAAGCAAGATTCAAGAAATGTTAGAACAAGTCGAGAAAGATCCAAAGTTGATATATCAGATTATCAACAAATACCCAATGCTCGCTGCACATCCATTGGTTCTCCCAGCTGTTCAGCAGCTTGTAGATCACCCAGAGACATTCAAGCAGATCATCACAATGTTGAAGAACCTCTCTCAGACATTCACACAAGGAATGACACAGTTCAAAGAGGATGCAGAGAAACTCCAGAAGAACGATGAATTCAACGAGATACTCAGGAACTCATTCAACTGCGACTGCCAGCACTCCGAAGAAGACGATCGTCAGACATCTGAGAGAGAAAACTTCTACAGACTTACAGGTGTTGAACGCACACCAGAGATGGACGAGATGATTGCGAAGGCAGAAGCATCTGGCGACATTCACAACCTCATCGAGACAGTCAGAAGACTTCGTGCTAGCGGAATTGATGTCTTCAAGGGTGTCGAGATTCATGGAACAGAAGATAACCTCGAGAAGAAGTATGAACAACAGTTGAACACACTTGGTGAGATGGGATTCCTCGACAAAGAGACAAACATATCAATCCTCAAGCAAACAAACGGAAATATCAACCTTGCACTCGAAAAGATTTTCAACAACCACTGAAATTTTTAATTTTACTTTTCTAAAAGCAATTTCTTTTTTAAAATCAATTTTATTTTCATTTTTAATACACTAATCTCACATTACAAATAAATCAACAAATATAATAAATTTTAATATTGATAGATCTTAATAGTGAGCATAAAGTCTGTCATCAATGTTTCAAGATCACTCATTAGATAAAATCAATACAAACAATATTATTCTCAACCATTCAAACAAAATAATGAATGCATTTACTTCATTTGGTGATTTAATAAGATTAAAATCATAACTTTTGTTCTAATCACTCAACTTATTAAACTACATATCAATATAAATCAACTCAATTCAAGTTAAAAAAATTAGCTAACACAGAGAATGACTCAAATGAATTTTGTTGCTTATGCAGAAAAAAAAATATTTATTAATAACTATACATGAAAGGAATTGCGTGAAAATTCTTTAAAATAAAACGTTCTTTTGAACAAAAACATTTTTGCACACACTTGCATTCAGAAGAAGACAACGTAGTAATAATTGCATATCCCTGACCTATATTTCGTGCCCATCTTATTTCAGGATTTTCGACTTTTATAGTTGTAGGCAAATCCATGATTTCAGTGGCCAATCTGTTTTCAGAATAAACAAAACCAGAACCACCACCTCCATATGCCCAGCCATATAGACCCCCTCCTCCACCTGCGTAAGATCTACCCTCTAAGTCTTTTACAGAGAAACCATAGCCAAATCTTCCAGATAATGTGCCAGTGTATTCACGATAATAGATTCCTGGATGTGTTTGATTGCCACCAGAATATTTATTATAGTCGTAATCACCTCCAGTCAATCCGCCGCCGAAGCCATTATCAGCAGAACCATCTATTCCTCCTCCCCCACCCGCTATCAAAAATCTAGATTTGAGATCTCCTAATTTAAATCGAAAGTCAGTGGCCCCTCCGCCAGAATTTTGAGAATCACCCCATCCCCCACCATTAAATGTATCCTCACGTATATCTGGCCATATTCCTCCTTTACCTCCTATATATAAAAATAAAGGTATTTCTTCAAGTAAAGAAACTTGCAATGCCGCATAACCTCCATAGCCTTGTGACCTGATTATTCCATCATTTCCGCCAGCAGCACCATACACTTCGAAATAATATTTTCCGACTTTTAGATCTAACTGTATAGGTGTACATGATATGCTGTCTTTAAAAGGATATAGAAATTTACATTTCGAATTGCTGCAAACAGGTTGATAACCATCCTTTAGATATCTATCGTCAATAAAAGAATATTTCCCGTATTGGAAATCGACTTTTAATTGAGTAGAAGTGGATGTCATTTATATTAGATTTTTGAAACTTCGATTCAATATCAATATGTTTAATGATTAATGAGGTTATTGGACATATAGTAAAAGAATATGTCATGAGAGCTAGCAATTAAATTTGGTGTAAAGAATTGAAGATAGGAGTCGGATTGCTTTCAAAATTGAAAGATTTGTTTTTGAATTTTGATAAAATCTGTCAAAAAAATGTGTTAATGATCGGAAAACATAAAATTACATTTGGAACCCTAGAATTTCTTTTCAGAGATTGAAAAAAAAACTATTTTAAAATATTTCTGGACAATAACCATTTGTTAATTAAAAAAGAATAAGCAATTCATAGAATATAGATGATCAGAGTTTATATGTTCAGGAAATAATATAAAATGAATAAAATCTTTTTTGATATCCAAGAATTTCTATTTTTATAAATAAAATTACAAATAATAATATAGGTAATGACATTTTATATAAGAAATAAATAACAATAAATGAATATATACAATAAAAAATATTCTATAAAATTATTTTCTAATAACAGGATCGATTTCGTTTGCAACTGTATCGATTTCCTCTCTATTCTCTCTCAGGTACTCGAGGAACGTCTCCCAGAATAGCTCACCATATCTGTAAAGGTCAGGATTTCTGTCTTCGTTGTAAGTCTTGCAGTTTATTCTGATCTGGGACATTTCCTGGTAGAACTTATCGACAGTTGTGTAGACTTCGTTCTTTACGTTCCTTTCTATGTCCTGGAGACACATTGGAGTCTTAATAATCTTGTGGTAGTCAGGAACTTCCTTCTTACTAACTGGGTAGTAGAATATTTCCCATCTGCCATCGCCTTTGAGCTTGTTAACGACCTCACGAAGTAATTCGTTAAATCTTGTAACAGGAGACTTGGATCTTCTTGATCTAACGACCGTAACTGTTGGCTCTGCAATATCATCGTCATCTTCATCGCTATCTCCAAGGACAACGGCTTGAGATCTTCCGGATTTCTTCTTTGACGAAGAGGATGAAGAACTCGACTTAGCGTTAGCTGCAGCAAATTCGTTGTATCTTGTAGAAGCATCCACGATCTTTTTGATGATTTCTGGCTCCAATTGGAAAGATAATTGTCCATCTGGATCGGTAACGAGCAAAACCTGATGGTCGTAAGGGATATATCTTTGTACAGGTGTATTGTCGTTCTTCTTTATCCTCTGGGCTGTCATTGTTCTGCGTTTCTTATCTAATAGCTTCTTCCTCTGATCTTTAAGCATTACAGCCTCGATATCCTCAGCCCTTGTAATTGTCTTAGACGTCTGTTCGTTGTTGACTGGCGATTCGAGCTTCTCAAGATCAGCAATTTGATGAGGAGTTCTTCTCCACTGGATAGAGACCACTGGCCTCAAATTCTGGTCGAGGGATACATTGATAATCTTGGCAGCCTTCCTCTTAGGGCAATCTCCGAACCCTAATTCCGGCCAATTAATCATGAGAGGATGTGTGGCCAATCCATATGGAACCAGTTCAGGGGGGTCACCCCCTGAAATAATTGTAGTCTGTGGCTGGTCTTGGCGGTTTTCAGGAGTTAAATTATTATCATTTATATCTTCTTCCTCTTCTTCGTCTTCATCTTGTCTATTCATTTGCATGGCGATATCATCGAGAACTCTACCATCATCGAACGATACGGTTGCGGAGTTTGTATTGTTACTTGCGATGAAATTCAAATTATTCAAAAATGTTTCTTGGTAAACTTTCTTGTATCTCTGTACAATCGCAGCATTATCATTCCTTGGACCACGAGAGAAGTTCTCCGTGATGTTATCTTCTTTGCCATCTTGTGCTTTGCTGTTTGCCAATTCTCTCAAAAGTGCAACTTGGTTCCATCTACTTAATCTCTCGATTTCTCCTGTTGGAACACCCAAAGAAACGAGTTTATCGCGGAGTTCTCTAAGTGTTAAAGCTCTTAAGTCAGCTTTTGTGCCTGCGAGAGGTTTCTTTGGTGCAGGTTGAGGAGCTCCAGCTGAATTATCATGTTCACGACGAGATTTCGATCTCATGATTTGTTGGCCATCTTCTGTTCTTTGGATCTGCATCGCTTGGCCTTCGAACGCTTTAACGAAGTTCTCTGTTCTTGCCCATGGTGTTTTCATCAACTCAATCTCAATTCTTGCTGCCACTTTTTTGGTCAGTTCACCTTCCAATTTTTGGATTTGTTGGTAAACTCTTTTTGATCTTATCAAAATGTTTACACCTGATTTCTTCAAGTGGTAGTGACCAACAAGCATTGATTGGTATGAACAGACATCTTCTGGAGTGATATCGATCTTCTGGAACTCAGCATCCAAATTAATTTTCTCTTTAATTCTCCAAAAACCGTTTCCTTGTTCTCTGTAGAAATCAGCGAAATCTTTCAAAATGTTTCTGAGTTTTGGCTCATTTACGTCAGGGAAGAACTCTTTGATAACATTCTGAACTTGTATATGGTGTCTTCCTGGATATTGTTTCGTACCTCTGAAAATATTAATCAAAATAGCTTTGATGAAATTCAAATTGAATTTCTGTGCGTCTTTCGTTCCTGGCCTCATTACTTTTGTCCTGGCTTCCAAGAGACCTGCGCAGTAACACGCATCGATGTTCCTCAGATAGAAAACAGGTTCATCAAGTGATCTGACCAATAAAAAGTCTGTTGATTCAACGGGATGTTTCGCAACAGGAACATTGAACATGTTACATGATAAACATTGGACAGGCTCGTTCTTAGGGATCTCTCCGATGAAAGGAGATGCATGATCTGGATCTAATATCTGTATATGTTGGTCAAATGTCCTTGGATTGTCATTTGCATGTGCTTTGTGCCAAAATGTAACTAATGTAGATGCCATGCCGACATTTGTGATGAACTGCGGGTATTCTACAGTGTGTTCGACCACAATGATACCGCCACGACGTCCGGAAAGGTCATCCAAGTCTTTGAGGAAAGGAGATATCTGGGCATCAGGGTCGTCATCGGGAATTTCGTCTGGTTTCCAGGTAACTGTGTATGTAATACCTAGAATAGGTAGGGTGTTGACGTGCGGATGATGGAAATTCTCCAGATCTCGTAAATTTGGTTCGATAAGGACAAGATTTAATGCAGGATCGCTATGTTGTACGGCCTGGTGCATTCTGTTTTCCTTGGCAACTTTGAGCCTCGTGTAGTATTTCTCGGAATGGAAGGAAATTGAGTTCCATTCTAAAGGAGCTAAGCTTTTAGAGCTTTGGAACTCGAATCCATTGATTGTCTGTTCACGTTGCTCTGTAAATGTAATGGATTTGTCCGATCTATCGAGTGATAATGGTATATTTAATAATTTTTGGTCAATTGTGCCGTAATCGTTATGTAATAACGCTGAATTGATGTAAGGAGATTCCGGAGTTGGTGGTGGAGGTGGTGGTGTTCTGTATGTTGGCTGTGCGTAAAATTGATTTATTATTTTTTGCGGAAGATTAAATTGAAGGGCTGGTGCTTGAAATTGAGGTATAGAAACAGAAGGTCTCATCTGCGGCTGCATCAAGCGTGGATCTTGTTGTGGTTGCGGTTGTGGCTCCGGTTCTTTCTTTGTATTTGCTTTCAGGTAAAAAGCTTCAGCTTCGAATGTGATATTCTTATCAGAATCTTCATCAGCAGGTTTTTGCTCTTCTGTTGGCATAGGATTTGGCTGTATTATGCCTGAATTGCTTCTGGATAATTGATAATGAATAAGTTGGTTTTGAAGAGTTTTCGTCATCTGTACATTTACCATCGGGTTGATCTGAACGATGGAATTCATTCGTTGTATTGGCTGTGTTTGTTGGCGCATGATTTGAACGTGTTGGTGCTTCTGCTGTTGCTTTTGCTGTAGTGGTGTGTGCACAGAATGTAATGTTTCGAAATTTCGTTGATTTAATAATGTAAAATTAGGGAAACTATAATGTTTTTTCTCGGGAATATTCGTTTCTATTTTTTCAATTTCGGTTTCGTTTGAAGTTTGATGCGGAATTTCTTTTGGTAGTTTCTTAGGTAAGGGCAGAAGCCCTTGATTTGTCTCGTTTCGAGAAATAGCCTGTCTTCTATTTGGAATTCTCGACCGAAAATGGGTTTTCCACTGATCTGCCTTATAATTGAAGTCGACAAGAGTCGTCTGACTATTGTCGTACTCAATCAGCAAGGAATCATAAAGGCTAATTTTGCGGGAAACAGTGGACATTAATGATTGACGATTATTTTGTAAACTAGAAATATGAAACAACTTTCAAAAATTTTTTGTCTTATTTAGATTGATAATAGGTTTGACTTGTGAGTTCATATTATCAATAAAAAAATTGAATCAAAAAAAAATGATTGAAGATGAAGATCTTGAAACAACAGAAACTACAAATGTGGCAAATTCTATAAATATAAATATATTATGGTTACCTATTGCTGTTTCTATAATATGTTTAGCTTTAATGGTCATCATTTTGGCGTTTTTCATTTCTCAAAACCTATATAATCCAGATTTGCTGCCAACACTATCAGAATTAGCTCGAAAATATCCGCAAAATAAGATTTTCGCAATTGGTTTCTCAGTAGAAGGAATACTCATCTTCATTTTATCTTATTTTATCATTTCATCACTTAAAATACACGGAATTACATGGGCACCGTTTTTATACATACCCTCATCTCTCTCATCTATATCATTCATCTGCATGTCTTCATGTGGCTTAAATGATAACATTTTTGTGCATGGCCTATTCCTCGTGATGAGTTTTATCTTTATACTATTTTTTATGATCCTCGTCCACATCGGAATAATGAAGGCACAGCTCACAAGATTCCATAGATTCAAATTTTTATTAATATTATTTGCAACTCTAACAGTTATAGCACTTTCAGTTATCACTCCACTAGAAGAATCATATGTTACAACTTGTATCAAAGCAATTTCACAATACCTTTTAATATTTTGTGTTTTTCTTTATATTGGGCTATGGATTGTCGATTTACAAGAAATAGAAATCACCTTTGAAATTGCCGATTGATTTTCAACAATTAATAACGAACGTTTAAAAAAACAGTTGAAATTTCGAGTTTATTATTATGTACGATGCATAGTTACATTACATTATGAGAAACTAATGCTTTGTTTCTCTGATATTATTGTTTTAGGAGATATTATTTTTTTATAGATTGTTATAAAGATTTGTTTGTTTATTCACTATACTTTTTTCATCATTTTGAACTAATTTTATTATAAGATAGAAAATTTTTCTTTAGTATTAAAAATAATTTTAAATTATCTCAAAAAAATCTAATGAAAATACTACTTTTGATAAATATTTGAATAGAACTATAACAATTGTTTATAAGTTGTCGAATAAATAACAAATATAACAAAATAAAATTATTGTTGGCTTGTAGGAATTAAAAGATTGAGTTGGGCATCATCTATCTCCCTCAAGTGTTCAATATATTCAGGAAGAGTGTTACCGTATGTGTTATCGTCCATGAAAAATCTGTTTAGATATTTTATGGCTTTTATTAGAGTTTGTTCGTATATTTGGAGTTGTTTAGCATTGTTTGCATTAAAATCTGTTGGAATGGCAAGGACTTTATCACTTGTACGCGAAACAATTCGAGAAGAAATTGCTTGAGGAACAAGAATGCATGGAAGTGGAACATTTATAATGTTTGATATCTCCCTGATATAATGTGTAGCAAATCCAAGATATGCGCGCATCTCATTAAATTCTTTCACATTACTTGGAGTTTGATAGTAAGTAAGTCCACAAAAGTTTTTATTTGATGTATATGGGAATATTTGTTTGAGTTCATTCAACGAAATCAGTCTAAATTTTTTCATTTTCTGATATTCACTTTTATCTTCTTTTGGAACTTGTTTTCTTGCTCTATTGGCTTCAATGTGTTGTTTTAATGCGTCAACAGCTGCTTGTCTATCGATTTCGCTTTGAGAAACAATGGTCGCTTCTTGCATATTTTGATTTTGCTGAATAAACTCATGCTGCACTCGGCGTTTTTCTTTAAGAGCCTCCTCGTAATCGTGTTTAATCTCCGATAATTCTTCTAAATTAATTCCGCTTTGAACGAGTTTATTTTTTGCTTCTTCAAATTCTTTTTGTGCTGCATCTAATGCCTCTAACTGTTGTTTAATTGCGTTTATATTACGATAATCAATAGTTAGAATCAAATCTAAGTTTAAATCGATGATATCTTTATTAATTTCTGATTTGTTGCAGTAAAATCCTGATGTAAACTCTAATAAAAATAATCCCACTGGTGGTTTAGCTGTTTTTGTTGGCCCAAGGAAGATTAAGTTGTTTAAATCGAAATCTACTTCGCGTTGTTTAAGAATTACTCTAAATCTTTTAGTGTTAGTATGTAATTCTCTGAATTTACTGAGAGATTCGGCGATCCATGAAAGTTTATTATCGACTTGAACACCTTCATTCAAATAAATCTCGTCATTATCGATTGCTAGCGTTAACTTTGGTATTGTTTCAAAGGGTTCATCTACAAACATTGAAATGGCTATAATATCGCTTATATGAAAATCAGGAGGAAGGAACACACATGGAATATTTTCCCCCATTTCTATTCTGCGAAATAAAAGAAAAATTCTGATTAGATGAAATTTATATTGAGGTCGTTAGCTTTTTGGCTATTTGGGGATTTAAACAGCAAATTTCTTTATTTGAAGCGAGATTTGATTCCCGATTAGATGAGTTAATGGTTTTATTGCATAACATTCATATTCAAGTTTTTGCTAGAGTCAAACAAGATTAATTGAGGATTGTTGCACTTATATTGTTATTAATTGATGTTCAAGTTAGGACAACTTAATTCATTCAAAATGTCATCAAGGAAATAGTTTCTACAAGCTCATATATTGTGTATAATCTGATATATGTTTTACACTTTTGATATTCAAAAAAAAATCTTGAATATAAGGAAAGAAAATAATAGAAAATTGAATGATGGTAATATAACATTTGATACATTCGCAAGTGAGATAGAATAAATGTGCAATTTGGAATGGATAAAGCAATGAAAGTTTTATCTGATATTTCAAATCAAGTAAAAATTTCAAATTGCATACATATTGGTATCATATTGTTAACCAGCATTAAATATGCATGATTTCAAGAAAAATTTTAAAAGTAAATTCGAATTGTCTTGGCAAATATGTTAAAACATGAATTTCACATTAAATTATGATATAATGTCATGTACCAATATTAATTTAAATGTTAGTTTATTACCGAATGAGAAATTTTGAACCCTTCAGAAAAAATTCAGTTTGTTTTCTAGATTATGTTACTACTAATAATAAACTAAAATTATAAAATTTACAAAAATTGTTCTCCATGTAAAGTCCTTTTTTTGATAGGGTGTTGGTCATTCGTTTCAATGAAAAACTTTTTGATCTTAAAATATTATCTGTATGTGTAAGTGTAATATAATGTTAAGTATTCGTGAATTTGATGAAGTTTGTTTGATTTTGCTCTCAAATTTTATGAATTTGTTGACATGAAAATGATTAGGATTTAAATCAGTGAAATATTCAATATATCCTTATTTTGATTCTGTCATCAATCACAATTTTATATGTTTATACGGCCAGAATTTCATTCAAAATATTCTATCTTAACTTTACAATTGTTAGTTTATTTTATTATATACATCAAGATATTTATGATTCTTTGATTTTACTTTTCTTTGAGGTTCTCAAATTATGACCAAACTTTTTATCAAATTACTTTTAATATTTTTCATGGAAACATTACCAAGCATCCTTAGCGAAATAGAGCTCCCACAGTGGTATGAAGACTTCGAAGTCGTTCGCTCTACCTTATTGAACATAAATGAAGACGAAATCGAATACACACAAGAGATGATTGAACAGTCTGCAATTTACTACTCACATCAGAAGTTAATCGCTGAATTAATTGTTTACATCTCTTCAATCAGAGAACAAAATCAGAAACAATTAGCTCAGCTTGTTTATCTTTTGTCTCAGAACAACAACATTTTCAAGAATCAGATACTTGAACTTAGCACAGGTGTCTTCTTACGCCAATTATACCTTAATCAAGTCTTTTCACTTGAAAATATTAAGGAAAAGCTCGAAACAGACCCATCACAAAAAATTTATTTTGCTCCAGAGCTTGATCTTCACGATAATGATGAGTCAACTTTATTATTTGATCAGAAGGTTTCTCTTTCCGAGTTAGCTGAGAACAACTGGCAACTTTTCAATGAAATCATAGAAAATCATTGCCAGAGAAATTCAATCGAGCATGCATTAAGAAATGATGACAATCAGTACTTCTTCGAACTCACTTCAAACATCAATTTTGTTGCAACATCCGAATTACTCGCCAAGGCTGCTTTCTATGGCTCTGAAAATGTTTTCAGATTCCTTTTAGTCAGTGGTGCCCAAATCACAGAAGCTGTCACAATTTCCGCTGTAAAAGGAGGATGCGCCGCAATCATCCGTTTATGCCTCCAGAACAACGGTAACTTCGAAAAGTGCCTCAAGGCTGCAGCAGAATACCATAGAGATGATATTTTCGACTGGATCTATGAGAATATGGATACAAAAGAATTGCCAGTTAATGAATTCATCGGTTTCATGAATCCACGTGCAGTTCTTCATGCTATATTCCGTGGAGTAGATCCAAACGAGTTCGCCAAGTACAAGACAACTTGCCTTCACGATGCAGTCAAGAATGATGATGATCTTCTTGCCCTTACACTCATAAAGAACGGTGCTTCTCCAGATGCAAAGGATATTAACGGAATGACACCATTGCATTATGCTCATTCAAGAAAGATTGTCAAGATCTTGATTGATGCTGGTGCTGATATCGAAGCACGTGACAACAGTGGTGCAACACCATTGTTTGCTGCTGTTCTTAGAAATGAAAACGTCGTCATTCGTGCTCTTTACGATTTCGGTGCTAATATCAATGCAACAAACTTCACAAAGAAGACACCATACATGCTTGCAAAGGAATGGAAGAATTCCAATGCTGCAGATTTCCTCGCTCATCTTGGATGCTCAGTTGCTATCAAGACTGAGAAGAAGAACAATTCTAGCCGCGGATATTATTTGTTATTATAAACTGTTTTTATTCTATCCTTTTAAAAATCAACATTCTTTTTAGCATTTTAGGTGGTATGCAATACCTTAAGAATGATATTCTCATCTCAAAAAATTGATGCCGAGATACCTGTTTCAAAATTAATTATCTATTAATTACTTCCGAGCCAAAATGCTTTATATAGAAAAACTAGGCTTATTAATGTGAGAAAATATATTTTGTTATTTTGATAAAATCATCAATTCTCAAGATCAGCAATTTCGGTATGCTGATACAAGCATTTTTGTGTGTATTGCTATTTCTCATGTTGGTGAAAGCGAGATGCAAAAATAAAAATTGTTTGAAATTATCACTCGTTATTTTTGATAAACAATTTATAAAAACAATTTTACATGATATTCATTTTCAATATACGTCCATAAAAATCGAAATATGCGAAAATTGAAATTCATCAATAATAAATCTTGCGAATTGCTGAAAAATAATTTTATAATATTGATTTTTGTTATATTTTAAATGAGAATGCATAATTTCTTGAACAAAAACTAAAGGCGGCTGGAGCGGTTTGGTCGACCTTTCGAAATGGTTCATCATCCAAAGACCAAGAAATTCTTCTGCAAGTTCTGCAAGAAGCACACAATGTGCAAGGTTTCTCAGGCTTCCCGTGGTGAAGAACGCCACTCCGCCCTCGGTCGTCGCCGTTACGATCGTAAGCAGAAAGGTTTCGGTGGCCGTGTTAAACCAATTCTTCGTCGTTCCAAGAAGACATCCAAGAAGATTTCTCTTCGTTTCACATGCCAGTCATGCAAGAAGGCTACAATGTATTGCCTTGGCCGCCTTCGTAAATTCGAATGGACTGTAGAGAAGAAGAAGAAACATGCTGAACCAACATGGTAAAATGCATTTCGTTTATTTTCTTAATACATATTTCAATTTTTACTAAAATTTAAAATCAAAATCCTTTTAAATCAGTAAAATAAAACATAAAAATAATCTCAACTGGAAGTTCAATTTTGAGTGAATTCATATTTTTGTTGTGATATTTGTCGTGTTTTGTTGAGGATGAGAATTATATCAAATTGTACTTGATTTATAAAAATGGAATCAATAATACAACACAGATAATATTTTATTTATATTTTCATATGATGGTAATAAGAAAATATGCGCAAATGATGAGAAAATATCATTGAGCATAATTCAAATTACATAAAAGCAGAAAATGGCTTTGTTTTCTGAAAACACGTATATATTCTAATAATTGTTTTCGGTATATGGCTGTAAAATCTGAAATGAATCAGTCATCGATATCCATAAAATTGGAAGTAAAGTTTCCGTCATCATCAAGTAATTCTGGATGATCTTCTAATTTCTCTCCACGTTCCAAAATTCCTTCTTTCTGTAAGCGATTAAACTCCATGACAGCTTCATGGACAGCAGCAGCCTTTTCATCATGAATAAGTACCTTTTCGTTTTGTTCTGCTGAAAGGCCACCTCTTGCCCAAGCATGGATAACTCTTCTGTCTTCATCTTCAACTGGAGTGTCATCTAAGTATCTGAGCTCTTTATTCTTTGCAATTAGCTGTCTTCTGTGATCAGACATGTTTCTGCATACAGGATTACCACTGTTACGTAAAACACGAAGATTTGGAAGCGTTGGTAAATATTCTGCGAAAGCAGGGTCTTCAATTCCATTTTCTGATATATTAAGAACTGTAATTGATGGTGCTGCTGAAATTCCTGATATACTATCTGGTCTCTTCAGCTTATTATGATCGATTTCGAGAGTATTTAATTCATGAAGTCCTTCTAAGCCTTCAATCTGTGTAATATAGTTGTATGATAGAATTAAATTCTTTAGGTGGTGTAAATTTTCAAGGCCTTCAATTTTTTCAAGTAAATTATTATGAAGGAATAAAGAGTTCAAATTTGTAAGTTGTGATAAACCTTTGATCTCTGATATGGCATTGTTATTTAGCCAGAGTGATCTAAGACCTGTAAATTGATCTAAATTTGTAATATCAGTGATAGATAGGTAATGTAAATAGAGTTTTTCGTTTAATCTTGGTGTATCATATCCACCATTCTTTTTTATTGATTCCTTGATCATTTTTTCTGTGATTTCATTTCCCTTTTGATCTTCTTCTTCCATTTTTCTCCAAAAAATAACGAAAACTAAATTTTAGGAAAAGTGACAATTCTAAAATGTTCACATTATTTTTATCAATATTAGGAGCAGAAAATCCATTCAGTTTGTACGAATTCATTCCAGGAAACTGGACCAGCGTCAAACATAGAGCAAGTATGCTAATTGATTTAGATGATGAGATTGTATCCGAAACAAACACATCAAAATACTACACAGGATTCTTCAACAATTCTAAATTGACCATAGAAGTTACGTCACCAACAACAATGAATGTTCAATACGGAAAAATAAAAACACACCTCAATTTAACTCTTGTTAGAGATTGGATCACACACGCTGATACCATTTTAGAAAATGGACTCCACCTTTCATTCAGTACATTTGCCCAGATCAATTGCGAGATTGAAATTGCCGATAAAGAAACTGGCGAAATACATTCTATTGGCTTAAGAAAAATTGAGAAAGTAGAATATAAACTTCATGATTTTCTTATTCCAACTGGAATTGCAATCGCAATTATCTTTGTATTGAAATATTTCCTCCATATTTCATTTTTCTAAGCCATAGAGCTATAGTTTCGTTTAGAGATATAAATTCTTCTTATATTAGGAATATTACTAGTTTAATAAAACTATTTTATTAAATTATTTCTTTTTTATACACTATCAATATGTGAACATCAACTTATTGCATCGGTATTTTCTTTACACATATAAGTTTTAGCATTTCTATGAACAATTGATAAAAATATTTTTGAATCTTTTTGATAATCAGACTTTTTTGGCATGAAATTGGTGTGCACTCCAAAATTAAAAGATCGATCCCAGGAAAATGGAAATTATTTTTAGTGTAAAGTAGATTTATTAAACGTCACCTTTATACACAGAAAAAAAATCTGATGATATCTTTTCATTCGTATTTATCGAACAGAATTACTTCATCAGATGAAAAACCAGTTACAATAGTAGATTGGAACGCTGTGAATGGTTTGATCGCTTATGGACAGACAAACGGAGGTGTTACAATCTCCCGTGTTTCTGACAACAAGGATCAGCCAGGTTTATATAAAATTACTAATATTACATCATTGACAACACATAAACACGAAATTACAGCTCTTTGCTGGAATTCAAGGTTTAATAGATTAATCACTGGTGATAGATCGGGTCTTTCTGTTGTTTGGGTAGAGAGAGATAGCAAATGGTTCCCAACAATTTTAAATTCTGCTACTGGTTCTGCAGTTACTTCCATCGGAACTTCTTATACTGGAGAATTTACAGCGATTACTTATGAGAATGGCCAGATTTCATGCGGTGATCTTGGCTCCAACCAGAAATGGGTATCTAAGTATGAAGGAACCCCAAAGAGAGCTTTCTGGTCTGGATCAGGAAAAACACTTTACATCTCTGACCAAAATCAAGAAATTTATGCAGTCAAAGACCACGGAACTAACTTCCAGAACTACGAAATCGACTTACCAGATACAGAAACCTCAATAGTTTTTGCAGAATGGAATCATGCAGAACATCCTCAACTTCTTATCGTATATGAAAACGGTGATATTTTCATACATACTAAAGGCAATCCAGAAAACTCAATAATTCATACAGGAGTTAAAATTTCCGCAGCTACATGGTCAAAATCAGGAAAATTATTTGCATTCGGCGGAAATGTTGACAATGGACGTTGCCAAGTGCAATTCTACACCATAGACTTGAATCCTATCCGTACAATCAACGTTCCTGCTCAACAAATTACTTCATTATCATTTAATAGAACAGATACACAACTTGCCATCGGTGTTGATCGTTCCATCGTAATTGCCCAACTTTTGCCTATTAATATGTGGGATTTCTTTGATAATACAATTGTTTATGCAGTTCATCGCAATTTTTCGAAGCTTTTCGACATTGTCTTCTTCAATATCAATAGTAATTCCAGGCACATTAAGTCAATTGACAATTTAACAGGTGTTTGCGCGTCAAAGAATTCAGTTTTGATTGCATCGAAAACAGGAGAGAATGAGACCTCTCTTTTGATTCTAGATAAGAGTGGTATTCCATTGGCATCTAATTTCATTCAAATGGATTGCAAATTGTTCGCAAAAACTGATAATTTCGCAATTGCGCTTTCCGACAGTCGTTTGTGTCTCTGGGACTTCGTAAACGATGATACAAAATTTGTTTCGTTGCCAGCAGACTCTTCGGCCGTTTGTGCTCAAGGAAATAAATTATTCATCGGATTTACAAGCGATGAAGTCATTGCTTTTGAAATTCCATCCTGCGAAGAGATCGGAAAATACAACGTAGGCTCCCATGTCGAGAAAATCTCTGTCAGCTCTGATATGACAAGAGTATCAATGGTTGACATCTTTGGAGGCTTATCGTTCATCGATATACACTCAGGAAAAATCGCTGGTAAGCCCCGTAAAGAGACATGGAGTATGAAATGGGCGGAAGATTCACAAGATTTATTTGTAGCCTTAGAACGTCAGAAACTCTACGTTTACCATGATTTCAATGCTACAGAAGCTATAAACTCACTAACTTATATCTGTAGATTCTCTGGTTTAGAGATTTTAACTGTAGATTTCACAAAACTCCTTCTAGACCCGCTTAATCCGAAGCCAGAGCACTTCCATACGTACGAAACAAAATTACTGAGAGATGTTAAACTACTTACAAAGAGCCCAGATGTTCCTGTCGAAGAAATTGTAAAACACATCCGTAATTTCCCACACAAGAAGCTTTGGAAGGTCTTCGGTGAATGGGCAATGATGGGTGGCCATTATTCTACTGCTGAAAAAGCATTTACTGAAAGCCAAAGCCAAAGTGAACTTCAATTTGTCAGAAAAGTTAAGACAATTGTAGACAAAAATATACAAAAAGGCTTCTCACAGTGGTGCTTTGGCTATTATGAAGAGGCACAGCAGACTTTTATCACAAATAATGGCTTAAATTTCGCTATCGAAATGTGGGCCACATTAGGAAACTGGGAACGCGTTTTACAGCTCAAGCCTCCATCAGATATCGCAACCCGTGCTCATATCGCACTTGCAAACAACCTATACCTCAAAGGAGATTTCGCTTCGGCCGCAGACCATTATATGAACGCTGTTATGTACGAAGATGCGATCAGATGCTATTCAATGGTCGCGGATATTGAGAATTTGGTCAAGGTTATGAACGCTTTAGGAACAGATGACAAATTATTGATAGATTTAGGCTGCAAATTCACTAAACTAGGTATTTGCGAGTCAGCTGTTGCATCATTCCTTAAGGCTGGTGACGCCGCTAAGGCTGTTGCTGCTTGTATTCACTTGAATAGATGGGATGATGCTGTAAAGCTCTCGGAACAGCATAAAGAGGTTTCTAAAAAAGATATTATGGGACAATATGCACATTACTTAGCCGGAAATAGCCAAAATGCCCTTGCTACAAAAATGCTTGTCAAATTTGAACTTTTCGAAGACGCCGCCAACCTTTTGGCCTCTCAAGCAGCTGAAGCTATTAAATACAATAATTTCCTGTTCGCAAAGAAGTGTTTTGTTAGAGCTGCATTTTTATATGAAAGATGCAACAAACCAGCTGACGATATCTGGTTCAAGATCGAAGCCTTGCATTATTTGATGCTCGCGAGCCGCGCGATTTACCAAGGAAACCACGCTTATGCAATTTATTGTTCAATTGCGACAAAAGAATATTCCTCCTTCCTTGGCGAGGAAAGAGTTGCAGCTCTTATTGCTTTGGCAGGTTATTACTCGAGAAACTTCAAGCAATGTTCAAATGGTTTCATTACATTGGAACATTCAGAAAAATTCCTTCCAAACAAGCAGAGGAGAATAAAGCTTCTTGCTGTAAAGATTTTCGACAAGAATCAGCCAGTTGATGAATACAAATGCGATGTCAAATGTCCGAAATGCGGAGAAAACACGTTTAACATGTTTGAATGTGCTTGCTCTAAATGCGACTTCAGATCAAAGAGATCTGTAGCTTCAGGAAAGCCAATTACAGCGAAATCATGGAGATGCAGTAAATGCCACCATTTTGCTACTTTTGAAGAGATGAGAGACCAGAAATGCTGCCCTCTCTGCCACTCATCGGCTGAAAACAAGCCAACAAAGATGAAATATTAACTTATATTATTTATTTTTCTTAGAATAAAAATCCTTAATGTTTGATGAAAAAAAATCCCTTTTTTTTTAAGAACGCAGTATTGTTTTCGTTCAACGAAAATATATTCATTAAATGCACTAGACTATATGGATATATATTGCAATAAACAGTTTCAGCTTATGCTCTTAAATGCATGAAAAACGAATTCATTCTCAATTTTGATGTATTTATGTTTCCATGTATCGGCGTGATGTTCAAACTCTTCAAATATGAAGTTAACATAGAAACGAGATTTTGCAAGAAAAAAAATTATGTCCATACAAGAGCAATAAAATAAATTGCAACGTTTCCGATCGAGTTCAATTCAATGGTTATGCATATAACGAAACTATCTTAAATTTTCAAAGATTTATACTGAAAATTTTCTTTGAATGAGTTTCGCAAAAAAAATATCACTTTGTGGATATATACCAAAAATCGAACAGCTTTAGATTTTTTTACATCAATTTTGAGAACCATTTCAATTTTAGAAATTTTACATCAAATTTGAGAATGAGTTCATTTTTCATATTTCCACATGAGTGATTCAGCTCTTTCACTATACATTCTCAATGTTGGACAAGCTGATTTCATCTTTGCCATAAAGAAAGACTTAGCGCTTGTTATTGATTGTGGGCCTAGAGATTCTATCATAAACCAGGAAAATACCGACGCTTCTGATAAAGATCATCTTACGGACTTTCTTAAAAATATAATAGACAATCTCAATTTTGTCACCATTATTGCCACCCACAGATATGATGATAATCAAAACTGCTTAAGTGAGCTTCAAACCATGATACAAGATGCAGGAAAGGCTCATATTACAGTTAAGTCGTTTGAAGGAAACTCTCAATCATTCATCAATAATGAACTTTCCAATTCATTGGGCGATGACGTCATTATCACATCTTTAATTCCACAAAATTTTTACGAACATCGTTTAGTACTGAAGATCTCTTTTGGTGGAAAAAATATCTTAATACCGGGTAAGGCTTCTGAATATCTGCTTGAACAATTACAGGATCAATTTGGCGATATCGATATATGTTTAGTGGCAAAACCCAACAATATTTTGAAATTATTCGATTTAATTCCAAAAAGGGATGGAATTCCTTTATTAAGCATTATGTCAAGCAAAAGTCCTCCGATTTACATTCCTGATAGAGAAACCTTTGATATAACGTTTTGGACTATGCAATCAAATCATGGAATACCTATTTTAGAAATGAACAAATCTATGATTTGTGACTTTCACAAAGTATTTGTATACAATATTTTCCAGGATATATATTTTAATTCGCCTGCAGTCTTCAATAAGAATAATCAAATCTGCATTATTCCTACGTTCTCTACAAGTGAATTAGCAACAGGTGATTATTACAATATCGAAATTCAAATGGAGCATGATAATGTCGCATCAATATCCATGTATACAAATGCAAGCAGACTTTTGTATTATTTTGGAAAGCCTACTAATTCAGTGAACATTACTGATGTCTGGAGAAATTGCTTATCAGGAATTACAAAACACACAGCGGATTTTGCCAAAAAAAGAAAGGATTTCATAGCGACAAATGATTGTACATTTGTATTTCATAGATGTCCACTTTTGGATGAATTGGATCAGGAAATAACAGTTTTACGAAATCTTGAAAAGTTGGGATTTATCAGTGGATTGATATTAAATTCATATGATTTATTAAGAGATATTTCAAACAGCACTGGTATCACAGAATCAAAGAATGAATTTGAAGATTTGTTATGGCAAGTCGATGCTTTTTGCTCCTAAGGTATCGATGTCAAAGAATTGATACAGGGTCTTGTATCACATGGAGTTTTTTATAAATTTCATCAAATAACGGAGACAATTTTAAACTATTTACTCGACTGTTTTGAAAAGGTTGAAGGTCCCAAGATTGAGGTTTTACGCATTTGCGTGGTAGTTTTTACCAAAGATGATCCTAATAAAATTTCAGAATTCATTAAATCAAAAGTTGGCTTAAATCCAGAAGTTGCCGATCGCTTCCTCAGTTCTTTCAAAAGATTCTCTGTTAATTGAACAAAGTCTAATCCAAGAAAAATGATATCCTTCTTTAATATGCCTTTTTTTTAATCAAAAACATCTAATAATCTAAAACATTATTATTTTCTTTCTATTATTTTTCATCAGCTCCCTTTCTCACATTTGAACTAACAGGCTAAGTTATAGGCTTGTATTGTATACTGTGAAGTTCTCAGTTTTATTTAATGAAATACGAGATTAATCTAGTAATATTGGAGTTTTACCTGTTTTCTTGAAAAAATCTAGCACCCTCTCTCATGTTATATCTGCAGAAGCATCATCAAATTAAAAATTTTTGATCTATCGCTAGATTCTGTTTTTTAAATATTAAAAAAGTGACAGAAAATTATGTCCGATAAAAATCCTAGCCAATATGGCCTTCCAAATCGTTTATTGACTGGAAGAATATATGGACGTAAAGATAATGACCTAGTAGATAATTCTAAAAAGCTAATTGAAGGTTTAGATTACATTGATGACGACATTTTAATCAATGAAACACATATTCCAAAACAAAGTATATATGACAACGAAACTCCTCAAAAAAGAACATTGCTTCCTCCTTCTCCAAATGTTTTAACGATTATCGGAATATTACCAAATCATTTAAAGACAGTCGTAAGATTTTTCAAAAATTTAGACGTACTAATCGTATTTGATAAAGAGACAGTAACTGACCAGCTTGGAAACTGGGTTGTTGCTACTCTTAATAAAAATGTAGAAGAAATCCCAGAACTTTCAGCATATACACAATTTTCAGAGAGCGTATTCGGAGGTTGTTATGTTGGAAGATACAGAGAAGAGTCTATATATGCAATTCCAGCTGATAATTCTAATAAAAAGGATAGAGTCAATATATTTAGGCATCAAAAGCGTGCAGAAGATTTAACTACAGCCCCACTTGAAGATAAGTCCTTATGGATTCTGTTTAGAGAATTCGTTCTTGGACAAAATGAAATTAGAGTTAAAGAATAAAGTCTATTTGTTTTATTTATTAAATTTAACTTGTTTATGTTTAAATGTATTGGATTTAGAATTAGATATCCCACAATGAGAAGAGATTTCAAATTTTATGTATATTTTAATGGGATGCTATGTTTGATTTGAAGAGAAATCAGTTTAATCTATAAATAGTATGTCAATTATTTATCCTTATTAGATAGGAATCTTTTGTATGATGAAAATTTGATTGATTATCAAGCATAGTAACATAATTTTCTATAGTTTGTGTAATAAAATATATTAATATCATTAATAAGATATAAAGGCCTATTTTAATTTCGATGAAATCTCAAAAAGATTTGAAAATCTCAAAAAAATTCAATAATTTCATAATTTTTTTGTTTCATTTTTTCGGTTTCAAATTTTCTTTGACACCAAAAAACGTCTTTTCTGAGCGATTTGACTTGAAAAATGAGTTGTTTATTACATTAGCATTAACATATCCAAAGCGGAAATAAAAGGACAAAAAATGACGGTTTGTAAAAACCAAGTGAAGTGAAAAAAATGGATTGTAATAAATTGATCAAAATATCGTGCTTTGTTTAAAAGATTAAAATTTAAGATTCGTGAATTGCAAATTTGAAACACTTCCTTTAGAAGAGCTTCTTGCCGCTGAAATTCTTCTTGAGGGCTTCGAATGGCCAAACGCCGATTCTGCCATCGTTAGCGCATGTTGTGAAGGCATCCTTGCGAACGCGAAGGCCGAGAATAATGTTATTATGAATTGTCTGAGCTGGGCCAGCAGCAGCACTTTGCTTGCCACCGAAAGCAGCCATCTTAGAAGCAAGGCCACCCTTGGCAGCGCCTGTGTTGGAGTCGCGCATTGCTTGTGTGTCAATGAGGCCGAGATCTGTCCAGTTGTCACCATCGAGGTAGAAGAGACGTGGTTGGCAGTCGAAACCAGCACCGATAAGGCATGTCTCACTTAAGAAGGCCATAGAAAGTAATGGAAGGCCGTTGATGTTAAGTGTGTGCATTGGTGCCTTATCAACGTTGAGTTCTTCCTTCTTGACAAAGCGGATATAGGCATCCTGAGAGGAGTAAGCCATCCATTTGCCAGATGGGGAAACTGCGCAGCAGTTAGCCCAGCCCTGAGCCTGGAAGGAGTCGATTGTATAGATTGGCTTCTTGTCAGCCTTTCCCTTCTTATCCTTCTTAGCGGCTTCCTTGGCCTTCTCAGCGGCTTCGTCTTCATCCATGGTCAAGTAGTACGTACGGCGATCTGTGGATGAAACAATGAAGTGGACGCCATCTGGCATGAGCTCGCAAACAAGGCCTGTTGGCTTGTTGTGGTTGATTGTCCTTGACTTCCACATGTTCTCGCCCTGGTCGTATGTGCAGATACGAACCTTGTTTGTGCCTGTAGCGACAAGGAATTTACTGCCATCTGGAGCCCAGCGAACGTATGTGGCAGCGCGCTTGAGTCTGAGGATAACAAGCTCTGGTGTCCATGTTTTCTCCTTTTCGTTGAATGTCCAAACGTAAGCGTTTCTGTCGTGTGAGCATGTAACAATCTTTTTGTTAACATAGCACCAGTCAACAGAAGAGATAACCTGTGTATGTTCTGTGAGAGTATAAAGAAGCTCGAATTTCTTGCCAGTGACTTTATAAATTAAGAGATCGGATGTATTTGGGCACATGGCAAGCATTGTGTTGTCTTGGTTCCATGCATGGCATGTAATTGGAGCATCGACGAGATCAAGCGGGTATGCCAGTGACTTTATAAATTATTTCGTACTAAAAATGACGGTTTTTAGGACGATAGATAGTAACATGCCATGAATGTCCCTTCGATAAAAAATCTTTAATTTTGAAAGTTCTCGTTCTGGAAATATTGCCATAATTGCATTTCGGAGCACGATCTTCAACTTGTATGTTGTGGTCATTTTGATTTTTTTTTCGACCTTCTGACTTATTAATAAAAACATTATACACATAATATGTTAAATCTAATTCTTTGAAAATATCAACAAAATGGAATATCAATTTTTTAAAAAATAAAAAATTACGGCAATATCGATGATTTGATAGTAGACTTTAAATAAGAACATATTGGACATATGTAATTTGGTATTGCAATTCAATATATCTGTACTTGAAATCGCCAGAATTGGAAATATTGGATTAGGTGCTACGGTAGCCGATTATTGATTATCATAGATGATTTGGAAACATTACCGCCCTTTTCAGTAGTAATCAGTTAATACCAAATTTTTGATTTTGTAAAATCAGGATTTGAATATGCAAATCATCAGATATTGTAGGCGTATAATAAAGCCGATATATTACGATTTGATATTTACTCAAATAAATAGCCGGAAAATAATATTCTGAATTATCACTTGAAATGATATTATTACAATAGACTTGTGTAGGATTCTCGAATTTCAATCCTAAAAATATGAAATACCAGTTTTAAAATATCCGGTGAAATTTTTATTGCATAATCAATCCTTAAACAAACACAATTGTTAGATTTAGGCATCCTTACTTCTATAAATAGATATTTATAGAACAAAAAACAAATACACAACAATTATCCAAAAATTATTAGATCATCTACATTTTGAGTTGCACCAAGAGGTGTTCCTCTTTGTAATTTCTCTATTAATTCCTTTTGTTCTTGAACGTGCCGACGCTCAATTTCTTCTAGTTGTTTTCTTTGTTCTTCAAGTAAAGATTGATATTCTCTGTCATTTGCTACATCGGCATCATCAGATTCGTCGAGTGGATTTACAATTATTGGGGTTATTCCAGAATTTGAAATTTTTGATGAAGAAGAAGATTGCCGTGAAAAAGCTAGTTGACTTTCGATAACTTGTTTAAGTTCTACACCTTCTTCATCAGTCAAACCGATCTCATTAATGAGTGCTTTAACAACTTCATCAACATCATCTGATTGTGTGTTAAACGGGAAAGATACTCTCACATCTTCCTGGTCTTGGTGTATAGTCAAGTTGATTTGCACTTGGTTGAGTTGATTTGTCATACGAATGTCAGATTTTTCAATGATGGTGAATGTTCGTTTTTTCACAAAATAATAATGACAATGGTATGCACAAGACTTTTTATTGAATTTAAAAGATGCGAAATAAATTTATTGAATTGACTTATCGGAATTTTTTTCATTCAAAATTCCCGAATGTAAAACATCAAAACATTTGAACACTGAGTGCTTGCATTTTTTTTATAATATGAATTTCAAAAGTGACAAAATTTACCTAAACAATGAGAAAATCTTCAATCGTTGTTGATGCTACTCAAAAACTAACCTACTAAATTTTGCTTCTAAGTTTTTATCTACGTTGTGAATATGACTTATGATAGAAGAATTTTAAAGCATGGATGAAGTAATATTTATTGGTGAAAAAAAAAGATGAAAATAATAAGGGTGAAATAAGTGAATTGGTAATTAATGTGAGCGTAATTTAGATTTGACGAGATTGCGGGCTGCTGGACTCATCATTGTTGATTCTTTAGCATTATTGGTGATTTTTGCTCCATGGTCAATAAGATATTCAGCTGCTTTGAGTCTATTAGATCTTAATGCAACTTCAAGAGCAGTTTCGTTAAATTCGTTAGTGATTTCTAGATTAATTTTATATTTCATTAAAAGTTGAATGCCTTCGACATTATCTGATTTTACACACCAAATAAGAGGCTTTGCATGGTGAGTTTCTGGTCTCCCTTCTGGTTTTGCTCCATACTTTAGTAGTAATTTTGCAAAACGATTAAACTTATTATATAAAGCGAATTGAAGAGGAGTTTCGTTATTTGTGGATTCAACTTCAGGATCTGTTCCATTTTCAAGTAAAAATTTAGCAATTCCAATTGAGTTGTTCCAAGCTGAAAAATGAAGAGGTGTCCATCCACGATAATGCCTTGAAGTAAGGTCGAAACCATACGTAAACATTAAAATCACTGTCTCATAGCATCCAAACTCTGCGGCATAGTGAAGTACATTTCTTTGATAAAAATCTGTTGAATTCATGTCACACCCGAATTGTAACAAATCAACAACAAGATCTGTATTACCACTGCATGCTGCAAAATGTAAAGGAAGCCTACCTTTTGAATCATAAAGTTGGATATCGGCTCCATTCATCAATAAAAAGTGTACAATGTTACGAGCACCGGCGTAAATGCAAACCGAGAGGATTGGAGGTCGTGATCTTAGCAGAGGATCATAAATGTGGATGGGCGATAGCCGACTGTTTACATTTGAGATGGAGATAAACAAGTTCTGGAATTGGTCCACATCATCTTGATTCAGAGCTTTAACCATATATGGGTCAAGTGTGAACTCACCTTCGCTGTAAATCTCTTCATGCATCTTTTTGAACGAAAAATTTTGTCGTCGGATCTGTCAGACGAAAATTTGTAATATCGAATTTTATAAATGCCGCAATTTAAGAGAGAACATGCATTTTGATTATTTTTATTATCGGCTACTTTATTTTTGACAGAATGGCAAATGATTACGATGGCATTTACAAATTCCCTCAAAACCCAATTTGAATCTCAAATTGGAAACGTTATTATTGAATTAAATTGCTATCAAAATCATGAAAGAAATGTAGCTCCTTTACTAGAGTAGTAAATTAGGAAGAGATTTTTTTTGGACCAAATGAAAAGATTAAATATCAAAAAATATTTATTGGTTTCTCTGATTAGTTGTATCTTTTGGCGAAGAAAACTTATATGATAGGTAATAAATATAATCAATAAAATTTATTTTAATCTGATTGTGGTATGAGATTTCCTTCTTTATCGTAATATTGATGATAGCCTTCAATGATGAAGTTCTTAAGCGTATGGTATGCGTGGATGATTTCTTCACAGTACTTGTCAAGATTAGCAAATAAATCTTCGATAGTTGTTATATGTTTCTTTTCGTTCGATTTTTCATCTGAAGAACTCTTGGACTTGAATCCGATAAGTTCTGCATTAGTTCTGTTCCTGAGAACAGGCAAGTCATTTCTACGTTGAAGAAACAATGTTTTGAGTTCGTCTGCCTTTTGCTTCAACAACGCCTTTAGTCGAAATTCATCTGCATCTTGAGAATTGTCTGGATTTTCAACTGGTATGAGATTCTCTAAAGTTCTTGGATCCTTTTGATTGCTTTGAATCCCATGCAATATTTGTTTTCTTCTGGCTTGCCTTGAAGAATTTCCTGAAGTATTTATATAAAGGTCTCCTTGAAGAAAGCGCAGTTTAAGATCATCATCATATACATCATTAATTGTCGGAACTACAAAGTCAATAATTTGAGGAATCAATTCGAGGTTATTATCCCTAAGATGTCGCCAACCAAGCTTGCCATAACCTTTCAAAATAAATCCGATATTTCCATTGTTCATGTCATATAAATTCATAATCCTAATCATAATGTCAAGGACTGCAATATCGATATTAAAGGATTCTTGTTTTGGTTTTTCAAATAAATTGTGAGCAAAATACATATAAAAATCTTAATCGTGAGTGTTATGAAATATATCTTTTCCAAGTTCAACAAAGACTTGGTCGCCATGTGTTAAATCTTGTTTTGCAATATAGAATCCGCGTGAAATATATGGATTTATTACAAATTCTACATGTGGACCAATGCCAAAACACTCGAGAAGTTTGTATGCAAATGGTTCTCTCATCTTTGGAAGACTAAAATAAGCAGGTGGGAAACGATTATTGTCATCAAATATAAAATCTTCTACGGAAACAAATTCACAACTGTATTTCTGATTCTCTACAGGGTATCCAAAGAATGCTTTGATGAAGTATCTAGTAATAATTTCATCGCCTTCTTTTAAAGAAAGTATTTCACCAAATTCAACACCATGCTTCTTGATTTCGACAGCAGCTTTGTAATTATCTGAAAACTCAATTTCAATTTTATCGAAATCAAACGATTTGACTCCAGTGCGAAGATGTTTGCGAATTCTGGTATCTGTTCTATTGCTTGTTCTTGTGAAATCTTTCGAGAAGGCCAAAAATAAAATTTCGCTTTTCTCGTCAAAAATTCTCGGTTAACACCATAGTCGTCGTAAACTTGTTCATTGATGCTGAAATCTATCAATGTTCTAATAACAGTGAGACATTTGTTTCTCATTTCTTCTGGATTTGTTCTTGAAATGAGAAATTCTTTCTTACTAGAAAAGTTTCCTTTTGTATTTAAAGCCTTTTGACAAGGATTTCATATTAATTTCCCAAAAAATACTGGGAATGTAGATTCCATAAAATGGTTCATAACTGCATAAGGATTTAATTTACAATGATCATATTTTTTAGATTTCTTAATGAATCTTGGATAAACTAATTTCTCAAAAAACTGAAGAACTTCTCCATCTTCTCGATGACAAGATTTAATTAGGTCCATAAGGATAACAGCGTTAGATATGGGATTTTTTGCTAAATCATTTGTAATTAGAATTTTAAATGTAAGGTGAACTTGAGGTGCATTATTAAGATTCATCGGACTCAATATTACTGAAGAGTCTTGATAGTTGATGTTCATTTTGTTTTCTTCCAAGCTAGGCCGATCGCTATTGCAAGGTTGAAATGCACTAGAAAGATTTCTTGGATTGCTCAAGTTCTGCAAATCTTCCATTTGAAAATTTTAAAAATTTTAAATGGCTGACATAAGTTTCGAATGTTTTACAACATTTTTTATACCAGCAAAAATTTATTGATTGGTAACTATAATGGCAATACGTGTTCTCAAAAAAATTCAGATGCTGAATTTTAAGGGTCCACTGCAACGATACGTAAATTATATGCCACTTTTTTTTGATATATTCTCATTGGGAGATTATTTCAGTATCAAACTTTAGTGAAAATTCAAAAATTAATAAATTTATTAGTATTGAGCAATACATGGCTGAAGTATCATGCTCTGAATTTAGCAATATGAAATAATTTTGTTTCATATCTTGGTTCAAGCTAGAAATTAAATATTTTTGGTGCTAGCTTGTATTTTGTTTTAAAATAAGAATATACTCTCTGAAAATTAAAGTAATATTCATCGTTTCAAAATGAAAAATTTCGATTGCAAAGAAATTGATATACAATATCTTTATGAACATAATAGAATTGCTCCTATCACATGCAATTTATACTGAATTAAAATTTTTCGTGAAAAATTCATTTTGACAATAAATTTGAAGAGATTTTTTATGAACAATGAATGGATATCATTCATCTATTTTGGTCACCTTCCTTTAGAATCTCGAAATATTCAGGAATTACCAATCTATTGTCCATTTTTATGTGATTTTGGTCAATTCAAACTTAAAATCGCCAAGCAATCGTTGTTTGCCAAATAGAACTTACATCCAAAAAGAGTTGCAATTGTTAAATCATAGCACCATGTCATGATTTCACTATTTGATTTCTCGTTGATTATATATTTAGATTCTGGGAGCTGTTGGCTAAAATATTTATCTTATGATATACAGAGTGTAAGGGTTTGAAGGGAAAATATTGTTATTTACATTTTGATTTTTCAAACACATAACTATTCCATACCAAGGAAGATCAATGTATTTTACCTCATTTGAAAATCAGATATCAAGGAGATCTGCTTCTTTGGCTGTTTAGATATGAGATGAATTGAAATTTCTAGTATAATAGAGACCAAAATTCTCATTTACAAATCGAAATTCTGATGATGATTCTAATGCAACTGTTCTCGTTCCTTCGAACCATTAAAATTTTTTTTTGTTTCTTGGAGAAAAAAAAATTATAAAAAAACAAATTACGAATAATGCTGTCTCCGACGGAGTTTGGAGACAAAAAAGTCCCAGACAGCATTATATCATGTGTTCTTACCCTTCATAAAGAGATTTTCCAGAAAGTAAAACTTCATGATCCAGTCCTTCGCGCGTACGCTTTGCATTATTTCAAAGTTACGTACAAGGAAAATCAAAATGATGATTACGTTTTAATATTTAGAGCTATAGCTGCTCTCCACCTCGCTTCAAAAGTCTGCGAAGACGGTAAAATGCTTGAATTATTCGTTAAAGCACTCGATGAGTGCCGCGGCAAGGACAATCTCATTGAGGCTTTCGCTTTATTGGGAGAAGTTCATAGAATCAGCAAAGATTTTGTTAAAGTCGTCACAGAATCATGCCGCTTAGCAGAAATAGACTTAATTCAAGATTTACAGTTTAATTTTAAAGTTGTATTGCCTTACGACTACATGCGCGAATACATTCATCATGTTGTTCATTGGCACATGCCAAGCTATTATCCAAATTATCATAATATTACTCACGTTACTATTCAAAACTGCTATAAATTTTTGAACGATTTACAACTATCACCCATCTTCTACAATTTTACGCCACCAACGGTCGCTCTAGCCGCTGTATCTTTATCATTTTATATGGAGAAGCTGGACGTTCCAGATTTTAATGGAAAGCCATGGGCTTCGATAGTTGAACCAACTGTTGATATCGAACAGCTCAACAATTGCATCGATCAAATCAAATTGTACTTCAAAAGCAAAAATTGCGATATTGAGAACCTCTTTCATGCAGTTGATCGCCAGGATGCACTGTCAGACTGGTACATAAGCCCTATAGAAGATCACAGAAGCAAGGAACCTTCTGTTCCTCCTCCAGACGATTATATGATGCAGGCGTTCAACTGCTCGGAAGATGCATTCTCAAAGATATGGTCAGATCACGTACCAGATATACCGCCTCCTACAGTCGATGAGTACCAAGAAGCCATTGATATCGCTATTGAAGAGGAATCTAACGGAAACTTACTGATTTCTGGTCCTAAGATACCAGATGGTCAATTACAGCCTCCTCGCAGACAATATACTCCATCAAAACCAAGAGTTTCCACTCGTCCAAGATTCGAAAATGTGAAGAACTATCCAAGCCAAAGGAGACCGAATTACCAACCTGGAGGCAGGCGCGATGAAATACGCGAAAGGAGATCTCCATCAATCGACAGAAGATTACCAGAATCAGACAGATACGAAAGAAGGTCAGTAGATCCAAGAAATGACTACTACCCAGAGAGGAGATCAGAATACGACCGAAGAATGAGCGATTACGTCATTGACAAGAGACAAGATGATTACTTACCAGACAGAAGAGCACCGGAAAGCTACGAGCGTAGAAGCGAACCACCATATGATCGTAGATCTCCTGCTTATGGCCACTCACGAGAAGATGACAGAAAGCGCGATCATTATGACTACGAAAAGCGGCCAGATCCAAGAGATTTCGAGCGAAGATCAGAATCCAGACCGTATGATTACGAAAAGAGACCAGATCCGCGTGATCTCGACAGAAGATCAGATCCAAGAGATTTCGACAGGAGATCGGACTTAAGGCCACTCGATCATGAAAGAAGACCAGATCCAAGAGACTACGACAGAAGAGATTTCGAGAGAAGGCTTGACGACAGGAAATCTGACGATAGAAGGCCAGATGACAGAAGATCCGATCCAAGAGACTTTGACAGGAAATCTGATGACAGAAGAGGTGACGACAGAAGACCAGACCCAAGAGACTACGACAAGAGATCTGACGAAAGAAGATCCGATCCAAGAGACTTTGACAGAAGACCAGAAGAAAGAAGATCCGATCCAAGAGACTTTGACAGAAGACCAGAAGAAAGAAGATCCGATCCAAGAGACTTTGACAGAAGACCAGAAGAAAGAAGATCCGATCCAAGAGACTACGACAAGAGATCTGATGATAGAAGAAGTGACGACAGAAGGCCAGATGAAAGAAGATCCGATCCAAGAGACTACGACAAGAGATCTGATGATAGAAGAAGTGACGACAGAAGGCCAGATGAAAGAAGATCTGAGCCAAGAGACTACGACAGAAGGCCAGAACCAAGAGGTGACGACAGAAGACCAGATGAAAGAAGAGATATCGACAGAAGATCTGAGCCAAGAGACTACGACAGAAGGCCAGAGCCAAGAGATTATGACAGAAGACCAGATGAAAGAAGGCTTGACGAAAGAAGACCAGATCCAAGAGATTTCGATCGAAGATCTGACGAAAGAAGACCTGAGACACGCGATTACAATAGAAGGCCAGACCCAAGAGATCTCGACAGAAGAGGTGATGACAGAAGAATCGAGCCAAAGTCAAGAGATTACGACAGAAAACCTCCTGACTACGACAGAATTGATAGAAGACCTCCTGATCCACCAATGAGAAGATCTGATTCACGCGAAATGAGGTCCGATTACGAAAGAAGATCAGAACCTCGTCCAAGCGATTACAGTAGAAGACCAGAACCAAGAGAAATGGATAGGAAACCTATTTCTCATTCTGAATCGTTTGATAGAAGAAAACAAGACAATTATGACAGAAAATCTGATTATGATCGAAAACCAGACAGTAGAAGAGAAAATTATAATCGTTAGTGATATTATTTTTGTTTGAATATAAATAGATATTATTTCTTGTTTTAATTTTTCCTTATCTATTTGAAATTTCGATAATTTATTGATGTTTTTCTACTATTTCTAGTTAAATACCAAAATATCATCTATCTAACTCTTGAATATACTTCTATTTTTGGATTTGCTACACTTCTTGGTGCTTCACGCCGCTAAGTGAATGAAAATATCAAAACCGTTTTTGAGAAGTACGTTTTTAAAACTGATATGAGTGCACAACTTGATAAAGACTTTGCAAATTTCGAGCAGTGCAGGAGGAATTTTGTTCGTACAGTTGCTGAGGCTGCGAGCCGTTCCGAAAATGTTGAACGTTTATTAAAACTTCGCGTTCTAAATATTCTTCATCCACTTTTACTCGATGATGTACCGGCTATTCAGCAAAGCACAGCTTTAGCTCTTGGCCGTCTCGCAAACTACGATGAAAATATAGCACAACAAATCGTCGATGATGGAGTTTTAGTTGATATTGTTAACGGCCTTTCTTCTGAAGAAGATTTAAGCTACCAAAAGAATGCATGCTTCGTTCTTCGTACAGTTTCAAAACATTCAGCAGAATTAGCAGAAAAAGTCGTTGAAAACGGAGCTTTAGGTCCGATTGTTTGCTGCCTTCAATCTTATGACACAAGAGTTCGTGAATCAGCAGCAGTAGCTCTCGGATCAATTGCTTCACACACTCCAGAGCTCGCACATTCAGTTGTTGATGCTCAGGGCGTTCCATTATTAATTACTTCAACACAAAGCAACGATTTATCATTGAAGAGAATCGCTATTGCTGCTATTGGTGATATCGCTAAGCATGATGCTGAATTAAGCAATTTCATCATCGAAGCAAACGGAATTGAAATTATTGCACCATTAATCAAAGATCAAGATCCGAAATTACGTACAGTCGCATGCTCTACACTTGCTCACATCGCCAAACACCAAGTTGAGAGCGCAGAACGCATTGTCAACGCTGGAATCTTCCCACACGTTTTACTTTGCCTTCGCGATAAGGAACCAGAAGTCCGTAAGGCAGCTGCAACACTTATCAGAGAAATCGTCAAGCATACACAAGAATTATCACAAAGAATCATTACAGAGGGCGGAGCCGTTGCTCTTGTCCAGTACTTGAAGCCAGACCAAGGCAACGATCCAATCTACGGAGTTATGTCTATTGGCTATATCGCTTCATTCTCACAATCTCTCGCAACAGTCTTATTACAGTCCGGCGCCGCAGATGTCTGCTTGAATGTCTTTGTTCAGGCAAAGTCCGATCAGACAAAGGCGGCAGCAGCATGGACTCTCGGTCAACTTGGAAAGCATACATCAGATACAGCGGCAGCATTAGCTAAACTTAACGTTCTTACATTACTCCTTAATGAGCGTATCAGAGCTAGTGCCAGTAAGGACCTTGTACAGAAGACAGACCGTGCAATGGAGTTAATTGTTCAGAAGTGCACAATGATAGAAGCTCTTCAGAAGATTATCGACAATGCACCAGACAATGTCCTCGAATTCGTTCTCGAACAGATTTCAAAGATTATTCCAAAGAATCCAAAGATGCGTGTTCCATTTATCCAAGAAGGCGGCTTTGCTGCCGTTCAGAAGGTTAAAGCTGAACCGGGTACTAAAATTAAGGAATATGTCGATGCAATCAATGCTTGCTATCCTGATCAGGCTGTCAAATACTATTCTCCAGATTTCAAGAATACAATTCTTAATGATATCGAACAGTTTGGCCAGTAATGTGTTAATATGTAACTGCTTTTTTTATTTGATTACTAAAAAAATTATAATCTCATATTATTTCAATAAATTTATAGCTATTTAACAAAAAAAATATTATGTCATGAAAGAAATTTTTAATAACAATAATATAAAACAAATAATATGTAAAATAATCGGAAATTTTCTATTTTGATATTTCTACTACTTTGGTGTTGATCGATTGAACGGATAATGCCATTTTCTGGCCACCTTTTGGTGTAAAGAAGATTGTACTTGAAACAATATCAGAAATTACCCCTGAGAACGTGAAAGTGTTTTGTAATTTAACATTGCAGGGTGTTCCAATAGAAAATGTAGTATTGCCAACATGTAATTCTTGATCTTTAACATATGCTCGATCAGGAACATCTCTTAAAAATTCTTGTGCTTCTTGAGGCGAAAGAACTGGCTTATGAGGGTTATCCAAATCAATTGAGACATTTCTCTTGCGTTCTTCAGCTACAAATTCATTAATAAATGGACAATCCATTTTATTGAAATATTTTGCGGCATTTGGTAACTTTTTAGAAAGTAATTCATGTTTTAATAAGAGGACATGCATCATGCGCTCATTAGCGTTCTCGTTTAGGTAAACTTCATCATTGTAAATTTGTCTGCATTGAGAATCAAAATCACGTTGTGCAGCTATTAGCTCGTTTTGTTGCCATAAATCAACAGATTCTAATCTTTGGTTCGTTAATTCTTGAATATCGTTAATAAGTTTGTGATTTGCACCACCACGAGAATTCAGCGGGTCTTCCATTTCTTTTTGGATATTTTGGAGTGTATCCTTTAATCTTTTAATAGTTTGCTCTTTTGGACTTAGAATTTTTGGTTGAGTTTTTGGATCTTTTGGGATATTCATATAAAAAGTGGCAAATCTTTCCCTTCATCTATCGGTGTGAAGCGCCGCTGAATTAAGGGTGCACTACAAGTATTAGAAAGTTCTCAAAAAATTCATAGAGCTCTATCAATCCTCTTATCCTCCAAAATAATAAAACCCCTTATTTCACTTCATTGTAATAAAATATTTTAATTTTGATTTAAGATATAGATTTAATTAAGGCATTCTCATTACATATATAACTTTGGGCTTCAAATCTTTATTATTGGCCGAGTTTGAAAAAATCATGAAAAAATCAACTTTTTATAATTTAACTTGAGGAAAAAAATTTCGGCATTTTTGATCGATGAAGGTATTTTTTCTTCTCATCAATACATTGGTACATATATACCCTTGCTATTTATCTTATTTATTTAAAAAAAAACTCATTTTTCAAAGAGTTGAAAAAGAGGTCCAAAAAACAAAGTCCAGCACTCCAAGGATAAAAATTCTTCAAAAATTGAAATTTCAACATACAAAACTCGTATTTAGAGTTAATTGTTGGTGCACAAAAGACAACACTTCATGGCCAGGAATTACCTCTTAAATACCAGTTTACTGACGAAGAAGTCATTGTTAATTTATGTGGAGATATCATTGTTCCTAACGTTATTTTCGAACAAGTTGCCGATGAAGACGCTTTTGCAGAAGTTCCTTTAGTACAACCTAAATTTTTCAGAGAGAAATTCATCGAAGATATGAAGATCTTCATGATGAAATGGTCTCCTGCACAAACAAGAGAACTCGTACAAGGAAAACTTGTTGGATTCAGACTTCTCTAATTTGGTAAATTATGCATTGAAGAGTCCATTGATTATGTCATTCCCTGAAGACGTTGTTTTGTTGTATACTTTGTTGATTCATAGATTCAACTACATTTGGTTCAATTTCAAGAAGATCATTCCTGAAACATTCTTGAATTCATTCATGGACTTCTTGTCTGTTGCTGATACAACAAAAGACTTCTTGCAACAAGTCGCCGTCTCCAACTTCATCGCGCAAGTTGCTCCTGATATCAAATTGGACAGAAGAAGTGCCCAGTTCTTGGTTCTCAATGGAGAAGGAGATGTCAGAAAATCTATCATTGCGCAGTTCACTCGACAGATTTCGAAACTCAGTCCAAGTCGTCTACAACTTCGTGAGAAGCCTTGGCATGTTTCATTCGTTGGAGAATCAGCTATCGATGCTGGTGGTCCAAGAAAAGAACTCTTCATTGAACTGGCAAATTCGATTTTCCAGCCGACATCTCATCTTTTCATCCAATCTCCAAACGGAAGGAATCATTGTGGATCGTTCAGAGATGCATATGTTCCATCAACAACTCTCGGAAAAGATTCTTATGATCAGTACAAAGCGATTGGAACATTCCTTGGAATTATCATAAGAAATGGTTTCCCACAGGATATTCCTTTCGCTCCTTTCATTTGGAAACATCTTGCAGGAGAACTATTGCAAGAAAACGACATAATGATGGTCGATGAACAAGTTAAGACACTCTTCGACAGACTCAGACAATCGAAGAATGATTTGGACTTCACATCGAGATTCCAACAAAAATGGACTTATATTTCTTGGACAGGAGAAATCGTCAATTTGCCATCGCAACATCACACTGATTACGTCACTGGAGAATCAGTTGAACAGTTCATTGACGAGTTCGTTCAAGCGAGAATCAACGAGATTTCCCAGTACTTGGATCTCATAAGGAGTGGTTTCGCAATTAACATTGGTTTTGAAACACATCCAATGATGAATGCAACTTTGATTGCTTTGTTGGTTCAAGGCTCAAATGTCATCACTACAGCTCAGTTGAGACAAATAACTACATTCGATGGATTCAATAAATCCAATGAATATGTTATTTCCAACTATTGGGCAGCTGTTGACAGAATGTCCAATGAACAAAGATCCCTTTTGTTGAAATTCGTTACAACTTTGACTCGTTTCCCCAACAAAGAATTGAATCCAACTTTCCACATCCAAATCAAATCAAGCGGTGGAACTGAAGATAGACTTCCACACGCTCAGACTTGCTTCTGCAGATTGCATCTCCCTAACTACACAACTCCTGATATCGCTTACAACAAGATTTCTCTCGCTATTGAGATTTGTACAACTATGGAAAATATGTAATAAAAATATCTATATATTTTTGAATTAATCAATATTAGAGTTATAGAAAACCATTTCTTAAACATTGTTTCTTCCGAAAAATTAATTTTCTGTTAAATTATCAATCGAAATCCATTTTTTGTTAGATAATTTGTAATTTTCCATTTAGCATTTGCATGTTTGCAATCCATATTTGTTAATGGTTCTTTACGAAAGCTATTGAACATTCAATTTAATTCATAATTGAGTTCATATCGATCATTTTGAATCTTGATCATGGTAGACTGATATAGAATATGAAAATTTAATAAACCTTTATTGATTTATTTGTTGATGTATGAACTTTGTCCATCAAATAAAGAAGTGAATTATTTCATGCAACTCTGTCCATGCATCCATTCACCCATAGTTGTTGAGTCATTTTATCTTCATTTCGGTTGGGAAAACATTGACATATTTTTTTTATAAATTTTGTCATAGAAAAATTTAGGGAGATATATTGAAAATAATGATACAAATGATCGTTTTATGCGATTTGCATCGATATTTTAATTAAAAATGAAATGAATTTTTTTCCGCATTTGAAGTAGTATATGATGCGGGTTGTGTGACTTTTTTTGTAATCGTAAGAATTCTCACATAATTGAATGATTTTTGAACATACTTCCGAATAGCAGATTTTAAAAATTTATGAATAATTTATAAAAAGTTTTTATTCCTACAATTCCTATATTACCATTAATAAAAAGAATATATTTTATAATAGTTTCATTTCGAACATGTTAAAATTTATCTGCATTTCGAAAAATTTTATTATAAATGATAATATAATTTATTAAATTAATATATAACTTATGAATTTTTACTTTTTGTATGAAATAAAATTTAGTATTAATAAAGTTATAAAATAAATTGGTGCATGTTAGATGTAAATAAGATATAAAAAGGTGTTTATGAATACTTTAGCAGAACTTCTACTGGTAGAGTTTATACTGGCAGAACTTCTACTGGTAGAGTTTATACTGGCAGAACTTCTACTGGTAGAGTTTATACTGGCAGAACTTCTACTGTTTCCCTCAAAATTGAAAACTTTAGCAGAACTTCTACTGGTAGAGTTTATACTGGCAGAACTTCTACTGGTAGAGTTTATACTGGCAGAACTTCTACTGGTAGAGTTTATACTGGCAGAACTTCTACTGGTAGAGTTTATACTGGCAGAACTTCTACTGTTTCCCTCAAAATTGAAAACTTTAGCAGAACTTCTACTGGTAGAGTTTATACTGGCAGAACTTCTACTGGTAGAGTTTATACTGGCAGAACTTCTACTGGCAGAACTTCTACTGGTAGAGTTTATACTGGCAGAACTTCTACTGGTAGAGTTTATACTGGCAGAATTTCTACTGGTTATATATGGTGTCAATTTTTTAAAAAAATTTGAATTCAATGAGTTATATCAAAAATAAAATTCTTGAATAGAGTAAAAAAATTTAAATAATTTATTTAAATATTTTCTTCTGACATTTTTGAATAATTTATTTTTTTAATTCGTAAGAAAATGAGTGGATCAAGATTCGTAACCGTCAATCAATTAATGGATGCTCTTTCACCAATTCTTGAAAATGTTAAACAAGTAGATGTTTATTTCGATGATTATGTAGAAAGTTTATATTATAAAGGTAAACATAATATTAAACCCATTGCTTTTGCATTTGATAATAAATTAATTGAAAATGCAAAAAATTGGGAATTAATTCCAGATATTGAATATATAACGAATATAACTAATAAATGGTTCAAACGAATTCCAACCACAAAAGTTCTTTGTAAATTAATGATCAAAACCGAGGCCAAAGAATTTCATGAATTTACATATCATCCAAATAAAGTTTCAGAACTAGAAAATGAAAAACTTCAGAAAAAATTAAACGATAGACTTTCAAATGATCGTATTGAAAAAATAAATAAACTAGCAGAAGTTGCATTTAATAATGAAATATTTGATGAATATAACCTTGAACTCAGTGATGGGCTTTAAGGACCCGGGCTCAACGAGTCATGATTTATGAAATCAATAATTTGATTTATTCGCTCTTCAATAATTTCTATTCTTTTTGTTAAATCATCTATTTTCATTAATGAGGTGATTCTTGATTGAGGAATAGATTTCAAACTAACCACTCCTTTTATTTTTGAAATTTTGAATCCATCAACTTTAAACATTTTATTCAATTTACACGTTGTCAATTCTTCAAATAATTTTTTATTATTAGCATAATAGTCATTAAATTCTTCAACAGATGAAAAAATTTTTATTTCAGTAATTGGTTTAACAACGTTTATTTTTTGTTGAACATTTTCACTTTCATTTATTTCTTCCTCCTCTGTTTCATTTATTTTTAAAATTGGTTTCATTTATCATTAAATAAAAATTAGAATATAAGTGATGAAATATATTTTTTAATTAATATTAAATCAGAAATGGCGGCAGGATTCTTTAAAAAATTATGGGAAGGAATTAAGAAAGCTGCGGGTTGGGTTCATCAAAAGATTATTAAACCCGTTGCAAACTTTTTGGCACCAGTAGCGAAAACGGCAGGAACTATCATAGGTGGAGTATTAGGTACTAAAGCAGGTAATCCGGCGATGGGAGCACAAGCAGGTAACGCAATTGGTGGAATAGCTGAAGGAATACTTAATAAAATAGGGGGTAGATAGTGGAAAAATAAATAAATATTATTTTTATCTTAGTATCGGTTGAAGTCTTTGATAAACTTTTTCTCCTTTATTTAATATTTCTCTTATTGGGGCAGCTTTTGGTGTTATTGATTCAGCAACGTCACTAATTGCTTCTTTATTCTTAAATATCCAATTTGCTCCTTTCTTCATTGTTTCCCAAACTTTATGCGCTCCTCTTTTTACTTTATCCCATAATTTCTTAAAGAATCCTGCAGCCATAGTTGATTATTTCATTAAAATTAAAAATTCATTTTCATCTTTTAATTTTGATTTTTTATTTAATAATAAATGACGACTAACTATTTAGTGCCAAACACTAAACCGATTAATGGAAATGTGTTTCATTCATTCGAAAAGATAAATGAAATATTCGCAAAGAATGACGGTAGAAGATATTATAGAGAACTTGAAAGTTCATGCTATGACTCTGATGCTCCATATTTTGATGATAAACAAACTCATTTAAGAATTACAAATCCGGCTCATGATGTGAACCAATTAGGTGACACATATATTAAACGCAAAGTTAAAGCAACTCTAGTTTCAAATAAAGCTTTCACATGTGATGCCGCTTTTAAATGCCTGCGTTTATTCGTTGGTTACAAATCATCAAATCAAAGCTTTAAACAATTAGAAGTAGAAACCGAAAGAGGTGATGCCGGTTATCTTCAGATGGATTGCGCCCGTGAATCTTTCGCATTTGCAACATATAAACCAAAATCAGAAAGGAAAGTTAAAAAGTTTGTTCATTCGTTATATAATAATGTTCAAAAATATGATAACTCAGTATGTGGTAAATATATTGACCCTTCAGAAGTTTTCAAGAAAGCAAATGAAGAAGTTGATGTCACTTTTGATATGATTATTCCGGTAAATGATTTGTTAGCATTTCAGGCGTTCGATGATTATCCTAAATCATTTGGTGAAATCATTCTTAAATATTATGTTTTCAGGGATACTTTAGTATTTTGTCAGGTTGACCCGTTAAGAGTTGCTGATTTACAAAATTATGTTTATGAAAAGATAACTGATGAAAATTATGAAAAGATTATGAATCATGTTTATAAATATGATCGCAAATTCCAACAAATCGGACTTCCTACCAAATTAATTACAAGCTTAGCCGCTACATCTGCTGACGCAACAGTTGATGACGTTATTATTTCATGCACAAAGATGGAAGTTTTAGAGGATAAATGCATTACACCAGGATATGGTTTAATTGAAGAATCAGTTAAAGCAATACCACGTTTATTTAATAAGGAAGATCCATTCATGATTCCAGCTCAACATATTGACGTTCGTTCACTAAATGGAGGTTGCATCTCTCCTGAAGGTATTAGCTCAGATTTCTCATACGCTCTTCATAATGTTACAGATGTTGTGTTAACATTTCCGAAGAATGCAATGCAAAGAACAGTTTTAGAAAATCCAATGCTTCGAGGTCTTCAGGTCACTATAGATTCCAGAAACTTCCCCGATCAAGCGATGACCACAGTGGGTGACATATTCTTTACACGTATGCTTCAAGCTTCTGATTTAGATGGAGTGAATGAATGCACGGAAGAATACGAGGACTCATTAACTAGACCACTGAATGATGATAATGGCACACCATTAGCTAGAACATGGAAAGACCAAACTTCATTCTTATGCACTATTCCAGTTCAACGTGATGGAGCGGGTATATTCTTTGATGGATTAGAAACTTTCAACTCACAAGTTACAGTACAAGTGAAAGCTTATCCAATCATTCAGGGTGAAAATGACACTTACTGTTCAAAGGTGACAAATCCTCCTCAGGTTTGGTTTACTAGGACTACGTATTGGACATGGACACCGGAAGAAGGTTTGAAATATCATCCAACAGGTACACCACCACAGTATAGAAGTTCATATGATGAAATATTGATGAATAGAAATGTTTAAAATTATAAATTTATTTTTGATTAAATGGATTTAAATTCATCCACCCCTTATGAAGAATTAGCGGAGTATATAATACATACGTAGATGATATGATTAATGAAGCATTGAGTGATAATAGAAATGCTCTATCTAAGGAAAAATTAATGAAAATTCCATATTCTGAATGTTATTAAATTCAATCACTGCAGCAATTGGTAAACAAAATAAAGGTAAAACATTAACGATATTAAAACAAATTATCATTATTGCTAACACTTCCCCCTATTCACATGTGTTAATTTATATCAACCGTTCAGGTTCACCTTCAGATGATACATTTGAATCTTTAAAGCATTTAATCAAAATTCCAATTATTTATTTATCACAAGAAGAAGCAGAAGATTATTTAAAAAACTTTTTAATGTATAAAGAATTATATAATACAATCAAGAAGCAAGGATTAGAGGATAAAATTATTGATAAACAACGGGATGAATTATTTGAAACACTTTCTATTTCAAATTTTGATAAAGAATTTTTGCATTCACTCATTTTTCTAGATGATGCAGTGAAATCAAAACTAATAACAAATGAGAAATCATATTTTAATCAGTTATTAACTCAATGTCGACACATTCAGTGTTCATTCTTCATGGCTGTTCAATACTTCAAAGCATTAAGCACAAACATTAAATCAAATCTATCAACACTTTTCATTTTCAGTGGTTTTAGTCGTCAACAGTTGAACGTTATGCTTTATCAAGTGAATTTACCAATGAGCATTAATGAACTTTACACACAATATCAACAATTAGGAGAACATGGAAAAATAATAGTTGATTTAAATAAAGGAAGTGTTAAATTTGATTAACTTTTTATAATTAATTTTTATTTTTTATTTATAATTAAACATGACAGAAATAGCAAATCTTCTACAGGTTCCATTAAAACAAGGGACAAACAAAAAGGGTGCATATAATAGAACTATGAAAGTTCCAGACGGAATGAAAGAATTAGTCCACATTGTTGCCGGTCTTCAAAAGGATGTTAAACAAATGAGAAACGTTTTAACATTACCAGAAGCTCAAGCATATGCCAAACGTCATGGACCAAATTGGGAAGCACATGAAGCAGACATTACAGGACCAAATGGAAAGCCTGATGGAATAAATGAAGTCTTTGTTACTGATGGTCAAGGTAATATTAAAGTCATAAATGGTTATAAATTAACTATATCTGATTATCCTAAACGTAAAGCATATAATGAACGTTATCCTATGAAATTTGATGAAAATGGAAAAGCTGTTAAACAATACATTGGAGAAGGTGAAAATGGTCCAATGTATTCATACCATCTTAATCCATATTCTTATTTCAATGAAGAATTAAATGCTGTTGAAGAGGGACCGGATGGATTACCACGATATTCTAACCAGTTTGATGGTCAATATGCAAATATATGACCTGAAATTCCAGCTAAGAAATTCTTTAAAGTTGCTTTATTCGATCCAGTGTTCAATGAACAGAAAGAAGCAATGAAAGCAGAATTTAAACCAATTCAAGTGGCAAGAATTTCTTCATCTTCACTTTCAGAAGCGTTCAAGGAATTGATAAAGAAACCACTTTATTCTCAACAAGGTTATAACTTTGATTTAATTAAAGAAAGTGATAGACGTAAATTAGAAAAATCAGATGGTTTTAAGAATGCATGTAATGAAATGATTAAAGATATTGTAAATGATAAAATAAGACTGGAAGAAACTCAAAGCAATATCAATAACATAATTGGTGCAGTTACAAAGAAAGTATAAGCAAACAATGATGAACCTTGGGATATTACCGTAACAACTAAATAAAACTTTAAATATATTTTTCTTTTTTTTATTCAATTATAAATGAGAAGACGTTTCACTAGTCAAAAGAACACAAACGCAAAAGCAGAGATTACGGTTGGTTATAACGTAAATGATGATAAATCACGAATTATTCAAAATGTTAAAGTTAATGTTAGCCCTGAATTAACAAGGTCAGCAACTCAACCAAATTTATTAACTCGTGACTTACCAAAGAAAGAGGAGGAGCAAAATAAAGAAGATGGAGACCCAATCATTTTATCTGAACCCGGTAAAGAACCCGTTGAAATTCCCACTTATCCAACATACCCCCCACCTCTTTCATCAAACATCGAGAACCCAGGAATCTACGATTCCAGTCGCAATGCGCCATATAAAGTAGACATTAATTCTGAATTAATGAAAATTTACCGTGATATAATAATTAATAATTATGATTCAATAATAAATTTAATTGACCAATCTGGTTTAATTATTTTACCTTATGAATCATTAATTCACATTATCGCCATTCTTTGTGATGTTCAAGATTCAGACGTTAAGATTCAATTTTTCATAGATGATGAGGTTTCATGCTGCGGAACAGTTGCAAAAATAAATCCTATAAAGGATATTAGCACAATTAAGATATCAAAGAACGGAACAACAACTGAACTTCATTTAACATATAATGATATTTATAATAAAATAGTTGATGAATATAAAATATCACTTGAAAAATTCTTTGTTAAGGCTATTTAATATTCAAGCATTAACATTATCGAATAATAATCCTTTGAATCATAATCAATAATAATTGACCTTTCACCAGTTTCTATCGTTTGTTTTATTTCTTTTTGTTCCCCACTATCTGGATCGGTCATTGTAATTGTTTTTGTTATAGTATCAGCTTTATCTTTAACTTCAATCTTTTTTCCATCGGATATTTAAACCAAAATTCCAAAAATTCGATATTGTCAATCTGTTCATATTTTAATCTATCAATTACATTTTTAATACCATCTGAAAATCTTATGAAATGGTCATTATATGGGTTTGATTGAACTAAATTTGAATGAAGTGAAATATAACCTGTTGATGAATATGACATTGACTCATATTTTCTGAAAACACTAAAATTTATAACATGAATGAATTTCTTATTCGTTGAATTTATGAATTCTTGAGGTAATCTTATTCTAGTTTTATTTATCACTGGAAAATAACGCTTTACCATATTTTTAATCGTAATAAAAATGTCAATTATCAATATTATTTCGAATAATAGCTGTGAATTAAATTTAACAGTTAGCGGAATTTATAATGTTACTCTCGTTTCTGTGAGTGGTAAATTTAATCCCATTCTTTTAGACCCTTCAGATTATATATCATTTATTAAAGATGACCTTGAAAAAACGTATGATATGTATATAAATAATGTGATAGCGAAATGGGATATTAACATGATTTTAAGTTATTTAAATGAATCATTTATCGTATGGTATGAAGAAAATTTTAAATCAAAACCGATAAACTTTTTGAACTTGATGAAATAAATAACCTTATTAAATTTCCGCTGAAAATTAAATTTTGTACTCCTCATCTTCGTTCATTGTTGGGGATATTAAATTTTGAAAAAGATGTTGGGGATGTTTTGTATTCTGACACTGGTTCCAATTTCATTTTAATCAAATGTGATAAAGTTAATACCCCAATGAGATTTTCACATCAAACATTAGACCCTAACTCTTACCCATCAATACAAAACATTTTATCCATCAACTTAAACACATTTTCTTTATCATATCCGTTTCAATTATCCGGGAATTCATTTATTCTTCATTCAAAAGATTTATCAAATATTAAATTTAGAATAACTGACCTATTTGATTGTGATTTAGAATTCATGAATGAAATATTATGGCAATTTCAAATAGAAAAAATAGCTGATGAGATAACAGATTAAATATTTATTTTTAAATCATAATAAATGATTAAACAACAGCAACCACAACAACTTAAGGCACAAAACACCCAGGTCCCTCAGACCATTACATACGCCATATATGCATATAATTCAAAGACGGCAGAACAAACGCAAAGGTTGAAATATGGAGATTTGGAGATAGTATTGAAAAATGACCATTTCGAATTCGTTTGCAAAGGTGGTGCAGTGATATCAAATATAAAAGAAATTTTATTTATGAATTCAAAAATTAAAGGTATAACGGATGATATAACATCAATTCCACCAGAAGAACAGAGATATTACGCATTAAATGCATTTCCTAAAGTTTTGAAGATTGGAAGATTTAATTTAAATGAGGAATTCATAGAAGGTTTCCTAAATGACATAATGAAGAGGGCGGATAAGGAATATGTGGATAGTGAGTTAATGAAGAAGGCAAATTTGGTTTATGTTGATGAAAAAGATAAAGAAATTAAAGAAAGGGTTGAATGGTATCATGAATGGACATTGGAGACTTTTAAAGTTAAAGCTGATACAGGATGGGTTTCAGGATGTTTAGACCTTAAAGCAGATAAAACATATGTTAACGATGAGTTAGAGAAGAAGGTGGATAAGGAATATGTGGCTAGTGAATTAAATAAGAAGGCAAATTTGGTTTACGTTGATGAAAAAGATAAAGAAATTAAAGAAAGGGTTGAATGGTATCATGAATGGACATTGGAGACTTTTAAAGTTAAAGCTGATACAGGATGGGTTTCAGGATGTTTAGACCTTAAAGCAGATAAAACATATGTTAACGATGAGTTAGAGAAGAAGGTGGATAAGGAATATGTGGCTAGTGAATTAAATAAGAAGGCAAATTTGGTTTACGTTGATGAAAAAGATAAAGAAATTAAAGAAAGGGTTGAATGGTATCATGAATGGACATCAAAGATTTTTAAAACTAAAGCTGATACAGGATGGGTTTCAGGATGTTTAGACCTTAAAGCGGATAAAACTTATGTTAACGATGAGTTAGAGAAGAAAGCGGATAAGGAATATGTTAACGATGAGTTAGAGAAGAAGGTGGATAAAACATATGTTAACGAAATATACCAAAGTTTGATAGGAACAACGAAAAATATTGAAACTATTGTTGGTGACTTTTCTGTCAATGAAGAAAATAAATATTTTAGATGGCAGTTTGTACAGTCCTTAAAAAATGGTACACGGTGTAAACTCATTCCGAAAAATAACAATGAAATGTATGTAAGTTATAAAAAGAATGATGGCACACAAGTTAAAGTTCCATTAGACAACAACTGTTACTTAAACTTATATGGAGATGAACAAAAGAAATATTTAAGAGTTTATGAAATGGCAGGTATGACGTTGGCTGACCCAGCTCCAGCACCATATTATTATGACTATGGAGATGACGACAGAACACCACATGTAGATGAACAAAAGCTAACATTATATTTAGATTATTATAGATATAAAAGATATAATGCAATAGAAAAAACGAGAATAGTATATTATTATACAGATGACAGAAATAAATATTATAGTCAAGATTTTACCTACCTGAAAACATAAGATTATATTATAAAAAATATTCTGACACAAACCAGAAGAAACCTGAAATAGTTACACTATATCTTAAGTTCAAAAGAGACAATCCTATAATATCTCATATGTTTGATTTAATTGAACCCAGTAGGTTCTATTTATACATCTATGGATGCAAGAGGTCCTCAAGTAATGTTTGGTGTTGGTGCATGGGAACAAATAGTTGACAGGTTTTTGTATTGTGCAAACTCTTCAAAGAAACAGGAGAAGTAAAACGATTTCAGGTGAAAATTTACCTGCACACAGTCACTACATAGATTTAAGTACATCTCAAGCGGGTTGGCATAAGCATAGATATTGGGATTGGTCAGGAATGACAAAAGGTAAAGATATGATGTTAAAGACGACGTTAAGTTTGCTATAAATTGTTTACTGGGATGACACTCAGGGAGAAGGAAACCATACACATTTCGTTTCAGGATATACACAAACAACGGACAAAGTAAAAGATTACATGCCACCATTTATGACTGTATTCGCATGGTATAGAGTTCAATGAATGTGCTTGACCCAAAGGTCTGGGCTTACCGAATGAACTAAATATATTTTATGTTTGTAATTAATTAGGTAATGAAGTAATGGATGAACTGCAGAAAAGAAGTTAAAAGCTTGGGGTCGTTTTGTACAAAAATATTGTGAGTAAATGATTTAGGTTATTCAATAATTAATTATTTTTGAAGAACTGAAGGGTCACCAGGTCACCAGGTCACCAGGTCATTTAACTTCTCTGAAAAAATGTGACAACATGACATTTTGACAACATCACAGGAGGAAGGCAGTTATGACTTATTTTTGAAGAACTGAAGGGGTCACCAGGTCACCAGGTCACCAGGTCATTTAACTTCTCTGAAAAAATGTGACAACATGACATTTTGACAACATTTACGAAAATTTGATGCAGCCCAAAAATAAAGTTAGTTTTAAAATTATTTTTATTTTTTTATTCCTATATAAATGACAGCAACAAACAACAACAGCAACTTTATCATTTCTGATGAACAAGTTATTGATTCATTAGCTGAGGAATTAGTTGTGGCAGAAACTAAAACCCTCAACGAAAGAATTGGTGAAAACAAGATTGATTTACATAACTACCTCAAACATGATGGAGGAAGAGGAAGGAAAACTGGTACAGCTTTATTAGTAAATAAAATTTCAAATTTAACGATTATAGATGTTGATATCAATAAATCGTACAATGATGAACTTAAAGAAACAGTTAGAAAAGACATTTTATCAAAACTTTCGGATAAAGATGTTATCGTTAAAACCGCTTCAGGAGGTCTTCACATTTATTGCAACACTAATTTCTTCTATGCAGTTTCGAACAGAATGATTAAATGTTATTCCTGCAATGATTATGATATTGACATAATGACTTCTATTGATGATTCAAAGCGTTCATTAGTAGTTATGGCTGATTCAAGAGTTCGCAAGAATGCATCAGAACCAATCAATACATACTCATTCATTCGTGGAAGTTTGATTCAACATTAACCAGAACAGTAAACGATATATTAAATGATTTGAATATTAAGGTAAGAGTTGAACAGAAGAACGAAGAAATAAAGAATATCATGAATGAAAACAAAGATGTAAACATTGACGATAAACTTGCCCAGAGCATAGTTGATGGCATCTGTGATTTTGAAGTACATAATGATGGTGGAAACATGAATTTAGAAAAAGAAATAACATTATTCACACTGTTTCAAGCTATTAATTCGTTACCAGATCATTTAATTAATGAAGCATACGATAACGTTTATAACTTCTGCAGTTTAACAGAAAATGCAAAAAGTAATTTTGAAAAAGCACGTGGTAGATATGCACATTTAATGACTTCTCCATTTGTTTTGGTGAAGATTCTAAAACTATATCAAAAGGAATATTATGATGAATATGTTTTACCTTTATTACGTAAGCCAAAAATAACATTTGATATCAAACTTGATGACTCGTTTTGATAACAGATATTAGACGCAAGGCTGAAAATCATCAGTATAAAAACAGTTCTGAAGTAATTGAGGATTTATCACGTGTAATTCGTTTTGTAGATTGTGGAAACAAATATTTCATTCAGAAAGATTACAACATACACGACAAAATGAATCAAATATCATTCGTTCTTCAGTCAAACATGAAAGAGTCACTCAAAATGATTAAATTATTTAAAGAAGAAGGTAAAACCATAACAGCATGGGATGTACTACTAAATCAATTGTCTTCATTAACCGTTAAGGGTGTTTGCTTTAAATCTGATTCTCCAGATGTTTTCTCAACGTTTCAGGGTTATAAATACAACATTCTTGAAAAGCCTGATTACTCAAAAATTGAGATGTTTATGAATTTCATTAAAGAAGCCATTTGTGATAATAACGATGAAGTGTATAAATACCTTCTCGGCTGGATTGCATCAATGATTCAACATCCTGGAATCAAGAATGAAACAGCAATTATTTTGAAAGGACTTCAGGGAACAGGTAAAAACAGATTTACAGATATTATTTCTGAACTTCTCGCTGGTTATTCATGTAAAAACATTACTGAAATAAGTGAGCTAACGGGTAATTTCAACTCAGTAGTTGAAAATAAAATGTTTCTTGTACTTAATGAACTCAAGAATGTAGGTGAAGACAGACTCGCAAACTTCAACGCTTTGAAATCAATTATTACGGATAATGAGATTAGAATTAATGAAAAGAATCAACCCAGAAGAACAGCACAGAACGTTGCAAACTTCATTTTCGTAACTAACAACGTCTACCCTGTCAAAATTGAAGTTGGAGACAGAAGATACGTAGTTTTAAGGGTTAATGGTAAATTCAAGGGTCAATTTGATTACTTCAAGAATTTAATGGATTCATGCACTAAGGAATTTTATGATAATTTACTGACGTATTTTATGCAATATGACCTTTCATCATTTAATGTACGAATCATACCGATGACTGAAGCCAAACAAGATTTAATAGAATTATCAACAAATCCTTTAGATGAATGGATAAATACACATTATGATGAATTATGTGCAGGTATGACGTGTAAAAATGCTCTATTCTGCAAACCATCAGACATGAAAGACAAAAACTTTCAAATGAGCATTAAGGATAAATGTGAAAGGAAACAAAGAAAATAGATGGTAAACAAACATGGTATTATGTTTTGAAAGAAGAAATGAAAGGATTATATAAACAAATTGAACCAAACGATAATGAGGAATCATTTACTGACGATGAAATACCTGTGAATGAAGCTTTATAAAGTATGACTGGAATTTATTTTTGCCTTCCTCCTGTGATGTTGTCAAAATGTCATGTTGTCACATTTTTTCAGAGAAGTTAAATGACCTGGTGACCTGGTGACCCCTTCAGTTCTTCAAAAATAATTAATTATTGAATAACCCATGATGTTGTCAAAATGTCATGTTGTCACATTTTTTCAGAGAAGTTAAATGACCTGGTGACCTGGTGACCCCTTCAGTTCTTCAAAAATATAGGGTGTCCAAAGGTGCGTTTAGCACAGCGCTCTATATGAGACTATTAAAGGAGATATATGCTGATTATAAATATATAATAAAAATATGAATATATGTATATGATGAGTATGTTGTATTTTGGCGCCATGCCGGGATATAAAATGAATTTTGAGACAAGAGGCGGTTTCGCGGGAAATTTTGGCGGGATTTTTTTCATTTTTTTAATGAATCATAAAGAAAACATCCTCGCTCTTGCAAAAAAATGCAAAGACTGTAAAAAAATCTACGAGATATTGGTAAAATGCTTCGGTATGGATGCTCCTAGCTATTCCACTGTAACGTATCATGTTAGGATGTATCACTTCATGAACAAAAGGGCGCCCATCATAAAAATTGACAAAAAATCGCCGGATCAAAGAAAAATCAAAGCAATTCTTCAAGCGCTAGATGAAGACCCAAGAGCATCACTCAGAAGGATAGAGGAGATGACAAAGATACCACGTACAACAGTCAGTTATTATCTGCACAATTATTTGAACTACAAACTAGCGTATACACGTTGGGTTCCGCACAACCTTAATTCAGTTCAAAAAAAATCTAGAGTCCAATCTTCGAAAGAGCTCCTCTCTATATTGGGTGCGTATCAATCCAAGAAGTTTCGCTTTTAGTAACAGGGACGGTCTTGGTTTCAATATGCAACAGAAGCCAAAATCATGTGGATCCCGAAGGATGAAAATCCGCAAACATTCCCGAAGAAAAAAATTGACACACCAATGATGATGTTGTCGGTTTTTTTGGGCGTGAATGGCATCATCGCAATTGATATTCTTCAAAAACCTAATACGATGAATGCTCAGTATCTAATTGACAATGTTCTTACTCAAATTATCAATTATGATGAGTTTGAGAAATCCAAACAACAAAAACAAAAGTTTGCAATTCATTTTGATAATTCAAGAGTTCACAAAAGTCATAAGGTAATGAATTACTTGGTGGAAACAATGTCAAAGTTGTTCCAAACCCAATTTATTCACCTGATATTGCACCCTCTGACTTTTATTTATTCGGCACGCTAAAAAAGAGAGCTGAAGGACGCGAATTCGCGAGTCCAGATGATCTTGAAAATTTTGTAAGAGAGCAATTTGAGCAATTTTCTCATGATGATTTAAAGCGTGTCTTTCAAGCCTGGATCGATCGCTGCGAACGCGTGATTGAATCCAATGGTGATTATATTTAAATAAACTTTATATATATGTAACTTGTTTATTTCTATTCGCAGTATTCAGGTTTGTGCTAAACACACCTTTGGACACCCTATAATTAATTATTGAATAACCCATGATGTTGTCAAAATGTCATGTTGTCACATTTTTTCAGAGAAGTTAAATGACCTGGTGACCTGGTGACCCCTTCAGTTCTTCAAAAATAATTAATTATTGAATAACCCATGATGTTGTCAAAATGTCATGTTGTCACAAACTTTAGAACGGCATAATTTAAATTTTTATTTTTATCATAAATGAATACCCCACAAGCTCAAAATTTACCACGAATCATAACAAGGGAGGAAATGATAAAAATGATGCAAGAACATGTTAAAAATAACAAACCACTAAAATTGAGAAAATGTGGTTATGCATTAATGATGGAAAGAGAGATGTTGTCGAAGAGGAATAAAAATTAAATTTGGATAGAGTTTAAAAATTCATCTTTATTAAATTCATCTCTTCCAACCAATTTATTTATTCTATTAAATTCTTTTATTTTTGCTTCACTCAGTTTAATGATTGAACGGTAAGTTTCTAATTTTTCGATTATTTCTTTCCTCTCTTTATCGTTTTCAGTTCCATTAGTTTTATTGTTTTCAACCCCACCGCATTGCGACTTCTTTTTGTAATAGCATATTTTTGATTTAATTCTGTTTAGTTTCTTTTTATATTCATTGTCTGGACTCTTGACTGCTTTGTTGTCACTCATTTCTTACGAAATAAAAAAAATTAAATATTATTTAAATATAATGGAGTAATAAAATAAATCGGAATTTCTATTAATTTATTGTCAACTTCAACTAATGCATTGCCGTTAATATATCTAACAAATTCAGCTATTGTGTCAAATCTTCGTCTTCTTTTTGTCATTGATTTATCAGTTTTTCCATAATCGAGATGAATCAAAACTTTATCCCCTTGTTTAAAATTCATGAGCCCCGAATTAATTTGTTCACGTTTAACATCATTCAACCTTTCCATTTGCTTTCTAATATAGGGTGTCCAAAGGTGCGTTTAGCACAGCGCTCTATATGAGACTATTAAAGGAGATATATGCTGATTATAAATATATAATAAAAAATATGAATATATGTATATGATGAGTAAGTTGTATTTTGCGCATGCCGGGATATAAAATGAATTTTGAGACAAGAGGCGGTTTCGCGGAAATTTTTGCGGGATTTTTTTCATTTTTTAATGAATCATAAAGAAAACATCCGCTCGCTCTTGCAAAAAAATGCAAAGACTGTAAAAAATCTACGAGACATTGGTAAAATGCTTCGGTATGGATGCTCCTAGCTATTCCACTGTAACGTATCATGTTAGGATGTATCACTTCATGAACAAAAAGGCGCCATCATAAAAATTGACAAAAAATCGCCGGATCAAAGAAAAATCAAAGCAATTCTTCAAGCGCTAGATGAAGACCCAAGAGCATCACTCAGAAGGATAGAGGAGATGACAAAGATACCACGTACAACAGTCAGTTATTATCTGCACAATTATTTGAACTACAAACTAGCGTATACACGTTGGGTTCCGCACACCTTAATTCAGTTCAAAAAAAATCTAGAGTCCAATCTTCGAAAGAGCTCCTCTCTATATTGGGTGCGTATCAATCCAAGAAGTTTCGCTTTTTAGTAACAGGGGACGAGTCTTGGTTTCAATATGCAACAGAAGCCAAAATCATGTGGATCCCGAAGGATGAAAATCCGCAAACATTCCCGAAGAAAAAAATTGACACACCAATGATGATGTTGTCGGTTTTTTGGGGCGTGAATGGCATCATCGCAATTGATATTCTTCAAAAACCTAATACGATGAATGCTCAGTATCTAATTGACAATGTTCTTACTCAAATTATCAATTATGATGAGTTTGAGAAATCCAAACAACAAAAACAAAAGTTTGCAATTCATTTTTGATAATTCAAGAGTTCACAAAAGTCATAGGTAATGAATTACTTGGTGGAAAACAATGTCAAAGTTGTTCCAAACCCAATTTATTCACCTGATATTGCCACCCTCTGACTTTTATTTATTCGGCACGCTAAAAAAGAGGCTGAAGGACGCGAATTCGCGAGTCCAGATGATCTTGAAAATTTTGTAAGAGAGCAATTTGAGCAATTTTCTCATGATGATTTAAAGCGTGTCTTCAAGCCTGATCGATCGCTGCAACGCGTGATTGAATCCAATGGTGATTATATTTAAATAAACTTTATATATATGTAACTTGTTTATTTTCTATTCGCAGTATTCAGGTTTGTGCTAAACACACCTTTGGACACCCTATATATTCCCATTCTTTTGAATATCATTTTTCATTTTCACCGGTTTCATGTTATAGTTCTATGCCATGTATTATTGTAATAATATACTAACTGCTGTATGATGGAGTCATGATTTCCATCCCAGTATATCTGACCGTTAACCCCTAACGCATCTCTAAGAGTTCTCATTACCGCATCAACTATTTTATTATGAAACGTATATGGAGAGGATGAAAAGAAAAAATTAATTTGTGGGAAATAATGAGTCATAGCTGCCTGAAATCCTTTATCACCATCACCCCTGATATTATCTACTCTTTCATGATCTAGTAAGTATTGAATAGCTCTTCTTGTTTCCTGTTCTGTTTTCCCTTTCACCGGAATGCAATATAAATATCTAGTGTTAATGTTAATGGCAAATAAATAAGTAACGTTTCCTTTTGAATATTCCAGATGATCGATTTCGTATGAATATGGATATGGTGCAAATGAAGGGCGACTAAATTTTTCCTTTAACGGTTGAATTTTCGGGTCAATTGGTTTATATAATATCTTGAAATCCTTTTTAAAATCTTTTTGCTTCTTTAATGTTTGAAATGGATATAATAAAGTGAATGATGAAGGATTAACTGAAGGAGGAGGAGGTACTGTCGTTAGAGGTTTTGGTGTTGCAAGTGGTTTAATTTTATCTGCTTTGATTTTGGATTTCATTCCCCCCTTCATTAATTCTGGATGTATTCTATTCATTTGTTTTAAATATGCTGTATATAAAGGTTTGATATACTTTCCCGCTTCGAGTTTATGTTGAAGGATGAATTCCAAAAGTTGATCTTCATTTAAAAGTCGGGCTGAATATGGTTTAACTAATGAATCATAAATTAAAGCTTGTGCATCATTTATGGTCTGAAGGACCTGGGTGTTTTGTTCCTTTAGCTGTTGAACATTTGCTACTTTAGACCTCGGCTTTGGTTTTTGTGGCTCAGGATTATATAATTTATATAATTCATCAATATCTTCTTCTGTTAATACTTTATTTTTGAAATCTTTCAACTGTTTAAGCTGTGATTTAGTTTTTCCCTTTGAATATTCATTATTTTTAATTTTGTCTTTAATTTCAGAAATTATTTTATTATGATATTTCAAAATTTCATTTTTATAATATGGATAATAATATTCCATATCATCACCCGTTATATTATATATTATATTTTTGGAGATATGATTTTAATTCATAATAACTAAGAAATTTTTGATTAAGTACTAAATCAGCAATTAAATTTTTTAAATCTGTGTTATCCATTTATATAAAAATAAAATCAATGTTTTAAGGGTGCCCACCTCTTTTGAATCATAGTATCAAAACCATCATTAACGGTTCCTTTTGTCTCTTCTGTGGTATTTTATTAAATAAATGGCATACAACATCCATTTTCACAACATACAGCCTTAGTGTGTGCTCCTGTTAATGCAGTCTTACCAATTGTTAAGCGAGTCATTGACCCATTTTTAAGTTGTAAATTAATATTCTGACCATCAAATATCAATTTATCATTTATTATATCCAAATAATTTTTAGGTGTTAATTGTTTATTTTGTCGTAAACTAACACCTTTCATTTTTTGTGCAATCTTTTTAAAATCACTTCCATCAATTGAACCGTTGAATGATGTATAACACTTAGGACATAAAGCAACCATGTTATCACCTTGTTTCTCAATTGCTAAACCAATAACTTCTTCTCATGTGCTTTTTCTTCAGCTTTATTCTTTAATTTAGGTTTAAATTTCTCATCAAAACAGAAGAAATCAAATGGTGCGAATTTGAAAATGTTTTTATCATAAAATTGTTTATCAGTAACAATTGCTTGAAATGCTTGAGTGTTAGGAAGATTTGGGTCGCCAGCGATTGCCCAATAAGATGAATCAGTATCACCTTCAATGAAATGAAAACGATTAACATTCAAGCATTTATACATAAAATCATAAATGAAAACCAAATACCAGTATTTTGCGTTATCTAAAGTGAAGAATGCCTCTTGTAAACATGTATCACATCTATAAAATCTATCTTTAAGCATCACTTGATATGTATCTTCACCTATTTCTCTTATGTTTTTAAACTTATTTGACATACATGCAACGCGTGACTTCTGTGCATTCATTATTTTAGTCTTTGCGTAATTTTGTGTATTCATTGCATCGTAACCATATGATCCATTAAGCGAAATCTTGCAAAATAAACTTTTTCCTTTATTTCCTTCTAATTCAGCCTTTTGTCTTTCGTTCATAAATTCTTTCGCAAATTCATTAAAACAAGTGTTTTTAGTAAATGTTAAAATTGATTGAATGTCATCAATGATAAAATGAAATCTGTCTATTAGATACCAAAGATAATAAGAAGAAAATGGTTGATATTGGTTGTGTGTTGATGCTAACTGAGTTAATTTTCTCTGTTTCTGGTCAACTGGTAGATTGTTTGATTTCATGTAATTATACATAAAACTGCCAATTGTTTTTTCATCTGTGATAATATCTAAGTTTCTTATTATCGGTAAAAAGTTTATGTAATCATTAATGTATTTTTCATCAATGTGACCCTTTACTTCAGCCACGAATAAAGTATTTTTCTTTCTAATAATTCCCAGTGCTTTTGCTTTCTTTGTTGCTGTATCACAAATGATAACACCATTCAATCTTCCCGGCATATACATTTTATGGTCAGTATATTGAATGAAATCATGAGGATTAGATGAAAATGATGAAGGATATAATGAATTAAAGTCAACTCCAACGAAATGAGTCATAATGTTGGTGGTGTCCTCATTTGATACAGTTTTAGTTTCTGGATTATATGAAAGTTTATTAATGTGCGTGATTCCTTTAAGATTAACACGATGTTGAACATTTGATAGACCACCAGTAATTCCATTACGGAGAATGTGATAAGCTTCAACTGAATCTAAAGTCATTGGTAAATTATTTTTTAATGCATAATTTCTTAAATTGATTCTTAAACGTTGAACATCTTCACTTCGTCAAAAATATATTCTTTTTATTAATGGTAATATAGGAATTGTAGGAATAAAAACTTTTTATAAATTATTCATAAATTTTTAAAATCTGCTATTCGGAAGTATGTTCAAAAATCATTCAATTATGTGAGAATTCTTACGATTACAAAAAAAGTCACACAACCCGCATCATATACTACTATTTGATTCCAAAAAATTATATGGATAATATATGAATTATTGATTCTTTTCTTCTACTAATCTCAAGTATTTGTAAAGAAGGTCTAATGATTTATTTTAATCCATAAAAAATATATTTTTGAAAAATGAATTCTTATAGTGATTGCAATTGAATCTTGTATTTGCTGTGGTTAATGTTTTGTGGCCGACTTGCTCTGAAACCATATTCATGATTTTATTTGGAATTTTTGATTTCCACGTAAAGAGTTCCCCAGATAATTACATATCCATTCTATTTTCCAAAGGACATATAAAAGAGTAATAAAACAATAAGCAAATAACAAATGTCTAAACCAATATGACAGTAATCCAATTTTTTCGATTACAACTTTTAAATGACATTCAATTTTTCTGATGATCATCGGTCATGCCATTGAAATTTTAACATGCATCTGAAAAATTGGGAAGAATTTAAATTCTTGTTATTTTGTTGTATTATTGTATATTTCATAACCAAAAATTTTCCACTTTATCAGTTTAACGTTTGATAGCTGTATTCAAATTGACCGATAATCATCAGAAACATTAATGATGGAGTGTACCATCATAGAGAAGTCTTCCAAGAGTGCGAAAAATCCATTTTCTCCAGAGGAAGATCGAAAATTAACCCAATTAGTGAAGTTTTTCTCCCGTAAAAAAGACATAAACTGGACTTATATTTCCCAACAAATGCAGACACGAAACGCCAGACAATGTAAAGATAGATGGACTAATTACCTTGATGCAAGGGTGAATAGAAAGGATTTTACTCCCGAAGAAAATTATTTTCTGCTTGTTAAAGTTGAAGAATTAGGAAGAAAATGGGAGAAAATTGCATCAATGATGAATAATAGAACAGATGTTAGTTTGAAGTCTCAATATAGAAAATTGATGAGACGACATGCATCAAGAGAAAACGTATTTAACCTCTGTATGGAAGCGTACTCAACAAGAAGGAAAGCAAATCGTCAAAATGTTGAACCAGAATCTGCTAGGATAACAGATAGATCTGATGTAAAATTAAATGAAATGAATTTTGATATTGGCGATTTTGATTCATTTGATTTTGATAAGACTGGGTTGGAATTAATATAACATTAATTTAAATTATAATTTGCTTTGGATATATTTTATCTTGTTTTGCGGAAATTCTATTTTGAATAAATCAGTAAATTATATACATGATTGAATATTTAAATATGGATATATATGGTTGATTTTTATTCAATAAAATTAAAAATTGAATAAATATATGATGAATCGCATGGAAGAATTAAAAGACAAGTAAAAATAAGAGAAGTTAATATAATATTGATAGTATTTACTTACATACTATAGTTTTAATTAGCAAGCAATTGAAGAATTGTTTCTGCGTATTCTACAATGTTGGAATCCTTGTTTTCTATTATATTATTCAGTTCTACCTCTAAATTAATGTCCACAAGCATGACTTTGTAGTCATTATTAAGGTTTACCAAATAATCAATAGTTTTGAGGACTTTAATGATTGTTTCATCCTTCAAACAACTTATATCAGCGAAAAGAACCTCAAAATTCGAATTCCTGAGAAGAATAGGAATGACAAGTTCATGATTTAACAAAATTACAGAGTGCATGAACGAGATAATTGATTCTTTGTAAATCATTGGTGCTATATCCAAGCTATCACTAAGAATCTCTATAAGAGGAACTGAAAACATCAAATCCATCACGTGTGGACTATTTAAATCGAGTAAAGCCTGTAGGAACTCCATAAAGAAGGACTGTGTTTCACGAGTTTCTTTGTCAATTTGAGAATTAGGCACTAAAAACTCTTGAATTAAGTCTGTCAACGGCATTGAATCAATAACTTCGTTTGTAATGGCATCAGGTATCTGTCTTGTAATAACAGTAAGCATCTGAATCATATGGTCTGTGAATCTGCCGTTTTCTGGGGCTACATTTAAAATTGTATTTGATCTTGAGAAAATACATGAAGGATATTGAACAAGGTATGCGCAAACAGATGCGGATTGCTTGCATAATGTCTTTAAAGTCATTATCGCTGAAATTCTTATGCAATCTTGGCCTTTAAAAACTAATTTAAAAATTTGAGCTGCAATTTGTTGTAATGCTTCATCATCTTCGATGAATGGTGTAATATCTTTGATAAGGAAAAGAGAATCGCGTTTAATTGTGAAGTTATCGATAGATAAAAATTCAACTAAGTTTTCTGTGATTTCTGACTGAATAATCATTTGTAATCCACCGTCAAACCTGTTAAATGCAAGTAGCATCTCACAAACGCGTTCTGTTATCTTCTTATCTTTGAATGAAAGCAATGAAATACAAATTTCTAAAAAATGAGCATTATAAAACATCTTTTCAAGAAAGTTTCCTTTCTTGAGTAATCTAGATATAAGTGATAATGCGGTTTCTATTGGAAAATCAGGTAATTTATCAGGAATTTGATAAAGACCTTCCGAAATGTAGTCAAATATCTTGGAATCTGACAAAACATCTAAGTGTGGTTGTTCTAGATTGTATCTCTGTGAAATTATGCTTAATTCATTAATAGATTTGTTTGTATCTTCTTGAAAAATCGAAATTGCTTGGAGAATTTCATTTAATATCGATTCTGTTGTCTGATACATATCTTGGTAATCTTCCCTCACTTGAGGCATCATCAAATATTCACTAACTAAACTCATAGAGAAAAAAAAAAGACGATGAAAAAAATCTGTCACTTTTGAATTTTTTGAATTTATGAACAATGAATGAAAATTCAATTGATATCGACTTCCTTTCTTCTCTTAGGCATGAAATAGTTGATTCCGTTGCACTGAATCGCCAAAATATACAGCTTAAGAAAGAAATCGAATTATGGAAACAAAAATTTAAAGACGAAGAGCAAAAAAATGTACAATTAATTAATGAAAAAAGTGTTCTAGAGAGTAAGCTTCAGATTTCTCTTATTGAAAACGAAAATTTAAAGAATAAAATTGCAGATTTAGAAAAAACCAACAAAAATCTCACTAGAAATCAAAAAAGACAACAAAAACAAACTGTTCAAGAGCCACCTAAAGTGGAAGAAAAGCCTGAAGAAGAAGCTTCAACGTCCGAAATTACAGATGAAGATATCTCCGCTCTTTTTACAGATGATAACAATACAGAATCAGAAAATCCTAAAGAAGAAGTTCCTGAAAAGAAAAATGAAAAGAAGAGTGAACCAAAGAAGCCAAGAAAAGTTTTTTCAAAAACTCGTACAGATATACCAACATTAATTAAAATCATAGAAAAATCGAATAATAGAGAGATAACTCAACTTGTTTCTAAGATACTCCTTGAATATTATCCAAGTTTACGGTCAATGAAACAACATTTTGTGAGTGTTGTCAATGCAATCATATTACGCTTGTTTGAATCCGATGACAATGATGCAACAATTGATAATTTCACTTTCTTCTTGATGTCTTTCGTAAAAACAGTTATGCCTCAATGCGAAGACAAAATCAAAGCAATATTTAATAAGCGACCAAAGATTTTGTCATACATAGAATTTTTCAATGTTCTTGATGATGAATAGCCAGTTATTCATGAATATTTTTTATATATTTTATTTGTTTTGTGTTTGTTAAACATGTTTGTATCCTTAACCGAATATTTTTATGCAGTACTTGTCAATCACATATGAATTTTTGTATAAATTGATATAGATTTATCAAATGAAATTTTTTAACTCAAAGATATTCATAATTTTGAAATTTATGTTCCATATCACAATTTCCTTGCTGAAAATGTATGCATTCCCATATCAATTATACAATGTATAAATCCTTTTCTGATCAGCCAATCTAATATCGAAAGAAAACCAGACAATTAATAGCATATTTGGAGTTTTACAAAAACCACACAAATATCTTAACGCCAAAGATAAGCGCAATAAAAACTGCGTAAATGACGACGATAATAACGGAAATGTAAAAATGTGTAAGGAAGACGATTCTAACTTGCCACCACGCACTCCAAAGGGTCTTCCACCTCCAGGAGAAAAGCCAATGAAGCCAGAAGATACACTCGCAACACCAAATCACAAGTCTAAACTCACAAGCGATCCAAATGTTATCCAGAATAAGGAAAAGTTCGAAGATGCTCCATTATCAGACATCACCGACTCCCAGAATTAGATTATATGATTTCACGATTAAATTATAAATATTTTGTGTCGCTCTTCAACCTCACTTATTTTTTTAATTACAAATTCTACATTTATTTCATTAAATCTAACTACTAGGAAAATTTTCCGACTAAGCTACTATATTACACCTTAATATATCTTGAATATATTTATCCAGAAATTTCAATAACATGAGTTTTGTGCTGATTTATATTCTATATGACTATGCTTGCAAAAATATGTAATAAATAAGATCAGAGTTTTTCCAAAATTTTTTTGAAAATCAGATTTTAATTATAAAATTTGTTGAAATTCATTTCATTTTTGTGATTTTGAAAAAAATTTGGAATTTTTCTAAAAATTTAAATCTATAAAAAGATAATAGAATAGGAGTTAAATTCAAATAATATCAAAACATGATCAAGTCTTAAAATTTTTGAAATCATTTTCTTATCTATTCAATAAATCATGTTATCGTTCAAATAACAAGCATTTTGGCAGATAATAAAACAGATATTTTATGATTTATTATTAGCTTTTGAAGGTAAAACGATTTTATATTAAATATTTTGTCTTTATTAATAAAAATTTTAGTTCTAAGTATTATAAATGAATGTTTTTTCATATAGAAAACGAATATTTTATGCGAAGTAATTGAGAACAGTGCGCTTCTTGGACTGGACCTGAGCAATGCCTTCGATGAAGTCCTCGTGCATAATTTCATCAGCACCTCTTCTCATTGCGACCATACCAGCTTCAACGCAAACAGCCTTAAGCATAGCACCGTTGAAGTCCTCTGTAGATCTAGCGAGTTCTCTGAAGTTTACTGCGCTGTTAACCTTCATGTGTCTTGAGTGGATGTTAAGGATATCGAATCTAGCGTCTTCGTTTGGAATTGGAAGTTCAATCTTACGATCGAGACGACCAGAACGCATAAGAGCCGGATCGAGAGTATCTGGACGGTTTGTAGCGCAGATGACTTTAACGTTTGAAAGTTGTGAGAAACCATCAAGTTGGTTGAGAAGTTCGAGCATTGTTCTCTGGACTTCACGTTCTCCCTGAAGACTGTCGTTATCTGATCTCTTTGAGCCGATAGCATCGATTTCATCGATGAAGATAATGGCTGGAGCCTTAGAGCGGGCAAGTTCGAAAGCATTACGAACTAATCTTGAGCCTTCACCGACGAACATCTGGACAAGCTGTGGGCCAGCGAGACGGAGGAATGTAGAGTTTGTAGAGGCTGCGCATGCACGAGCAAGCATTGTCTTGCCTGTACCTGGTGGCCCGAATAAAAGAACACCCTTTGGCGGCTGGATACCAATCTTTGTGAATAACTCTGGGTTTGTTAATGGTAAAACAATAGCTTCCTTAAGTTCTTGAATCTGTTTTTCTAAGCCACCGACTTGATCATAGGTTTCTGTAGGACGAGTATCAACTTCCATAGCCTTGACACGAGAATCAAAGTGCTGTGGGAGCTTCTCGAAAACAAGGTAAGAATCCTTAGAAAGACCTACCATGTCGGATGGTTCTAACTGATCGGCTGGAATAAGACCTGTAACTGGAAGGAAAACTGTTTCTCTAGTTGTGGTCTTAACAACAGCGGATCTGTTATCGGCGCCCTTATAAACATTATCATTTTCGTTTTCTGTATCGAGATGGAAGCATTCAACAACATGAGCGACAAGATATGGAAGGGACTTATTAAGACGGACTTTTTCTCTGTTTGATTTAATATCATCATCCATGTTACGCAATTCATTATTTAACATGCGATGTGTATTCTTTAAAACGGTGATCTGATTTTCAAGAATTGAAATTTGTTGCTCGAGTTCACCATCTGTTAAGGCGTTCATCTTTTCGAGCTGCTCTTGATTTGCTGCATCTATATCTTCGATCGAATTTTCACTCATTTATTTTTGGACTGAAATTTTCTATCGTCCTCATTCGACCTATTTGGCTATAATGAATAAAATGCTTCACTTCATCAAAATATGAAACCCTTTGACCTTTGTTGCAATATTTTAACATAAGATTGAGAAAAATTTATATCAACATTCCATGAATTTTTTTCCATCATTGAAGACAAAAGATCTAATCAAAGTGATCGATATTTACATCATGAAGAAATTTGAAATCTCAATCTCTCATCAAGCAAAAATAATAGTAACTGCCTAATTTCCTAAGATCATAGGGCTCGTACAGTTATAAAATCTTAAAATATTAAATACACCTGTTTGATAATAACATCGATCTATTCTAATCGGAAAACTCATCTCCGTTGCGTTTTTTACTTTTGTTCTGTCACTTTTTATTACTATAACTCAAAAAATAAACATGGAGCAAACACCACAACCTATTCAAGATGTGAGAACTCTGCTCAACCAATTTTCTATGGAATATGAGAATTTATTATCTAAGAGAAATTCTCTCGAAGAAGAATGCAAGAAGTACAAAGAATTGATCAACGATCAAACTAAGACTATCAAACAATTATACGACGACATAGAACAAATAAAGGCAAGCTATGAAACGCGCAAGACAGAAGTTGTTGTTAAACAGGAGAAACTTGTCGAACCACAACCAGAGCCACAAGAAACGCAGGAAGCTGTAGAAGAGTCCGCCAATATTTCATTACTTGTTGATGAAGCTACAATCAGACATCCTGTCTCCATTTCTTTGTTCATTGAAATTATGGACGATTCGGTAATTGTCAGTACAGCCTTCTCTCCTGATGGAAAGAACTTGGCTATAGGTGCTGACAAAGTCCTTAGAATTTACAACTTCGATCAGGATAACTTCATCCTTGGAGAAAAAGTTGGCGATCAAGATACTCAATCAAGCCACGTGCGATCAATTTCTTGGTCCCCAGATTCAAGAAAGGTCATCTGCGGTGTTGAAGATAAGCGCGTTTACATTTTTAAGATCGATCCAACAACTGAAAACGGTTCTTGCTTAGAACACTCCATTGCTGTTCCAGATCAGCATATCTTCCAAGTTATGTTTTTGCCAGACGGAAAACGTTTCGCTGTTTCAACAGGCCCAGGAATTGTCCAAATTTGGGACGTTAATACATATCAGATGATCAACAAATTCGCCAGACAAACAGACCAATTTGCTATCTCAATGGCATTAGCTCCAGATCAAAAAACTCTCGCAGTTGGTTACGCAGACTATTATGTTGCCTTCTGGGACATCGAAGCAGGTAAATTACTCTTCGACCAGAAGTGCCATGATGAGGGCGTCAACAGTATCCTCTTTACACCTGATGCAAAACGATTAATTACTTCATCTCTCGATAATACAGTTAAAATATGGGACATCAGACCTAATGGCCTTGAGCTATGGAAGGTCCTCGACAAACATACAGACTACGTTTTGACTCTCGCCATGGATCCAAAGGGCGAATGGCTCATCAGTGGCTCCAGAGATCTCTCGTGCATTGTATCGTATATACCTGAAGGAAGAATGATCTACAAACTGAAAAACCATGAAAATACTGTTATGGCTGTTTCATTTAATCCAAACGGAAGACAATTCTGTACTGGATCTGGAGACAAGTACGTCAAGGTATGGAACTTCATCACTGACCAAACAGAGTAATTCATTTTTATTTTTATATGCTTTAATTTTTAATTTATGTGTTATTTCTTTAAAGAACAAAAAATTTTCTAATTTTCTATTTCAAAACAAAATCACTACTGTTTTTATTACTACAAACATTCTTGGTTCTTATGAATAATTTGATATCATCAATATTATCATGATATATTACAGACAATTATCAAAACAATTAGTATGGCTATTGATATAGTGATTATGCTTCTTCTTCCAAAAAGAATTTAATTTTTCTTGTTTTCTCGTCTTTGGCAGTGGAACTTAAATTTTTTGCTTAAATGTACATCTGCTAAAGGAAATTCTGAGCTAATTAACTTAAGTTCAGTAATTTTGAGAAAAATTGAACCATAAAAAGAAAAGATTGATATCATCAATGATGAAATACAATTATATATGATTCATCTTTAGAGTGAGCAATTTTTTTTAAATTTTTTTTTCGTCATAAAAAGTGACCAATTTAATGAATCCACCATCATATACTCCAAAGATTGAAGGACCAAACAAAAGTTCTAATCAATTAATTTTTACTGGAGTTAAGGTTTCTCTTAATAAACCAGCTCCTCAACCATCACCACCTTCGATTCAAATCCAACCTCCAACAAGTCAGCCTTCTGTTGAGAAAGTTGACAAGAGTTTAGGTGGACTTTCCATTAGTGGTGTCAGAATGCCAGACTTCGATAGCATTATGGCGATGTTAAATAAAGATCACAATGGAAAGAAGTTCACAAGAGCATCAAAAGGCTATATCGCGCTTACAAATTTCATCAAAAACATTCAGACATCATCAAATTCCCCTCAGCAGCAGAGGAGGCCCCAATACGGCTACAAAAACAGAGCTAAAGATCAGGCTGAACTTTCTGAGAGAGATGACAACAGGTTCGTCCCGCAGAGCATGATGAAGAACGCCGATGTTTGGGTAGCAGGAACAAAGGATGAGTTCAGTTATAACGTAAACTTAACACTAAACAGATTAACAGATAAGAAATTACAATCAACAGTCGAAGAACTCGAAAAACACGTTAATGATATCGATGAAGCTACAAAACAAGAAGACCCAGCTGCAGATCAGCCACACGATGAAGAAGATGACCGTATTACATCAAAAGAAGTTGCCATGGACATTATCTGCGATGTCTTATGCGAAAAGGCACAAGAAGAACATGGTTTCTCAGATTTATACGCTCAATTTACAAAATCTTTATCTGATGACGAACTTCGTTCAAAGATTTTGGTGAAAACCTTCAAGACAATGGAAGATTTCCATGTCAACCTTCCTACTAGTGATGAAGAAGGCACAATTTCATGCGGAACAGCTAAGTTCCTCGCATGTTTAATCAATCATAAGGTTATTGATGTCAAAACAGCCTTGGATTTGCTTGCAAAGCTTCTTAAGTGCATCGTTGACTCCGAAAACAACTCCTACCTTATCGAAATGCTCGAAGTTTTCCTCAAAAACGCAGGCAAAGATTTTATGTGCCAAGTAGAAAAGGAACAGTGGGACATCTTCGACCAAATCGTCAAATCCGTCAAGCAAACAACACGTCTCGGCTGTTTGCTTATGAATATCGTCGAACTTAAGAGCGAATGGGTTGATAATCAGACAGTTAAGGTCCAGGCAGCTCCAGCACCGGCCAAAACCAGCAACAGCTCAGACATTGTTCGTAATAGCTACTGCGATTTCTGCGAAGGAAGCGAATTGGCCAAGATTCCACTTGATCCAGGAGATTACTTACTCCAAGCACTCCACCAGCTTCCAGACCACGTCAAAGATGCCAATACATATGGTCTGTTCCTTACAATTTCGATTTCCTTAGCGAACAGAATAGATAAACCACTTTACCAAGAAATTACCGAAGTTCTTAAGAAATTTACACGCGAAATCACCGAGAACAACATGATTGAGGAATGTCCTAAGATCTGGGTTACTTATTACCAAGTTCTTGTTGCTCTTTACGCATTTAATCGTTTTGATTTCAAATTCATCAACGAAATCTTCCCACAACAGACAGCCAAAGACAAATGGTACAACGAATGTCGATATTTCATATACGATAACTGCGATTTCACAAGAGCATACAAGATATCCCAGCAACAACACAACGAAATCAACGATGCCTTATCTATGCCTGATATCATTGACCAGAGGACCAAGGATTCACCACTTTCCAGACTTACAGCTGTTGCAACATGCAGAACAGTGATGAACAAGGCATTTTCTGCAATTGAAGCAGCACAAGGAGAAGAAGCTGCTGAAAAAGAGAAAGCAGGAGAAACACTCACTAAATATTCACAGCAATTACTTGCTGTTTATCAGAAATTCCCTTCTGTTTTCGATGAAGAGTTTGAAACAGCTGTAAACGAATACGAATTCCCTCTCGACTTGGAGCAGATAAAGGCAAAAATTGGAGCATCCCAGTGATCATAACTTTTATTATACTATTATTGTTAAAAAATTAGAACTCTCATCTTTTATAATTTAATATTTTTGTTCTTTATTTTTAATTATTTAATGTTTGTTTCTCTAATCTCTTTTATTCCTTTCTTACAATTGTTCTTCTTCTTTTATAATCTCATATCTTTTATCTTTTCTTACAATTGTTCTTCTTCTTTTATAATCTCATATCTTTTATTCCTTCCTTACAATTGTTCTTCTTCTTTTATAATCTCATATCTTTTATTCCTTCCTTACAATTGTTCTTCTTCTTTTATAATCTCATCTATTTTATCTTTTCTTACAATTGTTCTTCTTCTTTTATAATCTCATCTATTTTATTCCTTCCTTACAATTGTTCTTCTTCTTTTATAATCTCATCTATTTTATCTTTTCTTACAATTGTTCTTCTTCTTTTATAATCTCATCTATTTTATCTTTTCTTACAATTGTTCTTCTTCTTTTATAATCTCATCTATTTTATCTTTTCTTACAATTGTTCTTCTTCTTTAATAATCTCATCTATTTTATCTTTTCTTACAATTGTTCTTCTTCTTTTTAAATTTATGAAAATACCTAAAAAGAAGAAGATTTGGATTTCATAACTAATGATTAACTTGAATACTGTTGTTTCCACCTCACAAATCACCATCATAATTATTTTTGCATAGAAATGGCAATTTCATTAATATTTGATAAATTGCATAAAGCTATTGATTAAAAAACATTTAAATTCGGTGGAGTATATTAACAGTAATAATATATAGATAGGACATTGAATTCCTATATTCCGTTTTCGAGAAAAAGCAAAAATGTTTTCATATTTTAAAGCTAAGTTTGGATTCTTCATTTATTTTCAATTACCGACATAAATTTTGCCTATTGAAATCTTAAAATTACATCAACATTTAGTAATGATATCAAAAAAATAATCTCATATTCTTAATTCGAGGGATCTGGTCTTTAAACGTATTAAATAATATGGCATTTCCATAAATGACTTTAACATAATAGAATTATTCTTTAGAACATATCGACGATCTATAGAAACGAAGATGATTCTTCTGCCATTTTGATTTGGAAAATCGTCTAATCGTCGCTTCAATTAAAACGTCAATACAATAAATGCAATCCTTATCAGATAACACAGATTTTTATAGGGACATGAAAGTAAAAAATGTAAAGTTGTCAATTAATTGAAAGGGTTAATTAACGTTTATAAAAGAACTTTTATAAAAATTTTCATGACTTACAGAGAACTTCGTCAGTTTACAGAAATTGTTAGAATCCTCGGCTACCCAAATCCAGTTGGAATCGACTCTTTCGATACCCCAAATTTTGGCTTGATGGCCAATCTTCTCCATTGGTTAGCGACTCTTTATGACCCAGAGATAGTAGTACTTGTCGAGCTATCAAATGAATATGGCCGTGTTGAATTTGTGCGCGGAATTGTGCAGCAGTTGGCTATCAAATCAGGAATACGTTTAAATCCGAGAAAATTATACGCTTCTGATAGATATGCAGTTCGTGAATTACTCAAAATAGCTACACCAATATACCGCGGCGTAAAATGCGCAGAAGATAAGAGAGGTACCGTTTCAACTTCTTTTCCAAAGAATCAAAACACACAAAAAATTTCACAACTCTCTGCTACTGTTCCTCGCCATTCGGTTGAATTATACGATCAGCTCGACAAGGAAGTTCAAATTCGCGAAACAAGGACGAAAATCCTTGCAACGGTTCCATCTCTCGATGATTTCGAGAAACAAGTCTTAGAGGCTGTAGATGGAACATCAGCAAGACTTGATCAACTTAATAAAGAACTTGATCGCTTCAATTCAGATGAAGATGCCCTAAATACAAAGATTCGCCAGAGAAAGCACGAATACGATAGACAATCCAAGCGCTTAATGAGTGTTCAGACCATCAGACCAGCATATATGGACGAATACGAAATGCTTGAGCAAGAATTATCCGAACAATTCAAGACATACTTCCAGCATTACCGTAATGTCGATTACTTTGAGAAAGAGCTTCTCAAGCACACAGATAAGGTCAAGAAGTCGAACGCTGTCTTCCAAGCTAGAGCAGAGAAGAGATTGGAGAAAGAAAGGAATCATCTTGTCGATGATCTTGCCATTTCTTTCGATAAGAGAGGTGACCAGGTTGATTCTGATATTGACGCTGATAATCTTCCATCTGGCCTTATCGCCGATAGCGATTTCTAATTTGTTTTTCATAAATTAATATATTGCCGTTAATATAAACGTTTTCTATTATACCTTTTACAATTTTCCTCAAAACAATTATGAAAATTTCGAAAAATTTGGATTTTTTCTTTCAAAATCTAATTTTAACCATAAAATATATCAACTTATATAATGGGACTTTGTTTTTAAGTATAAAAATCAATGAGAATTCAAAAAAGTTAGCATTCTGTATTTTTATTCCGGATTTTCTTCAGCTTGCTTAGCAAGGAGACCAACAATAACGCCCATAACATCATCTGGATTGTTCTTATGTGTCCAACCGAGTTTAATAGCTTCCTGGAAGACGCGGAAGACGTTTGTACCTTTAGCAGCGGATGTATAGTAAATTGGATAGTTATGTTCTTTAACCCACTTGAATTGGGTGCGTGTGATGTTTGGATTAAGATCTTGCTTGTTAACAACAACAATAATAGGGATTTGACCACGCTGGCTAATAAGCTGAGCATGCCATTCTTCAAGGTGCTGATATGTTTCCTTTCTTGTTGCATCAAAGACAAGAATGGCTGCGTCAGCACCATAGAAGAAGGATGGGTGAAGTGCATCGAAACAACCCTGACCGGCTGTATCCCAAATAGTAACTTGAACATCCTTGCCACTTAGGTTTTCTGTGTGTTCATATAATGTAAGAGCGAATGTTGAGTTTGTAATTGGGTTATAATCCTTAAGAAGGAAACGTTCAACAAGTTTTGTCTTACCTACGGCAGAGTCACCAAGGAGGACAAGCTTGACATCTGGTTTAGCATACTGTCTCGATGGGAAGAGTTCATTATTCTCTTGGCTCATTATTAAATGTCACTTTTGAGATGTTAAAATTTCTAAACGCACATTATTGTTCTGCAAATTTGATCATTCTAACAATTTGATGAATTTCGATTTTTGCTCAAATTAGCTGTTTAAAATATTTGTCACGTTTCTGTTGAATTTATCAATTTTTTTTTACATGTCAATTGGCGCAGTTCGACTTCCAACAAGAAATTCCTCTGATTATAGTTCCTCAAGTGATATCGAACCACCGCCAGAACCAGACAGACCAAAACTCCCACAAAAAACCGAAGTTGAACAAAAAGATAATGAAGATAACCCTTTTGAAGTTGGTGAAGAGTATGAAACACCATCGCCTGCAAAACTAAATCTCGAGTCCCTTGGTCTTCCTCCGTTATCATTTAATTCTGATCCGTTTTTATCTCCAATCAATTCAGTGCAATTTGCAGTTAAAAGACACCGCATTTGGGTAAGAGGATTGAAAGGAGTCAAGTTCATATTATCAATATCTGGGTTTACTGTTTTAGTTGCAAAAAGAAAGATGAAATTCCTTAAACCAACATGGTATATCTCCCGCGCATTGAATTACTCACTAGATACACCCGATCTTGTTGGAATACTTATTAAACAAAGAACGAAAGCAACATTTAGCTTATTTGGTCCAAATGAACGCCAATCAGACCATTGCCGTCCAGTTTTAGCTGGCATTGATATCGGTGATAAAAGAAGAGTTGTTTTAGGTAAAGATCTTTGGATATCTCCAGATACTGACGATGTTTTCAATGCAGGATTTAATGAAAAGAACTCTCAACCATTAACATCATCGAATGGTACATTTGATGTTCCTTCTGTTAAGAATGCACAATTTTCAGTGGAAGGATCTGCAGAACCATGCTTTATCTCAGCAAAACAAGTCGATAAATCCGTTGTTGTTAATGCTAAAGGACCACTTTCCCTTTGCCAAGCTTTTAGCATTGCAATTTCACTATTCATGCAATAAAATAACAAAATAATAAAAGATTGTTTATTAAATATTATCTAGAGCCGAATGCTTTTTTTGCTACTATACTCAAACTAGGAATTTGACTCTAAATATTGTTATTATTCTTAGAAGGCTTTAAACAATATCAAAAGAATGCCAGAAATCAATGACCTAGTTCCAAAAACAGAGAAATACATAAATAAATGACATAGATTTAAAAGAAATAGATTATTTCTTCACAATATGTTAGTAATTTTACCCATTTCTCCAGACTCTAGTTAAGCAATGCTTGATAATTATATACCCATCACTTAAAAGGAAAAACCATTATCCGTTATTCCGAAACTACTTTCACTGGGACAAAACCAGTTTCGTTTCCTTAAACAAGTTATACTGCTTTTTATGTTTGCAAAACCGAGTGGACTCAAAGTAAAAAAAATTGAGGATTGAAATAAATTGAATTGAAAGTAATCGTTAAAAGAATTTTATTCACAAAATGCCCCCGCGTCCAGTTGGTCGCGGTGCAGCTAAGGCACCAATTAGGGGCGGGCGAGGTGGAAAAGTAGTTAAACCACGTGGTCGTGGAGGCAAACAAGTCAAATCTCGTCGTGAATCAGTGGTTGAAGAAATTCAACCGGAGCCTGAACAGCCACCACCAAAAATTCAAACATGGTTTGATAAAATTCCACCACTTCCTCCAAAACCCGATGAAGAACTGCACAAAAAACTATCAGCAGAACGAAAATTACGTCATGCACAAAAAGTTGAGAAATATTGCAAAGAAGAATTAAATTCTATCTTCCAGTTTGCTATGAAAGTCAGTGATATATACTTTAATGACGATGAAAACAGTATCAAAGAAGTTAGAAGAAAAAGAATTGAATTTAAGAATGGAATTTTTATTCCAAGCGAAGAATCCGAAGAAGAAACTACTAAAAAAGCAATTCTTCCTGTCAAACTTGAGCCAAAACATTCAATTGATATTCAAAATTACCTTCGCATCTCAAAACAGCCGTATTATTCAATGCTCGAGAGTCTATTCCTTACAAAAATCTCCGACAGTTATGTCAGCGATCCAAACAAAACATTTTCAAAATTAATCGAAACAATTCAAGAAAATTCAACAAATTATCCAGAAATTTACGAACCCGATAAGCCAGTTTTACCATTTGTCATATGTGTTGTTGGTCCGCCATACGGAGGAACGACAACAATATGCCAATTGTTGATGAATACTTATTCTGTTGTTGTTATCGAAGCTGTGTACATGCCACCACCTGATACTTCTAGAAGAAAGAAAGGAGAACCAGAAACACCACCTCCTGAGCCAAAACTCGATTATCATCTTCACGGATCAATGGTTATTTATTATTCCGACGACAAAAACGCCGTACAACAGATTTCAACTGTCGTAAAAGACATAGATAGAAATACTAAAGGCATTATCATATCAGGATATCCAAATACTAAGCAGCAACTCTCTTCATTAGAAAAATCTTTGGCAGGAAATACAATTGGCCGGCCAAACTCAGCACGATCATCAGAGAAACAGAAACCAGCACAATGCGTCATTACAGGATTCATCATTTCCATGAATTGTCCAGAGAAATACGAAACTCGCTACATAGACCCATTAACTGGCTATGTTTATAGCGAGACTTTTCATAGACCCGGCGCAGCGGATCTTGTCGGCCACAAATTAACTGATTTTGTGAAGTCTAAAAATGATATTGAAAATAGATTAGTGGAAAACATCATTCCTGACCAGTCACAACCTTCCCAAAAGGCATTATCATCTTGGAATTCCCTTACAAACTCCCTGAAAAAGAATTATTCCGTTATAACTATAGAAAATTTGCCAAATTCCCTTGAATTAGCCGAAAAACTTGATGGATTTGTTGCTCAGATGCTCCATGCAGACGAACCAGCTAAGAATGTTGAGAATTTACTCCGACCATCTCATCTTATTTTGCCAGGCGCTTGCAATGAAGCAGTTTTAGTATGGCGAAAGTGCTTGAATGAGTTTGGAAGACAGATTGCCGAGCAAAACCGCCTTGTTACGACAATTGCAGACAAAATCGGAGATTTGACAAAAACTGCAACGTCGAGATATCATTTCCTGACATCCATGGAGATCGGGAATGTCGAAAAACTCGAACAAGGAGACTTAAACTCTGTTTGGGAGGAGTCAATTAATAATAGAATCTCAAACGTTAAAATGGCTAAAGAAGTTGTTACTAAAAGCGGTTTAATTGAATTAGTAATAGCTTTAGTCAATGCTCCACGCGTCGCTTTCATTGCATTGATCGAAAAAATGAGTTATGTCAAATGGTTCGTTGAAAAGTTCTCAGAACTCTTTGAAAAACCGGAGAATTACTACAACATCTTCCAAGAACAATCCGCCAAGGTCAAAGCCGAGTACTTTAACTTCAAAACGACATTTCGACAAATTTTGAAAATTGATGGCGAAATTGAACCAAAATTTTTAGAATTACCAGAGAAACCATTGAAGCAAGATGATAAAGATGAGAGATCCAAGCAAATTGAAGAGAAAGGAATACAATTTTTGGGAGATTATTTTGATCTCAAAAGTTATTCCACTGAAATACCGAATTTCAACGTTAAAGTTGCTTGCAAATCATTAGATATCCCTGATTTCCAGACGGAAACACCATTTAGTGACATTGTTTCCTATTCAAAAGAATTTATTGAATTTGTTTCAAGTCATATCGAAAATGACTTCATAAAAGACGAATGCCAAACAATACTGGACATATTCGAGCGTATTAACAAGTTCGTGAGGCCTTTAGAAGTCTCAATTGTTGAAAGCATTTTTAATTTGCACGACAACTTGATTAACTACGCCTATTCAAAGTTCACCCATGAGATGGAGGGATTCTGCACAAATGGACACTTTAGTTATGATTTTTCAATGGTATCCGACCGAGATTTGGAAATTTGTAGAGATGTAAACTCTCTGAAGACAGATGATGTCAGAAAGATAATTCCCGATGAAGTGCTGACTAAAATGAGGGTAAATATTGGAAGTTTGCACGGAGTGAGTACTGACGACGTCTTGGAGATGTTCGCAGACTTTGAGGGAGGGAAATACCTGACTGATATCAAAATCTGCTTGAATATAATGGAATGCGGCGAATGTATGGACATTTCGAAATTTTTGGAATTATTTGAATAAATTGTTTTTATATTCTTTGTATGTTAGAAAATTAATACATTTTTAATCTTTTTCCATAAAGAATATCCATAAAACATTAGATTTTGATGAAAATTTGATTAAGATTTTAGCTTTTTTATGGGCTTTAAGATTGAAATCATATAAAATTCAACATAAATTCTACTATTACATATGAATGTATTTGATTATTGTCTATTTTTAATAGTATATATATTAGATTCAATGATTAATGTGATTAAACTAAAATGTTTCAATTCTTAGGTCTTGATTTAGTCATACATGAAATTGAGATATCCAGACCATTTCAATCTTTTGGCGGGAAAAATCTTGTAAAAATATCAAGCCAGATCAGATTTTTTAACTATTTTATACATATAGCATTAAATACAGTTTATATTTTAGATAAAAATGGATATATGCTCTATAAAAGTGTCCAAGAATTAAATGTCACGCCGCCCAAAGATTCCTTCAAGCGACAGTGACGTTTATTCTAGTGATGACGAAGCTCCAAAAACCAAAGTGCAATCACCTAAATTCATCAAAGCCGTGAATGGATCAGATTATGACTCAGATTATTCTGACCATCCACCAGTTAAAGCTACAATTGTTAAAAAAGGAAAGAAATTTGACACAAGCAGCTCATCTGACGAAGATGAAGTTCTAAAGAAACCAAAAATTATTCATCATTCATCAGATCATGAATCTTCTTCAAGTAGTGATGAAGAGCCAGTTAAGCAACCTACAAAAGGTCCCCAGGTATTAGATTTAGTATCAGATTTTGCAAAGAAATTAAATTCAGATAAAGACAAAACTTCAACAAAGCAAGATATTCCACAAAAACCAAAAATGTCAGCCTTAGATATGCAATTACAAAACAATTTTGCAGTCCAGCCGCATAAATCCGAGTCTTCTGAAGAAGAATCAGAAAATATTCAAAAACCAGAGTCAAAACCTAAAACAATATCAACAGCAAATAATGATTACGATTCTGATCAATACTCAGGAGGTGAAACTAAGCCAAATAAACAAGAAAATAACGAATATGAATATTATTCCGACGAACCTCAAGATAACAAGAAAAAAGATGATGAATATTACTATTCTGAGTATTACTCAGACGAAGAAACACCAACCGCTAAGAAAGTCGAAGAGGAAGAAGAAGATCCAGATGCAGCACCAGAAGAACTTTCTGTTGCAGCTCCTGTTGAAGAGCAACCAGTCGTAGAAAAGAAGAATAACAAGAAGGAACCACAGAAAAAGCAAAATGAAGAATCTCAAAATATAAATGAATTTCGCAAGCAAATACATGATCAAATCTACAAGAAACTACAAAAGCAGTTCAACCAAAAGCTAAATAGTGTCTTGAAACGCGAAGAAAACGTTAAAAAACGTGAAGAACAATTAGATAAACGCGAACAAACGCTAAACCAACGAGAAAAGGCACTTCAAAAGAAGGAATCATCAGAAACAAAGAAGGAAATTGTATTTCCAAAGCCACAATCCGCGAAAAAGTCAATTGAAGATGTAGAAAAAGATTGGCGCAAGAAGAAGCATCATAAATCGAAGGAAGAGAAGACACCTAAGAAGAACAACGAAAATACAATGACATTGGACCAAAAAGAAGAGAAAAATAAGATGACATTGGATGAAAGGGAAAATGAGATCAATTCGCTTGATGATAAGGAGTCTAAGGTGGCTATGACATTGGACAGCAAGGAAGAACTCCTTAAAACTCCTAAAAAAGAAATATCAAATTTGGAAAACAAAGAAGAAAAGCCAAAATCATCTCTTGATGCACAGTTGGAGCAACTTAAGACCCCACAGCCACAGAAAACCCAAAAACAAGAAGAAAAAACAAAATCAAAATCAAAAGAACAAAAAACACCAACAAAGCCACAAGAACAAGAAAAGAAGCTTTCTATTGAAGAGAAGATGCTTGCTCTTAAGGCCGAACTGAAAGAAAAAGGAAAGAAAGCAGTTCAAGCTGCAATTCAAGAATCTAAATCAGAAAAGAAGCACTTTGAACCAGATTCCAGTGCTCCAAAGCCTCCGCCAGCCCCACCAAAGAAGCCAAAGGAGAGAATCACTCCTGTTTCGGCAAATAAAGAAAAACCATATATTCCTAAGATAAAACCTGAAAAGAAGACTCCAAACACAAACAAGTTTGAAAGTACCAAGAATAATTATTAAATTTTGTATAGATTTATAGAGAAAATATTATAAAATTCTTTTTTTAACAAAATTTCAACTTTTTGCCATGAGCACTGTTGTAAACAGAAATTCATCAAAAGTGACACCTCAGAAAAGCTAAAATATTGAATTTTTGGAACTTTTGATAGAGCACGTTTTTAAATATTAATTAAAGTAAATGTATATTTTGTAAAGATTCTTTTTAATAAAAAAATAAAATTTTGAAGAAGAACACAAAATCTTCTGAAAAATAATATCACATAAACTCATATTATTTTCTAATATATAACTATTTTATATAAAAATCAAATTCAATGATCTTAAAAGCGAAGGATAAACCTCAAAATTTACGAATATAATGAGTGGGAATATAATGCTTATCTATCATAAAACCATATGAAATATTAATTTTTGCTTTACGCCTAATTTTGACGACAATTAGCAAAAAATGTTAAATGTTAACACTCAGTCCATTTGAATATGAAAAATAAAATTGACTTTGATTAAATGTTTTTATTTATCATGCAATTCTTCTTGCGACCAAAGATTTGAATAAAAGTTCAAAAAATAAGATAGCTTAAAAAATAATATACGGTAGTGTTTACTAATAGATGAATAGTATATAAATTCTATTAAAATGGATTTGATCCAAAAAAATATATAAAATTTGATCATAAATAAAATCGTTTTAAATTACTTCTTCATTTAAATTATAACAATTATTTTTGGTTTTATATTTTTTTGGATCAAATCCATTTTAATAGAATTTATATACTATTCATCTATTAGTAAACACTACCGTATATTATTTTTTAAGCTATCTTATTTTTTGAACTTTTATTCAAATCTTTGGTCGCAAGAAGAATTGCATGATAAATAAAAATTTAATCAAAGTCAATTTTATTTTTCATATTCAAATGGACTGAGTGTTAACATTTAACATTTTTTGCTAATTGTCGTCAAAAATTAGGCGTAAAGCAAAAATTAATATTTCATATGGTTTTATGATAGATAAGCATTATATTCCCACTCATTATATTCGTAAATTTTGAGGTTTATCCTTCGCTTTTAAGATCATTGAATTTGATTTTTATATAAAATAGTTATATATTAGAAAATAATATGAGTTTATGTGATATTATTTTTCAGAAGATTTCATTCTATATGCCTATGAAAAGTACTCTCAAAACAAACTTTTTCCTAATTATAATTAAATCTAGAATATTGTATTATGCTTAGTATTATTTCATTTTTCTCATTCAATTTAGAATTTACAAATGTCAAAAAATTGAGAGCTGTCACTTTTGATGAATTTCTGTTTATTACACACTAAGAAAACCCTCTAGTGTGTGATTCTATAACCTCGCTTCTTTTTTATTATTTTCAAAATAAGATCATATCATTCATAACTTGAACCTATTTATCGAACCTATCGTTTGGATCCTTCATGAGACTACCTTTCTTATAATATCGAATATATTGAAAGTGATTTTTTTTTGGCAGAGTCTTACGATCGGCGAATTAATATTTTATTATACATATTCACGGCAAATGCGATAATTACAAAATAACCATATTGCAAAATTTATACATCTACGATTATTTCATCGTTTTTCTCAATTTTTTGCTTTTGGTCATATCACTTTATTTCAATGTCTAAAGTCATCAGCACACCAGACGCTCCAGCAGCCATCGGCCCATACTGCCAGGCTCGTCTTTGCGATCGCACACTCTACACATCCGGCATCATCGGAAACGACCCACACGGCGGACCAAACCCGGAAACAGTCGAAGGCCAGGCTGAATTGATCATGAAGTCCCTCGACGCCATGCTCAAGGCTGCTGGCTACGAAAAGACAGATGTTGTCAAGTGCAACTGCTACCTTGCTGATATCGCTGACTTCCAGAAGTTCAACAAGATCTACGCTGACTACTTCGGCGACCACAAGCCATGCCGCTGCTGCATCCAGGCTGGCAAGCTCCCAGCTGGCAAGCTTGTCGAACTTGATGCCATCGCTTACAAGTAAATCTGCATCAGATCAAGGTTCCTTTTTAGATAAAGTACCTTTCCATGCAGAAATGCTCAAGGAGTTATTTAAACACCCCTCTTTAGTCATTTAAATTGTTTTTTCATACTTATTTTAACATCATTATTTCATGAAAAATTCTATATTCTTACTCTAAATCAGCACACATATCTATAGATGAAATATTATATAAGTCTTTTTATCATTTGATATTGACATTTTCATGAAGAGATTTATGAAATCTAGTTTGTATGGTTCTTTACTATTCACTACTAATATTAACAATAGCAAACTTTGGTGAACCAATTATATCATGAATGTCATGCCCGTTTAAGATCATAATGATTTGGGAATTCCACATTCAAAAATTCTAAAATTGACAAATTAGAAACCAATGAATTTATTACATGAATTCTCAACACAGACAATATGCAACTTAGGAAAACCTTGTTTTTGATGATTTAAACATCTTTAAAAACTCATATTGAGCCAATTTTAATTTGTGAAATAATGTTTTACTATTAATAGAGCCATTGAACTAAAATTTAATATATTTTGATTGAAATGGATCAATTGATCTGAGTTGAAATGTAAAATAGCATCATTAAATATAAAATTATGATAAATCAACTTTTATTATATATTTTGGAAGCATCTCTTTCATATCTGAGCTATCTATGCAGGAAAAATATAAAAACAATAGTGATTTCTTCTTATACTGTTGATATGCATACCATTTCTAGAATTGCCTCTATCTAGTCGTCTTAAATGCTTAAGAAAAAAATTTCCTATATCATTGTGTAGCCATATGAACCACAATACATAACAAATCTATCTTCATAAAAAAAAAGGAAACTTGAAATCATATTCTTCACGTCTATCTCTCAAAATTTGAGGTAACTGATTGGCTTACACGCGAAGCATATGATTTCAAGTTGAAAGATCTGCGTATAGATTCTGAAATAAATATATTTCGAGTTTGATAGATAAACATAATATAAATTTTAAATAACAAACAAAATATTATAGATATTTATAAATAAATCCCTTCTGCTTTTAGAGATTTTCCGTATTTTTCTTTTAATACCTCGCGGACTGTTACTCCTTGATATTCCATGTTAAGACCAGTACCATTCTTAATAAACCATGCTATTATTTTTGTGAAATCTCCTATAAAAGTTGTATATTTCATTAACAAAGGAATTCCTTTGCATTTGCAATTGATATCCAATCCATGTTCAAGTAGTAAATCTAGTATCTCTACTGCTTCATCTACGTTATCTTGGCTTAAATAAAAAGGGAGTGTGGTAGAATTTACGAAAAAGTGACACTTAACCTTAAATTTCCAAACACTATTTTTTGATTGTATTTTGTTATTTATATATTTATATATATATGTATATTTATATATATATATGTATATTTATATATGTATATTTATATATGTATATATTTATATATGTATATATTTATATATGTATATATTTATATATGTATATATTTATATATGTATATATTTATATATGTATATATTTATATATGTATATATTTATATATGTATATATTTATATATGTATATATTTATATATGTATATATTTATATATGTATATATTTATATATGTATATATTTATATATGTATATATTTATATATGTATATATTTATATATGTATATATTTATATATGTATATATTTATATATGTATATATTTATATATGTATATATTTATATATGTATATATTTATTAGAAACTGCTTCATGCTATGTTGAGTATTGTTGAATTGGAAACTGCTTCATGATGCATTGAGTATTGTTGAATAATTTGAAGTAGTGGTTTTTGAAATCAGCACCCCTATGAGAGCGCTGGCGACCGAAACACCACTAGTAAGATTGTGTATTAGAAACTGCTTCATGCTGTGTTGAGTAAGCTTCGATGTCTTTGTAGGATAGCTTTCTGAGAGCGAAACAAGATAGTGTTGAAAAAAAAATTTGAAAATCTGAGAGACTGTGCAAGAGCCAACGACCAAAACACTACCAGTAAGATACAGCAGTAGTAGCTGCTTCATGCTGCATTGAGTATTGTTGAATAATTTGAAGTAGTGGTTTTTGAAATCAGCACCCCTATGAGAGCGCTGGCGACCGAAACACCACTAGTAAGATTGTGTATTAGAAACTGCTTCATGCTGTGTTGAGTAAGCTTCGATGTCTTTGTAGGATAGCTTTCTGAGAGCGAAACAAGATAGTGTTGAAAAAAAAATTTGAAAATCTGAGAGACTGTGCAAGAGCCAACGACCAAAACACTACCAGTAAGATACAGCAGTAGTAGCTGCTTCATGCTGCATTGAGTATTGTTGAATAATTTGAAGTAGTGGTTTTTGAAATCAGCACCCCTATGAGAGCGCTGGCGACCGAAACACCACTAGTAAGATTGTGTATTAGAAACTGCTTCATGCTGTGTTGAGTAAGCTTCGATATCTTTATCAGACCACCTTTAAATTAACCACTCACATTCTCACTGTGGTCCATCTAAAATTTGTAAACTTTATGACATAAAATTATATTATATGCAGGATCCCACCTATTACTTAATCTTTTTGGAATAAATGTTTTATAATATTTATCGATTGATTGTAATTTTTTGTATAAAAAAGTTTTTTATTTATATTAAAAATATATTCGGTTAATGATATTATCTTATAATTTGTAAATAAATCTAGTAATAAAATAACTTTAATAGTTGGTGTCACTTTTTCGAAAATTCTGGTTTTTTCAATAAAAAGGTCCTGGATTTCCATCAAAATCTAAGCGATTTACGTCAACATCTTGCCTTAATATCATCTTCGCGGCTTTAGAATTCATAGACTTGCATATATAATGGACAGTTGAAAGAGAACTTTTTTCATTTGTATCAAAATAATATGAATTATTAACAATTAGCTTTATTATGTCGAGATTTACTACAGGACTTGATAAAGCTTCATGTAAAGGTAATTTTCCTTGGGTCATACTGTCAACTCTATATCCAGATTTTATTAAAGCATCAACAATGTAAGTTCTTTGGAAACGAATTGCATAATTAATAATTTTTTCACCTGCATTCCTATCTGATGAGTATTGAAGTAATAAATTTAAAATATTAATGCAACCTTTTTTGGAAGCGAAGATAAAATGCGAATTCATCCAATCACCCAATTTAGGCTGAAATTTGCATTCTAATAAGAGCTTAACTAAGTATTCTGATCGAGAATTTATCGCAAGATAAAGTAAATCGTATTTTGCTCTAAAATTTTGAACAGCTAATTGAGGGTTTTTGATTAATATATATGTAGCAACTTCAATAGAGTTGTTTGCGCACGCATAATGTAAAGGTGTATAATTTTGGTCAGTTTTATTCTGAATACTCATATTCATCTCACGATCAAGATAAATAAATATGTTGATTGCATCATAATAAGCAGCAGCATGAATAATTGATATACGTTCAGTTGGTAATAGATTTTTTTCTTTACATGTGACAAATTGATTCACCGGGTGTACAGACATTAAATTAAAAAGGCACAAGTCATCGTTTTGTACAAATGTAATCAGTTTCATATAGGGAGGTGACGTAATGTTATTTAACATAAATTTATAATTGGAAAAAAAATTTACACTTTTCCGACTTTTTGTCAGGGGCGCGAAGCGACCCAAAAATGCCGGAAGAGTGTAATTCTCAGATATGTGATTGCTTTTGCTTTTAATACCGAACAGCATTTGAATCAAAAATAATCGTATGTCTGAGAAATTGGAATTTTTTTTTCTCAAAATTATGCCATTGATAAATCCGAATACAAGAACACATATGATAGCTCATTACACGTAAATTGTAGTAAAGCTGAGTGTTTTCGAAGCCTTATCTGCATAAATGGTTCTAATGCATCAAATGAAGGAGCATACTGTTATGATACATTTTTACATAGATTTTCACTCAATAATTTTAAGCCTTCTCTTTATGATTTTTAGAATTAGTATCAGATATTAGATCCAATGTTAGTTTACATTTCGGCTACCATTTGCTCCATTTAATCTCAGCCTATACATTCTAAATTTTTGAGTTGAAATTTCTTAAATCTTATCTATTTTGTTCTGGTAAAACGTTCAATGAATATATCTTATATGGGTGCATTGAAATTTAATTATTTAAGGGTGCACTTACCATTTTCTGACATTCTCTCAATTTTTTTGACATCCAAACTTTATATTACAATTTTCTAAGGTAAAATGCTAATATTCTTTGGTCAAGAAAAAGTTATTATAAATCGTTATATAATGCATAGTATGATTGTTAATCTTTTGCAATTCTTATAAAGATATAATGATTTGATTAGAGAATGTTAGAAAGTGGTCAGTGCACCCTTAATTATGTTTAAATAACTTTTTTTTAAATACATTTTTTTATTATAAAAAACAAACAAATAAATAATTTTTTAAATAGTTCATTTCATGCAATTTTTCAATAACGATTCGATTGAATTAATTTCTAATTCTGATATTCCATTCTTTTGAAGGATGTCGAAAATTTGATCATATGTAATTTCGTATTTAGAAATCAACAGTTTCATCAAATTGTATTGATCAGGGGAGATCTCATTCATTCCTTTTCGTTTAAGTCGATTAACTAAATTATCAACTGCTTTAGGCCATTCATCACCTAAACTATCGATAACTCTCGACCAAAACAAAGAACATTCTTGTGGTTCGAATGTTGCAAGGTAAAGTAATTCTATACCAATCATTTGAAGCCATGAATCTTTAAATTCATCAACGCAATGACTCAAAATTTGAATCTTCAATTTAGCGTTATCTGTCTTTATTGAATCAAGTAAAGCAACTTCATTTTCTTCAATCAACGCAAGTCTGCACTTCAAAAAGTTAAGTTTGTATTGGTTCGATTTTTCTTTCATTGTATGAAGAAATGTTGGTTTGTTTGCGATGCAGAAACTTGCAATCATATCACAGAAACTGATCTGTATTGCAGGAATAGCATCATTTAATTTGGCCATGAAATCATATGAATTAGATGGGAAAACATCTTTCGGATGAAGAGGAGGACGAATGAAATCAAATATTTTGCAAACACATTCAACAGCATTTGATTTCGACAACAAACCATTGACATATTTAATTAGTGTTTGTGCTAAATACAAATTACCTGTAATTGCGGCTACTTTATCAAAAAGAGGATATGATCTTGTTAAATGATCAATTGTTGTAACATTTTGTGCAAATAATTTTTTCATGAAATCACTATCATCAAAACCATGATTTTCTTTCAAATCTATAAACAACAAAATCAATTTGTAGCTGATATCAGAGTAAATGTTTTGCTTGGAAATCATGTTAAAGATTCCATTTATAATCTTCGATTTGTAATTCTTCAAATAAACAATTAATTCTTCTGGTTCGAAAAACAAACAAAGACAAACTAACATTGGATTTATCTTTTGTCCACACTGAGTTGAAAGTGCCAAATTATTAATGTCATTCCTGAATTTAATAACTCTTTCTTTATCGAATTTGTTTTGCTCAATAAGTTTCATTGCAAATTGGAGACAAAATTCGAATTTTTTGTCATTTTCTAGTGATGTAATAATCATCATTAAAATCGAGAAGAAATCGAAATCATAGTTATTTGAAGAAACAACTAACCAAAACAAAACAATGAATAAAAGTTCCGAAATTGATTTTTTCGCAACTTTTACAATAGTTTTAATGATTTTTGCGGCTTCATCATTATTTTCTAAATTATCACATGGAACAGGATTGAAATAATTATTACTATAATTAGGGAATAAACGTTGGAAGATTCTCTGACTATAATTTTTGATATTATCACTTCTTTTTTGGTTTAAATACTTAATAAATGGTTCTAAATGATCATAGAAGTATTCTTTCGCTTTATCAAATGTTTCTTTGTTTGAAAGATCTATCAACAATGTATAAGTGATTCTTTGCATTGAATTTTCATTTGAAAACAACGAAATTAATTCAGAATCAGTTTTCAAGTCATAAACATTGAATTCTTCTTGTATTTTCTCTTGATTCTGTATTAAAATCTTTTTAAGACGCTGGAAAACAATTTTCTGAGTGTTTGATCCTGATTTAATTTTGTTTTCCAGGTCTAGTAATTGAGAAAATTCTCTTTTAACTTTAAATGAACATATATCTGTCATTGCACTAAGAATTTCACTTATATCAATACTCTTCAAGATGCTTTCCGGATGATCATTTTCATATATCATCAAAATAGAATTTAACAATTTAGAAATCGTTTCATCATCAAGAGCTAAAATGTATTTTCTTCCTTTCTGAGTGTAACTATGTAGTAAAAGACCAATAGATTGGTATGAATACCACGCACTCACGCATTTAGAGAAAATATCAACAATTTGACTGAAAATTTTCAAAGAATTTTGTAAAGTTGATTCTTCAATTACGAATTTCAAAATTTTCCTGATGAATTGAGGAATTTTTTCATCAGAAGGAGAAGTAATTATTCTTGCGATGTTTTGGATTTCGTCTGCCATTACTTCTCCCATTTGATCAATCTCTTCTTCGTTCAAACTACCAATTTTGTTGTCTAAAGCTGGAATAAATTCTTCGAAATTTGATTTAACAAAAATTTCACATAAATATTTCATGAAAATTTTCAAATCACATAAATGAAGAACCAAATCAAACAATGGCTTAGAGAATGCAAGTTGCGATGACAAGAATAATGAATTATCCTTCTTAATCTCTTCAACAAAAATTTCTGGAACAAATTTACAAATGTCACTTTTTGTGTCAAAGAAATCTTTTTCAAATTTCTTTTTTGTATAAAATAAGATATAAGCGGAACTTGTTTCACCTTTTCCTGTTCCATCCGCACTAGAATGGAAGCTGTTCTTGTCTTCTTTAGTTACTTCCATGTCATCGTATTTGATGTAATCTTTTTTGTCACTTTTCTTACAAAAAGAGAAATAATGACCACTTTCTGCTGTTCCTTTGTGACAAATCACACCTTTCAAGTCATATTTACAATCTTCGTTTTCAACAACAAAGTCAGCGATATCCAAATCATCAGGGAATATGAATTTGTTGTTAATCTTCTGTCTTTGCATTTTTGTGTAGTCGTAAACTAACCGTCGTAAATGAACGATTAAAACCGTCGGAGCCTTTTGAATTTTTGTGAATTTGTTGACAGGAATTTCTCTACCGTTTTCTAATTTATAGTTTTCGAAGTGTTCAGGAGTTTTCATTTCGTTGAAAGAGTCAATTAAATTTGTGTTTCTCGAGACATCAACGGAAAACAACCGAAAACTTTCGAAATTTTTAGAAACAACTTCATTTTCTTCCGATTTAAACTCGTTAAAGAACTGTCCAGTGAACATTTCTTTAACATCATCAGTAAATCCATCCAATAACATACTCAGAAATTCACTTGCATCTTGTTCTTCTCCAAATTTTATTGTTTTATTTCCCCAGCCTTTCCATTTCGATGCGAATGACTTTGGATTAGAGAAAGGACGCCTTGTCAACAACAAACTACTAAACAATAGTTGTAAATCATACATAGAATTATCTTCTTCATATTTTTCTTGTAAAAACCGTTCCAAAAAAGGTGCCAAACCAAATAATTGTTGAATAGTTGAATTCATGTAACATGTTGCACCTAAATTCTTCAATCCTGTACCATAAATTGATCTAGTTTTATTTGTGAATTCATAGCTATTCATTAACAATTCGGAAACGAATTCATCAGCACATTTTTTAAGTGTTTCTTTGTCCGAAATGTTTTTTAATCGATTAAATATCTTAATCATTGTTTTTTCATCATCACATAATTTTGTTGTTTCAAAACATCTTTTGATGACATCTTCTGGATTATTACTTATCTTGAGAACCTTTTCTAATACAAATTGCAATGAATATATGGAATAATGTTTTGCAGAATTGATTTCATTCATCAACATCTCGTAACATTCAATTGCATCTGAATCATTTTTAGATAATGAACAACTCATCGAATATATTGGATAATAAAAATATGGTTTCTGACTTTCTTTTATCCTCATTTTGCTGTAATTTATTAATTCTTCATTACACGTGAATTTAGAAATGTAAGTACTTAATTTTAGATGATAGTTAAATGGACATTTTTCAAAAATATTATTAAGAATATTATTGTTTTCTAAAAATTTTGATTCAATTTTTGATAAATCCAACTTACAAATTAAAACAATAGCAATATCTCTGTTTTCTTGTTTTATATTCACGATGTTTGTTGCTATCAAATCAAAGATTTGTTCTGTGTACGTTACTAATTCATTTTCCGGCATGTTTGACAAAATAGAAAATGCTTTAGCTAAAATTGACTTGAAATCAGGTTCATTTATCTTATCAAACAATATTTTGATGCCATCAATGCTTACAAATCTATCTCTGATGTTTTCTTTCAAAACTCTGAATGACAAAATTTCTAAAATATATTCCGCCAAAATTTGACTTGTTTCTGAACTAAAATATGTCATTAAAACATCAGGATATGTTACTAACAATCCTCTGTATTCTTCATCATCAGGTAGTTTTTGTAATAATCCTTTAAGTGTCAATTTGTCACTTTTTGAAAGATTTGAATTATTATGTAAAAAATCTTTGATGAAACTTGTCAAATTCTTTTCGAAGAAAATAATTGAAGGAACTTCATCGGAAGAAACAAAGTTATAATCATGAATTTTCAAAGAATCAACTGTTACTATGACATCATTTTTTGAGATGTAATCCAACAATAAATTTGCAGGATTCATAGTTAATGAATTAATTTTAACATTACTATTTTTTTCGAAATCAATTGGATAATAAGCACTAAATTTATCCAATAAATAAGCTGTTTTGTATTTAAGTTCTTCTTGTGACAAAACTAAAGGATACAATGTTTCATTGTATTTAAGATTTACCTTATAATTATTTGAACATGGAAGTAAAATATCTCCATGTCTATAAGTTTTTTCTGAAAACAAATTATCATTTTCTTCATATTTATCAATGAAGATTTGTATCAATTTGAAATAAACAATTTTTCGAGATTCAGGAGATTCTTTCAACAAAATTAGAAGTTTATCACAAACTTCTTTGATTATTCTAACAGAACAATTATCTAAGAAGAACAACAAAGTATCAAAAGCAGGAGATTGATCACTTTTATCATTATCAAGGGCTTTGAAAATAATTTGCATTCCAGGGATGTCAAATGATTTCAATTCAATCTTTTTAGGAATTGTTTTTGATGCAAATGCATTACTAAGAATCAATTTGTTATCTATACCTATTATAATAATAATGTTCTTAAGAAATCCCATGAATTCCTTTGTATTACTGAAATATCCGTCGTTTACAAGGAAATCCTTGATTTTTGCAAAACTTTCATCAGATAAAGAACTTTTTCCATTTTTTTCAAGAAGTTTATTTAAAAATTCCCAAAATTCTGATTTCGGCTCTTCTTGTAAGAACTTGTTTAATATTGTTACATCAAGAGGTTTCTCCATAGATACTAAAATAGTAAATATCAAATCATAGATTGGAATTTCATCATTAATTTTATTAATTGTATCCGAAATTTGTTCCAAAATAGATGTTGTCGCTGATTCATGACAAGTATTAAATGTATGTATCAATATCTGTGCGTATTCAACACATGGATCAATGGAAAACATATTTGCTGTTTTAATTGCAATGTTATTTTGTATTTTTTTAACTAAATTCGATGTCAATTCAACAACAACATTTTTCATGTGTTGTTTTTGTGTCAAAATCATATCCAAAAAATCATCTGGTTTGTTGATGTTAATTGCTGAATAAGTTAATACATTAACTATCAATGGATTATCTTCTAATCTTTCTATCCATGTCTTTGTTTTCGTTTCTCCAACAATTGCAAACGTTTTTCCTAAAATTTCAGTGTATTTTGATTGTAAACTAAAATGAACTGTTTTTGTTTTTTCCCAAAGAATTTCAATGATTTGCCATATATCATATTTACATTGTGTATCTAAATCAGAACATGAAGTGAAGTATTTAGCAAGTGTTGTAATGATTTGGCTCAAATAAATCAATGTTTTCTCGTGAAGATCAAGTTTGATCAATCCTTTAACGAAATTGATCTTTTCGTCAAAATCCATCATGAAAATCTTCTTGTTACAAATGATCTCTTTAACCATGATGATGCCGTTTACATTTTCCTCTAATTTGTCACTTTTTAACTGTTCTGTGGACAATTTGAGTAAATTTGGGATAATGAAAATGGCAAGTGATGATTTGTAACAGATACATTGTAAAAATGACTCTAAAGATACTTGGAAACTGTTGTTCTCGGTACTTTTCATAGTTTTGATATTTTCGATATAATAATTTAGAATTTTCTCGTAGTTCTTGCTGTAAAGTGATGAGTATATGTCAAAATAACGCTGAAAAGCTGTGAAAATGACTGAACAATTTTCGAAATTTAACAAATTTGTGTTTTTCGCGTAAAAGTTGACAATTAGGTCGAGAGCCCTTTGATCATCGAATAAGTAACCTACAACAATGATCCACTTATCAAGTTTTTCATGTGTAAACTCGTTTGCGGTAAAATAATAAGGATACCCGGGGTATAAGATAGAAATAAGAGTCGAAATTAGTTCATCTGATAGTTTTTCATGGTATTTGTATATGATTTTGCAAACACCTTGCAAGATTTCGGTAATAATCATGTTATACTTTTTCCAGATGGAAATTTGTAAGATTTTCTTGCAAATTGTAGGTAAGATCTCACCAATAAATCGATTTGAAACGTTTTGAAGCTTGCCACTCAATGATTTATTATTATAATAATCAGCAACCAACTTCTTAAGAGGGGGCAACTGCAAAATAAAGACATCGTTTTGCCCAACATTCTCAGTTATGAAAGTTGCCCATACTTCGAAGTCTTTTTCAGGGGGAGGAATCATCAACTTCGAAGCCATGATGACAAATGAACAGAAAACAAGTATTTTTATAAGTTTAACTATATGTTAATGCATAATGTTTAATTATTTATCTAAAATTTTACAAAAATTTTTAAATTTAAAACTTACATAATTTATGGTAATTTAATCAGTCTTAAGATGATATTTTTAATTCTCTGTAATTTGGCTTATGAAAATCATTATATAACATTATTGCCAAATAATTCTTCATCAGAGTGGTTTTCAATAGAAACGAGGTATAAAATGAGATTGCACTTGTACAGATATGAGAAATTACTGCTGATGAACTATCTTAGTGCACATTTTTAATTCTTCATGATAAAAGAGTCCAAAATTAGAATTTAGTTATGAGTATTGAGGGCTAATTACATAAAAATGAATGATGAGCAGTGAAAATTAAAAAAATACTCTAATAATTTTGAGATGTTTTTTAAAATCTCTTAATTCTGAACTTCAAATATATTTATTCATTTTTAATTCGTATGGTAATAAAGAATTTAAGTAAATCGGATACTGTTATGGGAAAGTATACAATTTTTTTTAGTTCTATGAACATGTTTTAAGTCTTAATAATGTATCAGCTCCGAACCCGTGAGGTTCAGTTTGGGAAAACATTCTGTATTATCTATGATCAAGTAAATTTGGAATCTCCTTCACTGAAGAGAAAGTCCAAACTAGAAAAGAGTTTATCACTTCATAAACTATATTATTGATATTATTTTGTATATATATATATCTATGAAGTTCAACTTAGTGGAAAGAAATGTATTAATTTCAAATTGCGTTAAATTTGACAGAATAAAAATATAATATATAATAAAACAATACATATTTATTACAAACAAACAAAACAATATATGTAAAAGAGCTTCAAAGAGCATAACAAACTTCAGTTGCAAAATTAGTGTTTCTCTCTGGAATTCTTTCTTCATTAATCAATTTATATTTCTTTGTATCATGTCATTCTTATATCTATTCCTTTGTAACTTATTATATTATGAATTTTTTGGAATTTATCAGAATCATTTTTTTCACATTTGGAATCAAGGTTGTGTTCCTCATCTTTTCTGAAGTTACATTTCTTTGTGTAATCTTCTTTTGGAGGGTAATTTAGAAAATCTTGAAATTCGTCAGAATCTTTTTTTTTATATTCGAAATCAGACTTGTTTCCGGCACGATTTCCGTAGTTACGTCTAGAGTTTGCTGCTTTATGAATATTCGTAGGAAATTCGAGCTTTGGCTGATGATTAAAAAGTGGAGAAATGACTCCGAAATCATTATCATCATTATAGCAGATGTTTTTAACGATGTTTAATTGACGGACAACTGTATCTAATGTTGGCCTATCTTCTGGTTTTTCCGAAAGCATCTGCAAAGCGAGTTTTTGGATACTTGGAGGAACGAGTGGAGTGAAATGAGCAAAGTTTGCGTAGAGGCGTGTGAACATCCAGCTGAGAACGCATCCAAGAGAATAAATTTCAGATTTGACACCATAAAGGCATGTACCTTCCTTATTTTTCTTAACTTCTGGTGCCATGAACATCTTTGTGCCTACATATTCTGTTGATTCCATTTGATCAATTAAAGCAACATCAAAATCTGAAATGTGTGGGATCAATTTATCGTCGATCAAGATGTTATCTGGCTTGATATCTCTAATAAGAATCTTTTTAGAATGGATTTTCATGACCAAGTTGCATGTATTGATGAAAATTTCGATTAATTGAGTGTTAGTAAGATTTGGATGGTTGATAACATAGCTTGTAAGAGTTCCATTCTGGCAGTAAAGGGATGAAACAAATTTTGTATGAGGAATTGTTAGGATACTTGGATAATAATTTGTTTCTCCGAGTCTTTCTTTGATAAGTCTGTCTTGAGGATTATCACATCGCATGTACTTGAAGACGTACTTTTCATTATCTAGTGGTTTTATTACAACCGAGTGATCGCCGTAACCGATCGCTTCGAAACCTTCAGGCATTAATACAAGTCTGAATGCATGCTTGATTTCCTTCTCATCGTTAGTCTTGAATGACTCAATAAATGCTTGATCATTCTCTGTGAGTTCTCCTTGAACTGTCATAAGTAAAAATTTAAAAATTTCAGCAAGATTTTGTGCCTGCTTTGAAACTCGAGAATTGTCAGCGCCGAAAGCGATTTTGTTTGTTTCTGTATCGACAAATATATTTTCAATTGTTATGTGTTTTTTTGGATTAATGAGGAGTTGGTGGAGTACTATGTGTACGTCTAATCTTGTTTGTTGTAATTTACCCTTGTTATTTTCAAGAAAGTCCATAAGCTTCTGGATCATTATAAATTATAACAAAATTTTACTAACAGAATTTTTGCTCTAGTTTCTCTCAATTTTTTTTTTGAAACATACAATCATTTTTTAAAAAAATTTGGATTTTATTATCAAGCATTAAATCTACAAAATTTATAAATCTTATTCAAAAAGTTATCAAGATTTTTGCCATAAATTTTGTCAATTTTTTTTCATAGTTTTTCACACTTCGTTTTTTTTCCAGCATAAATTTTTATCAATCCCCTCTAACGTGAATGCTTGTGTGGCTGATGCCATTGCACATATTAACTGTTTTCGGCCTTTTTTTTTGATTCTCAATTTTGGAATCATATATGAATTAAAGGGGGCGAGCATCATAAGAAAAATTTTTCGAAAAATAGGGGGTGTTAGTATACTCAACCCCCTCATTAATTATCGTTTCTAGAGGAATAGGAACAGGGGCCTTTTTTCAGGTAACCTTTAAGAAGTTTCCGAAAGAGTTTATGCTCATATAACCTCATTTCCAGGTAAATAGGGGGCATTGTTCTACTAAAAGTTTAGTTGCATACTGGCCTCGTTTCCTAAGAAACTTAATCAAGAGGCTATCTCAATAAGCCTTGACCAACAGGAATAGGATTTACCATCACTCTTGTGGAATAAGTAATCAATATTCCCGAAACATACATTTAGGTTCTTTAGCCTACCTTCTATAATGCAGCATTATACTTTCTTCCGAGCATAAATATAAGTAACCACATTTGTATTATATACATTAATTCAAATAATGCTCATACGCTTTTCAAGCAAAACCATTACTCGTCGAATTTTTTATCCAATATTATTGTTGCATTGAGATTATACATTCTAAAACATGTGAAAATTAATAGAAGATGACGAACTTATTAATTTTCTCGAATAATTTTATCTTTACTCGAAAATTAATAAGTTCAATTGTTTATTAAATCAATATTTGTTATTATTATCAAAGACAAATGAACCCGTATTGCTACTTTATAATTTTGCTTTCTTAATTTGAAATGGTTATTCTAATTTTTGAAGGAAATTAAATTTCATTAAATATTTTGAAGTCTGGAATTAATATAAGATACGTTTTGCACTATTTTGATGTGAATTTAACATTGTAATATGCCTTTCATAATAAAGTTAGTGTAAAGAGATAAAAATTTAAGTATTACCATAAACATTGCATATTGAAAGATGACTGTAATATATTTGATTTCTCATGCATAATACGAGAATGTTTTATCAGAATTCTCATATAATCACATTGGAGAATAAATAAGAAGAAAATTGAAAATATCTGAGCCTAGAATCTATTAGTTTGGTTTTGATATATATATTTGTCCCAAGTGTTAAGATATTCATGCAGAAAAATAAAAACATTTTCAAACAAAATGTACAAAAGGAAAGATTCAATTGGAAATTTAAGAAGCTATCAGTATTTTCATATATGAAAAAGTAATGTGTGCACGAATTTAGTGAATGTTAACAATAGATAAGAATTGTTATGGTAAAAATATGCAACAATGTAGTTGTGATGCAAAAATTGAAAATCCTTCAAGGATGATAGTGTGCTCTTAATAAAAGGAAATTAAAAAGAAGTAAAAAATTAAAATTTAGGAAAAATATAAAAAATGGAGTTTTCTCCGTAGAAAATATAATTTCATATATATATAGAGGTATGAGACTTGATTACTGGACGAAAATCATAATGGTTGCATAAATTTGTTCAAAATATAGAAAAAGAATGAAATTTTTTGTTAAGATAAGTAATTATATCTTGGAATATTTTATATGCATGTATCATAAATGAAAGATTTCGTTGAATCTGAATAATATTTTCAAAAAAAATGCCGACTTTTGGGTTTTAAATGTAATTATGAGTAAATCATCTATTGGATGGAGGTATGAGATACGCGTAGTGTACTGTGACATAAAAAGATTCGTTGAACAACCAAATAAGTAGTGATGAGCTTGCGTCTATCTGTTATTACTTTAAGATTACGGTAGTTCAGTATTGCATATTCCTTTATCCTATTCCTGTTGGTCAAGGCTTATTGAGATAGCCTCTTGATTAAGTTTCTTAGGAAACGAGGCCAGTATGCAACTAAACTTTTAGTAGAACAATGCCCCCTATTTACCTGGAAATGAGGTTATATGAGCATAAACTCTTTCGGAAACTTCTTAAAGGTTACCTGAAAAAAGGCCTCTGTTCCTATTCCTCTAGAAACGATAATTAATGAGGGGGTTGAGTATACTAACACCCCCTATTTTTCGAAAAATTTTTCTTATGATGCTCGCCCCCAAAGTAACATCAAATGATTTCGATGATGCATTTTACAGCTAATGCTGCATAATACAACATGCTTAAATTAAGGGTCCACTGTAATAACTGAAAGTCTCTCAAAATTGAGAGGCGATTTGCAAATAATCGTTATCGTCTTTTTTCGAAAATCCACTTTTCCTAGTGTTCTGATTAATATTTTGTGAATGTAACAATAAAGTATATGTTTTAGTAAGATGATAATACATTCTATCACTTCAAATCACATAAAAATTGCAAAATCAGCGAGTTTTATAAGAACATGATTTTTTCGAATTTTTTCGCCTCTGGATGCGTGTTTTGAAAAATAGATATTTTCGAATTTTGATTTTAATTTAAGTATAAATTTTATATTAGGAATTTTTTTGACCTATTTCCAATCATTAATTCCTAAGTTTTTCTAGGAATTTAATTGAGAAGAAATTAGGAAATTCGCTTTAATGCCATTACATCCTAATATTGTGATGCATGTAGTTTATATTTATTGAGGCTAATGCCGGAATATCGTGCATTTTATAAAAAATTCAAAGAATTGACAATTGGATAGCACAAATTTAATTCTCTAGACAAAGTATTATTGTTTATATATTCAAAGCATTATCCTTCGTTTTGAAATGTTGGCCAAAAATTTTCGTGTTATTTTTTGCATTTCAGCATAAATTATGTATTGACTTATGAAAGATAAGCATTTTATTCATTATCATAAAGATATACCAAAACAAATTGATAAAATTTTAAAAAATGTGTATTTTAGTGGGTATTATTCTGGCCAATGCCCATTTTTAAACGATTTAATATTGACCATATCAATAGCCGACTCAATGTAAAAATTTAGATATTATTTTTTTCATTATTCAAACTTTGATAAATTTTAGTATAATGAATGATTTTGTTTCGTGTATGATACAGAAATGAAAAGCTTGATTAATATCATTTTGCATTTTTTCAAGAATGTTAGAGTACATCTACATTAAAAAATCGGATTCGAATTGCGATACTGCATCAAATTGTTGCACATCTGATAAGGATCTCAAAAGAGTAAAGTTAATTTTTTTGTGTTTTTTTAAGTTTTGGGCCTTAGTAAAAACACCATCTTGAGCAATATTTTTGGGACGACGATAGGCCTTATTTGGCCTTACAGTGGACCCTTAAAATCTTTTTTTTTGAAAATATCAGGATTTCTATTTACAGACTTTACGAAAAGAACTTTGCACTACCATTCTTACAGATTGGATAATTTCTCAAGAAAAAAGCAAGAATTACAATCTCATGCAAACTTCAAATTTCGTTTTTGTTGATTGATGCTAAATGTAGCCTTATAAGAAATACAGCCCATCGTTAAAAACAGGGAATACCTTTTTCTCCTTTATTAATAAGAACATCTCTATTGTGACGTCTAAAGACATTAATAACGATTGTTTACATAGAATAATAGAGAGTATTGTAAATACTGAATATTATGAGTGTTAATCAACCAAAAAATTATAACATCGAATTTTAGTCACTTTATAAAAATTAAATTTATGAACATGATTACAATTAGCATTATAAATCAACCTTTAAAGAATTTTGAACAGATTTTGCTTTGATTTTGTGGAATAATTATTTATCATGCATATTGAATATAAAGAGTTTCAAATATAGATCAATATCAATGAATTCGATACATATTTAATTAGGAAGCTGAATTTTACCTATAATTTGGCAAAATTAAATGTTGAATTTGACTTTGATAAAATATATGCGAAAAATATTTATAGATATACGCATAAATAGGAACAAACATTCACCTTAATAAACAGATAAGCTAAGCTACTCATTTCGGGAGTGGAATCACTTCTAAAAAAATTATTCGTACAAATATAGCTTGCAAATCAAATGATTAAAATTTTTAATTATTATCATAATTTCGAAAATTTAGGCTGAGATTGAATGTAGAATGGAGTTGCCAAAATGCAAACTAACAATAGATCTAATATCTATATCAGTTTCCAATTCTAAAAATCATAAAGAGAAAGTTTTTTTCCCACCCAATTTTTTGACACCAAAGGCGTCAGACATAGATTTTTACAAAGTACAAGTTTATAGCACTGTTATGCGCTCAAAAATAAAGTTCATTTATGCTATATTAGCATACTATTTTACTGTGATTGTATAAATATTTATAGTCATCTCAAAATCGCAGATGAATAGCAATTCAATTTTTTGAGAGAAAAAACGTGCATGAGATGCGATATGATTTAATTATATTGATAATTCAAAATAAGCATTTTGAATATTGAATAAATGTAAACATTTAATTTTGTTAGTCCTGTCTTTCTCATGGATTTATAACAGTATGCATCATGGATTGCTTGGTTTTATTAAAAATTTGCAATTTGGGTCACATTTTTAATCATTAATATATTGAAACTCAAAATCAAGACATTTTAATGAATTTTGATATATTACAGTTAGTTACTGCATCAATTCTGATGAAACAATGCAATTTCAATTTTCTGAACAAAAAATGCTCGTTTATTATTTTCGTGGTATGATGGATAAATGAATTAGCAAGCCGAAAAGCAAACCCAAACTAGCAGAAAATGGATGCTTTTCCATTTGCGTTAAAAGGTCAAATAGAATTTCTTAATTCGCCATCAAATTCAAATCATTTCCTGCTGGATGTTTCCATTATTTGTATGGTCATATTGTTTTGGAACTACAAATCTAAATTTCTAGTAACAAAGCTCAAAATTCTTCCAAATCAAAATTTTATTATGGATTTTTTTCCAAATTACAAAATTTCATTTCTAAAAGAGGATACTACATGGAAGCTAGTATGTATTCCTTAATTTCGACCCAAAATCAATTGGATTTAATTGATAATTCCTATCGTCTTTTTTTCAAAAAAAACTATTTATTATTATTCTTTGTCTTGTATATAGATAGTAAAAATCTTCGTCTTAAAACTTTTCTTAATCTCATAGAAAAAAAAGCCCTCAAATTAAGCGTCCAGAGCCTTGCCCTCTCAATCAAAATTAGAGTAGTGAGGTTTACAAATCCCAATTCAATACACAGAGGTTTACATTTTATATTGAGGGGCTCTCACTACTGAGATTTTGGGAGCGCTACATATTTCAATTGCTTTAAAAGGATCATTAAGAGATGATTTATTCCGTCGATATGTTGTAGAGTTGCATTAAATAGCAGGTACATTTTTGTGAATAATATTACCGATATCTAATTATGATAGCACACAGAATCAATAATAGTATTCAAAACACCAATAAAAAATAATCTTCTCAAAAAATAAAATCTTACTTCTATCTGAATTTTCAATTATTGAGAGGAGCAATGTTAAAAGTTCAATATGAGTGTGATTCTAAAGCTTCGATTATTTTTGCTTTTAATGCCGAACAGTATTTGAATCAAAAAATAATCGTATGCATGAAAATGAAAAACCACCGTTTGGGAACTTTCAAAGTTTTTGACATTATTGGGGTTTTATGGATCAGAAAGTACTCAATTTAACTTCTCAAACGATGCTTTTTTTGTCGACAATATGAAGTATATATTAAGAAAAATATAAATATTTTTTTTACATGCAATAGTATATAAATATATATAAAAAATAGTATATATAAAAAAATCATTTGAAACCTTCAGACTCTGTAATTGCCATTATCAAACCCTTCTCCATTTCTTCCTCTGTTTGATATGGAGGAAGCGCAAGGTGTGAGAAGCATGTCAATGCGCTCGGAAGAGGAAGTTTATCACCTGTCATTGGTGCTAGTTTTAGCTTAGGTTGTCTTCCCTGTGCCTTCATAAACTCATATCCTCCAATTGGAATAGTATGAGCGCTTGTCATGAAAAGTAATAATCTAGAGATCAATTCGTTGTTCCATCGCCTTATTATCTTGAAGAACATCTGAACAATTGGGTGTTCTTGAGATAAAGGAGGAAGGATCTCGAAATTCTTGATCAGTTCTTCCACATCTGTCTTTTGTTCACCACAAATGATTGAACCAATTTCAGATGAAGTGAAAAGTGTGAAAAGTGATGGTTTCAAAACAAACTGGAAACCTTTCTTGAGGGCATCAATCTGTTTGTCTGTCTCTTTGTAAAGATAGTATTGTGTAAGAAGTTCGACATATTCATCAGCATTTTCTCTTGTCAACATCTTATCACGTCCACCTTCACAAAGTTCGATTCCTGGGCTATCATTTCCTGAATCAACTGTGAAATCAAGACACAAATCTGCTGGATCGTTTTTCGTGTCTTGTATCCATGTGATTGTATCGTAAACAACAGGAGAATAGTCCGCAAGATCAGATGCATTAACATTGCGTCCAATCATTGCTTTGATCAAGTGATGTGCTAATTGGTAACCGAGAATTTCGCCGTGAAGAACAACGATTCCTATGAAACGACCAATTCCTTCGAATTTAGAATAATCAGTACACGAAGGATTGATTGTATATGAACAGTTGTTGATTGAAGGAATGAATAAACCACGTTCTGGCTTAACCATTTCTTCAGCGAAAGAAGTGAACCAACCACGCAAAACACCGCCACTTTCAGGTGACATCATTTCAGGGAATTTGATGTAAATTTGGGAATGAATACTTTGTTCATCATTCAAATAACTTAAAATGACTTTCAAGGAATTCTCGAACAAAGCATTACTCTGAATGATCAACAATGCAATTGATTCTTTGTAGATCATTGCTTTAATCGCTTTCCTCATCTCTCCAACTCTGATTTGGAATGGTAAAATGTGCATGAACCTCGTAATGAATTTGAACGAATTCTTTTCGTTGTGTTTGTTCCAAATCCATTCTATGTTATTATATATCAATGTCCATGTCTTCTCGTCTTTCTCCATTAACTCAGACAGTTGTTCTTTGCCTGTATAAGGAGATGTGAGTGAATCCGTGATGATGGAAATCGCTTCATCTTCTTTCTTCTTTTCAAGTAAATCGGACAAAATAGAGATGAACATTGCAGGTCTTTTCGGACCTTCTTCAGGGAGAACCATTAAGAACAATGTTGATGACACTAAGTCAGTGACATTAGTGAAACAAACATTGATCAAATCATGCTGCATTTCTTTAGGATACAATGGAATTAACTTCAATCCTCTGTACCAAACTCTTTTGTCATCACTTTGCAAATATTTCTTAGTTAACTCAATAACATATGGTTTTGGAGGAATCTTAACAGTTAATGCCATGGAAATAACACTATAGCCTAACTTGGTGTTGCCTTCAACAAAACATCTCATCGTTAAAACAGGAGTTATTAATTTGTCAAATTTTTCAATTAAATTTAACGGAATTTTGCCAACGGATTTGACAATTGAACAGAAAGCAATCAAAGCAGTATCTCTTGACTTGATTATTTCTTCAATGATTTTTTCACCATGTATCTCCAAAAGTGACACGACTATCGTCATTGTAAAGTCGTCAATCATTGAATTTTGTTTCCACATTGAGAGCAAATCGGGAATTACAGAAACCAAGTAAGAGAAATCGAATTTGATGGGTTCAGGATCCGGAACATCTTCATATTTCTTTATTGCTTCCGTTGCTTCGATGATTGGCTGTATATATTGTGGCAAAATCAAATTACAACGAGAAGAACAGAAATATCTAACTGTAAACAATCCATATTTATACAACTCAATGAATTGCCTTGTATTTATCTTTTGTGGTTTAGGAGGCAACTTTTTGTTGAGAATACGGATTTGTACAGTTAATGGTAAATGCTTTAATGGACCTTCCAATGTTTTGTCACTTTTTGCAATTGGCAAAATTTCACCTTTATTTTCTGATGTTGGAATTGATTTCGATCTTGGCATTACGGAGAATTGTGACATAGGAATTTGTCCAATTCTAAACACGAAGTGTAAAACATCGTGTGTGAAATTGCCAACGAAAGAAGTACATGTTCCATCAGTATGTGAAAAATTGACAAAGAAATTTTCATGTTTCAGAAATTCCGCTGAAAGGGATTTAGCGAAAGGATCCAAATTTTGATGGATTTGAGAGATTGTTGCCATCAAAAGGGTGCCTACAACTAACAACTTTTGTTCAATGACTGACATGTCTTTCTTGGGAATCACAGAACACTTCGCAATCTCATTTACATATGGAGTTATGGCCGTGTAAGTGAAAATTTGTGTTCTTGAGTCAATTAAATGGTGTGCGATGATGAAACAAATGAAAATTCGTTGTGCAATGGAATATTCAGCAATGTGGGGAACAATTTCGAGGAAGAAAACTTGGCGCATCTCTGGTGTAAATAATATTACATTAATTACGGATAAAGTTTGGAAAGCGTCGTAGCCAAGGTTCTTGTCTTCCTCTACATTGTTTAATTCTTCTGCTCGCTTCAAAATCATCTTTAAAATTTCAAAGGGGGGCGTCTTAAATAATGGAAATGACCAAGTATTCTGGCCAACGAGGGAAACTAAGGCTCCCATTGCGATTTGGCCTGGGATAGAGACAATGGTCTTGAAGAGGTACTCGACAAAGAAAATTGAGAGGTCTGTAGCCTTGGGGAAGTTCCTCCAATCTTTCTTCATCAAAACTTGATCAGTTACGCGAATGAAACATGACTGGATCGTCTTGATATATATTCCTTGGCATGGTGATGATCCGTAAAGTGGCTCAACTACGCTGTAAGGACAAGATAAGAAAGGTATTTCAAGGAATCTCTTGTAAAAAGCATAGTTCGTATACTTATTTCCTGAGCTTGCACGGGAAATAACATTTTGGACAAGCTGAGCAAGGTTCATGTTATACTCATTCGACATAGTCATTACAGAAGCAATAGCACGGGATAATCGCTTTACGCCTGCAACCGTTAGCAGCAAGTCTCCTGATGGGGCGATCTTGTTGTTGGCCACAAGAAGCAAACTTACGTAAGATAATCTTTTGTTTTTAAGGAATTCGTTGAAATGCATACGCCTGTTGTAATATCCGATCTGGTTTACCATATTGTATACAGCCCTGTAGTCTTTTTGAGCATCTGCAGTGTAAATTAAGTTAATATCTGTTGAATTTTTTTGGTAAGCTCTTGAGATTATTCTAGACCTGAAATGTTCGTATTCATGAGGTCTATTTTGCATTTCGACAAGTAACCAGAGCACATGTTGTGTTGGAAAGACATTAATATCTAATGATTCATAAACACTGTATGGTTCAAGGAGTTTTACGTTGGAAGCGATTTGTTTGAGTATCTTCTTACCATTCTTCTGCAACATCTGATTGATTAAGTTCTTATATTCGGTTAAAAGTGGATTTGAACCTTGAATTGTGAAAACTTCGAGTTCTTTGATGATAAAAACGATAACTTCAGGTGGTATTAAATTGAAGTTATCAATTATCATCGAAGTAATGAAAATAAGTATGAAGAAAATGGTAATTTGCTTATCTAATATTCTTATGCACCTTTGGTTGAAGGTTTCATAGACCACCTTGAGCGCCAACTTATAGAATGGCAAAGGAATGATCAATACGTAAGACATTGGCTGTATAGAAGCGAAAGTTAGAGGATTTTCTTTTAATTTCTCTGTTTGGTCGCAATAAATACAGCTCATTGCAGCGACAATCATGAAGTTTGTGGGTGCCAGATTAGAGTATCTCCATTCTAAGTGTCCTTCAAATGAGATATTGATAAATTGACCACAATAATAGAATTCTCTTATGGTCGGTGAGTATTCCCTGATGTTCTTGATGTAGTAGTTATTATTAAGGGCTTCATTGAAGAAACTCTGCATATCAGTGAACAGACTCATATCAGGTGTCATGATTTCGGGGATTCTGAGTTGGATAAACTTATCATCGAACGGAGTACTTGACGTTTTACGGTACAGAAGCATTTCTAGCATCAAATAATAATACTCATTATACAAATCTGACGTAAACAAGTAGTTTAGCTGTTTAGAAGTGATTGCATATGCTACACTCTCTAATGTTCCTTCAATTTCATGTTCGTAATCTGAATAATACTTGATAAAATCAATAAGCATTGTACATTTTGAGGAAACAAAGTGATTGAAGAACTCTATGTTAGTAGAATTGTTCTTAATGATCATGGTGACCAATAAATCGATGTTAATAAGACAATTTTCCTTGTTTTCAACAGGTTTTAATTTATATTTTTTGTCATAGCTCTCAGAAAGACGATGGAGCAACGCTGGTTGGTTAAAGAAGTCAGCATTTTCAGGTGTGAACTCAAAACTGTGATAAAAATTGTAAAAATAATCTTCAGATGCAAATCTTAAGAAAGTAATGGCTCTGTCCATATTCATGAAGTCCTGTGGCCTTTCCGCAAGTATAAGAGCGAATTGTTCAGGAATATTTCGCTTTTTTAGTATAGATGTTGGAAATTTTTGTTCACAAGCGGCCAAATTGTACCAAGTTTGGAAATAGAACTCTTTATCAACGTATCTGATGATATCTGCTAATATATCTTTGTACTTTTTGAATGCAGGTGCGTGATCGGCCAAAATTGGTAATAATTCTTTTTCTGCTCTTGCTGCATGAGCAATTAGCTCGGATTCGCGTTCAAATATTTCATCTGGAAGATCTGAAAGTACAGCTTGAAAGATTTGGCCATGAGTTTTTCTATCTCTGATGAAATTTGAAATCATTTCTTTTGGTAACAATTTGACACTATTAACTGAAGCAACGTATGGTATAATTGATGTTTGAAGACTGACGGGATAGTTATTGTAAATTGAAAGTAAGTCTTTGACGATATTTTGATTTGGCTCTATAATTGGAAGAACTCTAGCAATCAAAAGTATCATATTTGAGGTAGATAATGCGATATTGCTGATTTGAAATGGTTTATTTTCACTTGTTGACTTACATATTTCGACAATTTGGCTTAAAATGTGTTTATTGACGTAATTGTATGTTTCAATGTCATCTTTATTATCAATTTCGTTTATATATTCGATTGTAAGCATTATTTGTGTAAAATTCTTCCAATCTCGATAAAAGTTAGCTATTAATGGCTTTACTAACGGAAGATGACCTGAATAGATAGTACCTATAGACCTGACTAAACTATTATATTCAGATTCGCCTAAAAGGTTAAAATCGAATTCAATAATTTTTTGAAAAAGAGTTATTAAATCTTTTTCAGCAAATGTATTTTCGGTCATCATATTATAAATCATATCAAACTGAAGTTCTCTTGTAGTTGATGAATTTAGGTCGAAATCCAACAACTGTTCCGTAGCCATTAATAAAATAAAAGGGGATAACACCAAACAAGCTAATTTTAAAAATTTTACAGATAATATCATGTAAAATGCTATCTATAGCAAATACAAATCAAATGGCATATGAGATATCTATCTGCAAGAGAGAGAGAATTTTATCTGGATTTTTTTTAGTTAAAGTAAAGTTAACTGCACAGTTCATAGTGAATACAAAATGACAAACATTTCAATTTGAAGATATCTCTCGAGAGAACAAAGCATGCTCAATTTTATAAATCCAAATTCCTAGTTTTTATCATTTTCTAGTTGTAATCGCATGCACTATAACTTTATCAACACATGGGCAATATATACATTTGTAGTCAAAAATCATGGTAAACTCTTAGAAGCGATATGAAAAATCTAGATTTGAATTAAAATTAATCGTTTATTATTGAAATTTTTGGTTTGAAAATTTTGACATTTTAATTTCTCTTCACTTTTCAATGGGAATCAACAATTTACTTCCATCTGTGAAACCAGTTGTTAAACATGGACATATTTCACTCTTTAGTGGTAAACGAATAGCAATTGATGGATATGTTTGGCTTCATCGTTCTGCATTTGCATGTGCAAAGCAACTTTTAGAAGATCCTTCAACACCTTTAATCCTTAATTACTGCAAGAAGAATATTGAAATGCTAAAATCAAATGGATTACAACCATATTTCGTTTTTGATGGCAGACCATTACCAGGAAAAGCCGAAACAAACAAGGAAAGAAAAGAAATAAGAGAAGAAGCAAAGAAAAGTATAGAGAGTGGAGAATCAGATGATCAAATGACTTATGCAAAAACAGTTACGATAACTCATGCTACTGTGAAGGTTTTAATTGATTATTTGAAAGAAATAGGCATACCATATATTGTTGCACCATTCGAAGCTGATGCTCAGCTTGCTTATTTGTGTCGTAATAATTATGCTGATATTGTTCTTACAGAAGATACAGATCTTATTTGCTATAAGTCTCCAGTAACCCTGTTTAAGCTGGACTCGAAAGGAAACGTTGATTATGTAATTTACCAAGAATTGATTGATTTTTTGGGGCTAAGTTCAGATCAATTCACTCAATTCTGCATTCTTATAACTGATGTTTATGGAAAACATATTAGGATGATGGGATTCAAGACCGCTCTAGATTTGATGAAAAAATTAGGAGATGCTCATCAAGTGATAGATTTTGCAAGATCAAAACCAAAATTTACAGTTCCAGAAGGATACGAACAAACATTTGACCAAAGTTATTTAATTTTTAATCATCAAATTGTATATGATCCTAATACTGAGAGCACTGTGCATCTAACACCTACAACAAATAATAATCCTATAATGGGATCAACGATGGATAGAGAAATGCTTAAAAAATTGGTTACTGGAGAAATTGATCCTTTCACTTTGTAATTTATTCATTTCTGATTTTGTGAATTAAAGAAAAAGTATTGATATTATAACACAAAATTTTTATTTATCCTTTGATGACTCATAAAAATTATCAGATTTATATGTAAAGAATAGGTGCCCAAATTTCAATATATTAAATTGCTTATCATAACCATTCGTAAATATAGAAATAATAATATACAAATGTGCTTATTTCTACGGATGTCACAACTCTATAAATAACGTTCTATATAATCTACATTGGATCATGGGAATGCAGACAAATCACAATATTAGCAAATGTGGCCTTTTTCACGTACTAGAAACGGTGAAGTTTCACTCTTTGAAAATATAAAAAAATTTTAATTAATGTTTATTTAATCTAACGATTTATGGTGACTGATCAGCAGATATTCTCTTCTTTTTGAGGACAACGAAATAAACTATTACGAATGCAATTATTGCAACAACAATTAATACTAAAACTACTGTCAAGGCAATTTCTGCTGGTGTCATTCCACGGTGGAATCTCCAGTAGTAATAGTCTGGAAGTTTCTTGTCGCAGTCATCATATGGCTGAGCATTATTATGACTCAAACGGATTGAATATGAATCAGTACATGTTACTTCTGAATCAAGATCACCTTCAGCATACAAAAATGATGATGGATATTTAACAATTGCAGCTGAAATTCCTGGGTATACTTCACCAGTCTGTACCTCTTCTTCACGTCTGTTATTACTTATTTTTCTCATAATGAGTACTGTCCATATGATCCAATTACAATATGTGTTGCTTTTTCAATGATGACATGATCTTTTGCCTCATAATAGGGATTTCCAGAATCAATTTCGACATCAACAGCAGGATTTTCATTAAATGCCTCGGCAGATATATATTTAACTGATGATGGTACAATAATTTTCTTCAATTTTGGACAATTTGAAGCCAGATAATCAATACGGACAATTCCATCTCCTATTTCAATCTTCTTTAAGTTACGGCATCCATTGAAAATTACACTTGGAATAGCTTTAAGTGAACCAGGAATTACAACACTCTTTAAGTTTGTATTTGAAAATGCACTACCTCCAAGATATTTAAGATTTTCTGGTAGATCAACATTCAGTGATTCACAATTTGAAAATGCACTAGAATCAATTATTGCGACATTGCTTAGATCTATAGATTTCAACTTTAAGTAATAGGAAAATGCACTCTGTCCTATATAGCTGACGGTTGAAGGTAATTCCACAGTCTTTAATTTATAGCAATATCTAAAAGCATCGTCTTCAATTCTTAATATTCCTTCTGGAATTATAACCTTCTGGAGATTATATGCTTGATAAAATAAATTAGAAGGAATATAAGTATGGCCACACTTCTTTATTTCGACAGTTTTGACTTTCGAAAAAGGAAATACTTTTTCATCAAAATTCACATTAGACCCATCAATGATAACTTCTGTTGGTTTGGTGCAGATAGAAAATGTGTAAGGGAAAATGGCATCATAATTAGAAATTGTGAGAGATTTTTCATCATATTTTGGAAGAACAGCTAGTAATACCTTGTACGTTGTTCCATCAATTGTTTGTTTAAACACTAAGAGATTATTCTCGATCGTAAGATTTGTATAATCACTTTCAAGTTTGACCTCAAAGTCAGAACAGTTTGTGAAAGAAGCAACATTAAATTCGTTACCTTTAATTTTTACTGTTTCTAGATTAGTGCAGTTGAGAAAAGCGTTTTCATGCATTTCTTCTAATCCAACTGTAACTTGTTGGATTTGCGTACTTTCAAAAACATTCTCATAAATTTCAATGTCAGAAAAATCAAATATACCAGATAAACCAGTTGATGCAAATGCATAACTATAAATAGTTGTGAGATCACTTGTAAATTCTAAACTTGTTAAACTTGTGCAATTCTTGAAACATCCTTCTGGAATCGTTCTAACATTTTCTAAAAATTCAACGCTTTTCAGTCCACGACAGCCTTGGAAAGAATAAGTGCTGGGGATTTTGCAATTTTTAAGGATGTAAGTCCATTACATCCAAGAAAATTATAAGACCCTGAAAAACTCCAGGTTGATGGTACTGAGTCAAATGATAGTGAATCACAAAATTCAAAAGAATGCTCCTCAAAAGTTACTGGCACTTTTTCATCAAATTGCATTCTAAGTTTAGAGCAATAACTGAAACAATATTCTTGAAATGCTGTGACCGTAGAAAATTTAACAGTTTCTAAATTAATACAAAATTGAAATGCTCTTTTTTGAATTACTGTTGCTCCTTTTGCTTCAACACTATTAAGGTTAGTGCACATGTATGCAAAGTAAGGCGGAATTGATGTTAAGTCATCTGGAAGAACAATTTCTTTCAGTTTACTGCAATAAGCAACAGTATAGTCGGAGAAAGTTAATGAGGAAGGAAATGTAATACTTGATATGTAAGTATTAGAAAATGCATATGTTCCAATTTGCATTGATGTTATTCCTGAATCAAATGTAATCTTTGAAAGAGAACTACTCTGAAAAGCATAATTTAATATTTTTGTGCAAGTTGCTGGAATTGTGATATAGGGTGTCCAAAGGTGTGTTTAGCACAAACCTGAATACTGCGAATAGAAATAAACAAGTTACATATATATAAAGTTTATTTAAATATAATCACCATTGGATTCAATCACGCGTTCGCAGCGATCGATCCAGGCTTGAAAGACACGCTTTAAATCATCATGAGAAAATTGCTCAAATTGCTCTCTTACAAAATTTTCAAGATCATCTGGACTCGCGAATTCGCGTCCTTCAGCTCTCTTTTTTAGCGTGCCGAATAAATAAAAGTCAGAGGGTGCAATATCAGGTGAATAAATTGGGTTTGGAACAACTTTGACATTGTTTTCCACCAAGTAATTCATTACCTTATGACTTTTGTGAACTCTTGAATTATCAAAATGAATTGCAAACTTTTGTTTTTGTTGTTTGGATTTCTCAAACTCATCAGAATTGATAATTTGAGTAAGAACATTGTCAATTAGATACTGAGCATTCATCGTATTAGGTTTTTGAAGAATATCAATTGCGATGATGCCATTCACGCCCCAAAAAACCGACAACATCATCATTGGTGTGTCAATTTTTTTCTTCGGGAATGTTTGCGGATTTTCATCCTTCGGGATCCACATGATTTTGGCTTCTGTTGCATATTGAAACCAAGACTCGTCCCCTGTTACTAAAAAGCGAAACTTCTTGGATTGATACGCACCCAATATAGAGAGGAGCTCTTTCGAAGATTGGACTCTAGATTTTTTTTGAACTGAATTAAGGTTGTGCGGAACCCAACGTGTATACGCTAGTTTGTAGTTCAAATAATTGTGCAGATAATAACTGACTGTTGTACGTGGTATCTTTGTCATCTCCTCTATCCTTCTGAGTGATGCTCTTGGGTCTTCATCTAGCGCTTGAAGAATTGCTTTGATTTTTCTTTGATCCGGCGATTTTTTGTCAATTTTTATGATGGGCGCCTTTTTGTTCATGAAGTGATACATCCTAACATGATACGTTACAGTGGAATAGCTAGGAGCATCCATACCGAAGCATTTTACCAATGTCTCGTAGATTTTTTTACAGTCTTTGCATTTTTTTGCAAGAGCGAGGATGTTTTCTTTATGATTCATTAAAAAAATGAAAAAAATCCCGCCAAAATTTCCCGCGAAACCGCCTCTTGTCTCAAAATTCATTTTATATCCCGGCATGGCGCCAAAATACAACATACTCATCATATACATATATTCATATTTTTTATTATATATTTATAATCAGCATATATCTCCTTTAATAGTCTCATATAGAGCGCTGTGCTAAACGCACCTTTGGACACCCTATAGATTCAATGCCAGAATTTGCAAAGGCAGAATCTGATATTGTAGTCACACCTGTTAAATCTATGCTTGTTAACTTGTAACAGTTCATAAATGCAGAGTAGTCGATTGAAGTTATACTGCCTGTTGTCAATGAGCTTAATGAATAACAACCCGAGGCAAAACCACTTGGAATTGAAGTCAATAAAGGTGCTTTGATTGTTTCTAGATAAATGCAGTTGGCGAAGGCAGCGTATTGAACTGAATTAACATTTTTCAGATCAATGCTTGTTATTGCCCAATTGCGAAAACAGGCAGAACCAATAGTTGTAATTGTTTCAGGAATTGTAATAGATTTAAGATTATAAAGTTGATAACTGGATAAATCAAGCTCACTGTCTGAAAATTGTTCGATTACTAAGTTGGAAACCGATTTTATATAGCCTTTCAAACCTTCAAAAAGATTTTGGGAAGGAATATTATAAACAATTGTTGTAATACCTTTTTCAATTATTGTTTTGCTAATATCAGGACTATATACGTCTTCCTCTTTTTCAAAAATCAATTCCTTGCCTGATACTTTTGGCCCATTGCTAAAAATAATATCCTTGGACAGGAATTGGCTGAATGCAAGCGCACTTCTTAACATTCACAAAAATATAAAAATACGTTTTTAATTTATCATAAGCTATCAATTTCAATCAAAAATGTTTTGAGAGATAAGCTTATTTATTATAATGAATATTATTGGAAAAGCAATAAATTGCTCTCAATTTTTTGAAAATTATCAAAAAGTGAAAAGGTCGTTGCAATAAAAATTTTTAGTTAAATTTGATAATACAAATGGTTGTGGTTTAAATTAATTGAGTGATTATTATTTGAATGGTCGTTACTCTCAAATATTTTCAAAGCATATAAAAATTGATATATGTAGTTAATTTGCCCACATTTGTTGGCTGAGAGTTTTAGAAAAAGGAAATATTGATTCGATGGATTTACAAAACTGAATTTTGAATTTTAGTGTTTAAAAACTAACCATATATAAGCTCATTTTTTAGATTGATTTTTAAAAACTAATATCGAGGATTGAAAATTTAACGATACATTTTAATAAACGTTATACATTTATTATTATTGCTATTAGTATGATTGTTTCAGATATACTTATTTCAGGGAAAATTCAAAATAAAATCAGAAATGACCGTATAATCTGTTATAAAAAGACATCACCTTGTTGAGGATTATTATTCAATCCACAATAATTGATGATATTAGGTTTGCAAAACAAATCATGAATAGTTATCGCAGAAACAAATTATAGTTGGGTGTCAGAAAATGGTAAGTGCATTCTTTGTCAAAGAGAGAATGCAATTTTTTGACTGTTAAATGCTTATGATAGTTGGGGTTTTGTCTTTGATTAGAAAATTTCAAAACGGCTCTAATAATTTAATCAATCCCAACAACATAGCGCTGTTCAAGTTAATTGAGGTCTCTACTCTAAATACGTAATAAAGTTATATTCTCACAAATATTTATTGGGTCTTGTTATCAATGTTCTATTAATATCAAGCTTAATTTGAATCTATTTCTGCTTCAAATCAACGCAACATTTCTTTAATACAAAAATCAGAATCACGGGTATTAGTGGAATGAACTAGATGCATTGCATTAGCAAAGAATTTAAGATGTATAAATAATATTGATGAAATGGTTTGTTGAGATACATGATTACAATTGCTAAGATTTAAAAGTTTAGCAAGTATAAAAATCACTAAAATGTCTCTCTGTTTGTATAATTTTTTAAGAAACTATTTTCTGACGGACATTTATAAAATTTTATTGTATTCTAGCTCATTCCCATTCTAGAAATAGAAATAAAAGCTATAAATTTAAAATTTAATTTTTGGCACTTTTCGTTGACCAGTAATGAGTTCTTCCAGCGATTCAGGAGATAATTCCGATGGAGAATTCATCCCAGAAGCTTTGCTTGCACAACAAAATGCTGAGCTGCAAAAGGCAATGGCTCAAAATGACTCTGATGCAGAAAATGAAGCTTCTCATTCAGATTCAGACGGAGAGTTTCTTATGAGGGCACGTTCTTCAAAAAAGAGAGCTCTTACCAAGATAAAAGAGCAAAGTGCAAGAAATAAAACGCGTAAAGCAAAAGCCAAGAAGAAATATGATGAAGATTCTGATGATGACGATGATTTTGGCTTTAATCCAAAGAACCCACCAGTTAGTTTTATCACCTCTAACCGCGAACGCAAACAACGTCAGGATACAGAGTTTGTCAAAGATATTTCGATAGAACAAATCGCCGAAACAGAAGAAGTTTCAGAAGATGAGGTTAAAATGATGCTTGAAGCGAGAAAATTACCACAAATTGAGTTTATTACAGGTTTTCGTCTTAATGAAGCCGGTGTTCGCGAATATTTCGTCAAATTCATGAGAGAGCCCATCGCTCATGGCAAATATCTCGTTGAAGACGATCTTATCAACCACCCCAGTGGTAAATCCCATCTTACTTCTTTCCTAGAAAGAGAATCTCAATTTGGCCTTCAAGAATCGAAGTCAATGCCAATGCTACAAATCCCAGGCGATGTAGATCAAAGCGTACAAAAGGAAATCGATAGAATTATCGGCTACGATGAAGAGACAAAACTTTATCTCGTAAAATGGAAGAAAGAACCATACGAATATGCCTCATGGGAAGCCAACATTACAGACCAAGATGAGATAAACAAGTTCAAAAAGCGCAATTCTGCTAACAGAACAAGTTTATCAGCACTTAACAAATTATCTAAACCATACGGTGATGGGCCAGGCTGCATCCCACTTCCGAAATACAAGAATGGTAACCAACTTCGTGATTACCAGATCGATGCTCTTAATTGGCTCAGAGCTTCGTATCAGACCGGCCAAAACGCTATTCTCGCCGATGAAATGGGTCTCGGTAAGACAGTTATGTGCATCTCCCTTCTTTTGGATATCTGCCAGAACTGTGGCGTCGATGGTCCTTTCTTAATCGTCGCTCCTCTTGGTACATTACCAAATTGGATCAGAGAATTCGAAAGTTGGTCGAACATCGATACAATTTTATTCCATGGATCTCAACAAGACAGAGATTTAATCGCAGAATACGAATTATTCTACAAACCTCCACGCCAGAACATTCCAAAGTTCCAAGTCTTACTTACAAACATCGAAACAGTCCTGAAATCTCAGGAAGTCATACAAAAGATTCAATGGAATCTTGTAATTATCGATGAAGCCCACAGACTTAAGAATTTGAACTCCAAGATCTACTCAGTTATGTTCTCTCTACAGATGGACCACGTTCTTCTTATGACTGGTACTCCAATTCAGAATAATATTGATGAAATCTTTGCTCTCATGCATTTCATAGCACCTCTTAAGTTCCCATCTCTCGAGGAATTCAAGAAAGAGCACGGATCCATCGAAACAGCCGAAGACGTCGAAAGAATACAAAATGCCATCAAACCATACATGTTACGTCGTAAGAAATGCGATGTCGAGTCAACAATTGGCCTCAAGGAAGAAACAATTGTTGAAGTAGAACTCACTCGCTCTCAGAAATTCTATTATCGTTTATTAATCGACAGAAAGACGAAAGATCTTACAACACACAAGAGCCATGCTCTTTCCCAAGACTTAAACAACCTCGCGATGCAATTACGAAAGGTTTGCAACCATCCTTATTTATTCCCAAATGTTGAAGAGGAAATTGTCAAACCAGGAGAAGATCCGAACGAAGCAATGATCAATGCCTCAGGTAAACTCGTCTTCGTCGATAAACTGTTGGCAAAACTTCGACCAAAAGGTGACAAAGTTTTAATTTTCTCACAAATGGTCCATGTCTTAGATATTTTAGAGGAATATCTACACTACAGGAACTATCCATACGTAAGACTCGATGGCAGTGTTGTAGGAGACGTCAGACAAGAAAGTATTGATAAATTCAATGATCCTGAAAAAGACATTTTTGTTTTCCTCCTTTGTACGAGAGCAGGAGGTGTTGGATTGAATTTAACCGCTGCAACAAATGTCATCATTTACGATTCAGATTGGAATCCACAGAATGATCTTCAAGCACAAGCAAGATGCCACAGAATTGGCCAAACACATGATGTCAAAGTTTACAGATTAATTACAAGAGGAACATATGAATCTGACATGTTTACTCGTGCATCAATGAAACTTGGTCTTGATCAAGCTATTTTGGATTCAGGACAAAACGCTGCACAAGAAATGACACCAAAAGAAATTGAAACACTCATTAAAAGAGGTGCTTATTACATATTTAATGAAGATGATGATGCAGGTGATAAATTCGTCACTGAAGATGTTGATCAAATATTAGAAAACCATACAAGAACACTCTCTAAATCTGTTGTTGACCAAGAATCTGCTTTCTCAAGAACACAATTCATTATTGATAAAGATGGCGAACAATTGGATTTGAATGATAAGAATTTCTGGGATAGAGTTATTCCTGAAAACATGAGACATAAAGAGGCAGATGAAAACGCACCTCTTCCACCAAGAAGAAAGAAAGAAATGTCTTATAACGAAGGTGAAATGGAAAAGGCTCAAAAGAGACCAGATTTCTCATGGAACACAAAAACTCGTGATTTGTTATTGAAAGCAATGCTCGCGTACGGTTGGGGAAGATGGTCTGAGATATTGGCAAAGACACATTTGAAGTGTGATGCACAGAAAGTATGTGATGGATGCACTGTTTTGTTGTCTTTCATTGCTAAAGGATTGAGTGATCCTGGTGAGTTTTTGAGTGAAATCATCCAAACAGATGAAATAGAATTAACTAAAGCACAAAAGAAAGTCAAAACATCATCAGCTTTCTTGAACCAAAACTTCCATCACATCATGAAACAGGATGCTGAAGAAAACTCTCACAGATTGTTACAATTGAGATGCATCAAAGAATGGATTGAACAAGGTTCTCAACTCATCAATTTCGATACTGATGATATGCCTGAAGGAGGCTGGAACACGAAATTGGATCAGAAACTGTTGACTTTGACTTATCAACATGGTTGGGGTAATTGGAAAGCAATTGAAAGCGATCCTTTATGGGGACAAACGAAATTTGAGAATTTCCAATTGTCTGAAGTTGATTCTAGACTCAATTTCATAACAAACGCTTTGTTGACTAAGTTCACTGATGATTCAGACAGCGAAGAAACAACATTGATGCCTGATTTCAAACCAGCCGAACTCAGATCATTGATTTCTTTGGCAGGAGAACTCGGTCTCCCTGAAGATTCCGACAGCGAAGCATGGCTCAGATACCAGCAGTTCTTCAGAGATTCTAGTGATTACCAGGAACTCGTGAAGAAGTTCATCGAATGCGCAAGAGTCATCAATTATTATGACCAGAACGGACCCCAAAACGGATTGAGAAGATGGCTAAATATTGTCATTTCTCATGGAGATTCTTTGGCAGCTGCAATCAACCAACAATCTGCATTGAGAATCAAGTTAAACATCGATTGGGTCACGAGATTAAGGAACTACAGGACAAAGACATTACCTAAACTCAACGGCCAATACAAGACAGAGAACATGAAGTCATTTGTTCCTTCATTTTGGACTCCTGGACAAGATGATGTCATTTTAATTGAAAATGTCTGCAAATGGCAGTTCTCTAATTTGTACGAAATTCCTATGAACACTGAATCCATCAAATCCAAACTATCAGAGGAAGATTTGGCACAGCTCGATGTTCTCGCCAAATACTACGACAAGCACTTGCAACATAAGAGAATCAAAGGAGATTTCGGTTTTTTTACTGATGAATTGTACATCATTGACAGAATTGAAGAATTCATTGAATTAAACAGTGGTTGGCAAGTTCCAAAAGTTATCGATGTTCCTCAGGGAATGATCGGTGTTTTCGATTTGCCTTTCACTGCAGGAAACGTCACCATTGAGTCAACAGGCGAAGGAGACTTCTTCATGGTCAATGACTACATCGCAAGAGTCGGAATGTCGACATCAGTAAGATACGGAAAATCAAGATTTACATGCGAAATCACTTCACCTACAGAGTTTGTTGTCACTCGCAGTGAGAAACACAAGTTCACAGCAGCAACACCTGAAGAAGCATGGAGACAAGCTGATGCAGAATTCGACAGCAACGCTTTGGAACTCTTCGGAATTACTTGCAACCAAGTAATGGCTCTGTTCGACAAAGAATGCAACCCACAGATGAGAATTGAGAAGGGATTCACTAACTATACATCACCACAAGTAGTTACATTCACTTCTCAGGCAATTTCAAAGAGAAAGTAAGAATTTTATATTATATTTTTTTATTTTATTGTATAATTTTATTATTATATTAAATATTTACCTATTTAAACTTTTGGTAATATATGTATGTATATTTAAGGTAGTTTAACTAATTATCTAACAAAAATTAATTATTCATTGTATAATGGGTCAATTGACACTGATGTTATAAAAAATTTATCTCCATGAAAATTTTATTCAAATGTAGCTGTAATGTGATTTTTTGGCTAATTCTCTATAAATCTCATTGAAAGCCAATGAAAAATACTAATTTTGAGTTTGTTTATAGTAGATATCTATCTCATGGAACTTTTTAAGTTATTTTTATTGAATTTCAAGAAAAAAATGAAAAGATCTACTGGAAATGAATATTTGCTTATCTATATTACATTTAAACGATAATGGGGATAATTTCCTGTTGTTGTAGTTACGTGATATCTACTGAAAAATTCAAAAATGCTTGAAATGTATATTTGAACTTTTAGTATAGCTTATGTTTATATTCGGTCTTTACTTATTTTAATTACATTCGAATGTAATTGGAAACCTTTGTTTGATCTTCAATTCAAAATTTTCAATGTCCTCTATTAAAATTTTGAGAAGTAAGTTCTGATGTGAATCATGAAATTCTTGAATCAGAATTATTCTTTTTGTGATATTTTTGATGCATATGATGGAATTTTGCATTGTCATGCAGCAAATGGCTATTATACTTGGTTAAATCGATTTTTTGACATTTGACATTTGTATTTGTCAAATGATGTTTTTCGTTTTTTACTTGTTTAGAACTGTGCTGTCAGAAACTATATGCGTTTATGATGCATTAGAATCACAATGTAATAATAACGAAGACATTAAATTATCAGGAAAGGCGGAAAATGTAATATATTTATCAAATTATTCGTCAGATTCAATGAAAATTAATGTTTACGGGCAGCCTTTAGCTCGAATTTCCCTAAAAGATCTAAAAGATGATGCTAATGTTCAAATTTGTGGCCAAAGCTTTTTGAATACAGCCGTAAATTTAATTTTTCCGGAATTATTGAATGCAAACCTATCGATATCTGATACGAATATTACAATAATCGACTTCAATAGCTTCATTAACGGTAAAAATTTCAATTTCATGTATTGTTATTTAAAGAACTCAGGCTCTCATAAACTTGAATGCAATCAATTATTCTGCTCATTAAATTTCTTATCATCGTTTTCAAATATTACTGTTCAAGATGAACTTTCATTTGATCTCGAAGATTTTGTCTCTCAACAACACCATGTTATGGTCTTTTACAAAAAACTTGGTGTCCGTCCAACATTTTACAGTATGAATAATACAGTTATTGGATTTTATTGCAATGAAATTCTCTTTTTCCGGCCAAATAACACATCCGCAATATTCCGTGTCTTTTTTGATGATGAAACTTCAGTTAAATTCGAATACAAGAATGAGCAAAACCCTGATAACTCAAGTTTGAATCATTTTGTCAATTATTACCAGTACCAGACCTTATTTTTCAACGAAATTATCATCAATGGCTATTCAAACAGCATTGCCATATTCGATGAGTGCGTTTGGAACACAATGGGCAAACAAATTATTCATATCAACGTAGTGGTCTCAATGAAGATCCTCCTGTTCACATCAATACCAGCAGTCATAGAAGTCAAAGGATCCACAAAGATTTTCCCTGAAGCACAAGGTCTTTCTGTTGATGAAATTATTTTACGGCATACTTGCGAAATAAAGAGCGAGGGTAAGCTCCAAAACTTTACAATCAAAAGTTTAAATGTTAACAGTCAAGGAAAAATGGAAATTGACAATGTAACAATTTGCTATATTGATTATCTTAATTTTCAAACATCCAGTATGATATTCTTCCGCAGTTCTCAAGATTGTGCATATTCTCTGAGGGAAATTCATAGTAATAGCCATTTTTACTTTGATATATCTGATATTAAAATTGATGCCGGTCAAACAACTACTTTGGATGTTTTCATTAATGAATCAACAGATAACTCAAGTGAGTTTCGAGCCGAATCAATAATAGCTAATGGAAAATTTATTTTGAAATATAAGCCAATACCTATCAATAATGATGCCACTGTCCTAACTCTAAGTACTAAGAGATTAACAAATCCAAATAATTTCCAGATTGAACCTAATTATCAAAATGTTATTCCGGAAAATACTTTGTATCTTGATAAAGAAAGCAAACAAGAAGTTGGTGAAGCAGCAGAATATACAATATGGGCTAGAAAGTTAAATACTACTCAGTACAATGTGTTCTCTTTTGATAAACCGGAGAATTGTAACGAAAAATTAGAAAAATGCCTCACTCCCGATAAATACTCCACATGGCTCGATGATAGAATGGATACACAAAAGCCTATCTACTTAAATATCAGAGAAAACGTTTACAATGACTCAAACTTTTTGAATTTTTATTTATTAGCAAAAAAGCAAGACATTGAACTACATTTATCCGGCAAAGATAAGGATGGAAACTGCACACGTAATAATTTCTATATTGATGGCCTGATCTTTTACGAATTCAAGAAGATTTACGCAGATTGTGTAAATGTCTCCGTCAAAAACATTAGATCTAAGTCCAATCTTGAGACAATATCCATAAATAACTCGGTTATTGGCCATGATCTCCAAAATCTCGTAGTTGGAAACGAATCAAAGATCCGAAATCTCTCAATTTGCAACGAATCCCTTGTGGAATTCATGAGTGATAATAAGGAATTCAGTTTCCATGACTCTATGGAGCTAACTCTCCTTTGTGATACAGATACAATAACATTACACGAAGATTCAATATTGTACAACGATAAACCCATCAAAGCCCAAGAAATACACCTCGATGCCAACTACGGAAATGTAACATTGATCGGAGATACTGATAAAAAGATAAATTATCAGTTAACAATAGAAGACGGTGTTTCCTTGATTATTATAAAAGGAAAATTCAGCCGCGATACAAAAATTAGGGCTAAATTCAGCTGCAATGTTACAATAGTAGTTGAAACTGAGTTTGTTCCATTATATATTACAGTAACTCAAGGAGCTCATATTACTTTTGTATCTACTAAGACTAAATTGGAGTATAGTGAACTAGATCTCGAACAAAACTCCATAATTGAATACCAACTTCCAGATAATTCCGAAATTAATGTTAAGAAGTTATTTGTTGATGATAATAATATTCATATAACTTCATTAAATGCTGCACAAATGTTCTATGATGTAGTAAATTCAACAGGACCTTCGATTAATGCTTCAAGTTATTATCACTTCAAAGATCTTGTTTTTGCCTTCAAAGCAGGACCAGAAGTGATATTTAACTATTCAGATGATCCGAAATATAATATGACCGTTAATCTTGACTTTTCATTTTTCGCGATGCCAGAAGTAAGGATTTACGGATCAAATTATACTCCAATACATTTCATATATGTTCCACACTCTGATCAATACATGGAAGCAGCTACTCAGCTGATAAAACTAAATTATAATCCATATTTCAAGGCAATGGCCCTGATTTGTGGACCAGATATTTCAAATGAAACTATTGATTACAAGTTATCTGGTTTTCCATACCTTTATTCCAAATATTACAAATTACAGAAAGCATTAGTGGAAGGTCAGACATGTTTGATAGGTTGTCTTGACAAAAGTTACATTAAAAGGAATGATAACCTCTATTTTGGCGTATTTGGCTCAATCACAGGGTTGATCATCATTGCAACCACAATTTTGCTGATAAGAGTCTTTATAAACTATCGCCAAAAGAAGAAATCCGCAAACATGTACCAGGCTAGGCGTACTTTGTTGTCAGGAGCAGGTAATTCTATGGTTTCAATTGAATAATTTTTGGCAATTCTTCTTATTGTTTTTTTATTAAAAAATTAAGCATTTTAGTTTAAGATATATATTTTGATAATCTTGTGGAATTCTTTTTCAATATTTTCATATTTCACAATGGCAAATTGAACAAATTAGAACGATTCAACTTGTCTCACATTAAGCTATTTGTTCCAATTTTATGCCTTACATGTATGATTGTTGTACTTTGTTGGAAAAGTTTCCTCAATCAACTTAATTAATTATCATATTAAGGTAGTCACAAAATCTAAGTAGTGAGGCTCTCAAAAATTGAACCGTACTCCATACAAAATTTGTGTACCCTCACTACTTAGATTTTGTGGCCTTCAATTGAGAGGTTAGTTTTGATAGAGCACGTTATAAAATTAAAAGGGAAAAATAAATAAAATTTAAACATTTAATTATATATAATGTAAGGAGTGTAATTCCAAATTTTCTAAAAACTATTCAAATTTGAGCATTTTTTTGGAAATAGTAAATCTAATATGTACATCTAATAACAACATGATTCATCACCTTTTCAAGCTCTGCAGTCAATTTTTTGAAATTTGATTGAAATAAATGTAGCAAAAATTACATTTCATTAGGGAATATATGAGTTTCTCTGGAAACAGGCTGATAAATTTTAAATTTTGTCCAATCAACATGAATGCATTGAGAAATTTGGATTGATTTTCTGGTAGAATCTGGAACAATTCAACCATGTATAAATGGATCATGTAATCATCATGAAATGTTAGTGTTAGAGTTCAAAAGAAACAGAATGAGTGGAAATCAAACACAATCTGAATAATTTTAAACGTATACAATCTTTAAGTTTGTATTTTGAATTCTACATATATGATTGTGTAATTCGTTCTTTCAAATTTTCGGATTCAGGCATGTTTTGATAAAATTCATTCCCAAAAACGTCAATTAACAATTAAATTTAGTGTATTTTAAATATATATACGTATTATATTTTATAAATTATATTAAATTCGCAAAATTTTAAGTTTTAAACAAAAATAAAAAATGTTCAAAATATGAAATTATGCATAGGATATTAAAATTTACATGTTAGCAATTTTTTGAATTGCTTTCAATTTTCATATTGAAATTTTTAAGATTTTTTTCTGAAATAATAAGCAAGAATATCAACCTAAATAATATTAAATTCCATGCGTTAATTTCCCCTCAAAAGTCATTGACCGCCTCTCAATCTAGATTTTGTGAGTACTTTAGATCTTAAACGAAATACCATGATCTAAAAATACTTGCTTTAATAGTACAACTATCAATCATATCTGTTTCTAATGCATTATTTGTGCGATATGAATGTCAATTTAACTCAAGAAAAGAATATTTGAATGGATGAAAAAACACATATATTTTATGGGAGACATTGTCTGTGCATGTCTCCCAGATTAGCACAATGTTCCGCATTCAGAACCTGATTGAGAAACTTTGTTCAACAAAGTTCAACAAGCTACTGATGTTCCTCTGGATTCGTCATTCTGGGAGACATTGCAACTGTAACCATATACCACAATCTTGATAAATAACTATTTCACAATTTCATTCAATATTTGTTAAATTCTTGAATTGAAATAGACACTAGTAATCAATATCATTTCTATTAGTTATTTCCGAAGGAAAAAGTAATCTGATTAGAATGTCAAATCTGACATAAATATTTGACAGTTATGTTTCTCTACTTAGGTTTAGGCCTTTGCGCAAGATATGCAATCATAATTGCTGGATCTAATGGTTGGAAAGAGTACAGGCATCAAGCTGATGCATTTTATATGTACAAAATTTTGAAAAATAATGGTTTTGATGATGATCATATTACAATGTGGGCATACAATGATATGGTCAATAACCCACTAAATCCATACCCAGGAAAAATATTTCATCTCTTAGATAATAAAAATATATATCCAGGCGAAGACAAAATTGATTTCAAAGGTGAAAATGTTACTAAGCACAACATTCTAAATTACTTGAGAAATATGAATACAACAAAGGAAGATAATATATTCTTTTATTTCAACGATCATGGCACACCAAACATTATTTGTTTACCACATGATAAGATAATCACATCATATGAACTTATACGTACTTTTGATCAGATGCACAAAGAAGGAAAATTTAATAAATTATTCTTCCCAATTGAAGCTTGTTTCTCTGGCTGCTTCAAAGAATCATTGAATACACCTGATATAGCCATGATGACAGCTGCAAATTGCTCTACATCTAGTAAAGGTTCTATTAAAGGTAGATTGTTGGATGTCTCATTGTCAAATGAATTTTCTCTTCATATGATGATGGAAATGGAGAGCAATCCAAAGCACACAATTCGTTCTTTGTTCAACAATGTTCACGCAAAAGTCGAAGGTTCAACACCAACACTATTTGGAGATCATTTGGATGATCCTATCTCTGATTTCATTGGAGAAGCACCAAAGTCTAATCTCAGAAGACAAGCATTTGAAGATTTAGTTCCTGATGAAAAACTTCTTCATGCAGAAAAATATGCTAAAAAGGAATATGCAGAAGAATACAAGAAGCATCTCAGGCATATGAAACAAGTTGCTGAAAACTCAGAGATATTCATCAGAAGAGTTGTTGAAAAAGTTGCCGGACCAATGGCACCAGAATTTATGAATAAAGTTGTCACGGGAGACCTCCAGAAGTGTTTCGAACCTGTGATCGATGCTTTGTTCTCAAAGATGACAGAATTCAACCCAGACTATGGATATTTAATTTCACCTATCAAATCTCTCTGCACAAAATATGATTCATCAGTTATCATTGATGCAATCAACACTGTATAATAACTTTTTTCCCCTCTTTGTTCATCGTAAATAATAACTTTACTTTGATTACTTAAGAATATTGTGGATATCATTCATCATTGATTGAAGGACATAACTTATTGATTGACTCAAAGAAAGTATTTCTTTAATTGTCTGAGTCAAGCATTGAAGAAGTTCCAACAATAGACAGATCAAAAAGAGTTTACGTTATAGTTGAAATCTATATGTGTTTTATTCTTTATAAACAAGCGAAACCAATAGATTGAACTCAGAAACCATTAAATTGAATATTTTTAATAAATTGAAGCATTCATACAATAAAGATTTTAATCAATAAAGAAACTTTGCTCTCTTACTGTATCAAATTTGTCAAATCTCAATGTTGAATATGAGAAAGCCATATTTCACATATATATTATTCTATGAATTGTTTTGCAATTATAAATCTGAAATCATTTATAGTGAATGTTGACGCGAAAATCAATATTCACTATTCGGCGGATTTTAATTTTTGTGCTCTTAATCTTGCAATTGTTTTTACTGATACCAAAATCTGGAGAAACAATTGAAATTCATCATAAAAAGGCACATATTTATACTAGACCATCAATTTGTTCGCGAAATATAAAATATTCATTTAATGATAATGTTGCTTCCATATCGACTAACTCAATAACTAAGTTAGATATTCAAAATTTTATTTTTGAAACTAAATATTTGAATCAAACATTGATATTAGACTATTTAAGCTACGAAAACATTACAGAAGGTTCTAACACTATTAAGTTCAACATAAATTTCCCATTTATATCTACTTATTCAGGAATATTTCATTGCATTAACTTTTCAAGTTTAAATCAAGACATTAGAAAGCCGCAAACATCGATCAAAATCTATAACTCATCGCAACATCTCTTTTTTCAGAAAGATTCTTTTACTAAAACAAATAATTCAGAAATGAAATGTTATAACAAGAAATTCGATAACAGATACTGTGAAGCAACAAATATTTATTACAAAAGTAGACATTTCGTCTTCACAACAACCGCATATTACGAATTTCCTTCTGATTTTGTTTTATTAAGTCCAAGAAACACGACAGATCATCAATCAGATAGATTATCATATATGCCAATAGTTACTAATAGGCATCTAGAATACGATGAAAGGATCGATTCTATTACATACGTTCTTTCTTTTTACTCAGATTTTTATGATATGATGAAGTCTCATTATGAGTTCCTTTTCCCAGTATACGCTACAATAAATAATATAGAGAAGTCTGTTTCCAATGGTTTTGATCGCCAATTCCTTTTATTCCATGAAAATCCATATTTGAATCAATTATTTGGTGTATTTTCTGACAAAACGCCAATAATTGCTGATAGTATCCGTGATATTATGTTCCTTAAGAGAGTTGTATTTGGAATGGAACGTTTTTGGACTCAAGTTCAAACGGAACCTTATAATTACCATGTTTCTTTCGAAAAATTGAACGGATTGAAAGAACTAGCGATTGCTAGATTGGGAATTAATATTACTAAGTCTACAAATCTTACTCTTTTCACTTTATCTGAACATCATTTTGACAATTTCCAAAATTATCGCCAATTTTATGATCAGATAAAGCAAGATTGTCCATCAAGTAATATCATATGGGCAGATCTTATCAAAATGGATATAAAAACAGCAATTCAATATGCAACTCAAGCTTCTGCCATTGTTGGTCAAAATTCGAATGCTTTGATTGTAGGTTTTTGGTTAAAACCTAATTCTTTCCTTGTTGAGATGATTCCAAATAAATTTGACTGCGATAAGTGGTACGAAGATGTTGCAAAGTATTCTAATGTTCGTTATATCCGAACAGCAGATAATAGCGATAATTCTTTCTATGCGAAAACTGCTGAACAAAAGGAATTACTTCCAAAATGTTATTCAAGAGAAGATAGATGTCGCGATCCTGATTGTTATTATCGATTGAAGCACCAAATATTTTTATACTATGCGGATGAATGGAACGACCTTTGGAATTTTGTTTGTAATAATATGTTTTAGAATTAATAAAATTTTGTTTGTATTTTGTATGATTATCAAAAGTTCTTTTTAATTAAGAAAGATTTTAAGATAAGATAAGAAATTTGATTTTTTATTTTTTTATCGAACATAAAATATCCCATTGGAACAAGGTATATGTTTTGTATTCTAATATTGGTGCTTATGTAATTAGTATGTGATGAATGGAGTGACCTTTCCTATTTGCTGATCAACTAGAAATCACTGATGATTAATTTAATTTTCTTGTGTGTATTCATAATCAGCTGGAAAAGGCCAATTTCTCATTCATAGAATATTTTCTTTGAATGTAAAGTCAGTCACTTTTCGATGAGTTCAGCTGCTCTGCCCGAGCCTTCCGAAAACCAAGAAGAAATCAAGGATTTACAGAATAAACTCAGCAGTAATTATCCCAAGGAACGTAAAGATGCAGCTAAAAATGTTATTGCTCTTATGAGAGCCGGTGAAAACGTTCAAGAATTGTTTTCAGACATGTTACGCTGCGTCAAAACAGACGATTTAGAACTTAAGAAATTAGTTTACTTATATCTTGTTAATTATTCAACTACGGAGCCTGAGCAAGCAATTATGGCTGTTAATACATTTGTACAAGACTCAGAGCACGATAATCCACTTATTAGAGCATTAGCTGTTCGCACAATGTGCAGAATTAACTTAGAGAGTGTTGCAGAGCATATGATTCAGCCATTAAAGAAATGTTTGAAGGATGCAGATCCTTATGTTCGTAAAACAGCCGCATTTGGTGTTTCTAAGCTTTACGATGTTCTCCCAGAAGCTGTAGAAAACTCTGGACTTTTCCCAGATTTACTTTCATTACTTACAGACGAAAATCCATTAGTTGTATCAAATACGACAGCTGCGCTTTTTGAAATCAACTCTCATCGTAATCAGCCAGTTTTACAATTAACCGCAGAAACATTAACTCCTATTCTTGCAGCATTATCATCATGCTCCGAATGGTGCCAAGTTATGCTTCTCGATGCTCTTGCAAAATACACTCCTATCTCATCCGAAGATGCCTCATACCTCATTGATCGTTTAATTCCTTTCCTTAAGAATTCAAATCCATCTGTTGTTGTTGGCTCTTTCAAATGCATTTTCATGTTTATGGATCACGATACAAGAAAGCCTCATGAGCTCTTCCCTCAAATTATCCCTCCATTTATTACTCTCGTTGCTTCCAGCGAACCAGAAATTCAATACGTCGTACTTAGGACATTATCCTTGTTCGTACACAAATTCCCAAAGGCCTTGGCCAAGGAAATCCGCGTGTTCTTCTGCAAATACAACGATCCTTCTTATGTCAAAATGGAGAAATTGGACATTATCGTTACAATCTGCACCCAACAGACCGCCCAGATCGTTCTCGACGAACTCAGCGAATACTGCAACGCCGTAGATGTCGCTTTCGTTAAAAAAGCCGTCAGATGTATCGGCCAAATCGCGATGAAGATCGAAGCAGCGGCTCCTCGATGCGTAGATATCCTTGTTGGCCTTGTTGATGGCAAAGCAGACTACGCAATTGAAGAATCCGTTGTTGTTGTATCAGATATTCTCAGAAGATTCCCAGGATCATTCGAATCCGTCATTGCAGCCGTTTGCAAGAACTTCGACCAGATCAAAGACCCACATTCGAAGGCCGCCGCTGTCTGGATTCTCGGTGAATACTGTCATATCATTGAAGGAGTCGATTTACTGTTAGATCCATTCTTAGACTCATTCCATGATGAACAGCCTGAAGTACAGTTGCAGATTTTGACTTCCCTCGTCAAAGTTTTCATTGATCGTCCAAATGATACACGCGATCAGTTGCAATTCGTACTCACAGAGGCCACAAAAGGCGATGTATCACCAGATGTAAGGAACCGCGCTTATATCTACTGGAGATTGCTCTCTGCAGAAGGAAATATCTCCCAATTAGTCGTAAAATTCGACAAAGTCAAAGTCAGTTCATCCGGCGAACACTACGAAGACAGTGTCCTCAGCGAACTCATCAGAAACATGGGCAGCGTCGCTGGTGTCCTCCACGTTGTCCCAGGAGATTTCGTACACAGAGTTTGTTACGAAAACCGCCACGAAGATGAGGAAGTCGATGAGGAAAGAGACTGGATACAAGCACAGATCACTAAGAATGAAAACGTCATTGACTTATTTGTTGATTTCGAGCCAACAACGATGCATATCAAAATCGTCAACAGATCTCAACAAGACATTTCAGATTTGGCATTGGCGCTCAACGTAAACCCTGTTGGCTTAGTCATCCCTGCTCCTCCTGTCTTCCCAAGAGTTATTCCTGTAGGACAATCATGTGAAGTCGATGCTCCTATCGTCTTTACATCTGAAAAACAGGGACAGTTCAACACGAACTTGCTCGATTTGGCCATCAAGACAAATGCAGGACCTGTTTACGCACGTGTTGAATTACCAGCACAATGCGCAGCGATGGTTGACGGCAGACTTGACCAGATGATGTACAAAGACATGTGGGCAAAGATTCCTGTTGAAGATTCAGCAGAAATCGCTGGTGCTGCACTTGCTACTGATGAAGCACTTAGAGATAGAAATGTTTTCGTTGTCGGAAGAAAAGAAAATCAAACTTATATCTCATTGAAATTGCAACCAGGTGTTTTCTTCTTAGTAGAAGCTGTAGAGGATGGACCGAAGTTGACAATCCACTTCAAGACATCAGATTCAAGATTATCTGTATACCTTAAGAAGAGTGCTTATCGACTCTTCGCAACTAAGCAATAATTTATCTTTTTTTTTATTTATCTTTTATTTTATTTTTTTCTATATAATTTTTTTATAATCGAGTAAAAAAAAATACATTTTGGAATAAGTATATATTGTAATAAGATTGTTTATTTCCTTTTTACATCTTGAAAGAACTAGAAGAAGAAGTTTTTTTCTTTTATATCTTGAAAGAACTCAAAGAAGGAGGAACATTTTCCGGATTGTCACTTTTTGGAATGAAAAAAAATGAAAATAAAAACATTGTGTATAAATCCTCCTTCTTGATGGAGTCCAATTTGAGAAAACAATCAACTTTCGTCGTATCTATAAAAGAAAGCCCTCAGAGTGCAATCATAGAACTTTTGAAATGTTCGATTTATTATGATACCTTTTTATTTTTTTTTTATCTAAATTAAGGGTTTCGTTTTGCGAAAAAAACGTACAATACGCAATTTCGCTAAAAAAACATTTAGCTAGCAATTTCGACCTTTGACTCCACTCAAGACGTCACTTTTTTAATTTTGCGGTATCATATTTTTGGAAAATCTTTATGAATATTATATAAAAAGTCTCTTTAATATCTATATTTCATATTTTTATCGATTTTTAAAGTTTTTGCGAAAAGTATTCAATTATTTTTGCTATTTGGTCGGGTAAATGTTAGATTTGCGACATTTTCTGATATGATATTCAGATTCTACGTTGATAATAATGCTTATAGAACCCTCTTGCTATTGTGTCAAAATTGCGAAACCGATAGCAAAAATATCTCGCAATATCAAAATTGAGATATTGAGTGAATTATGCATTATAGAGATTAAAAATCTGATTTGTGAAAACATCTCATCAGTTTCTAGCTAATTCAAAAATCTTTACTATCTTATTCGATTAAAATGAAAAGGGAATAGTTTCATTATGCTTTAAAGGACAGCCTTATAATATAATCATAGTTTTCGCTCAATATGCAGCATTTTTTTTCGAAATCTATGGTCAATATCCTAAATACTGATTGCTTTGCATTCATATCTCTTACATTTTCTATACCCACATCACTATTCATTGCTATTCCTATCTTTTTCATTTTTGTTTGTTTCTCATAATTTCTCAAAAAACATGATAACTTGATATTTGTAAATATCATACTTTATAACGTAAATAAGAACTTGACCTATTAAGAAAAGCAGTAATGAAAAGAAAATCTGAAATTCATAAAAATTACAAGTTTCTGATGACAATTAGCTTAATTAAACCAGGTACAAGATTATATAATTGTATTTTCTATCCAATTATCCATATAATATCTTATCCAGAAAAAATAACTTGATCAATACCAAATGATTTTTTAACTAGTAAATAAAGTATTTTCTTTACACACACATTGTATATCATAGTTTTTTTTTGGTTTCGCAAAACATCCAAAAACAAATATGCTATAAAAGTGACAATTTTAGCAAAACGAAACCCTTATCTAAATCAACCAACAAATACTCTCTTATCACAAATATCTGTCACTGTTTTAAACATTTTTCTTTCTTATTATGTATATCATTTCTTTATTTAATTCTTTATAAATGGGACAATGAAATGCTCAATGAATCAAATTTCTATTTTGTGTACTTGTACTTCATATTCTCCAGCGTTTAATGCAGATACTATCAATGCTACAGAAGTTCTTTGAAGATGATGATGTGTTGATTGAATCAATCTCTCCTGCAATCAAAGTTTTGGCTTTGAAATTCCCTGATTCTTTCGAAATAAAAGAAGCGACAAATCCAATTTACGAAATTGCCACTTCACTTTTGGCCGATGAAGAAGAGTTTTGCGACAATTACTGGGAATATTTAATAATTGTGTTACAAGCAATATTTGTTAGATGCTGCCATTCTTCTTTCGCTTTGGAATTCATTGGAGAAATTAGCGAAAATTTGGCTGATTGGGATTTGCAAATCCACGACATAGTTGCAAGTATGGCAACAACTGATCAAATACCAACATTCTACACATTTTGGATAGAAAATACTCGTCCTGCAGCATTTTTAAGATCTGCAATTTCTGTTTTCGAAAACTTTGAACATTTGCCACAATTAGCTGGGAAAAGAGATGAAATTCTTGAGATTTGCTTCAGAAATATTGAAGTTCTCAAGGAAAATATGTCAAATGATGATGAAATGGAGATGGATGAAGAAGAATTATCCTTCTTTGTTGTGAACGAATTTTGCAAGTATCCTTTGTTTAAGAAATAAAAATAAGTAAAGAAATAATAGAGTTTATTTTATAAATATTTATATGTGTACTATTTATTATATCGATTGATTTCCAAATATCATAAACTTTAAGTATTGTATTTTTTTAAGTTTATGGTGATAACCTACTGCAAATTCGCTAGTGACATTGGAATTTAGAATTAAATCAATGAATGAAAGTAAGATTTCAAAAATTTTGTATATCAATACTTCAAAATTCAATTCTGAGGAAAATTCTGTCATTTCTGATTAAATATAACAATGTACCGAGTTTTCAAGCTTTGTTGCTTTAAAGTGTTTATTAATCCCACTCAAATTTAAAAGGTACGGACACTCCCTTCTAACCAAATTTTTGGCCTTAAACTCCAGATACAGGCTATACATATTATGCATATGTAGAATACGTAGTTTGGAGAAAATCGGCAAATACAATCTAGAGAAATTAAATCATCCAGAATTATCGAGAAAAATCTCTTAAATGTCACGATGGTACAATTCAGCACAAGTATTATATCAGTGCTATATCATAAAACGAATTATATATCAATATAATACCGTAAATTTGATTCAATTTACAATATTGGTCTAAAATTGAAGCTTACTTTATCATGCACGTAGTACTAACAAGTTCAATGATCTCATATATCTACTACAATTTTAACATTGCATGTTAAAACTTGTAATATGAAAATAAATAGACTAAAAATCTGTTTTAAACTCTTTTCATCGACGTGTTTTACTGATGTAGCTCATATTTGTGAAAATTGTAATACATTTGTAATAAAATTGCATATTATTTGGTTAGATATTTGTGATCAAAAATATGAGTATAAAATAAACATATAACTCATCATATTATATGCTATTAAATAAAGTTGCAATAATCTTTCTGTCCTGAGACATAGTTGAAAATTCCAAAAAAAATTCAAAAAAAGAAAAATGAAAATCAAATATTTGATTTTTCACATGAAAAAATAGATTTAGAATATTTTTTGGAAAACTAGCTTGTTGTATTATTATCAGAACTTTGAAGTTCAATCCTTTTGAGGTGCAAATTTGCAATATTTTTTGATTCTGATATTAAATTTTTTCATTCTTCAACTTAAAGCTGATCAAATCTCAGCCATTATGATAGAAATGATATATATCTTACAAATTGCAGGTAAATTAATAATGATTTTATTTCTATAACAACAAGTCAATAGAATAAATGTATCTAAGTGTATTCGTAATTTCCTGGTAATGGTTATTGATTACGATATCAAACAATAACAGTGTGGTAAGATTTCAAATATCAATTTGGAATGAATCTCATGAAATCCAAGTAATTGCTTGGCAAACAAATATAATTTGGTAATAAAAGTCAAAATACTTCTGCAAAACTGCATAAATGCATTTTAACATCGCAATTTAATCTCTACACAAAAATTGTATTGACCGATTTACTGTATATTTTAACTGTGCATTTACCATTTGAATGCGATTTATGTATATGATTATCTAACAAAAATTTTGGCTGGATACTATCGATTCGAAATTTCATTTTTTAATCTATGCTTTTGTAAACGTAATTCTTGGTTTTAATCAATTTAGAAGCTACCCTATTACTGTAAATAGTTTTTAACGACATTTACTGAAATTGTAAAATATAATCAGTCCAAAGAGAGATCATTCGAGTTAACATCCTATTACAAAGTATAGGTTGCTATGTTCTGTTGCGTTGCCCCAATGATGGCTTGCTTGATAAAATACATAGGGAGATATGATCCTTGAAAATACCCTAGCATTTTTTAATAAAATAAGGTTAAAGAGTGTCCGTACCTTTCAAATTTATTTGAATAAACACTTTCCCTATAATCGGTACATGTTTATTTTGCCAAAGGTGGCATGTTTGCCCAAAGTGCAAGCGTAGCCACCTGAAGTTAGAAATTATATTTTAACAAATTTGATTTTGTGAACTAAAGAATCGTGGTAAGTTTACATCTTCACACTGTAGATCATAAAACTTTATTTAACTCTTTCAGACAATTAGAAACCTGATAAGCTTGTTCTTTGGCTGAAAAAAGAGATTGAACGAAATATTTTTATTAATTAAATATATCCCTTTATCGATATTCCAAGAATTAATTGATTTAGAATGATTGGCAAAAAAATCTTGAATAAATCAAGTATCTTGATGATAATTCTATTGTTATTGGCTTTTCCATTCTAATGCATCATTTCATATCCATGGACTTAATCAAAATTCATAATTTATATCCGAAATCTTTATGGTCATTGTTTTCCACATGTATAGAATAGTATTTTATTTTCATAATAAATTTAAGGAGTATTTTATATGGTAAAATGTAAATGTGTCTATTGCAAAAAATATTAATGACCGACCAAGACGTTTATCCAAGCAAATACAACGAATTGCGAAGTATCTTCAAACACTATATCGATTCATGTATTGCATTGTATCAGCTAAAAACAGATAACGAAGAAGAATTATACAAGATTTACAAAATGATCAAAACAGAATTGATTGATTCAAAGAAATGTCCACCTCAAATAATTATGAAAGATATTTTATGTATCATTCGGTACAACAATCGCTATAAAAAGTCATATTTATACCTCGCCAAACTCATTTATGATGAATATCATGTGGAAGAAGTCAGCGATCTCATGTATCTTCCAAACATCCTGTTTTATAAAGAATATGGAATTAAATTAGACAAACATGCCGATTTTTTTGAAGATTATACAGAAAATCTCGATATTCATACAGAAAATACAATTTACAGAGCAATTATGTATAATGACTTAGAAAAATTCATCACATTCACTGAAAGAGATGGATTTGATAAAGATCAAACACTTATAAACAAATTATATCCATATTCTAAGACAAGATATTCATTACTTGAATTATGTTGTTACCATGGAGCAGTTGATTGTTTCAAGTTATTAAGATCGAAATTTAAATCTGAAATAACTGAAATGTGTTTAGAATTTTCATTTTTAGGAGGAAATCCAGAGATCATGAGTGAATGTTTGAAATATCAGAAACCAAATGAAGATTGCATGAAATATGCAATTATTTCACACAACATCGATTTCATTACATTCTTGATGAATGAATACAACATAGAGATCGATTTAGAAAATTGTGGAATTTACAATAATATTGAATCCTATTTAGTTTATTTCGATCAAACTAATGATATAAACAAATGTTTTGTTTGTTCACCAATTTTTAATATTCGATCCCTTATCGAATACTTCCTTTCACATGGTGAGAATATCAATGAAAAAGATAAAGATGGAGAAACCGCGCTTCATAAAGCGGCACAGTATGATCGTAAAGAAATTGCCGAATTTCTTATTTCACATGGTGCTAATATCAATGAAAAAGATGAAGATGGAGAAACCGCGCTTCATAAAGCAGCACGGTATGATAGTAAAGAAATTGCCGAATTTCTTATTTCGCATGGTGCTAATATCAATGAAAAAAATAACGATGGAGAAACCATACTTTATATTGCAGCATGGAATGATGATAAAGAAATTGCTGAATTTCTTATTTCGCATGGTGCTAATGTCAATGAGAAAGATGAAGATGGAGAAACCGCACTTCATCATGCAGCATATTACAATTGTAAAGAAATCGCTGAATTTCTTATTTCGCATGGTGCTAATGTCAATGAAAAAAATGAAGATGGAGAAACCGCACTTCATATTGCAGCATATTACAATTGTAAAGAAATTGCTGAATTTCTTATTTCGCATGGTGCTAATGTCAATGAAAAAAATGAAGATGGAGAAACCGCACATCATATTGCAGCACGGTATGATCGTAAAGAAATAGTTGAACTCCTTATTTCGCATGGTGCGAAAAAATAATATTCTTATATAAGACATTATTCTTTATTTTTATGTTATGCAAGATATTGCGAAATATTTTTGATAACTTGTAAAAAAAGTGTAAACTTCAGAATACACAATAATATATTATTTAGGTACTTTATATAGGTATAGATATTATTGCCACTCAAAAAATCACGATTTCAATTTTTCTCGAAATCTAGTCTTGAAATGTATATTAATTTTACTAAATATAAGCATTATATTATATGCTAATGGACTTTTGCAATCGTCCCTATTAAACATGTATATTTATATTCCTCCAAAGTTCTTTTAATTTTATTGAAAGGGAGGATAAATATTTTCCATTGCTTGAGATAATTTTGGGTGAAACTCATCGTTAATTTGCAGCCTTACATAAATAAAATACTATTATCGATTACCTCGTAGAACATGGTATGAACAAAAAGCGTAAATAATTTAATATTTGATTGAATTAGGCTTTATATAATACGCTATGTTTATTTTTTAATTTTGCCACTTCGACACAATAGCGAATGTTATAAGAGGTGTTATAATTTAACCAGAATTTAGAAAAATTGATTTTTTTAAGGGTGCCCTATAACGATAATGTAAACATCATAAAATTAACCTTATTAGAACTCGAATGAATGGATTATCCAGATTCTAGTTCTCAATATAATAGCCTTAAAAGTGCTTTTCTGAGGGTGGTTTATCGTCTATAGGGCACCCTTAAAAAAAAAATATTTTGGTATATTAATTAGCTTTGTTTCTCTGGAATATTATAAATATGAGATATTTGGCCATATCTAACTTTTATGATATATTTGAATGGTTTACGTTTAAATTTTTCTCGAAAAATCAAAAATGAATATTAACCCATTGAACCAGTTTCGAGATGAAATTGAAGAACAATTAAAGAAAGAGCATCCTGATTGGGGTAAGAAAGAACTTATTAAAGAAATTGCTGATAGATGGCGAGCAATGACCGAAGAAGAAAGAAATAAGTATAGAAAGCCAAGTTCACCTTATCTTCAAAGAACAGAAAAGAAGTTCGCTAGTCCAACTGGTCTTAATATTAAACCAGGGCTAAATATAAAGTTATCAAATTTAAAGTTCAAACTTCCAGAAAACGATACTAAAAATACAACAACTGTTAAGCCGTTACTATCTATTAAGAGGAAACCCGAATTAAAACCTCAATTTGATGATAATGAAACAGAATTAATGGAATTCTCTAGTTTTGTTGCTCCAAACACAAACACTCCTCAAAATATTGGACGTCCATCAGCATTCAAGTCATTAAGTTTCGGTAAAAAAGAAAATGATGGAAAAATCGCACGTCAAAGAGCAGAGCCACCAAATTTATTGGTATCATCTATTGTATCAGATAAGCATGAAAGCAAGTTACTAGAATTCATAAAAAGCGAAAAACAAGATTACATTAAAGAGCATCCAACAGCCAGCTCATTTGAAACTATGGTTGCTCTAAGAAGGAAGTATGAGGATCTCAATCCGGATCAAAACTCGTCCAATATCGAAAATGGCAAGCAAATCAGTAAAGATAAAAAAGAAAAGCCACAAAAGACAGATAAAAAGGAGAAACCTGATAAAAAGAAGCCAGAAAAGAAAGAGAAAAAGAAAGTCCATCGTAAATTCTCTTTTGCATCAACATCATCTTCTTCATCGAGTTCTTCAAGCTCTTCCAGTTCATCTAGCTCATCTTCCTCATCAAGTTCTTCATCTTCTTCTTCTTCAAGTTCCTCTTCAAGCTCTTCTTCATCTTCTTCCAGTTCATCTTCATATTCATCTTCATATTCAGATGAAGAAGTCTTTGTTATTAATACATTAACTCCCAGTTATAACTATAGTCCATATTACTACCCACCAATGTATCAATTTGCTATGAATAATGTTCGAATGACAACCAAAACGAATATTATCATTAGAGTCCCTGTTTCGAAGGATTCATCTTCTTCGTCATCATCCTCATCAGACTAAGCTTCAATATTGTAAATTTTTAAGTAATAAAATATTAATATTTTTATTTTAAATTTTAAAAACGATAATGTAATAATAGCATAAACAAAATTGTGGCAAACAGAAGCAACATAAGTGCTCTTCTTGTTCGATATGCTCAGAAATTACATGTTTATGTTTTAAATAAATGATATTTTTATTTTTCTGACTTATGATTATGAACTCTGAGGAATAATGATTCATTTTTGATCTTTCAAACACACACTCATAATCTCTGGATTTCCTCCTAAAAAAATGAAAGAAGAAGGCACTTTTTTGTTATTCCTGCAGAGAATTTTGTTCTCAAAAACTTGAAGCAATTGACAGAGCCCGTAATAACAACATAATTCGAATATATCTAAAATTTTTATCACACATGGAATGAAATTAAAGGTCGCAATTGTGTGAAAATTAATATTTTCTCGTTCTGTGAATGGAATAAACAAACTCAGGTCATCATCAATAATTGATTGCAAAATTCATTGTAGTGGGATGAAATATCATTAGGAAAAGATTCTTTGAATAGCTTCAATTCTCGCAGCCAAGACAACATTTATCAAAACTTATTCATAATTTTGATCTTTTATTTTATAATACTTATTAATAAATGTATTAATCCTGTGATCGTAAATGAGCTTTAAAAAAGATCTTACAATGGATATTGATTATTTCTGTATTTAGTTCTTTGTTAATTCGCCTTTGAAATCAAAAATATTAATTATTAACCAATCTTCATCGCTTGAAGTCTTTCCTGTTTGAGTTAATTTGAAAGATACAAAATATTCTTTGGTTTGAAGTGGAAATTCTTTGATTTCACTTTGTTTGAATTCATAATATTTATCATTATCTAATACAACAGTTGTTCCATCTTCTTTGATTCCTTCTAACTTCCATTTCCTCAATAAATTCATATCATTTTTAAAATTTGATTGTAAAACATAAGATGTTGGTTTTAATTTATATCCTTTTAAATCAGCTTTTATCCATGAATTAGGACAATCATTACTACAAAATTGCTCATCATTGCTATAAGAATTTATAAATGATATACTTCTTCCACTACATACAGATGAAGCAGTAAGTTCCATTTTAATTTCTTTATAATCTACAAACATATGATCATAAACATTAAAAGAGTTATTTGATATTGAAAATTGATTTTTAATTATTAGTTTTTCGAATGATGAAATAGGTTCATTTGAGATTTCAATATTTTCTCTAATATTCGAATGATAATTCTTTAATATTTCGTTATATATAGAAAGAAGAACTCTTTCGAATGAATGTTCAATGCAAAAGTTATAAATTCTGTCATAAGTTTCTCGTGAACAATATGCAAGTTTGATGTGTCTAAATAAGTCAAAGAATGTATCATTCTGTTTGCAGATTGATAAAAGTAAAAGAGATAAATGATCTTCGTTGTCGATCTTTAATTCATCAGAGGTAATGATTTTTTCAAAAAATTCATAACCATTTTTGACGAAATGTTCAATGATATCTTTGTCATCTAAACAATATAAATGTGATGATATGAATCTAATGCATTCGTTTTCTGTTATAATATCATTTTCGAAAACTGAAATTTCATACTTTTGAAAAACATTTTCTTTTGTAATAGATTTGTCTAATTTAACATGTTCTGAATATACTTGTATGAATAATTGATTGCCAAAATGTTTTCCAATTTCAAATATATCATGAGAATGTGATTCATCTTCAAAGTCAAGTTTTCCTGTTTCAAGAAACTCTGAAAGTATATCAATTGAATCTTCACATTTAAGATCTAGATTTACTTCATATGATGATATCGATTTATTAAGAACGCATTTTTCTTGGATTAAATCTGAAAAACAAACAGCAGAAGACTTCTTTGTTTTGATTATTCGACCATTAATATTGATAATAAATTGTCCACATTCTGTAAGAATCCCAACACGTTTTAATTCTTTGCATGATTTCGTTATCTGAACCATAAAAAATTTAACATATTTTTTGCCAATTAGACTATGAAATTTCATATAAGACTCTAATATTAATATTAATTTAATTCAAGAACGGGTTACTTTTTTTTTATTTTTAATAAAAAAGACTCTAATTTCCAGGCTCATTGTTTAGGGATTGGTCTGAAGGTGTGGCTATTTTCGCTGTGAATATATGTTATATATTGGTACAATTTAATCACAATGAATTCTTCAAAAATTGCCACCAGAAGCACTTATTTTGTCTTAAAAAGCTAAAGAATTAAATGATATTCATACAATTTATTCTAATATAAAGGAAAAGATAAACAAAAATTATATTGAAGATTCACCTTCTTCTGTGAAGAGTTCTATAGGACATAATAGGACAGAAATTAGCTTTTCAAGCAAATCTGCGATATGTGGATCAGAAATATCTTCGCATTTAATTCGAATTAACATTCTGAACTGGTAAGATACCATTTCCACATCTTTAACAACTAAATTGCAATTGCATTGACAAGCAAAGTTTGGTATAATAGATTTAACAAGCTGTGTAAAGCTGCTGAAGTAATCAATGATTGTACCATCGTCCTGATCAACAATTTCAAGCGCTTCTTTATCACAGTCTTCGTATCTTATGCGTCTGACTATTTTTCCAAGGCGGGTGTAAACACCATCGCGAACAAAAACGTAATCAGTTGTATTATCTGAAATCTTTTTGGTCGAAAATGCATCAATCGTGCAATCATTCAGTTCTATAAGGAAACATTCAATGTTGTTTGACTTATTAGCGATTTCTAGTTGAGTTTCAACGTGTTTATCTGGTATTTCAAATTGAGTTAGTCTTCTATAATATGTTTGAGGGTGGGTAATCTGAGATACAACTGTATCTGTAGCTCTTCTCTTGATTTTTCCATCTTTGTCCGGTTTGAAAATAATAGATTCAGGATCAAAACCAATTTGTCTAATAAAGTCTCCAGGAAGCAAATCACTAAGCTTTCTATCTTGGAGTGGCTGCTCCATCATCTGCTTTGAAATGCTCACACGGTGAGGCTTGCTCGTATTCATAAAATATAATACTCGGTAGAAAATAGAAGGGGTTCTCAAATTTTATTATTTCGGAATCTCAATTTATGATTGGAGTATAAGTATAAATTCTACAAATTTTCTGATCCCTTGAAAATCATAAAGATTTTCAATAAAATTTTGGCCATTTTTCTATGGCCATATTTTTTATGTCATAATAAGAATGCCCATAGTATTGTTATATTATTTTAAAAATATTTTCGTGTTTTCTTAAGAAATTTGGATATTTTCGATGAAATTAGCAAAAATAAGCTAATTACGAATGAAAAAGATATGTGTAGCTTACGCAAATAGTGCACCTATTCTCTGTACTCACAAATCTTCCGATTACAAGATTTGCTTCGTTTTATTGTTTTTGATTGCAAAAACAAAACGAATTTATGTTATGGATATCCAACTTATATACGCATGTGTGTTTTATCGAAATATTAATTTTAGAAAAAAAATTTTAAAAATGGTCACTCTGGGGTTCGAACCCAGGCCCTCGCGGACCAGTGCCTTAAACTGGCGCCTTAGACCACTCGGCCAAATGACCCTGACATTTTATTTTTATTTTATAAATAATAGAACTATTTGAATCATTAGTCTCCTCAAAAAGTATTCAAATAACACTATTCCTTTTTTATATCTGAATTTTCCATGAAATTATTGTACATTTCTTCTATAACTTTGAAACGTATTAGAATTATCGAAATGAAATTTTTATTTCTTTTTTATTTATGAAATATTGTTGTATTTGTCTTTCCTCCATCATGTATTGTGCTCTTGATGGTTCTTCTTCAACTATTTGAACCAATGAATTTGAACGTTGAAGCTATTACAAAAATTATATATATTATTGCTCTAGTCCGAACAAACGATATACTATCCATCAAGTTTTAAGATAAATCAATTGCTTCGATCATAAAAAAAAATCAAAATAATTTTCAAAATTGTGTTTTTTTTTAAATGGATGATTCCTCTTCTACTGATCTAGACTCTCAAGAATCATCTGTATCTGAAGTCTTATCAGATTCATCATTTGAATACAACTCAGAAGGAAACGCTCACAGTGTTATCGAAATTTCAACAAAGCAACCTCAGGGCAAACATGAGTCAAATATTAAACCGCGTGTATTTTGCAGCGACAAAATGGATAATAGTTATTATATTGCGAAAAATATTGGCAAATTTACTTCAATAATGAAATGGCGAAATTTAGATAATTGTTGGAAATCACCTTGCATAATACATTCGAATTGTTTACAAATGCAATGCTTTTCTGACCTACTTTTCGTTGCCTTTACAGATAATACAATTTCATTCATCGATTCTGAAAACGGATGCCCTGCATTACCATCGATATTTATTGAAAGTGGAATTCATACAATGAAGTTATGCAAAAGAAATCATCTTTGCATCATTTCTAATGATAATACTATTCGAATTTGGAAAATTTCTGGCTATAACAGCTGCGAATCAATTTTCAAGCATGTATATCCTCAAAAATTACCAAAGATTGTTCGCATAAAACTTACATTTTCAAATGAAAATCTGGAAATTGTTCCAATTCTAATGTTTAACCAAGAAACTACATATTTTTCCCCGAGAGCTAATTATTGGGTATCACTTACAAGAACTTTGCCTGAAGGATTAGTTGATACACGAACACCAGAAACAATTTACCAACTGCAGATTCAATTATTCGAGCAGATGAGTTGTAATGAGCCACAATTTGTTGATACGTTATGTGAAATAATCAAATCTCTTTCAAATCCGAAAATCAATCTCAAATATTTAATCTTAAAATATTTCCATAAATTGTTAACATTGGCCATCAAGCATGAAACATATTGTAAATTACAGATGAGAACTATATTAGAATCTGCATTCCAAGTAATTCAAGATTCATCTCCAGAATTAGTTGATTTTATTGTAAGATCTCCTGAATATGCTGTTCTTACGAGAGAAACAAACCCGGATGTCATTTCTCTTGATACTGTTATCAATGAATTGAAAATGGAAAATTATTATTATCAAAAACCAGAAAATCATTGTAATGAACACCAACTCAAGAAAGCAAAGGAAAAAGCCAATGCAGCTCTTGAAATTGCTTCGAAAGCTTCAGAGTTAGTAGAAAATATTCTTAAAAATATTGATCAAATTATGAGAAAACAACAAGAAGAATCGAAATTGCCGAAATTTGTTTCTGTTGAAGAGCAACAACACAGCAAAGTTAAAGAAATTGCAATTAAGACTGATAAACCTCAGTTGAATATCAATAAAATCACAGGCCCATTACAAAAGAATGAACTTGAAAACTTCTTCGAAACAGATGTCGGAAGAATGACTTATAAAGAAATAAATGAAAGGAATGATTACACGAAAAATGCTAGAAGAAATTATCAGAAGTTTACTGAATGCTACAACAATGCAAATCCACCAGAAATCAAACCTAAAAATACATATGCACGTCAATCAAGACCAGAAAACACTGTTTTGCAAGCAATTCGGCAAATTTCTAATCAATATACTCAAACACTTAAAACAACAACTGAAAATACTGCAAAAATATCAATTCCAAGAGAAAATAATGGAACTCGGCCAATTGATGTTACTAAAGAACCAAGCGAAGAAAACATGGCTATTTTGAATATTTCTCTTAGTGATGGAATGATTAATAGTTCTGAAGACAAAAACATTCTTAAAAAACAAAGGATTTCTAATAGCAAGCAAACTGATAATAATTCTGTGAAACCATTTGATGAAAACGCTGTTCAACAACAATCGAATTCTGATATTAGTTTAGTGAAACCATTTGATGAAAAATCAATACAAAAATCTGAAGAAAATAAGTCTTCTGATGAAAATATTCTTCAAAAGCAGAAGACTTCTAATATTAGTTTAGTGAAACCATTTGATGAAAAATCAATACAAAAATCTGAAGAAAATAAATCTTCTGATGAAAACTTAATTAATAAATCTGATGATAGTTCTATTGATGAAAACTTAGTGAAAAATACTGATGAGAAACAAAATTCAATTGATAATGAATTCATTGTAAACCTTACTTCAGATACTGACAGTGAAAGTGAAGCTGAAAAAGATGCTGAAGCTCTTGCAGAAATGAAACCAATTCAACTTAAAAATCCATTTTCATTCCCTATTCAATCAAAGACTACAAAACCAACGAAGCCTTTGACAGCAACCAAACAGATGCCAATATCTCCGTTCCTTGAAATAAATAAAAAACAACAAAACACAATTAATAATCCTCCTGAATCACAGATTAAATTACAACCAATATCTTTGAAAGAATTACCAAAACAACAAATTAAAAATGAACAAAAACAAATTAGCAATCAACAGCAGAAGCAACAATTGACTAAACCTCCTGTTGAAAATACAGCTAAAGCTGAAGAACACATTGATGTTTTAGAGATGATGATGAATTTCATTTCAAATAAGAGACCAACACAAACAAATCAAAATCCAAAACCAAAGATTGTTGAATCAAAACCAAAAGAAAATGTTGAACAGAAGAAACAGATCTCGATAAATAAAGAAGATTATTTCTCAATACCAAGTTTTCCAGAATCAGATGATGATGTTGTTGAATTTATCCAAGTAAATAAAGCACCATTCCATCCTTTCAAACCTCTCCACACGAAGAAGATCAGTAACCAATCAAGTCCAACAAAAGATATCATTCCTCAGTCTCTGTTTATCCCTCCAGTTCCTTCTGCAACAATAATCAGACAAGAAGTAATTGCAGAAAGAGCTCAAAAACAAGCTGAATTAGAAAAACTGAAAAATGAATCAAATAATAATGATCAACAATCAAATCCTGCTCAACAACCAGCTCCACAGAATCAAAATCAACAACTCCCAACAAACATTCAAAGAACTAATTCTGTTCAAAATCAACAAATCTCAGCAGCTTCTTCTCAGTTTTATCACCCGACGAATCAGCAAAAGATTAATTCTGTTCAAAATCAACAAATTGCAGCAAATACTCAAAGAATTACTCCTGTTCAAAATCAACAAATTGCAACAAACACCCAACAAATCAAAAGTGTTCAAAATCCATCAGCTGCAACAACTCCTTCTCAGTTAATTCAACAGACAAATTTGCAATCCAATGCTCAAAAGATTAGTTTTGTTCAAAGCCAAGAGAACCAACCAAAATTATTGCCAAATAATCAACAAACAAATAATGTTCAAACTCAACAGAATCCTGCAACTATATCACAAGCAAAGAATGTTCAGAGTCAATCAAGTACTCAACCACCAACTGTAAATAATCAACAAGCTGTCAATAAACCACCTGTTCAACAGCAAACTCAAAATATCCAACAACAAAACACAGTTCAAATTCAACCATCTCCATCTAAAAATCAGCCAAAACCCGGTTCCTCAAATACAAAAGGAAATTCTAATTTCCGACAAGCAAGACTTCAGAATACTCCTGTTTTGCCACCACCTCAACCAAAAACAGTAAGTAATACTTACCAACCGCAGCGGACTACTGGAAATTACCTGCAGCAACAGCAGCTATCAGCAATTGAAATTGTTAAGAAACCGGGAGAACTAAAGAAATATTATTCAGAAATTGAAATGTTGAGACAAAATTTGATAAATAAGAATCCAACAGATTCAAACAGTAAAACAATTCTTAATGCATTAACAAAAACGATGCAAAATACAATTACACAATCTCAACAAATGCAAAGTAATTTGTTGAAAATCGCTGGTCCAGTTCTTCCAAGGAATGCAATTCTCCAATTATTGGAATCCACCTGTATAACTTCAATTACTCAACTAGTTTATAATATTCCTGCTGTTCAACAAAATACAACCAATTCTAATATTCAGAGTTTGCAAAAAACTGATGTTCAAAATCAACAGTTTCAAAAGACAGATAAAGTTTCAAAAGATTATGAAGAAGATAAATCTGATTCTGAAGAACCTTCTTTCCCTGAAGAAGAATCTCATCCTTCATCTACAGATAGCAGCGAAGAATTGTACAATCGCGAAGAAGAATCAACAGAAAGCAGTGAAAAACTATCAGAAGGTTATGGTAAATACAGCGCTGATGGAGTAAAAATATTAGAACAGACAACACAATTAAAACAAAGCAACGAAGATGTTGAAGAAAATGTAATTCATCCTCAACAAAGTGAAGTTAAAATTGCAATAAGCAAAGTCAAAGAAAAAACACCTGCTAAAACTGATCAAAAGCATGAAGTAAAAAAGAAACAAAGGAAAAAGAACAAATATTCTGGAATTCCTTTAGGTGAACAGCCGAAAGTTGAAGACAGAATGTCGGAGTACATTAGGGCTTATAACAGTCAAACAACCAAACCTCCGACTGTTACTAAACTTTCTGAAAGCTCTGATGATTCTAGTTCAAATTAAAATTTATTGTTTTATTGTTTATTTAATTTATATAAAATAAAGTTCTTTAATATCTCAGTGTTTAATAAATATAGAGCATGATTTGAGGGAAGTTTATGATCCCATTCTTCCTGGCAAAAGTACATTTAATTTCACGGCATATTTGGAGAAAGATGGTACTCGTACATATATAAATTCAACGATAAAAGAATACTATTTTTCTTTCCAAATAATCATTCATTATGCCAAAATTGATCCTGAAATTATTGAATATGATGAAAAAGCATATTTATAATTGTAATTTGAGTCAAGTGATAAAGGCGATAAAAGTGATTCTGGTGAAACAGTTTCAATACATTCAGATGATATGAATGATTTAAATTTGGAATTATTAAATGCTCCAAAATTGCAAACAAACTTTTTGGACACTGATACAGATGAGGATTCTGGAGAGTCTCTCTCAATACACACAGATGAAATTACAACAAATGAACTTGAAATATAATTGTAATCTATAATGTCCTCTCTTTGATTTTGACTAAATTCAATTTTTTTCTAATTAATTTAATATCATAAAAAGAACTGATAAAAACATTATTTTCGATAGTCTATATTACTTTTTACTAGTAATCAATAAAAATATATAAAAATTTAAAAAAATATCTAATTTTTTTTTATTTAAATAATAAAATTATTTAAACTCAATATAATATATGTGTACTATATGTAACAGAAAAGCGTTAAACTATTGTTTGCGCGTTATCATTGGTGTTCAATATTGGAGTTTTGATTTGGTTCTTTTCCTTGAATTTTTTTACAAGGAATATAGTAACAAGTACAATGAATATCAAAAGAACTATTGATATTATCACGAAAACAACAATTAAAGTTGGAGTGAAGAATCCAAGGTTGCATTGTAGTTTAGAAATGGAAAGTGATGCTTTAGGAAATAGCAATGATGATTCCTCGCTTAATTTAGGAATTTGTTGAATAAAACATTTCTTATTTTGCATTTGATAGTCAGTCCCTTGATATGTTAAATCAAAGGCATTCTTTGATGATAATATCCTTAAAAAGTATGATAGAGAAGTTGAATATTCGCAATTTTTAACGCAAGAATTTTCTGGGTGTTCTACATCAGTTTCGTTGATAAATGCGACTTCAGTTGATGTATCTTGCTTGTCAAATTGAAGAATTGTCTTTGACTTTTCTTGTTTTGTATTGAAGAAACAATAAAATTTATAATCGTCAGGAATTTCGGCATGGAAGCTTAACTTGTTGTGAATTAAGTACATTTCATCAGAACAATAGGCCTCGCTTGCTGACCATATAAGTAATTGTATCTCTTTGTTTTTATTATTTTGAAATTTAAGATTCGATTCGGATTTTATGAAAAAGCTTGAGCCATTAAAATTGTTAAGATGGGTAATCTTATTTTTGTATGATTGAGTGATGTTAATATCGATATCTGTTGAGGATGCAAAAGAAAATACTGTAAATACGCTATCATTGGTTTCAAAGTTAACTAATTCATTTGGTTGGACCTGGAAACTCGAATATCCTGGATTAATGTTCATTGAGTATCCAAGAGAGTGCAAGAAAAACGGGAACATCTATTTTTGAATATTTTTTTTTATTTTAGAAGAAAAAAATGGATGGTTTTATCTATGTATGCAAAGATATCTTTTCGCAACTATGTTTTTGTTTGAAGCCATATGACCAATGGTTTCAGGACCGTCAACCACCAAATGGAACGGGCGAATTCTTAGCAATCGGCCAAATTAACGATTCAAGTACACCAAGCGAACTTTTTGATGAAGATCCTCAACATAATGAGGAAGATGTTTAGGACTGACTTATGTTGTTCCAATCTTTCCTAGAAAATCAATTTTATTTAATGAATCATCAAAAACAGGGATTACCATTTGCTCATGTCATGCTTCGCCTATTTTTGACTTTTGGCTCAAAACTCTTTACAAATATACCAAAATTTTATATCAAATTACAGTTAAATTATGTCAACTGTTCCTAGGCATTATATGAATTGCACAAGTTCTTATATCAATGTACAATCATAACAACAATGTTTGAAATAAAATTATTAAATTTTAAAAAGTATTTTTAGTAAAAAATAACATATTTCCTAAATGACTGAGGCAACTTGTAAAGGTAAACTCATTAAATAAATGACTATAATTTCATAAAAATAATTTTTGGGAATTAAGAGAAATCAAGTATAGTCTATGCTATAGATTTATCTTTTTCGGTTTATAATGAATGATTTGTTCGGAAAATCTGATTAATTTTTTTCTGAAATAGAAAGAACGTAAAATAGCTCGGATCTCAGGGGCTCTTTGTAAATTATTTGCTTTGATGGTAGATGTCAAGATGAATCGATTGAATTTTTGTTGATATTGAAAAAAAAAATCAAAAGCCGAGCAATATGATATCAAATCCGGAAGGAGATAATAAAACAATCAAGTTAACTTATATTTAGTGATGATGCGATTGTTTCGTATAATTTTTCGAGTTGATCAACGCTTTCAACATATTTTTCTAAATAATCTTGATCATTCTGATCAATTTCATCTTCACTTGCAGAAAACGCCGCGATGTTCTCGATTGATTCATTATATTGAGAATTCTGATCTGATTGTTGTGGTGGAATCGGTTTTGGTGGTTCTTCTTTTGGAACATTTTGCTTTCTACCTAAATAACTTGATAATGTGAATCGTGATCTTGGAAGAGGAAGTAAATATTGAGGGACTGTGAAATTATCTGATGTTAAGGAAGTATGATATTGGCAGAGTTCATCAACATATGAAAGTCTATTAAATGATGTATCTGAAATGTTATTTTCAATGTAAAATCCACTATCCATGAATCTAAAATAATAAAATTAATATTATCGTATACAGGCGTGTAGCATTGAAACTTATAAAAATTATGAGAAAGAATTAGATGCTTTTAATGAATTACACAGTGAAGAATGATTTGGTCAAAATCTAAGACCCTTATCTGATTCTTATTTCTGCATTTTGATGTTGGCATTGTTGCAAATAATTATTATTAAGATTTAATACTAAAATTGTTTATTCAAATAAAAGAAATAGTTTAGGCAATTCGGCAGTTTTTATCCTTCTTTGCCCTCTTTTCAATCATTGCGATGATCTTTTTGTTACCCTTAAGCTTTGCACTATTGTAAATAAACTCATCAATTAGAGCGCCTTTCTTAAGAAGAGATTTGACTAAGTCAACTTGTTCCTGTTCAATAGCGTAGAAAAGTGGAAGCTTTTCATAATAAATTTAATAAAGAATTTGGCTATGTTCATCATACTCTTTGAAAGGTATATTAACATCTGCCTTGTTTTCAATTAAGAACTTTACAATATCTGTATAATTATTTCTAAATGCTATAATCAAAGGTGTTTCGACATTAAACAACAAAGAATTTCGTTGTAAAAATAAAATAGAACTCTGTGTCTCTTCTTGTTAACAGATTTATTAACATTTGCGCCTTTTCCAACAAGTAATTTGACTATCTTTAAATAGTTATGTGTTGTTGCAATCGTTAACGCAGTATCTTGGTTCATTTCACCAACGACAAAATCAATGTCAGAGCCGTTTGAAAGAAGAACTTTTACGACATCATAATAGCCATTACTGCAAGCAACTGTCAAAGGAGTATCCAGCCTTTCTCCATTATATACGAATTTGTTTGGATCTGCACCATTTTCAATGAGTACTTTGCATAAGTCTGGATCATCATTCTTGCATGCGATAATCAGGGGTGTTTCTCCTTCTTCGATCTCTGATTCTAAGTAAATTGTACATGTTGTAACGTAATTGATATTTGCTTGTTTTTCAAGGAGAATTTTGACAAAATCAACTAAACCTGATCTGACAGCCATCGAAAGGGAAGTTACTTTTACAGTCTTGTCGCTGTGATGCTCGTATACATCATTGATGTCGTAGCTATTGCATAGAAGGAATAAGGCCATTTTGATGTTGTAAAATTTCATACACATCGCCATTGAAATTTCTTCACATTCAGTATTTTTGAGTAGCCATTGAATTATTTCTGTGCTGCAGTGATTTTCTATAGCTGTCTCAAGCTTGTACTTGAATTTTTGTTGGTAGTTTTGGCCTAAAATCTGCATAATTTCGAAGTTTCCACCTTCGATTGCATATTCTTCCGTATCTTCTGTGGGTTCAACTCCTCTGAGTAAAAGGTACTTGAAGCATTCTATACTGCCATATTTGGCAGCTATATCTATCAAAGGAATTATGTCATAAAAATCGTTAAAATTGAAACTCGGATCTGCAGTGTGTTTCTTTAATTCTTCGACTTTATCCCATGTCACGAAGTAACATATTGAGTTTGGTGGGTAAATATTAAGAACATCATCAACAGTTACCTCTGTTTCCAAGAAATTTGTAGAATATCCTTTGCTTTTGAGGACAATATTAAAGTTTTCGCTTTCTATAAATGGATTGTATCGGAATTCCTGAGATACTTTGATGTAAGCGTCAGCATATGCATTGATGTATTTTTGTTTCTTGGATGAAGCATAATCAAGTGAATCCAAAGCGAATTTTTTGAGTGAGTTTTCTGATGTGACTATCGACATTAATTCTGGAATAAGCTTTTCCTTATTTTCATTATTCATTGACCAAATAACTCTTTGAATTTCCATTACATACTTCATTTGCGATGGATAGTTGGCATTTTCTATTGGATTCAACTTTAATGTTGGATTAATTGGCTGCTTTTCGAGAGATATGTCATCCATCTTTTTCAATAAAAATTTAAAAAATGTAAATAATTTAATAAAGTTTAAATCTTATTTTGTCGATGTAATATTAATATATTTGATTTCAGCAAAAAGGAAGTGAAAACTTTTCAATGGCAAAAAACCGGTTTTTTACACAAAAAAAATTGAAAATTATAAAATCCTACTGATATATATCTTATGTAAATTTTCAAAGATACATATTTTCAAAGAAAACAAAACGATATCATTCTCAAATATTTTATTCAAAAACAACATGATTTTCTATATTAAAATATTGAGCTATTATTAGATATTAAATAACTTATGTAAAATATTTTATTTGAATTAAATTAACAATTTGATATTAAGGGCGCGCCCGGGAGGATCATGTAAACTTCAGAATTTAGAACCTTAATTTTTAAGCAATTACTTGGTACCTAAATAGGTAGTAAAACTCTAAAAATATCAAAAAGTACAACTTGGCTCCATAATAATCCTGTCATGGTGGCAGTTTGTATTCCCTAGTATTTTCCTCTTGAATCTCTTTTTCTGTCGAAATTAAATTCAAATCTCAGAAGTAGAAGTGAATAATCGACTTATTGCTGCTATTATACGAATAAACAAATCCATTATATTATTTTTATTTACATAATATCTGTTTGAAGTTCATAATTCTATAAATTTAAAACATTATCTTGATAGTTTTTGATACTGTTTAATAGGTTTTTGGCACCTTATTTAGTAATTACAACGTATCGAGTCGATCTGAACTTAATTTTCGGAAATTTAAAATATTTATCATAAGTAAAATCTGATTTGAAATTTATATTTAATTACTATATTTTGCATAATCCTAAGTAGCTTTTGTAAAAATTCATCAAAAAAAATTTTAACGTGCTTTAATTTTTTATTTTTTTAAAATAAGACATATTATTATATAACTAGAATATTTACAAATTTTACTGCTTTCAAAAATTTAATCCTCCTCCTCTCAAATAAACGTACATCCGAGTGGCCTGTTTTTTGCAAAAAATAAAATTTCATTTTTTTATGCTTAAAAAGTCAGAATTTTTATTTGCTTCTGGGATATATGATGGCTATATCAGACGCCCGTTCTTTTTGATACTCAACATTAAACATAAAACTTAGCTGTTAAGGCTCTTCTGAAAATATTTTTTTTTCGAAAAATTTGCAAAAAAAATCAAAAAATTTAAAAATCCCCGAATCTGCAGGGATTTTAAAAAATTCTTTTTAGTAAAACTTAAGGATATTGTATCAGATATATTGGTATGGGCAAATTCAATTTTAATACAATATTCATCGAGATATTGCGCTAACGAAGCGTTCAAAATTGAGAGGGTAATCCTCCTCCTCTCAAATAAACGTACATGCGGGTGTACCCTTAATTGATTCATAATCCAAAATAAAATACGATTTTAATAAAATAATTTCATTTGGAATTTATCTTCAGAAAAAAAGCTCGTCTGTTCTATACGATCATCGTCAATTAGGTTGATATTACTATTCATTAAAAGATCATGTATTTGTGTTCCATAATAACAATTATCCTTACTAAACATGGCAATTTAATTTTGTTCAAAGTTATTGATTCATAACAAGCCTTGTTTAAGGATATCATCGATAAATATAAATTGTACTCTATGATTCTGTTAATAAAATAATTCTTCGAAGCGATATTTGAACAATAATAAAGGATATTTGGTATAATTATTGCCTTATGTTGACTATTTAAAGAGAAAAATATATGTTTACTATTGTGTGGTAATAAGACTGTTATATAAATCCGGTTTCTACTGGAATAAATAAAAATTGCAAAAAGATGACTTGAAATTTAGTTATTTTAAACAGATACGAGCTTATTAACAATTTTATTAACATCTTGTGATTGCATGCAAAAAAATAGATTGGTTTGGGAAGAATTACAAATTTCAGATTTAATTTCGCATTAGAAAATGTGGAATTATTTAAGTTTTAAGTTGTAGTCCTTCATATATCATTTGCAAATTTAAATGGAAACCATAACTTGAATATTGGTTCTCCAATAAGTGTAATATCTGTACAAGCGAAGGTTTTCCCTCGAAATATAGTCCTAATTATTTTTTCAAGAAATAATTTAGAAATTAGTTCTTTTTGAGAAGAATATAAAATGTAATTGCTAATAAAATTAAGAAAATAAAAAAAGATGATACACCACCAGATTCTTCGAGCTTTTTTGTTTGCAAATCCTTTTTCGATCTAATCAATTCAGCCTCTTTTTCCAATTCGTTAATTCTCTCCATCATATCAGAGTTTTCGCGATCAATTTTAGCTATTTCCTGACTCAATTTTTGAATGGCATCCTTATTATTCATCGAATTAGGTATGTCGTCAGAGGAATCGCTACTTGACATTGATCAAAATTCAAAAAATGGGAGGATAAACTCAATTTTATCGACAATGAAATTTATTATTAAAGCCCGATGCATATCTTTATTCCTCCTAATAGGTGTACGGGTGTAGCACTTTTCAATGTAAAAAACATGTTAAATTATTCTCAAATCAATCATATTAACAGTGTAAATGTTTTTAGCACATAAAAATAAAATTAATAGCTTTCGTAAAATTATATTTCATTACAAATATGGAAATTTATTCTTCATAAATGGTTCAGACCAAATTTTTCTTTTTCAATTTTATTGTTTTGGCTAATCTTCAAATCCTTCTAAATAAGCATTTCTCCTTATGCTATATGAATTCAAGTAATTCAGAAATGAAGCCTATATATCTGATATAACTTCAAAGCTTTGACTGCTTGTTATTAATATGAAATAAGAAAGCGCCTATGGAAAATCATTGCAAACAAATGAACAGATCTTTAAAAGCGTGTGATTTCACTTACTGAGGACGCAATCGTGACATGGATAGACAATTAGCTTAGAAAAAACAGTAATTAAATCTAATTGTTGAAAATTGAAAATCGTTTAGCGAAGAAAATCATCAGAATTAATGATTTGAATCATGTAAAAAATTGTGACTACCTGTTGAAGGTGGATTGAAATTGAAAGTAAAGAATTTTGCAAATTACCTCAGACTATTTCAGAGGATTGAGTGGTAATTTTTAGTCTCTACACTATTTCAATATAAGCTCCATTTTTAAACAGTTTTTAAAAATCGAGCATTGAAAAGTGTGATGAGACTTATGAATTTATTTTTTGTTATTATTATATAAAATATCTACTTTTTATGATTTATCGATTTCATGAACGAAAATACAAAAATGTATATTCGTGATTAGCATATAATACTGTACAATATGAAATAAATATGTGTCAAAAATATAGAACGATGTAATTGAAAAATTGAAAACGATGTAAGAACGTGCTTTTTTTCTATTGCAATCATTTTAATATGAGTTATGCTAGCATCATAAAAATTATCAAAGAATAATTTTCTGAAATCTCAATAATAAAATTCAAACATATGGAACTTATGATTAGTATTTAATTACATCCAATTCTTCAAAAAATGAATTCCCTCTCAAAAATTCACGATAAACGTTCACACTAGCACTAATACATCAAAAATAGTAATATTAAATAAAAATTGCCGAACAAAGATTTTTTGAATGATTAGAAAATTTTATTTTTTTACCGTAAAAGAATGATAATAATGCATAAGAACAACAGATGAATTAAATATTTTGACACTTTATCAAAATTCAAAATGAAATATAATTTAACCTATTCAAAAAATAAAAATTTCAAAAGGATACAAATTATAATTCTCTAATGAGCGAAACAGATTCGACTTTAAAGAATATATTACTTCAAAATGAATATGTTCTCATGGAACAGATCGGCGTTGGTGGGTTTGCAACATGCTACAATGTCTGGTCCCAAAAGTATCAAACGACTTTTGTTTGTAAAGTTTATAAGGCTCAAGATAACGCTGATAAGGATAAAGTTGGAGCTCAGTTAAACCAATTCTCTCATGAAATTGAAGCGCTGGTTAAGATCTTTCAAACCTACATTATGCGCATTTATTCATATTTCATGACAAATGATATGTTTTTTATGATACTCGAATACTGTCCCAATGGTTCTATACAGGATATGATCAAGCATGAAGGAAAAATTGATGGAAATAAGTTAAACACTTACCTGTATCAAGCTGCAACGGCATTAGAGTATTGCCATTCAAAATCATTTGCTCATCATGACATTAAACCTGCAAATCTACTAATAGATGAGAATTTTAATATCAAATTATCAGATTTTGGAATGGCTGAGCCTGGTACGTGCCATTGCGAAAAATATGGTGGTACACTTGCATTCTTGGCCCCAGAAATATTCCTTAGACAGCCGTACGATCCTTTCAAAGCTGATGTTTGGAGTTTCGGCGCAACTGCATTTTTCATGGCTTGCGGAACAGCTCCATTTACAGGCAGCAATCCCACAGAGATGAAACAACTCATATGTAATGGCTGTTATATTATGCCAAATACAATTCCACCATATATTAAAAAATTAATTAAGAACACAATGGTTCTGAGCCCAGAAGCCAGATGGTCTATGACCAATGTTGTAGATTATCTTAAAGGATTCCTGGAAACAAAGATCACTCCGCATAATTCAATGTCCGGAATTTACCTTTCAAGCAGAAACTCAACTTTAGGTAAAAACCGTGTCAGAAGGCGGAATAGTATAATGGTTACCGGCGAAATTCGATCTCCACTTAGATCATCAACAATGTCAAGGCTATTAGACACTTTTGCTGAATAAATTATGTAATGTTTTGTTTATTCTTAATGAATTCGACCTCTTTTTTGGTAAAATATTTACAGGTTTTTTTGGAAAAAACGATACTCGATTTGATAGATTCCAAATGAGTACCAATATGCTTACCACACCTCCAGTTTTGGTACGGAACGATTGTACAAAATTTATCTAAATAAGAGCAAAATTATAACCAACGAAAATGCTAAGAGATCATTCGAAGCAGTCTAGCCATTTAACAATAATTACTGTTTTTCCTTATAGTTTTGTACATCTTAAGTCATTAGTTTATTATTCATATGTGTTTTAATATTAATTGATTTATGAGATTATTGTATATATTGTGAACATGATATCTCATAGGATGAGGAATAAAACCAACTGCTTAGAATCGAATTTCGAACATGATTTATTTTTGAAATTATTTGATCATTGAATTTTCGACAATTTAAATGGATCAATCCACAGAACAATATAACTAAAATTGATATATGATAGTAGTTTAAGGGTCCACTGTAAAAATTGAAAGTCTCTCAAAATTGAGAGGCGATTTGCAAATAATCGTTATCGTCTTTTTTCGAAAATCCACTTTTCCTAGTGTTCTGATTAATATTTTGTGAATGTAACAATAAAATATATGTTTTAGTAAGATGATAATACATTCTATCACTTCAAATCACATAAAAATTGCAAAATCAGCGAGTATTATAAGAAAATGATTTTTTCGAATTTTTTCGCTTCTGGATGCGTGTTTTGAAAAATAGATATTTTCGAATTTTGATTTTAATTTAAGTATAAATTTTATATTAGGAATTTTTTTGACCTATTTCCAATCATTAATTCCTAAGTTTTTCTAGGAATTTAATTGAGAAGAAATTAGGAAATTCGCTTTAATGCCATTACATCCTAATATTGTGATGCATGTAGTTTATATTTATTGAGGCTAATGCCGGAATATCGTGCATTTTATAAAAAATTCAAAGAATTGACAATTGGATAGCACAAATTTAATTCTCTAGACAAAGTATTATTGTTTATATATTCAAAGCATTATCCTTCGTTTTGAAATGTTGGCAAAAAATTTTCGTGTTATTTTTTGTGTTTCAGCATAAATTATGTATTGACTTATGAAAGATAAGCATTTTATTCATTATCATAAAGATATACCAAAACAAATTGATAAAATTTAAAAAAATGTGTATTTTAGTGGGTATTATTCTGGCCAATGCCCATTTTTAAACGATTTAATATTGACCATATCAATAGCCGACTCAATGTAAAAATTTAGATATTATTTTTTTCATTATTCAAACTTTGATAAATTTTAGTATAATGAATGATTTTGTTTCGTGTATGATACAGAAATGAAAAGCTTAATTAATATCATTTTGCATTTTTTCAAGAATGTTAGAGTACATCTACATTAAAAAATCGGATTCGAATTGCAATACTGCATCAAATTGTTGCACATCTGATAAGGATCTCAAAAGAGTAAAGTTAATTTTTTTGTGTTTTTTTAAGTTTTGGGCCTTAGTAAAAACACCATCTTGAGCAATATTTTTGGGACGACGATAGGCCTTATTTGGCCTTACAGTGGACCCTTAAAAACGATTAAAAATTTCAACCGAAAATGGTCAAAAATAAGTCACGAAAATATGAAATTTAGTTAGCTAATTTGATTCAATTGAAGATGTAGAATTTATATAGCGCATTCTATCGGTGCGCAGACTCACTGCGCGCCGATAAAAGCTGATAACGTATAAAAAAAATAATTCTAACAAGAATTTCAAAATCTTGCAATGTCAGATGATTCATCAATTCATTCAGACTCATCATCGCGTCATATTTATATTCCTTCACTACACTTTCCAAGAGACTCTCAATCTACATTCGCCCTGTATAATTCAGAAGACAAATCGAGACTTTCAGATACAGATTATAAATCAATAAAAAATTCAAAAGGGCAACTCCCTCTTGGTGATAAAGACGACGAAGATGGTAGTAAAAATGAAGCAGGTAAGCAATCAAAATGTTGTATTTTAATTTGAAAAATACTATTCTCGCAGCAAATAATGGTTTTTAACCATTCATTTTGTTGCTTGCCTCAATTCTTTGTATAGAATTCAACAGACAATTTTAATATTACCGACTTTTTGTTAGAATTGATCAATATTCCTCTTATACCATGTAATTTTAAAAAAGGAAATACTGAATGCAGTCTCCTTCAAATGTGTATTCTATTTGTTAAGTAAAAATCAGTATAATTCTTTAATAAATTATGTAAATAAATTATAACTTTTTAAAACAAGTTTACAAGAATAATAAATTGTGATTTCAAGGAATTACATATAGGTATAACTTATGCATCTTTAATTTAAAAAAACAATAAAGAATTATTGTTTTGAAGTGCATCATACAGTAAAAATATCACATCTATTTTTAAATTATGTGTGGTATATATGAATATAATAATTTTGTCAATACTTTGAACAAATTCAAAATCTATATGATTTCTTATACCTAATATTATCAGTAGGTATAAGAAATCAGAACGAATTTTTGGATGAAAACATTACCCAAGTATATATTACCCTATTCAATGATCAAATAATGATAGAGCGAAAATAATTTCTCGCTTGTGAATGAATCAAATAAAAAACTTACAAATCCAATCAAACCATTCTTTTAATCAGCACATTCAGAACATCATAATTGCATTCCCCAAGGCTGAGGTATATTGGAAAGTATCTTATTTGATCATGTCATCGTATGAAAGATTGATAAGCATATTGGATCATTTTATAGTATGATGCATGCTTAACAAATAGATTAAAAATTCTATATAGATCTTTTAAAAAAATGATAATGCAAAATTGATGGGACAAGAGAGATGAAGAAGAAGCTCCTCCAGGAAGAAGTATTTTGAAACATAACGTTGTTTTACCAAAGTATTTTGATTATTTCTAAATAAAAAAGTAATTTTTTTTAAGGGTGCACTTACGCCCCTATGACGAGGCCTTCAATTCAGATGTTTAAGGTTAATTTTCAATGCCGCTTCACGCCAGTTGTCAAAAATTTGAATCAATGTCAGATGGGTGTAAGTGCAGCCTTAAAAGGGTTTACTTACCACTTTCTGACATGCTCGCATAATATATCTTTATTGTAATTGCAAAAAAGTATTATATTAACATAAGGTATTATGCAATGATTTAAAAAAATTTCCCGAACAAAATTATTAACTTTTTACATTAGAAAATATGTAGAAAAAGCCAGAGTGTCAAAAAAATTGAGAGAATGTCAGAAAGTGGTAAGTGCACCCTTAAAAGGGTTCACTTACCACTTTTTGACATGCTGCCATAATATCAACATATCTTTATTTTAATAACAATAAGGTATAAAAGTTTTATATATGTACTAGATAATGATTTATAATAACACTTTCCAGATCAAAAATATTAGTTTTTTTTTCATAGAAAATTGGGATTTAAAGCTTGAGTATAAAAAAAATCGTATTAGTTCATCCTATATATATGCCTGTTTTATGAAAATATTAATGATAACTTAAAATTTAAGACCGCCTAACGATTTCAATTTCTAAATAATAAACGAGGAAATTGTTTATTTTGTCTTGTTTAAATTAAAGATTTCTACTATTTTTTTGTAACTAAGCCTGTATGCTAGATAAAGAGGAGTAGATCCATTTTCGGTTTTAGCATTGATATCTGCGCCATTTGAAATAAGAATTTCTGTAGTTTCTTTGCTATTTACCTCAACTGCCATATGAAGAGAGGTCCGTCCATTTATGTTTTTAGCATTGATATCTGCGCCATTTGAAATAAGAATTTCTGTAGTTTCTTTGCTATTTACCTCAACTGCCATATGAAGAGGGGTCCATTCCATAAAGTCTTTAGCATTGATATCTGCACCATTTGAAATAAGAATTTCTGCAGTTTCTTTGTTATTTTGCATGACTGCTATATGAAGAGGGGTCCTTTCATTTTTGCCTTTAGCATTGATATCTGCACCATTTGAAATAAAATATTCTAAAAGTGAGGAAAGATGGAAATTCGGAGAATAAGCAAAACATGTGTTGATATCATCTGTTTGGTCCAAATAAACTAAAAATGATTGGAGATTATTGTATTTATAGCACAATTCTAAATTAATTTTTATGTTGTGTTCATTCATCAAAAATGTGACAAAATCGATATTGTGTGATATAATTGCATATTCCATGCATACATGATCTGGTGTTTGTACTTTCAAGCATTCATTCATAATGTCTGGATTTCCGCTCAAAAACGAATATCTAAGACAATCTGGAGTGATTTCAGATTGAAATTTCGTTCTTAAGATCTTAAAACAATCAACAGATCCATGGATCCATGATAACAACATAATTCGAGTAATGAAATACCATCAAATGAACATGAATATAAATCACTTTTTAATATTTGATTTTTATCAAATTCTTCTCCTTCTGTAAAATTTATAAATGCTATTTTGTCATCATCCATAATAGATCTGTAAATTGTTTTTTGTTCGTGAATATCAGATGAATAATGAGAATCTTCAAAATTGTTAAAACGTTTTCTCCCGTTTTCATTCAATACTATATTGTATTCTTTGTAGAAAAGGTAATTAAAAACGTCGCCGATTTCGTTGACCTGATTTAGATGGTGTTCGTCAACAATTTGTTTGGCAATCGCTAAATATGACTTCATGTAGCGGTTGTTATAAATTGAAAGTTTGGATATTTTATCGATAATTTCACCAGGCGGAATTCGATAAGAGTCAATCAGGTTTTGTTCGATTTTTTTGTAAATTGCGTTTAATTTTTCTTCGTCATTTGTTTTCAGCCTGTACAAAGCATTGTAGACATCATTATATCCTGTAAAAATCCCCATCAATTTGTCATAATGAATTTGGTTTGCTTTTCCCTTAGACATCAACTAAAAATTTTACGATATCGTAATCTTACATACAAAATGTCGTATAATTTTACAAGCCCAGGCCAAATTGCGAATAATTTTTTAAATTATACTTGCATTTATTGATTTTCGAAATAAAATTCCCAACTTTTCTAAAGATCTCAAAAAAACAAATTTTGATAAAAATAAACTATAAAATTTAACTTCATAAAAGTATCTATTTTAATAAATAGAATATAATAAGTTAAATACAAAATAAAAAAAGAAGTTTTTGTTAATGTGTCTTTTGATAAATCGCTGAAAGTTTTGTTCTTAAATCTTTGTCAAGTCCCTTAGATTGTGCAGCAACTCCAAATGCTTCAACAGCTTCTTTTGTGCACTCATCAGGTTGAGAGAAATTCTCAACGAAAATTGTTGCAGATCTAACTAAATCAACACTAGGTTCTGTCAAATGTTCCTTCAGAAGTCTTGCCGCAGCTCTTCTCGTTGTCCTGTTATCGCTGTTGACGTAGTAAGCAGCTGCAGGCATTAATTCAGCGGCATCAAACTTGGAACTGAAGTAATGAAGTAACTTCGCAATGCACAAAAACGCTGGAGCTCGAAGAGAAATGTTCTGTCCGTAGACGGCTTTGCTCAAGTAACTAAGGATGGAAAGATATGAATCATCAGGACATGCGGCACCGTATATGGCAGCCATCAAAAGAATTGAAAGGGACTCATCGTTGCACGATAACAATTTATCTGACAGTTTACTTGGCAGATGTGATTTAAGGATGAGTTTTGAGTCGACGTCCTGTGTTTTGAGGATTTCGCAAACAATCTCGGGATATACGTTGAGGAGGTGTGCGAAAGCGTTGTATAACTCTCTTCTTCTGAAGAAGATTTCCGGAATTTCGCGGCTCTTCACGAGGAAAGTGAAGAATTCGGGTGAAAACACTTCCTTCTGTAGGTATTTACTGAATCGCTCCTCGTTGTGTAGAAGTGTCGCTGCAATTTCAACAATGTTCTTCGATGGATTCGATTGTGCGCAGTTGAAAAGTGCGAAATAAAATGATTGGTCGTTCCTCGCTGGCTCAGGATACTTAGCGTAGCTGATGCAGACAGGTGTAAGATCGGGATCGAAGAACCAGGAATCGAAACTGACAACGGAATTTCGGACTTGTACTAATCTCATTGATGCCGCCAGAGAATTGATCGCTTCCTTCTTGGTTTGTGTGGTCGTACGCTTGGTTACGGACCAGAATAGGATGGTATAGAGGCGATCTGGAGGCTCGGTAGAGATATTTTCGACAATCTGAGTGGTGACTCGGAATAATGAAACTGATGCGGCCTCGGAAAGAGGTTTCTTGATGAAGGAATGCATTTGCGTTAAGAAGTTAGGTGCTGACGATGCGATATAGTTCAATCTAACGGTTGCTGCTTTGACAGATGCTAATAATGCTAATTCGCAGAGCTCTTTTGAATCGCTTGAGCTAAATGCAAGTAAGGATTTCATTATACTTACATCAAACACTGCTTCGCAGTTGGAATTGGCCAAGCATTGTAACAAAGTTGGTAATGACGGATCTTGATTTTCAAAAATACTTGTGAAATATGGCATGCATTTCTCAACTAATGATGTATCATTAGTTTGATCGATTTTCTGGAAAATTTGTTTGAGAGTATTTTCTCTATCGTTCTGAGTACTCAATTTTCTGACAAGTTCATCATTTGAGGGACCAGATGAAGCATTTAAGAAAGCTTTGTTCGTTGTTTGTTTTACACCGAAATTAGATGAACTATTACGATTTTGGAGACTTGAAGCAGCAATTGAGAGATCGAACTGAGATTTTGGCTTCGGACCAGCAGCAGCTTCAAATGCGGCCTCATCAGTACCTGTAAAGTGGTAAGAAGGATCAAACAAGTATCTAACAACTTTCGACATCGATAATCTTTTTGTTGGATCGGTTTGCCAGCATTTATTGATAAGCTTTGTAAGGTTTGGTGGCGCGTTGTCTGGTATTGGAGGTCTGTAGCCTTGGTTGATGACGAGATCTGTAATTTGGCTTGGATTCATTCCAGAGAAAGGCGGTTCGTTCGTTAACAGCTCCCATAAGAGAATTGCGTAGCTGTAGACATCGACTTTCTCGTCGTAGTTCGGTGAAGAAAGAAGAACTTCCGGAGCCATCCAATGAGCTGTTCCGATCAATCCTGTCATTGGAGTTGCCTGGTTCTTGGATCTGACGAAACCGAAGTCGCAGATCCTGGCTCTGTAGTTATTATCGATAAGAATGTTGAGAGATTTCATATCACGATGAATTACGCCTTTTGAGTGTAAATATTCGAGGCCGCGAGCAATATCGAGTGCTATTAATGAGCGGATCGTTGGAGTAAGGATTTGGGGCCTTTTACGTAAGATATCGAATAAGCATCCATTTGCCATGTATTCTGTTAAAATGTAGTACGGCGGATCTTCTGTATATCCACAAAACTTGAGAATGCATGGGTGAACAAGGACAGAAAGTGCATAGACTTCTCTCTGATAAGATTCTAATTCAGAACCGCTTAGTTGCTTCTTGTGAAGAATTTTAACGGCAACCTCTTCACCTGTATTCTTGTTTTTGCCTAAATAAACGTTTCCTGAGACTCCTGTACCGATTGATTTTCCAAGAATAAAATCATCGCGATTAATAATGATTTTGAGGTTGGACGGAAGATCAGGGATAGCAACATTCTCTGATGTATCATCCGCCGAAATTCCGATCTTCTTCAGCGAATTAAATCTTTTGGCAAGGTTTTCTTTTGCGTCTTCGCGATTCTTTTTCTTGATTTGATCAAGAACTAATGCAATACGTTTCATATCGACTAAATTGGTTTGCTCAATCTCGTCATAAAACGTCTTGAATAATTCAGCAACGGTAGGAACTTCTAAAGTCATAAAATCTTTGTAAAGCTGAATCACCATTGCTGATATTTCTTCCATAGGCTTTTGTATTGATGTTGCAAGTAAGAATTGTACGCACATATCTTTAGAACATTGAAAAGAAAGGTCTTGGATCTGTGTAATATAGCTCAAGATATCCTGAACAGCTCTCATGTGTACTGCTGACATACCATAGTTCGCAATTTTACCTGGATTCTGTCTAATTAAATTTGGAATTTTACGAAAGCACTGTATGACGCCATTAATTTTAGATCCATGAATATAAACCATTGGGAATCTATTCGATGCCTCAATAGTCTCTATAAGTCGATCAAGAGGACCAGTGTTCTCTTGAGACATTCTATAATTATTTTTTACAATCGACAAATTTTTCAATAAAAAATATCAAATTATCAAATATTCATTTCTATTTTCTACTTTAAAATTTTATTCATAAAAAACTTTTCCCGCTAAAGACGAAGGTAAGTGAACTGATATAAAAGAGGTGGCACCAAGTTTAAATAGCCTCATGAAACGCCATATATATATGGTTTGCATCCATTATTAACTGTTATTAGATTAAATTATAAGGTGCATTAGTTATAGTTCTTGAAATAAATGTGCAAATAAACCAGAAATAGTTTTGAATGAAATTTATTCTATCAACATGATGCTAATTCTCTCAGTACTTTAACTGAACTGATTTGAAGCAATCATATCAATGATTTTATGATTTAAATATGCAATTTGAAAATCATTCATTGAATGTGAGTATAGAATAACGATCATGCTCTTATGTTATTTAAATGTATGGTTATCTATTAATGTGTACAGAAGAATGATCAATAATTTCACCTAAAAAAAACAATATTTTTTCGATTTTTCACAAATATCTATTTAAGGATATCTTTTCTTGATCTCTCGAAGGATGCATGTTCCTTTTGATTTGAAGTGCCATATTAGCGCATTTATGACTTAAATATAAAATATATGTTTAGTTTTTTAGTCTATCTCCCAAAGATTTTGATAGTATTCAAATAGAAAATGCATAGGTTTGCTCCAGATCTTTCAATATTAATTTCTTTTTGAATTAAATCTGTGTTTAAAGTGATTATGCTTGAATTTTAGCACGTTTTAATAAGGAATCCAACATTCCCATAAATATTTAAAAAAAGTTTGTAAACTTGCAAAATCTGACAAGAAAATGATTTTGGGTCAGGAAGAATATAAGGTAGTCACAAAATCTAAGTAGTGAGGCTCTCAAAAATTGAACCGTACTCCATACAAAATTTGTGTACCCTCACTACTTAGATTTTGTGTCCTTCAATTGAGAGGTTAGTTTTGATAGAGCACGTTATAAAATTAAAAGGGAAAAATAAATAAAATTTAAACATTTAATTATATATAATGTAAGGAGTGTAATTCCAAATTTTCTAAAAACTATTCAAATTTGAGCATTTTTTTGGAAATAGTAAATCTAATATGTACATCTAATAACAACATGATTCATCACCTTTTCAAGCTCTGCAGTCAATTTTTTGAAATTTGATTGAAATAAATGTAGCAAAAATTACATTTCATTAGGGAATATATGAGTTTCTCTGGAAACAGGCTGATAAATTTTAAATTTTGTCCAATCAACATGAATGCATTGAGAAATTTGGATTGATTTTCTGGTAGAATCTGGAACAATTCAACCATGTATAAATGGATCATGTAATCATCATGAAATGTTAGTGTTAGAGTTCAAAAGAAACAGAATGAGTGGAAATCAAACACAATCTGAATAATTTTAAACGTATACAATCTTTAAGTTTGTATTTTGAATTCTACATATATGATTGTGTAATTCGTTCTTTCAAATTTTCGGATTCAGGCATGTTTTGATAAAATTCATTCCCAAAAACGTCAATTAACAATTAAATTTAGTGTATTTTAAATATATATACGTATTATATTGTATAAATTATATTAAATTCGCAAAATTTTAAGTTTTAAACAAAAATAAAAAATGTTCAAAATATGAAATTATGCATAGGATATTAAAATTTACATGTTAGCAATTTTTTTGAATTGCTTTCAATTTTCATATTGAAATTTTTAAGATTTTTTTCTGAAATAATAAGCAAGAATATCAACCTAAATAATATTAAATTCCATGCGTTAATTTCCCCTCAAAAGTCATTGACCGCCTCTCAATCTAGATTTTGTGAGTACTTTAGTTATTTAAGGAATTGTGATGATATAAATGTCACCAAACCAAATGATTGTCATGCATATTTAACGATACTTAATGCTCTTGGTCCAATAAAACTTGAAGATTTCAAAAACAATCACGATCTCCGTTTTAAAGACAATAATGAATATGATTATATTAATGGCAGATATGACAAAATTAACCTTAGCATTCCTCATTTCATTACATTACTAATGATATTAAAAAACTCGAAATTATAGATAATTTTCTCTACTATCCAAAGATTGATGATAATAAATTGTTTGTTAAGCTTGCAATTCACAACGATTATGCAAAAATCCAAGATATATTTAAAAACTTGGCCCATCTTCAAGAAGGGAAAAACAAACGCAAATTGCAAGTTGCTACTTGCGAGACAGATAATATTAGTTTAATAATGGGTTTTACACCCAAAAACAAAAGCGATAATAAGAAGAAGACGCGAGTTCTTTGTTATTACTATATCAAAAAAGATAATGTAGAATATCGTGGCATTTTCACAACTAAAGAAAAAAACGATTTTATGAATGAATCAAAGCTTATAAGAAATCAAAATATGCAAGCACAAACAGTACCACAAAATATACCAACACAAACAGTACCACAAAATATACCAACACAAACAGAAACACAAAATATTCCAACACAAACAGAACTAGCAACAACGGAAATAGAAGAAGCACCTATTCAGACTAACTCAGGAGAACTAGTTCTAACAACTAGGCCTCAAGAAGTAGAAAGTTCTCCACAAACTCAATTTGATGATTTCCGACAAAACCAACATATTGAACAACAAAATCATTTTCAATACTCACCTGACCAATTAGTGGATCGCTTTGCAGATATTTCGAATCAGAGTAAGCTATCCAATGATATTCCTTGTTTGAAAGGCATAATGGACTACCATCTGAATCTGTTTCTTTCAAAATTAAATGTTAATTCAGTTCTAGAACTTATACAAAATAAGGATTCAACCCGAATTGGGATACTGATTCAATATCTGCCTAATTTCGGCAATCAAGATTTTTGAAATGAATTAATTCAGAAACTAAACGAAAGTCAAACACTTATTTCAGATTTAATTAAACATCAAATCAAAGAAATAAAAACTGCAGAAAATTTGGACAATAATTTAAAAACGTTTAATCAAATAGTTTATCAAATTTTAAATTATCCACAACTAAAGGATAAACTAAAAAACATACTCGAATACCTGAATATCCAATTGCAAGCATTTAGTGACCAATTAATGACTCCAGCAGATCAATTGTTTCGAGAAAATAATCCAGAATCTAGTCGGGTATTAAAAACAAAAGATTACTGCAATAATTATATTGACTCAATCAATTTAATATTGTCTCAACTAAATCCTCCGCCAAATCAACCAATTAATGAGAATCAAGAAAATATCATTTTTCCCGATTTTGGAAGTAGTGAATTTGCAGAATATCAAGATTATATCGACCCCTTCGGAATTTCGTAATTAACAAAATAAAATAAAAATACTCAAAATTAAAAGCTATAAAAAAATAGCTAAAAGCATCGTAAAAATTATTGATATCAAATACATTAAGCAAAAGATAAGTTTTAGTCTAAGTTGCATCATCAAAGAATAAGATGTCAGATTGACTCTGGAGTACAGCAAGAGAGAATTTAGTCGGATAAAAGCAGCAAGCGTTGACAGCCTCTAAATTCCTTGAAAACAAAAGAGATGGAAAGAGAATTGTATTCATTTCTCTTATCACCAAGGATATCTATGACGTAGATCCATTTGCAAGACCTTATTGTACCGCAAATGATGGAATTGGTGAAGATTTCGGAGATTCTTGAAATCTTTCTATCGGTTCGTTAAATCTTGCACGAAAAGGTATACAGTACATCATTTGTGAACAATTGCAAATTGGCAATCTTGTCCGGAAACGAAATTGTTGGTTGGACATTAGATAATCAAAGTTTATTGTCCGTAAGAAGTGATTTTATAGGACTATGAATGGCCCTTGGGAATCACTGTAGTATAAATGATGGATTAATTGGCGGTATGAAGTTTTCCAATAATATCTTCACAAAAGGATAATAATAACGTGCCAATTCAACTACCGATAACTGTATATCCTTGCTTCAAGTAATTTTGGAATTGCTTTTGTCGCTTTTGAGAGTAAAATTTTAAATTTGCATCTTACTGAAGAATTCAGATCGTAAACTAACCCTTTTGTAACTTTAGCTATTTCTATTTAGATATCATACTCGATAAGCAAACATGGTGCATGGAAACTGGCAATTTTGACTTCTGATGAAAAATCTGACGGCAAGTTTGTTATTTTTGCATCAGTTTTCATCATTAGATGAGTTATAGAAATTCGTTTTAGATAGAGAATTCTTGAAGTCGTTTATCATCGGATGAACTCTTGTTACAAAAGCCATTTTCGGCATGTATTGTTTATACTGGCTGATGATTGCCTTTTTTATTTATTGTAGCGGATTTGTTGTTGATTCTGTACTTGTCTTAGACCAACTTTAAATAGAATTTATTCTTCTTAAAAGAAGAAGTTGGAGTAAGTTTGGTATGCGCAAAACAACAATCCCGTAAGTTGCAAATGATATTGCTGGGAAATCTACTGGTTCTAGTTAAAAATTTGGAGGATGAATTGAAACTAGAAATTCATTATGAAGTCAAACAGCATAAAGTGTATTTTTTGGAATTTTAAAATCATTAAATCATTACTACAATAAGGATTTCAGTTTATTTTTTGTAGGCCAATCCCTGTGGGACCCAGTGGTAACTTTCCATGGAAACCACTCAGTGGGAACATTTTTTATTTTTGACGGAAAAAATTCTAAATATTTTTTTCATTTTTTGATTTTTGAATTTTTTTTGGAATTGGAGAATAAAATTTAAAGCGATAGATATGCTTGATTATTCAAGATATTGACATTAAATCAGAAATCAATGGTAAATAAAGAGTTTTATAAAAACTTACCACGTGGTAAGATGAAGTGACCACAAATTGAGTTGTGGTACATAAAAATTACCACAAAATTGAGAACTTTTCCCACAAATTGAGAATTTTTACCATAAAATGAACGATGGATATCCACGAAAGTTACCATAACTCACGTCTCTCATCTTGAAAGATTCGATCCAGGTCATGTATCAAAAAATATCTCAAAAGATTTTACAAAGTTCTCAGCTTCTCATAAGACAGTTGAAGTTTTCAACGACAAGACTCAGAAGATTGAAAAAATAGAGAGACCTTTCTGGGGTCTGAATGCAAGCCTAAGTATGTGGCTTTGGTCATGTTTTGCCGAAGAAGATATTGACAAACGTACGAAAATGTGGGAGAATTGTGTCTACCATTACGTAGGCAATCATTCTTTTTGCGAACCGCACAATTACAAATGCTTTGAATGGCAAAAAGGTGTCAATTCGATCCAACTTCAATTCATGCTCTATGACTGGGTTCACAAATGGACACCCATAGTTTCCAAAGTTTCTTCCATTGGATCTACCTGCATGAATGAAGCGTTTAACTCCAAAATTGCATGCTATTTGAGTTAGTATCCCTAAGTTGTGTACTGTGGCACTGCGCGCCTCCGTACACCACTTAGCGGTTTTGACACTTTACGAAACCGGTAACGTATATTTTACAACACAACCATAACACCAACTTAACCTTAAATATTTACAAAACCGTCTGACACATAAACGACTTCACTAACGAATTCACTACCGTCCTCACTAAATAAAAAATAACCTTATTTTTATTTTTTTTAAATTTTTTATTTCATTACAAAGACATGTCTGACTACATTTACTATGACTCTTTCCCAGAACGTTTCCGTGAACTATTCAAAACTCAAGTAAAACTGAGAAACATGCATTTTAACAAAGACAGACCCATTGACGATGAAAGAAACCCTGAATATATTACAATCCCATATGACGCAAAGTTCATTGCATACATTCCTTATGGTCGCAGAGGAACGAAAACTATTTCAACAAAGACCAAAATTATTTCTGGAGCGATGAAGAAAATTGCCTTATCTACATAAATGCATACTTAAATAAAGCTACATATTGTACAAAAGAAGGTTGGACTGGATTTGAGCTCTACATATACGACGACGATGGAAACAGACGTTGTGTATACCCATACGATAATATGTACCATTGTTTTCATCAAGCATTAAACGAATACATAGTCAGTAAGGGTCTCATTCCTGCTGAGTAGATATGCTTTATTTTGTTCTATCATTTATATAAAATAAATGATATCACCACCCTCACACGTATGAAAACATAGCACAAAAATAAATTTAGGTGAAGTGGTGAGATCTCACCTGTTTTTTCACCTCTTTTTTCACCTCTTTTTTCACCCTGTTGAATTCATTGCTTTATAACTCTCTTCCTTTCTCCAACTCTTCTAACTTCTTCTTAAGTTCAGCAATGTTGTCCTCATGAAGTTTAATCTTCCTTAATATACCTTCTCTATCTAATGGTTGCTTTATCTTTCTAAACTGAACTCTACCATCCTTCATAGTATGAATGTAAAAACCTTCTGGAATAGTTCCTGATTTAATGTATTCTACCAAGAACTTTTGTTTCATTGCTTCAGTGACTTTAGTCGTCATTTTACTCTAAGGTGAAGCTAGCACAGCGATAATGGATTTCATGACTTTTAGTATTTCATGCAATCTTAACAAATAGCCTTACAAGTACTTCCAGTGTCCCTAGCTGTCCCTCCTTTTTCTATAACTCCATGACATTTATAATCTCGCGAAACTTAACAGGTAGCATAACAGATTAAAATCAGATGAGGTTTTGAACCAAAATTTCTAAGCAACGTTGTCAAGGATTTTGAGGAACTAGGGACAGAGTGTGGCAAAGTCCAAGATTTAATTTATCTTCATCTGTTTCATCAGCTATCTCATCTAATATGCCAATATTTTATTCATAACTCGTGGCAAACTCACTAACTTTCATTATGTTCATCTGCATGCTTCATCTGATAGAAAGTATGACTTTCATTAACTCTGTGAGATAATGAAAACTACTAGGGACAGAGACCATGGCAAAGTTTATGACTTTCATTATTTCCAGAACTTAATGAAAACTACTAGGGACAGAGACCATGGCAAAGTTTATGATTTAATTTATTCTCTCACTAACAACAAACACAAACTCCAACACTAACATCAAGTACTAACTTCAGCACAAATGACAAACGCTAACAACAAACACAAACTCCAACACTAACATCAAGTACTAACTTCAGCACAAATGACAAACACTAACAACAAACACAAACTCCAACACTAACATCAAGTACTAACTTCAACACTAACAACAAACACAAACTCCAACACAAACTCCAACACTAACGACAAAAATAAATGTCCTCACTTCTTAACAAAGTAATATGTGCTTCTTACACCACCATAGCTCAAACGTTTCTTTTCAAACATCGATTGAAACTTATTTTGAGCCATTGGCTTTAGTCTCTTTTTCTTCAAATACGCCAAGAAATCTTCTTCACATCTTTTCACTTCATAGCCTTCTTTAAACTCCTCCTTGTTAAGTTCTATGAAATCCTTTATCTCATTCTTTGTTGCAATGGCTTCTTCACGAACGACATCATGAACTATTTCATCATTGCATTCATGTATGACCTCCTCACTGTTCTCATGAACTATTTCAACACTGTTCTCATGTATGACCTCCTCACTGTCTTTCATAAGCGTTTCAAAGTCTCCTTTACTCATTACTTCAATCTCATGCTGTTCACAGTAGTACTTAAACTCACTGTATATGTCTTTGTTGTATGTTATATTGCTTCCCATGTACTCCATGAATTTTTCAAGCACTTCCTCATAATTCACTGTTTCTTTCTTTCCACGACCTTCTAATAACATACTTGCTTCGTAAATATAACTTCTTGCAGAACCGTCTCGCTTTCTACTTCTCTTCACAAATTCTCTCATCTTGCCGCCAAATACATTTGAACTACATGCAAAGAATTCATTCTCCTTCGC